ATGTTTAAATTTTAATAATATAAAAAAAAACAAATTTACTTGTTGAAACTAATCATTTAAATGCATTAAGTATAGTTGATTATTTTGCCATTTGCAATTAGATTGAATATAATGATTAGCTTATGAGGATAAGGCTAGTCATAATTCCAATTGCTTTCTAATAAATATATGTTAGTTATAGGTCATTTTTCATGCATCTATTCTCTGTATAAACTATTTACATTTCATTTATCGTGAGAATATTTCCGAATATAATAATAATAATAATAATAATAATTGCTTTGCTGTTACCTTTGTTTATTTTGTGAATTTTGAGCAAAACAAAGAATAAGCCTATCGATACACAGCTATTTGGATGGTCCTAGGCTGAATGTTATGATGGCGTACACATAACGCGGCTGAATGATTTGTCGATTGTGCGCCGATCTATCCCAAGAACAGCTTAATAGAGTAGGTTAAGCTCGCCATTGCCCACTAGAAGCGCAGAGCCAGTCATACGCAAAAAAAACCTCTATGGTATATTCATATAGTGCTCTCTATATATTAATTGGTTAACATATATTGATTCACGAGTAGTGCCGGCATAGATAGCTAGCGCCAGACTAAGGCCGCATTAGGGCTTGGGTGCTGCAGCCACCCAATTAAGGTGCTAGTATTCTACTGGTTATTTGCACGCAGTCAGGTCCAACCACAGAGATCTCGGATGGCTGACACAAGGGATCCTCATACCTACATTTTGCTTTTATGTGTATAACATCTCCGATTCCTACACCCATCTGTCCGCCGCTGACGAGATCGAGACATAACCTGGTACGCGCGCAGAGAACGTACTCATTCATAAACTTCGAATCTGATGTACATGAGTCGAGTGCATTGAAAATTCTCGGTTCCGTTATTACATCGCTGTAGGGAATGCCGCGTGTGATGATTAGAAACCCTAGCTCGCGCAATTGTGATGGGTAGGTGGTGTAGGTCAAATGGGGAGTACAAGCAGCTTTTTAGAATGATGAGGCGTGGGTACTTTTTGTGACCCAATGACCTTTGTTATAAGGATGCCTGCCCTCATTGCTAAATTATAAAAAGGTTGGTACTCTACAAATTTCGGAAGGACAAAAGCATATAGAATAGAGAATTTTAGGATCAGTTTTAACTTGTAATCTTCGTCTCATTTGCAACAAATATGGTAGTGTCTCACCCAATTATGTGCGCTTATGATGCGACCAATACAGCCCACCAGTGACTCGGCGGGCAATTGCGAAGGTAGAGGAATATCTATATACATTAGCAATATACGTCACAAAGAGATACTCTTTCTGAAGACATGGATGGAGAGACATATAGAGATGTTTTTAGTTTGTGATTTGTTAAGTAATAATTACGAGCGTTTAGTCCGAGATAACTTTTATTCCTTTTCTGGCCATAATACAGACTAGGTTCTGCGTACGACAAACTAATTCTGGTGAGTAATTGAGCGAAAGGCTCTAACACTTTCGAGGACACATTCACCTCTAGGTGCAATCCTTCTATACGACACATAAAACATGACCAACAAGAAAAGGAAAAAAAAAGATTATAATGGTTATTGCCGTCCTGGATTTATTTTATATGGCTAATTAATTAATTTTATTTTTGGATAAAGGCATTGTTTAAAATGTTTAAATAATATATTAAACATGAAAAAACAAATTTACTTGTTTTGAAAACTAATCATTTTAAATGACATTAAGTATAGTTGATATTGCCATTTGCAAATTAGATTGAATATAATGAATTAGCTTATGAGGGTGATAAGGCTTAGTCATAATTCGCAATTTGCTTTCTACGATGATACCAATAATTGTTATTTTAATGTGGCTGAAGGTACAATATTTGTAGGACATTTTGCATCTATATATTCTGTGGTCGTCGCTAATAGCTGATTTTTACAATTTGCAAATATGTCTATCGTTGAGAATTTATGGTGGACCGAATATGTAAGCTAATAATAAGTGTACATAATGAATAATAATAATTAATATGGCAGTTTTAAATCTGCAAAGTCCCCTCTTTATCCTGTGATGATGCAAGGCGTTAGGTGCGTTTTATCATTTGTCTATTCTTTGAATTTTTGTAGTTCTTTCGCACAACCTAATAGCTAAAAATTATAGCTAACACCAAACTATCAAAAGGAGACATAATGAGTGTCTTTTTCGGGCTTAAATAATAATAATAATAATAATAATAATATAGTTTTAATCTCAACCTAACTAGAGAGGCTATGTTAATCATTTATTCTATTTTATTTTGGCCATAGCTAAATTTACACTATCAAGAGACAAATGATCTTTTTCGGCAACTTATCTTCATTCGGCTTTATACAATAATAAGCATTAATGACTAGAAATACATGAAAATTTTTTTATATTAATAAATTTTGATTTAATGTATATATTTTTTTAAATTAATAATATTTATAGTCTTCCACTCTGCTATAATGGGAAGCAATTCTATTACATAAATTTAGTTCCTATCCATTGGTACAAGTACAATTAGCTTTCTCACTGACTTAGAATTTGTACAAGTCTCTCAATTGTAGCCTTTCCCATAAGACAAAAGGAGGATTTTTCATTTATGAAACAAACAAAAGAGAATTTGTATCGCCTACAAAAAAAGTCTTAAATGCTGAATGTTTTTCTTCGTGACCGAGACATTTATATGTTTTAACATCATTTTCAATCATATATTGGTCTAGAGAGCTCGTGTGCCAAAATGATTGTTATGTGTGAGAAAACCTTGTCCCTTGCCCATAGATATACACAATTTCATTTTCTTTTTTTAATGTTTAATCAATCTCTATCAAATTTATATAAAATTAATTTGTTCTAGCTTAAATATTTATACGTGGGGAATGGTCGTTAGTCTAACGATACAAAAATTCAAATTTTAAGAAAAATGATTACTTACTTGCCTAATAAATTAGATTGTAAATAGACAACTGAAAAAGTACCTCTTATAAATTATTGTCATATAAAATTATTGTCATATATATATATATATATATATATTTAAAAGTTTTTTTTTCTTTTTTGTTTAATAATTAAATCTCAGGATTACACCTGTGAAGTCAAATTTTAAATAGTTGAGGTCAAAATAAAATCAAAAAAAAGATTTTGAAAGCAAAATTTAGAGGATTTTAATATTTATATTTTTTAAATGTATAAATAAAAATTAATGGGAAAATAATTTAAAATTTGCAGAGAAGTTTGAAAGGGGATAATGATCCTAGAAGCTCTCTTTTATATGTATATATATATATTATTGGATTTGCACACGTAATTTTTATTTTTTTTTCTTTTTTGTTTAATAATTAAATCTCAGGATACACCTGTGAAGTCAAATTTTAAATAGTGAGGTCAAAATAAAAATCAAAAAAAGAATTGAAAGCAAAATTAGAGGAGTTAATATTTATATTTTTAAATGTATAAATAAAAATTAATGGGAAAATAATTTAAAATTTGAGAAGTTTGAAAGGGATAATGATCCTAGAAGCTCTCTTTATATGTATATATATATATATTGATTTGCACACGTATTTTTACGCTCGCTCAATTGAAGTAGTAATGATTATATATATGAAGTTTTAAGCATAAAATTTTTAGTTATGAATTCTAATTTTACAAATAAAATTTGCCCAAAAATATAATTCATTTCGATTAATCTAAGCGGTGTAATTTTTTTATTTGTTTTTTTCTTGAAAATATAATGGCTTCATAAAATACTAGAAAATCAAAAGACATAAAACATGAGAAGACTCATAGTCCATAGAACATAGAATTCCATTTTTCTTTTCTAAGGGAGACAAAAGAGAACATGAAATTGAATAAAAGGCAAAACATTCAAATGAGTTTATTAATAACACGTAAGGGCATTATGGTCATACAGCGAAAGTTCGGCCGGTTGGTGAGCAACTTGTGTACGTGCACAGAATTTCAGTGTTACTGCCCAACATCAACAGCCAACACATTTATTAATATTAGTATATATATATGTACCATTCGAAATTCAATATATATAATTATCATTTTATTTAGTAAATATATCGAGATTTATTTCCATTAAATTTTTTAATATTTTATCTAAAAGTTGTTATTTTTACAATCACTATAGTAACTATAAAGAATTAAATAATAATATCTTTAAAATGATTTCCAAATAATTTAATGTGGTTAAACTTGAGAATTTATAATTAATATATTTATCAAACCAAAATGTTAAATTATTATTATTATATATATAACATTTTATTTTATGTTATAAATACGTATGTACAAAGAGCCATAATCTAATACACAGAAAAGCAACAAAAGAGTGCCTCCTTTACACTGCTAGGATCAGAGTTAAGCTCAAGAATTGTGTCAGAATCTGCTAATCGAACTCACATCTCAAGAAGAAATAAATAAATCCAACGGCTAAAAATCAATGTATCAAACATCATTTGATACAAACACCCTCTTAATATAATTTGTAGAGATAATGTGACTGTGGACAGAAGAGAGAACAGACAAGATCATGGGATCTGCATGTTTTTATTGCACAGGACCTGCAAGTATGGATCATGCAAATCTCTCATTTCTCTCTATTTTCCATTTTTTATATAAATCAAACTCTCTTTTTCTCTCTCATCGGATTAAAATAACAAGAAAACAAAAAACTATCCCCACACACATCATTTTCTTGACCTCCTAAAAAGCAACCCATTAGCCTCCCAAGTCTTTAATTCAGCCTAAAGTTTCTTTAATCCAGATTAAAATTTAATTAATTATGTACCCTTTACTTAATTGATCAGTCACTTCAATTTCAAAACATAAAGGTTTGATTTTTCTGTTACTAAACCAAATTCAACAAGTGGGTTGTAATATTACTATGGATTTTGTGCTTGGTGGGTTTGTATGCTAATCAAGGCTAATCGATTCATTTTACCAGATTAATCTAGTTAATCAAACCCAAGGTGGGGTTAATAGTAAGATTTTCAGTTTGCTCTCTCATTCTCTCACTAGACTTTCTTTTTTTTTTTCTCTCTCTGGTAAGGCTCTAATAAAGTAGGATGTTCCCCAGAGCGGTGTTAGGCTACAATAATGCATTTTGTGTTGTGTTGTTGAGTTAGAGAGAGAAAGAAAGTATCTTTCTTTGTAGAGTCAGCAACAGCACGCTTTGCTTCCTCAGCTGAACAACCTAACATTTTTAAGAGGTCTCTCTACTGGGTTGCGTGCGAGTTCCTCTAAATTCTCCGTTTCCTGTTTTTGGTTTTTTGGGTGAGAGCGATAAAAGGAATCTCTCTCTTTCTCAGGTTTTTTTTATCTTCCTCTTATATTTCATTTCATTTCTCTGGCTTTTTTCTTTTCCTTACTACAACTGAATCAGCTCTTGTTTCTTGTCTCCTCTCCCATTTCCTCTACATGTCAAAAGTAAATAGAACCCACTAAGCGTGCCAATACAACAATACAAAAGTCGCTATTATATGTCTCTTTTCTTTGCCTTTGCCCTTTGAGTTGTTACAACACTTATTATTAATATCCTGTTTTCTTTTTCCCTCCTGGTGGGGCTGTTGCCATTATTTCCCTCTTCTGGGTCTACTGCGTTTAAGGATTCTTATGTGTTGAGGCTTTAAAAGCTGGGTCTTTCGTTGGCAGCGGATACATTTAAGGTCCTTTAGTTGTTTTTTCTTTTTATATGGGTTTGAATCATTTGAGGATGCGGGTTTTCAAGTTCTTGAGTGCTGGTTAAAGAACTCATTGCAAAAAAGGTACTGTGCTAGTTTCTGTATTTCAGTTTCATTTTGTTTCCTCTGCTATTGTCTTTAAGTCAATTTTTTCTGATCATACATATTTGACGTGAAAAGCTTTAACTTTTGGTTTCTTTTCACACTACAGTGAGATTTTCTTGCATTCTTGCTTCTTTCTGGTGTTAAAAGTCAAAGAACAAACCTAAGAAAGTGATATTTTATCTGTTCAATGGAGGGTGGTTCAAAGAATGGCGAGGCATGTCCTCAGTTACTGGATTTGATTCCAAGAGAAAGAGAATGGCTTGTTAAAAGAGCTGATGAAAGATCTACAGAGGAGAAGAAGCTTGAACTAAGGCTTGGTCCACCTGGTGAAGAATGGTCTCTTGGAAAGACAGCTAAAAACTCAGATGATAGAGTAAGGGACGAGTTTCTTCTCTCTCTCGGAAACCAACAAACCCATAAGTTCTCTTCACCTGAGAACACTCGAGCAGGTTCTGTGTGGTTTAATCAACAACTATCTCAGCAGGCGAAGGCTGCTACTCCATTTCTCCAGTTTCCACCAAAAACAGTAACAACAACCCAACAGAGCCTGCCTGTTACGGGAAAGGAATCCTCACTGCCCTGTTGCACTAAAGTGGTAGTAGACTTGCAGCAGAGTGCAGAAAAGAAGGGGTTTTCACAGCCAACTCCTGCAAATACAGCTGTGCCCAACAGCTCTCAGAAAAGGTACTCCAGCTTTTTTTACCTCTTTTCCCTTTCTCTCTCTCTTTCTTGTCTGTCTTGTTTTTTGAACTTTTTGACAGAGGATATTCACTCACATGTTCATCTTGCTATGTGATTTGTGGTCCATCATCATATAATTTGTTTGTTTCTTGCTTTTATGCCTGTATGTGTTTCTGCTTTTGTGTTACTTGTTATGTTCAATTAAGTGCTTGTGAACACTGTTTTGCCATATTCCTTTTAATTAAAATTTCACTGCCTAGGTTTTGTGACTGCTGGTTCTTGATTGGTCTTAGTTTAGTCTGGCTATTAAGAGCTTAAACCCTTATCCTTCCTTTTCTTTGCAAGTTTTACTTTTCTGGTAATCTTTTTTATTTTCCATGTCTGCTTTCCAAAGTGATTTAGATCTTATCTCCTTCAGCCTGTTTACTGTAGCAGTGTAGTGTACTTTCTATGATAGTTCTTGATTTCTTGAAATATGAACTACTAATATTTTTGCCTTTATAATTCTCGAGACATGAAACCTGCTTGTGGGACTTTTGTAGCTGCCATTTTTGTGCTATGTCACTACATGCTTTGTTTTCTTTTCCCCTTGTTAGTTTTGCTTTATTGACTATGTACTTCATATTCTATTTAATCATTTGTCATGCAAATTACTACTTACCTGTGTATTATCTCTTATTTACTATTTATTGGCCTTTCAAAGCAGAACTGCTCCTGGTCCTGTAGTGGGTTGGCCTCCAATCCGATCATTCAGGAAGAATCTTGCAAGCAGCAGCTCTTCAAAACCATCTATTGACACACAAAATGAAAGCCCAAACAAGAAGGTTGCTGGTGAAAAACCAATGGAAAATTGCAAGAAAGGGATGTTTGTGAAGATCAATATGGATGGTGTTCCTATTGGAAGGAAAGTAGATCTTAAAGCCTATGACAGCTATGAGAAGCTTTCTACTGCTGTTGATGAACTATTCAGAGGCCTACTTGCAGGTTATTCACTTATCTTTTGTATACTTGTTTTATCTGTACGAATTATGTAGACCTTTTAAATATTGCTTCTTATAATTGAGGTATGAGACCCATAATTGCTTTATTTAGCAGTAGTATTGGCATGCCATTGAAATTGTTTTGATTTGATAGTTGTCATCTAGCAAATTTCTATATAAAATGCACTGTCAATTTGTCATCTACATAAGCAATGACATATCCTCAATCTAGCGATAACAGGAGAATATTTATAATACCTATCTAATTGTCATGTGTGTAGTCCTACTTTATTTGATTAGTGTGCTCTTTTGTTTAAAGTTTGAATCTTTTGGATCATTTACTTCTTGTTTATCAATTGGTATGTAACTCCTGCATAGATTTGAGTTGAATTTAGTGCACAGATAGTTATCTGATTTTGTTTGTCTTTTGTGTTCTGCGTGTTAGCTCAAAGAGATTCCTCTGCTGGTGGAATCATGAGCAAGCAAGAGGAAGAGAAAGCAATTACGGGTGTATTAGATGGGAGTGGGGAATATACGCTTGTTTATGAGGATAATGAAGGAGACAGGATGCTTGTTGGGGATGTCCCATGGCAGTAAGCATCTTTATCACTGTGGATCTGATGCAAAATTTTTATTTTTCAATCTCATATTATATTCGTTGCACTTGTTAAGAGGGCCTATAACAAAACATCATCATATGCTTTTATGTCGTTTAGTATGACTAGAATAACTATATTAGATTCCTAATTAACCGCTTTCCTACAATGTCATGTATTAAATCATGTTTATGTTGTTTATCAAAGTATCTATATTCTCTATTATTTATCTTTGCAATCTCACAATTCAATGCAATTGTATGCCTTGCTTACATAAAAAACTATTATATGGGTATTATATTTCTTGCATTTGGTTCTTTGCTGTTGTAAGAATTAGGAACTTTGACTTGTATTATATTCATAATCTTTTTTTTTCTTAAAACTTTGTAGCATGTTTGTGTCAACTGTGAAGAGGCTTCGCGTATTGAAGAGCTCTGAAGTTTCTGCATTAAGCCGTGAGTGTTTAATCATGCCATGAAGAATCTAAATCTGTGTAATTAGTATCTTTTTAACCCTTTAATTAGTGCTAATGAGAAATTTGTATGATGCTTTTTCAGTTGGAAGCAGTAAGCAAGGCAAGGTACAAATGAGATGAGAGAGATGAATTTTGCTGTGAATATTCTCTTTTGAAGCTTGAAGGAGAATACTTGGATTGATGCCTTAGTTAACATTTTGTCCCTTGGAACTCCGCAACTCACAGTATATATATATATATATATATGTCTATGTCTAGCTTTATATGTTTTTTTCCCCTATTTTGAAGTTTAACCCCTTTGTTTAACTTACTATGCAATGTGGAATGGTGCTTAGAGACTCTGTTTTGAGCTTAATGTACAAGTTAAGTATGTCTAGTTTTATTAATTCACCAAGTTTTTAACTATTGAGCCAAAGCTGTTTCAGTAGAAATTCTTATCAGATTGAGATGATTGTTGAATTAGTGGAAAATATGGGAGGAAGGAAAATTGAGAAGGAAAGTAAATGTACTTTTCCTTCTCCAATTTGGAGGAAAGCTGGAGAAAATAATTAAAAATTATAAATTTATCCTTTTTTTTTTACGTCATTTTGCTTCCTCATTGCCCTCTTAAATATTTAAACATCAAGAACACTTCTTTTATGTTTTTGCTCTGTAAATTGCTGTCCAAACACAACATTTCTTGATCTTTGTATAAAAATTTTAAATAATTTATATTTTGAAACTGAAAGAATAGTTTATTATATTTGCCTTCCCATAAAGACATTTAAGTTAAATCTATGGGTGAATTTTATAAATGAGTGAATCTATTGGTACAAATTTGCAAGAATAATAGGTTGTAAAGCTCGTGTACTTTATTCTCTAGCATTGTCATTGGAACAAGTGCACTCTATCTTTATGTCCTTTTTGTTCAAAAGGGTAGACCAAAATCCTTGCCATTTAAGTGACTTTGATAGTGATATGCCCTAAAGTCTAGTAACACTAATCCTTTTCTTAGGTCCCAATAAAAATAATCTCTACTTGAATGCCAACTATTGATCTTGGATTGTAGGGTTGAGATTTTGTTTAGGATTTGAGTGTTGAATTGTCACAAGTTCAATGTACCTAGGGAGGGGGGCCTTAAAAAGGAGGAATTGAAATTGGGTTAGATGTTGAAATGGAGGGGCAAAGATGTTTTGGGGAGTTTTGAAGGGTCGTTTTCATTGAGAGCTGCCTAACTTGAAGGCCAAAACTAAGAATAAGAAATATGAATGATTGTGTGCTTTGCACACTTATTCATTTTCTTGTCTTGCAAATTCAACACTATTTCATGTATGAAGGAAAATTTCATGACACATAGTGAAAGGTATTTTCGAATTAAGTTGCGCATTATTGAAATTAATTTCTTTAGAAGAATTAGTGTAATGTATTTTGGAATATTATTTTTAATGGTCTTCGGTAAAATTCAATCTTATATATATACACACTATGTGTAGATAAGTGTTTTCCAAAAAATATGAACTTCAAGGCCACGATGGACATCCTGAAATAAAAAGAGTGGATAGGCAAAGCCCAATTCGTACTATTGATTAGGTGATAGACATTTAGCTGGGCCGCCCTAATGGTCTCTCTCATTTCATTTCATCTGCACCGTTTTAGTCGAATGACCATCCTTTTTGGAAAACGACGTTAGTCAGGTGGATGACTGACTCGTCGTTTCAAATATATATATATGTATAACTTTTCTTTTCAAATTGTAAATCAAACGACAGTGAAGCTTCTTGTGCCACAAGATTTTTGGTTTAAACTGTAAGGGTTAAATTATATATTCGGCAAGAAAAATGCTTATGAATTTTCTATTACATGTGAATGATAGATGAACATCTAATGCATAAAACGACAGTGAAGTTTCTACTATTTTGTGACATTCGTGTGAGTTTAATTGTAAATAGAAATAAAAAATTCATATTGCTTACTTTAACTAATTTGACATTAAAGATTAGCCATTGTTGTTATTATATGTACTTGTTGATAATATATATTTTCTTTTATCAGTACACATTATTTATTTGAGACTACGTTTGTTATATGAGATGAAATTGAAATTGAAGTAGAAATTTCTATTTACATGTAAGTGCAATAGAAATTCTAATTCCATTACTTTGTTTGGTTATGAATATAGGAAAAGAATGAAACATGAATTAAGTTAATGAAATCCCATTTCATGTAATATGTTAGTGTTAGTTAATTTCTATGTGGAATGTGTAAAAAAAAGATTTGGTTTATATTGTCAGAAGATAATGTTACTACTGAACAAATCAAAAATTAACTCGAATGGAGGTAATTGAGTAGCAAAAAACACTTACCGGATTGATCACCATAATTTAGGTCATGGATTCCGGTTTGTAGACTGTTAAAACAGCTCGTGCAAGTATTAAAAAAAAAAAAAATCAAAAATTAATTAAGTCAATTCCCTTTTTACATTGGCTGGAGAACATCCAAATCTGAATTAACGGAGTAATAAACGTTTGTTCCACTAAATATTGGAGTGATCTACAAGAATGTTAACATTTGTGAAGAATTGAGTTCTAACCAAATCAGATCCAAATTTATGATTATAATAATTTCTAGAATAAAAGTAATTAATTAACAATGTCTAATAACTTGAAAATTACAATCATTTAACTATTTTAATAATTAATATGAATTAGCCTAATTATATCTTTTACAGAATCAGTGATATATCGTAAAGGGGCACCTGATGATAATTAATTAAACACAATTACAAAACCACAATAATAACATAATTAATATTCTTGAACAAAAACTCAAAAGATTAAGATTAAGGTTTCCTTAATTAAAACGGAAAATAATTAATAGAATAATTAACATAAAGAGACCTTCGTGAATAATTAATACTTACAAAAATAAGCACTTTCGTTTTCTTCTAATTGCCTGGCTTCAGCCTGTCTGCCATACTTATATATATATATATATATACACCTTGAGCATATATAGGCTAAAAGTGGAGAGCTGGCACATAGATGGAGACACATCGCCACCGTGAGTTCTGCCAAACTTGGAGGTGATGCCGCCACCAAATTTGGCAGAGAGGTAGAGAAAGAAATACCTCAAGAACCATGATGAAAAGTGAAGTTTTTGAAGTGTCTTTGTATGTATATGTATGTGTGTACCCCATTTCAACTGCTGTTTCTATTACCCTTTCCTCGCTCCTTGAGGACGTGGAGTGAGGAAAGGATAAGTTTTTAGCTCTAAGGTTAAAAGTTCAAAACTTTTTTTGGTTAGAAAAAAGAGAGCCTAACCTTTATACATGTAGTATCTTGGGTATATTAGAATGACTTTACTGAAATATTATTTTAGCTCGAGAATAGATTTTTTTTTTATTCGTATAAATAGAAATACCATACGGTGAAACGAGAAGTTCGTTAAAAGAAAAAGATAAGATATTTTTATAGTGAAAAAAAAAATTAAAATAATAAATAGACCTATATTTTTGTAATTGAAGGAGTAATTGTTGTTGATAATAGGTTTGGTTGTGTTTAATAAGAAAAGCACTTGGATAGATAATGGTGAATTAATGTGAGAGAAGTCAATGTATCCCACAAGGTAAAGACAGAAAATGGTCCACCAATGCATAAGCCTCGATTCTGTGTGGATCCTTGTCGTTCTTAAGTTCAATATATGGTTTCAATCTTTCTTGAAAATTGTGTTACTGAAACGATTATGACTAAGTGGGATTTTACCAGATTTAGAAATGGATGCATATAACTCAGAATTTCAAAATTCTGTAAATTTAGGAATTTGAAACGTTGAAAAAGTTTTATTTGAATGTCCTTTTTAGTCTGAATGTGTAAAATAAATGTAAAAATCAATAAAAAAAAAAAAATTCCTAAGCTCTTCCAATGCTGTTATTATTTTTCTTGCGTTTCAAGTTTCAACCTGCTCTAGTATACTAAGATGACTTTATCAAACATGCAAGGTTAAAGATGATAGTTGCAATTTAGTTGATATTATGAGGGGCTTTTTCGAATTCAAAGTTTGAGAATAGTGCAAGTGGATATGGCATTGGCAGGAATGTCGTTGTGAGAAATTTCAACATGTAATTAATTTTCCTTTGGACTAAGGAAGGGAAAAGGGTGTTGAAAAAGGCAGACGGCAACATATAGATATAGGCACCTCCACTCACTGAGTATATTCTAATGCTCAGTGTTGGACCTTTGGTCAATACACAATCAATGTGTTAGTACTCTTAGGACCTCATCTTCCAGATACCATGTAACCAATACCTAATTCATATATATACATAAACGATAAATAGGCACAATCCACATCAACTGAGTTATGAGATCTAATGCCAGTGTTGGAACTTTGGTCAATACTACAATCAATGTGTTAGTACTCTAGGACCCAATCCTTCCAGATACCAGTAACAATACTAATCATCATATATATAGTATATCAATATATAAGTACATAACGAATCTACCAGCGTTCCATGTCCAATATATATAGATATTCTACAGCGTCCATTTTCATTTACTTGAGTGGAGTGAAAAATATAAATTATGTAGGTGGTTACTAAATATTTTTTCAAATGGAAATCATTTCAGGGTTGCCTTCTTGTTTCTTGTTTGATATTTATGTGGCAAAACCTGTCACTGTCAATGAGCAAGTCTCATCAAAACTACCATTTTATGTTTGACATTTTAGGACCTGTAATGATAAATTTCACTTGAGTTAAAGAAAAATGCCAAGTTCATTTTCTTCCACATGTTAACAGTATATTTGATTTCTGCAAGAAATTAGAATCTTCCAATTTGACTCTAGTAATACACCCACGTGACACAGATATCCTTCACAACGACGCACTTGTTTCCAGTTCAATTTGCATTCATTGCTGCATTTTGTATGTACACAAACCAAAATCATCTCATTTAATTTTTTTTGGCCCAATCATAAGATCTCCACTGCAAGCTTACCCATACAATATAATTAAATTGCATGAAACACTGATAAGCAGATATTACCCAACAGAACTATAATTCAAAAACAGCATGTGGATAATTTGCTGATTATTTATTACAACCAAAAGGAATTGGCAACCATCTGCAGGAACAAATGACTTAAATTGCAGGCCAAAGCCGAAAAATATTGGCTGCTTTTAGGTCCTGCCATGTTCAACTAGGTATGATTTAAAAATATTCACAGGAACTTTCTTCCCAATCAAAGTCTGAAGAAGAATTATCAAAAAATAAACATGAGGACAAAATGATTAGAGAAAAAATGGTATGGGAGAGGCTGCAATGAAATGGAAAAATAATGAACCCAGGCATTTGCTATGCTTGTTAGGATGTCTCAGTCTCATCTTTAAGATACCGTGAATGTGAGGCAGCAAGGAGAGCCGCTCCAATGCCAGATCCATCGTTGGAATGTACAATCTCGATGTTTTTGGACACTTCTTCACCAAGTAATTCATTAAGAGTATTCTCCATGCACTTGCTGTATTCACTATAATGCTCATACAATCCACCATCCAAGGCTATCACCGTCTTCTGTTTATCCCCCTCTTTGACCGTATCCTTCCCCATTTTCTTCAGGATACTCAAGATTCCAGCTGCTGCAAGTTGTGCTCCACGGGAAGCAACAATGTTGCAAAGCTCAATAACAACTTTTCTTGTTTTCAGGGATGTGTTAGATATCTGAAATGGAGCAGACAACAACAAAACAATTGCACATAAAGATCCTGCAGCAGTTTGGCAAATAACTGATACAAGTTCTTAATATCCAAAAGAATTCTCATAGGGGAACTTTTTGTGATTTTTCCATTTAATTTTTTTGTATGCATATGTAGGTGTATGCATGTTTGCATATTTATTGAGAAACCTAGGTAGAATGCGAGTATAAATAAGAAATGTCTTGAAGCATATGGAAATTCCTAAAACAGACAATTTGAACACGTCTGATCAGCTATAAAATGCAACAAAAGCTTTAGTCAAAGATAAGCATCAAAGAAAATTGGAGAGACGAGTATGAAAAGCAATACACATTTGGAACTAATTGAAACACCAAGAGCAGGTTGCAGGATAAAATAAATACCTCTAAAATATCCTTCAATTTATTCCCCACCACTTTGAGATCAGAGGATGTATCATGATGCATTGCTGACATATCAGGTGTTCTGCATATTCAGAATTCACAGCACAAGTAAATCTAAAAATCTTTGTCATTACACGATATGCATGTAACAAATATAGTGAAAATAAAGTGTCTTATATCATTCGATATTTAGAATACAAAAGAATAATTATAATGAATTTACAAATGATGGCCAGTGAATTTACGACTCGAGGAAAGACATTCAAGGAAGTTGCCGCGGCTAAAATGACTTCCACCACTCAAATTATAAACATTAACTAGCAACATACAGCTACAAGCTATAGCTGAAAATGAAGATTCAACCAGCCAAAACAAACAATAGTAACTTTTTCTCGATAATGGCAAAGCCTAGATAAGCCCCAGAAACTGTGTTAGAAAAATGAGCATGTACATGTCTATCTTAGTGATTACTTAATTTCAGTAACATTTATGTAAGTTTTTGGTAGATTTGGAAAGATATGGACCATATAGAGGAAGAGTTTAAGAAAATAAATAAATAAAAAATAAAACCAGTGAGAACTTTCAAGAATTAAAATAATTTGCAGATTCAAAAACAAATAAGAGTGAAAAAGGCCTTACGGAAAGAGAAATGTCATGACACCAGTCTCTGAACTATGTTTCCCCCATCAAACCCAAAGAAAAGAAAAAAAAAAAAAAAAAAAAAAAACAGTCTCTGAACTATGTTTCCCCATCAACCCAAAGAAAAGAAAAAAAAAAAAAAAAAAAAAGAAAAGCACCCTTTCACTAACCGAAACAAATTGCTCATCGTTTTTGGCAATCACTTTCTAGGGTTCAGCAGCTTTCTTTACAATTCCTGTCGGGAAAACAGGGCACGACATTCATCTCAATTTCAATATATGCTGAAGGGCACATCAATGATTATAAATCTTCATTTTTTTAAAAAATTATTTAACACAGTAGCAAAAAAGTTTCAAACCAAAGCGATTATTTTTAGCATTGGAATTGAAGCATAATCATATCAATATGTGTGTTAAAAGACAAGCTAACATCACTTTTTCCATGCAAATGATAATTGCATTATGAATGCTTTGTGTTAACAATAACATAAGCTCAAAAGATCAAATATTGATTGAATATGGCTGGTGGGAAAATTTATTACCCATATTCTTTGACAGGACATTAAGTTACACAAGATGCACACCAACACACTTCACAATCATTTACAGGCTTCTTCAAATTGCAACGGCGGTTGAGCACAAAATTCCATTAAAGTCTTGATATTCAGACTTAATTACTACTTTCAAGAGTTTTAAACCTTTTCTAAATTTCTCATGGAATGTTCACATGTGGAAGATTAAATGTTATAGACCATTAATCCAGTTGTTCTGTTGCATCACAACACGTTCAATATATACTAAATGTGAGCTAGCTTTTATTTTACCCCAAGATTACCAGTTCATGTCATCCTCAAAGATTTTTGGAATCTCAAACATAGAATTTATGCCCTTATGTTAAAGTAACCTCAAAAATGAGACGGGGAACCCTAAGTTAGGTTTTGTCGGAACTACAGCTCCACTCACCAAAACATGAAGCGACATTCCTCTCAGCCATCCTAAGTAGAATCTTCTTACAATTTTCTCCCAAGTAATACCAGAAAATTATCTTTTCAAAAAAAAAAAAAAAAAAAAAAAAGAAAGAGCACCCTTTCACTAACCAGAAACCAATTGCTCATCAGTTTTTGCAATCACTTTCTAGGTCAGCAGCTCTTACATCACTGGGGAAAAACAGGACACCACATTCTCTCAATTCATATATGCTGAAGGGCACATCAATGAAAATTTCTGTTTTTAAAAAATTATTTAACAACAGTAGCCAAAAAAGTTTCTATTAGCATGGAATTGAAGAATATCAATCATATGTGTGAAAAAAGACAAGTAAATATTTTCCAATGCAATGTAGATTGCATATGAATGCTTTGTCTAACAATAAACATAAAGCCAAAAAACAATATTGATTTGAAAATATGCATTAAACCCAACTTGACAGAATTAGTCACAAGATGCCACAACCAACAAACTCAAATATTTGACAGGCTCCAAATTGCAACGGTTGAAGCACAAAATTCCATCTAAAGTCCTGATATTCAGATTAATTACTACTTTCAAGTTAAACATTTTCTAACATTCTCATGGAATGTTCACATGTAGGAGATAAATTTTGACATAAATCAGTTGTCTGTTGCATACAAACCTTATATATTATGTAGCTAGCTTTTATTTTACCCAGCATAAAAGTTCATGTCTCTCAAGATTTTGGAATCTCAACATAAAATGCCCATTGTAGTTACCTCAAAATGAAGGGAACCCTAAGTTTTGGTGGAACAGCATCACCAAAAAATGAAGCTTCTTCAGCCATCCTAAGTAGAACTCTTCTTACAATTTCTCCCAAGTACATACCAGAAATTATCTTTTCAAAGATCTGTGAGAATCATCTAGTGCTAGTTAGAAGCATGGTTATTGTAAGAACTCAGTATGAAAATCATAAGTTACCTGTTCTCCAGGATTTAAACTTTCAGCATCCAGTGCAAGGTCATACTTAGTCAGTGGAAGATGCGATGACCTAAAGTTACCCCACTCCATGTTGATAACCTAAATTCCAACATGGGCAGGAGCTTTAATAATTTATTGCCAGAGCCTGAAATAAACAAACAAAAGAGATGCTAATTTGATTACCATCTCGCCAGATTCAGGAAGAGCACCGTGCCATTTTGGTATTGCTTGTGCACGTTCCACATAAGCAGCATTTGTCCCAGTACCTAAGATTACAGCAGCAACCACATCCTTGTTGAAGTATTTGCCTCCAGCTAGGGTTCCAACTGTATCATTGACCTGGTACCAATATTATATAAATCTAAATTGGAAAAACAAATTGATGCTTGCAACAATAATAAGGTAGAGGAGAATCATACCAAATTGACATATAAAAGCAAGACAAAAATACAGGACTGGGAAAAGAATGACACACCGACAAAGAAACCTTTTTAGTTTCATAAGAAAACCAAAAATTTTCAAGTTACCAGAGCTGACACGTGCATATGAACACCCTTTCTTTCCATGGCTTTTGTCAATGCCACCACCACATCTTGGCCAACCTATTTTCCAAAAATCAAGATGAGTCATTTCTTCACTCCCATAATTAGTAAATATCCTAAAGGAAAGTGTTTGTTTTGCTTCCAAGCGGATGATAAAATAGTATCCAATTTATCAAAGAAATGGTATTTCACTTCATACAAAACCAAGAACAAATTTGATAATAGAAAATGTAGAATAGAGCTCGAGAAATTTGGACTGACTGCGTCATCTATAGAGAAGCCTTTCGTCCACCTAACCAGGTTCCCAGAAGCAATTGATGTTTGTGTAACAGGAAATGAAAAGGTGAAACCCAATTCCCTCTTTTTACCCGGAGGGAGTTGAAACTTTTCATCTTCTTGAGCAACAAATTTTGCTAGTTCTGCTGCAATATAGTCAAACAGAGCCTGAAACCAAAATTGTATTTGAGAGTTGAGAAACTTTATGCAAAAGGTAGTTTCATAAAGTATTAAAGATGGTTTGAAAATTAAACACTTACATCTGAAGTTCCAGTCATCAAATTTGGAGGAATAGGCACCTCTGCAAATTCTTGATTGACTAGACGGCCATCCTTACCCCCCAGATGCACTCGCAATACACGAAAGTTTGTTCCACCAAGATCCAGTGCATAAAACAATCCATTCTCATCACTGCACTAAGAAAAACAGAAAGGATTCACTCAATTAAAATCTTTTCTGGACTACCTAAACAAACAACATCAATGAATATATTCACTCACACTTGCCCTGCTGTTCTTTCATCAGCAGGAATTTAATGTCAATTCACATTAGCCATTTACATATTATAGTATCTCCTCTCATTTGCTTGCATATGTAGCAAAAGACACTTCGACAACAAATTTAGGAAATTGAATCCAGCAAGTTACTTGGAAGATAAACTGAAGATTTAGTTGCACAATCACAGACAGCTTATAAAATGCTTGTCCAAGACCGACACTACAAAATCTAATGATCAACCGTATATGATATTGGTAAGAGCAGTAGTCATTTGGACAATCATTTGATACGCCATAAATAATCTGAGCAAGGATCCAATAGAACAGGAAATGAAACAACAGGGTGCAGAAGGACCAAAATACATTCATAAAATCTAAGATTGAGCAACAAGTATGTGAGCCGAATGTGAGACACTTTTACATGAATAACATTCGATAGTTTATTTTCACATGTAGTACAAGTCGTGGAGTTAAATTAAACATTATCGCAGGTATTCAATTCAAATTGGATCTCATATGCAGTCTCTAACTATGGACACAAATAACAAAACACATTTATAATTGGATCCTGGCAAATGAAATATAAATAATCACCAAGAAATTCACGAGTATGCTCTGGAAGAAATATGAATTATTCTAGTTAAATAACATTGTTTAAAGGGAATTTCTATTCATATGGACCTAAAAAAGAAGCACCCACTTACAATTTGAGTCGAAAAGGATCTAAAATACAAATATATAAAGACATCCATTTGAGCCATATGTAAAAAAACATAAATAAATACGTGAAATTGGGTCACGATGATCTCAATAACACATACATATATTGATACAAACATATTATACTTGCATAAACATACATACATACATACATATATATATATATACATGAATCAATAGGCGCACACTATGTATATCGACAAGAAAGAATCGAAATACCCAGTAGGCAAATTGTCGACATAGCTGATAAGCATCTTGAGCTTGCTTCCACCTTCGGAGGCAAGGCCAGCATGCATCTCCACAACCATGGCATCACCAACCTGCTTCAACTTCGCAATAGGGGTCGCGCATTGCTCCTTCAATTCCTTCACTATCTCCATTGCTTTGGCCAACTTGCCATCCCTCCTCATTTTTCGCCTCATCACCACCGCCGCGGTAACAGCCCCAGCCACAGCGGCCGCACAGACCACAGCCACTACCACCTTCTTCTCCATTGACACTAAAAAGAAATGAAACCAAGAACCCAATCCCCAAAGATCTTTGTAAAAAGAAGCACCTTTGTTACACTCAAGATTTGTATATCAAAGATTTGGAAGATGGGAAAGAAACGAGAGACACTTGATCACAAGAGAGATTGTTTTGGGGACTCGATTATTATTATTATTATTATTATTATTATTATTATTATTATAAGAATAAGAAAGATTTGTTGAAAATGAATCCTTGAATTTGTGTTTTGATATTTAGAGCTTTCTTTTAGGCGAGCGATCCAAATTTATGGTTCTTTGGTTTATTTTGTTTGGTTTGTTACAGAGCGAGTGAGGTTCACTTAGCCACTATCAAGATTTGATGACACGTGCTTAATGTTTTCTGACTTCCGAAAATGGATATTATCTATGCTTTTACCATCAAAAACATTTTGATTTGTACTCCCATAGTCGATTTTATCTTCACATGGCTTGACCTTAAATTTTTTATGATTATTTTTATATTTCTGAATTCAAGAATAATTATATCTTTGCCGCAATGAAATGCGAAACTGCAGAATAATAATTCGTAATGCGTTTTCTTATGTGAAAAGACACTTGCTTTTTTTACTTTTTTTTTTTCAAAGAAAAGACATTTGCTTAGATTCGATGTCTAAAGCCAAAACAAAATTTTTATTATTATTATTATTATTTTTGTGCACCTAACAAACAATTAACATGTATAATTCCGTTAGGTTGCAGATGTCAGGTTGGCGTAGATCAGATGGAATGAGACAGAGAGAGAAGGTGGCACCACCTATTCATCGAGTGTGACTCAGGAACGAACGACACACACAGAGCATGGCATGTCACTTTCATGGCTTGCAATTAGGCACATGAAAGCGTTGCGTTTAACATGGGGTGCCCAACTAAATTACCATGTGTAGTGTAGTGTAGGTCCATTCTTGTTTCTACATGAGAATCTAGTTCTACAGCTTTTGTCCTCTCCATCGAAAACGAAAGCCAATTCATTATCTGGCCCAACCAGAGTAGATTTTTCTTTTGTTCCAGACTCCAATTTGCCATCACCTAAACAAAAACTCCAATTTAGAAGCACTTTCCACTCAACTAATCTCTACCCGAGTATAAGAGCAGGCATGACTTGTTTAATTTTTTTGCCTTCTTTTAATCGGTTAGAGTTAGAGGGACTGCTGTTCTCGTCAACCGGAACAGTGATCAATTATCACCTACTCTTTACATTTGCATCTCAAAAAACATATGTAGGCAAAATAAGATGCTTGATTGCAAATTGCCATTTACTAGAAGCCAAAAACCATCTCAAGCTCGGCTTGAAAATAATACTCAAAATATAAAACACTAGAGAGTACAGCAAACGCACCAGCATGAGACGTCTCTGTGTATGCAAGTGTCACGGGAAGAGAGAGAGAGAGAGAGAGAGAGAGTATTAGCTTTAAAACTTTTCTAATATTACATGGTAGGCAAAGGTACAAAAAGATAGCTGAGACAAGGCACACTCAAAACAATCTTTGGCCATCATCTCAAGCCCCTCCATAACTTAGAGCACAATAATCCACTTTGCCTAAGCATCCTAACCCCCCTTCCCAAACCCTAGAACATAACATGCAGAGAGGAATTGAAAGAAAGAAAAAGTACATGCCATCGCCAATCACCCCATCACATCTGAGCTAAAGACTTGCTAACTCACTGCTTGTCCAAGAAGAGGAATACTTTGCTGATGCAAACATTGCACATAATATACATGACCAGGCTAAATCAAGCAGAGCTCTTTTTGTTGTGCTCCAGTTGATCTCTATTTTGCTAGATATACTAACAAGCATTCCTGAAAAAATACGCAAGATATGCAAGCCAGCAACTAACAAAACACTTGCCCCAAACTGCTGGCTTTCTGTCTTATAGGCCACATCATGAACAGAAAGAACTTTCTTTTCATACAAAATCTGACATCTCACGCTGTTGATGTTAAACCTAACCTGCTGCTACTAAAATAACCAGAAAACAACCAAAAGAGCAGTATAAAGAAAAAACATTGTAAAAAAATTTTTGAAACAAAACACCGCTTAAAAATGCAGAACGTGAAAATTCCAGGACACGTGCCTTAACACCGAAGTCTGCACGGCTTCTGAATCAACTCGTCCCACAGGTTGTAGTAACATTCCAACCACGGAGTTTGGCTTCACATAGAAACAAACAAGAAACCACAAAGTAAATATTCAATACTACTCAGAGCCTCATAATTAATCATAATGCAAATACAAAAGATATTTCTTAAGGAATCAGAAATATAATAATATGAAAGAAAACGACATATAAAATAGAAAAAGCAAAGTAGAAGCCTAGGAGCTTATATAAAAAACCTCCAACTCGGACGGCAATCCATCTCGAAATACTCCACTGCCGTCTGCACAAGTGTTGTCCAAAAGACACTCGGAATCAGCATCTCCAGAGTCACTTTGAGAAGATCCTGGGTTATTACTTCCTTCAACACTCCCATCACCGTTTCCATAGTTCCCCTCGCTGCTGCCCGCCATTGATTCATTTCCAATATCTTCACATGGACTAACTTCACTTGAAAGTGAGGTGATGACACTGGAATTTGATGAATTTGAAGTGCATCCCGCCTCAGCTTCACCGGGGCATCGTTCTATCCTTTCAGCAAATGACAAGCACTCTGGAGGTGTGCCACCAAACTTGTGACTGAAGATGTCGGGAGAAACTGAATCCCGCCTCTGAGGACTAATAGAATGCCGCTTATCTGTTGTGCAATCTTTCACATCCTCATTGGGACATTTTTTCCTCTTAAGGCATCTCACACCAGACCCAGTCTGCGAAGCACCACCATCTTCACAGCATGATTTGTCAGACTGTTGTTGCAAAGTAACCCTAAGATGTCGAGGACGTTTATAACCATCCGGGAAAACATAAGAAGGGATCTGCTTCCTACGAACATGAGAAACATAGATTTCCATTCCTGGTTTCCAGAACATATACATGTTTATGGAATGCCTAAATTCATCAACCGTTCCTCGGATATCAAATTGCTGGCCTTCCTGAATTATTTCCCCCTGTTTCCTTTGCAAGCCCATAAAAAACGCACAATGAGCACATGGTTTGGAGGTATCAACATACTCATGAGGGTAGGGATGACACTGCAATTTCCCATATGTGTCCCTCTCAATCTGTAATTAACACAACATGAAATGGAAATGAATTAGAAAATTATGTTAATTAATGGGCATCACTTTTTAAAATATATTGCAAAGCACATACAGTATCAGGTCCAGAACATTCTGGTTTTATTGACAGAAATGTCTAGATGCAATAAATATTACCATAAGGGTCAACTGCCTTAACCGGGATTCCACCCAGCCTTTCCAAGAACGCAAGTCATCAACATCAGCTGCAACTATGTCGACCTGCAGATAGTTTTTGTAGCTTTCAAAGAACAAGTATGGCTCAAACAGAGTACTCCATTGCGCTTTATTCAGCTCTATCTCCTGAATCAAAGAGTACAAAATGGATCAGTATCCAACCATAAAATACCCAGTACAAGACTCCACCTTCTTACCTCACTGATTTTGTTACCATACTGGAACTGCTCCATCATGACCCGTAGAGTACTTGTTGAGACATTGTAGCTAGAGTTCATGCATGGATAGGCAGGAGTTATGATCGGCATGTGATGAGTTCTGTCACGGGGATTTTTACGGGGATCCCAAACAGAAAATCCAAGTTCATCCTCTTCAATGGGACACAGCATAACAGGGTTTGGCCAACGCCACTGTGTGTAAACCCTGAAAAATCTAGAAACAAGCATACTAGGAACAGCATTAGGATAAAGTTGGCACACTCGAGCAACAAGGAGAGCCCAGTTTACACCACCAAGAAATCCAGTAACCTGAAAAGTAAAACACAAGGAAACAAATAGCGAATCAGGACGACAAATTATTATAAGGGAAATGGGAGAAAAAGAAAAAAAAATAGAGAGAAATCAAATAAGAGCAATGGAGAGGAATCACCAACATTGGAATAAACACCACGTCTTTTAGCCCAAAACTTCAAACAACGGAGTGTTGTGCGAAAATGCTACAATTTCAAAACAAATTTAGAATGAGGAAATATATCTAGTGGACCAATAATAAACTGCCATCTAGAAATGTATTAGGAAGAACTAGTAAAGCAATCAAACATCATCCAACAAAGCACTCTACCTCAACATTGGGGACAAGCTTAAGAATTTGATCAGCAACCCTGCAGCCGTTAAGACTTCGGACAGTTGGCTCATCAACATCATATAGAATAGAAACATCAGAGATGTCCAAGTCCTGTCCATAAGTTAGAATTAGAAGTTAGCAGAATCTTGGACACAAAAACAATCAGGAAGTAAAAGAAAAGTAAAACGTTAACAAAAATAGTCCATAAACTACATAAAAGAAGTGGAAAGAAAACTCAATTGCTGACATTCAGACAATTGCCTAAAACATTACTCAAATGAATCAGAGTATTTATGAACATCAGTATGCAAACTCTGTAATAGGGTGGTTTTGGTAATTAAAGATCACAAATGAAACAACATCCAAAAACCATGCAACCTATCATACATTGACTATTACAAGAAATTTGAAAGATACAAAACTCATATTCACTGATTTCAATAAAAGCTTGGAGAGCATCATGATATCGCATGTTCAAAGAAAGTGATCAAGACTTGCCTCTGGCACCACCAAAAGTGAGATGCTTGCATACAGAAGATCAATTGATATTCCATCAAACTTGAATTTCATCACAGGGACATGAGCATCCGGAACTGGTTGTAGCTCTGTAACTTCTTCCATTTCAGCCAAAATGTTGTGCAATACAAAGAAGAAGTCTTCCTGATAAAGCACCAATAATTAAAAACATAATTGGTATAATTGGAGATATGAAAATCAATTAGAGAATTTAGCTTGAACTTAGCATTTACCTCCCTATTGACATAAGACGGCCCAACACATATTGTATCGATGTCAGCTCCAGGACCATGTACCTGCCAACTTTTAAACTTGAGCAGATCTCATAGATAACACAAATCATTTCACAATAAAAGCAGTGCAAACAAGTCAAAAACAAAAAAATAATCAAACATTCATCCACAACATAAGGAGAAAGCTCTTAGTATATAAGAAACGGTAAGTTGAAAACATACCCCAAGCCTATAAGAACCAAAAGTAAAAATAAGAGCATTAGCATCCTCCACCATTTGATCAGTGTACCCCCTCAAGCGAGTAAGTTGCTTCACCCAATCTTTTACAATCTGACAAAGATGCACAGAAGCTAAGAAAACTTTGGAAGGTAGTATAAATATATAAAAAAAAGTAAATAACTAAATAAAAACTAGACAAATATAAGGAAGTTTGACTGGCTGAGGTTGCCTGGTCATTAGCATGCTAAGTAGCTTCAAGTTAACAAAACCAAGAAAAACAAGAAAGAAGGAACTTTGAGTCATCGAGTCACTAAACTATTGTTAACATCAACAATAAAAAATTTGAAATTACATGGGCAATAATGAAGCAATATCAACTCTCCACATTTCACCAAGCATCAATTTTTAATATCACACGGTCAAGTAACTTTCAATTGTTTAACTTCCAATTCTCTGATCTTGAATAGATTACCGATAAAACCAAGAATATTTCTAGAAGGACATTACTCAAGATTCTGCCTAATCTTAGAGCAAATTGACATAAAATAAGCTCCTCAGAATTTATAAACACCATATTTCAAGTTACGAAATCTCATCGTCATTGAGTCATGACAGCGAACTGCAAAGTCAATCTACACAAACCCCCAGAGTCTACTTAAACACTTTACTGTTAGAACTCCTTGATCATAGTCCTTGTCAAGTATCAAGGACCACAATACTTTTTCAATGTTGAACAAAACCAGAAAACCAAGACCTTATGACAATTTGGATTTCGCAAAACATTAATAAGAAAATTGTGGCTTTGACACATTTTACACACCTTGAGCTTGTAATTAGAACTGTATAGCTACAGATTATGATGGACAAGAAAACACCAAATTGAATTCAACCTTAAACAAGATTTCGTCCGTGATATTCATTCAAAAAAAAAAAATCTATATATTTTTAACCCCATTTCAAGTCCTACCATCTAAAGTCTCGATGCAAAAGCTACAGCAGTAGAAAACCACTACCAAAAGGTTAAGATATTTAGTCAAAACTTCTTGTCAATAAAAACTATCAGTGTACCAGGAAAACAAAATACATAATCAAATAACAAGGAACAGCCCTTTATTTACCTGTCCAATCCGAGAAAGAACTTCCCCTCTCTTGGTGGCCTCCTCTTTGCTCTCATAAAGCCCAGCATCACTTAATAACTTCCATAACACAAGGCAACAAAGGATAAATCAGAACTTCAAAAATAAAATACCTTTCTCAGTAAGGTAAAGTGAGGCAAACAAAGAAAATATATACCTTCTCCAATTCGCGGGTTCTCTGCAAATCAGCCTCGGTGGGACCCGCCATTGATAAAGGTTTCGTAACGCCGAATTGCTTCGGCGGCCGGGCTGCACTTGAATCCTCCGAACTCACCATCTCGGCACCCAAAAGTCCAAAAAACCTAAACAAACCCTAAACCCAAACGAACCGAAAGAAAGAGGCGAGCAAAGAATTGTATCAAAATTTAATAATTGTAGAATTCAACGAACAGTAGAACCCCCAAATTTCCATTCTATGCAATAAAAGAAGCCGCAATTCCCGAGAAAACTAAAGGTAAAATCAACGAAATCAAAAATCAAGAACCCTAACAAACACAATAAACAGAAAAGGAAAAATCTAGAATGGAGAGAGAGAGAGAGAGACCTGGACAAGGGCTCGATTGGTTGGCGAGGTCGGAGAGGATTTTCTAGAGAGAGAAAAAAAGTCGAGAAAGAGAGAGGATATGATTTTTCCGCGGATATTTTAATCGGAGACAGGCGTATCCGTATCGGCCCTTTTTGGAGCTGTGTTTTGATGATTTTTATATTATTATATTATTATTTTTTACTGTTAAAATCCAAATCAAAAAGGGAAAAGAAAAAAAAAAGTCGGTTTTCAGTTGTATTGGTGGATTTTTGAGATGTTTTGTGGATTAATACCACTACTAAGTTTATGTGGTAAATTAAATTCACGGAGAGAACAAATCACACCCTCTTAAATGTTTAGTGCACTCTATTCTCAAGGCAAACTAGAGGTCTCTAATTAAAAATATATATATTTCTAATTAAAAAAAATATATCTCAGTTATTTTATATAGGAAAATATATATATATATATATATATATGAAAAAATTAATTAGATTGATTTGATTTAATTTTAAATTCGATTATTTCAAATCGAATAAATTATTTTGAACTTAAAACTAAATTGATTAGTTATATATGCTAATCAAATCAAATAGTTTTATATACTCGAATTGATTGGTAACTAAATTTCTGAAAAATTATTCAAATTTGCTCAAAATGAATCAATTTTATTCCATTACAGGTTAAAAATCCAGAATTGCTCGACCTTAATTCCATCAGACCGTCGTGAACTCTTTTTTTATATAACGTGGCTTGTAAGGAGCATAACAGAAATATGTTGAATTACCGTGTGAATGACACGTGGCTGTTTGGGGTTTAAGTTTAATTTTTGTGTTTAAACCACCTTGGGCACACGTGTCACGCCCATCACCACCCATAATAATGTTAACAAAAAAATATATCAATTATTAGCCACTAATATATTTTTTTTCACAATAAAAAATAGTGGTTGGCAACATGAATAGCCTTTTATCATTATTTTTACCCCAATTTAAATTTGAAATGCTATAATTTAGTGTTCTTATTAGTTTCAAAAGTTCAATATATTCGTGGAAAAATTGGTAACTAAACCTCACTTTCTACGGCCTTTGAGCCCATTTTGGTGGTGACCGGAAACTACTGGGCCCAAGAGAAAAAAAAATACATAATCATTTTCAATATTATTTTCTACGAGTCAATTATAAATTTGGTTAAAATTTTACGTAGAACTATTCATATACCAAATCAATAAAAATAAGATTTTTTTATTGAAATGAGGGTATTTCTGATCATATACTAAGAAAAAAATGATAAAGTCGGAACACTTTTTAATAAATTTTTACTGTTATTGATTTTGTCCATAAATGTGACTGTTGACCCAGGTTAAGAAAGTAATTTCCCTTGATCATAATGGCCACCTAATTTGGAATATTATATGTGATAATGTGTCATTTAAAATTGTTAATAACAAAAAAAGAGAGACTCATGATTATCCGTTAAATTCTAAATGTTGAATTTCAATTGATAGTTAACTTAGCTAAACCACGAAGAATTGATATTAAGAATTAATTGATAAATGATTAAAAAATAGTTTATATTGTCGATTAAGTAGTGGTGTAATTGATCTTTTCATTTACATGATAAATAAGAAGCCAGAAGTTTTTAGTTTAAGTCGTTTTGATCATAATTGTTTTACCAATTTAGTGAAACGGCTACCCCATTAATATGTTTAAGACAAAATAGAATCTATTTCATAAAAAGATATGTGATTGATTTACTTAGATCGAGTCTATAGCTCTACTGGAAACAAAAACATAAGATAGAAATAAATATTTTAAAAAATTAATATTTTCATTAGTTTGATTTATATATTTAAACTGGGTTTGACCGGATTTGATTCGAATGTGTTGATGGAAAATTAATTTTATATTAATAAAATAAAGTTTTCAAACAAAAAGAAAATGCAATTTTACATAAAATGATGCCGCTGGTAAGTTTTTGACAGTTGTACCGAAAAATGATGGTCAACAGCTAGCTCTGGTACTTTGGCATGCTCTGTTTTACCTTAGCTTGCTGGTGCTTTGGCAGAAATGTTCCGTTACGGCACTGCTTACTGCACAGTGCTTCATATTTGCAGTGTAGTAGAGTTGCGCATGTAACCGCAGGAATCCCGACCCGTTTCCAGAAATCGTTTCAAATTTAGAAACGTTTTAAATTTCTCATTCCGATATAATTTTAAGATTGCTTCATATTGCAGAGGGCGAGAGGCTAGTTGGTCTACTTGCCAAGCCAAACCTAAATTTGCATTTCTCACTGGTCGCAACAGTTCTTAAATAGCCAAAGAATAAAATTCAATTTTCAAACTGTCACTCACTCACTCTACCATTTTTTTTTTTCCATCCTTGTAGTAGTAATTGACTTGTCTGCATTGATTTTGCTCACGTAAAGGTTCAGTCTCTGAACTTTTCAAATCAATTAACATTAATTTTTTTGACTGAAATATTCATGCCACAAATTGAGCTCTTCGTTGACTTGAGAACTTCACAAATAGTGAATCTTTATTAGAAAATCAAAAAATATTGTGAAGAAAGAAAGAAAAATGTATATTTCTCTTTTCTTTTCTTTCACAGGGTGGTGTCTTCATAATCATATGTCACTTCACAGCGTAACTTCAAAATTCAAACCTGTGATCATATAAGTAAAATTTGCCCGGAGATATTAATTAATCTTTTGACTAATAAATTTATCGAATAAAAATAAGAGATAAATAGGATATTGAATACTAACATATCAAGATAAATTTTTAGAACATAAAAATACAAATAATGTAGAAATATGTTCTTCCACTATGAGTAATAAAATTATTTTTGAGCTAATTAGGTGTAATCTAATTGATTTTCTCACGTTTCAAGAAAATAAAGCGAATGAAATGTCTCGAAATATTCTCCACCGTAAAAGTTATTATCAACAATTTAATATTATTCAAACGAGATAACTATTACTTTTTGTGTAATATTGTTTATTAGATCTCCTACATATATACAAAAAATATATATATGACTATTCTTGGAAATCAATTAAGTGATCATTTTGAAGTTCATTTTTCAAATTATTATGGAATTTGGGATTAAGATAAAATTTTATACGTCTTGGCCATATTTTAAAATGGAAAACATAAATGTATATTGTTTGTGTCGCTTTTTAAATTTCCCTCACGCAAGCACAATAGAAGAAATTGAAGGCTCTGGTCCAAAAATTTCACCAACTTTCCTTCCTCTCAAGTTACTTCCATTCCATCAACATCGTCTATAAATTTCTATTACCATTTTGTTACATAAATATATATAACCAAAGAAGAAAATTCAATTTTTTAAACTGTCATTCACTCCACTCTTACCCATTTTTCATTTCTTCATCCTTTGATTAGAGTAATTTGCTTGTCTGACTCATTGATTTCGCTCACGTAAAGTTTTTCAGTGTCTGAACTCTTTTCAATCAATTAACATATATAATTTTTTGAAACTGAAATATTCATGCCCATTCAAACTTGAGCTCTTCGCTCTCGCTCTCGAGAACTTCACAAAGAGTGACGATCTTTAGTATAGAATAATCCAAATTATAGTTAGATGTTAGAAGAAGAAAGAATGTTTATATTTCTCTTTTCTTTTTCTTCATCACGTGTGGTGGTGTCTGTTCATATCAATTATTGTCACTTCACAGGGCGTTAACTTAAAAAATTTCAACCATGGTGTTTATATAAGTAAACATTTGCCGGTAGAATATTAATTTTTCTGGGGTTTGGACTATTAAATTTATCGAATATTATAAAAATAAAACGATGCTATAAATACGAGTATTGAATATACTAACATATCAGATAAATTTTTTAGGAATAAGAATAGAATAATGATAGAATAGTGTTTGCTTTCCGGACTAATGGTATAAAATTATTTTTTTGAGACTAATTAGGTGTAGTAACTCTATTTTTGTGGATTTGTGGTTTTCTGCACGTACTTTCACAAGATTATAAAAGCGAGTATTTTAATTTGTCTCGACATATTCCTTCCACACGTTATTTATTATCAACAATTTCTTTAATATGTAGTTTCAAACGGAGACTACACTCAGATTACCTTTTTGTGTCAATATTTGTTTATTAGATCTCTAATAACTATACAAAAATATATATTATATGACTATTCCTTTGGAAATCAATTATAGTGATCATTTTTGAAGTTCATTTTTTCGCATTATTAATGGAATTTTGGGATTTAACGATTAAATTTTATGTACGCTCTTGCTAATTTTTAAAAATGTAAAACATAAATGAGTATTTTGTTTGTGTCGCTTTTTTAAATTTCCCTCACGCAAAGCCGAATTAGAAGAACATCTGAAGCTCTGGTCAAAAAATTTCCCAATTTCCTCTCCTCTCAAGTTTACTTCCATTCCATCTTTTCACATCGTCTATAATTTTCTTCTTTACCAATTTTGTTTATTATGAAAAGGGTGGGGGTTCATTATTTAGTAGGTGCTAGTGATTGACTATTATCTTATTACAGTATATATTATATAGTTATATATATATTACTGTCACAGTGTCAGATTTTGAATTTTTTTTTTTTCCATTCAAAAATATATATATACTGTCAAGTGTCAAGATTTGATTTTTTTTTTTTCCATTCAAAATTTCAAATACATAATCAAAATTTAATATACAACTGTCAATATTCCATAGGTTAATCCATCTATGTCTACCATTGCTATGCATGCCAAAACTATAGCAACTGATTTTAATATCCCAAGAATCAGGAAATATTAATGGCTTTGAAGACCAAATAACAGCTCGTTTCTCTCTCCTCTTAATGACCATCATTGTCTCTTTATTTAAATTTACCAAAAAAGATTCAAAATCTGCATAGTCAAAACTCATAACCCCCATTGGCAAAAGCACTCGCTCACTTTTTGATCTGAATCACTACAAAACTGAAAGATTTTCTCTGCAGAACCCACAGCAGGGAGACTGAGCCACAAATCATATAAGAAAGATCTTCTCTTACCCAGCAGAGAAAGAGAAGTCTCAGCTTTTCTATTTGGCTTATTCTTTGGGACAAAAAGAAACTTCAAAAAGCATCCCTCTTCAGTGGCTTTCTTCCTGAATGCCTCATCCTTTAGAAAAAATAAAAATAATAAGTGGTACTTTTAGTTTTCGCTTTGAAATTAGAACTAGAGAGAGAGAAGGTAAAAGTACTCAAATGGGTTTTGAAAGTTAGAGATTCACGGGATGGTCAGGGGGCACTGGCCTAATGGGTATGTTTAGTACTGTACACGTTGCTCCAGAAAGTTAGAGAGAGAGAGTGGATTTGTGTATTGAAACATTTTCTAGTCAAGGAAAGTGAGAAAATTTTTAGTGGGGGTTACATTTCCTTTGTAGGTTTGCAAAAAATTCGGCGCCTTTTGATTTTGAACAGCCGAAGTTTAGTTGGGTAAGTTTTTATCTTTTTTTCTACTTTTTTTTATGATTTTTAAAATTCTTTAATCCTAAATTGTTGTTTTTATAGTATTTAATTTAAATTTTCTTCAGTCTAGATCTCCTTGTCTTTCTGTGACATAGTTTTGTCTTGTAATACAGTTCTTCACGAGGCTGTGTCAGATTTTCCTTTCAAAAGAACACGAAAAAAAACCTAATCTTTAACTATTTTTTAAGGTATTTGATACTGTTATCACACTGTTCTCTTCACTTCTCTACTTGCAACCTGTAAAGATTCTAAAGATTTTGCAGTGCTTTTCTTTTCTTTTTTCTTTTCTCTTTTTTTTTTTTTTCCTTTTTTTAACGTTTCCTCTATAAACCCGCATTTGGGTTCTTGTTTTCAGTTTTTGAAACATACATTTTGTTTTCTTTCTCTCTCTAAGCTAGCTATTCATTTGATGCTCTTATATTCTCTGTCCAGTGTCTACTTCTATCACTTCAAAACACAGTAACCCACCACTCACTTGAGTTCTTTGATTCAGTGCTCCACGTTCTTTTTCTTTAAAAATTGCAAAGGATCATTTTTCTTGTTCTTTGATTTTCAATGCATTTCTTGTATTTTTAATATTATTGAAGCTACAAGAGATCTAACGAGATGGGTAAAGCTACAAGGTGGATAAAAGGTTTGTTAGGGATGAAGAAAGATAAAGAGAAGGAAAAAGAGAATGGTTATGGTGGCGGTGATAGTTCAAGTTCAGTTTCAAATGACAAGAAAGAGAAAAGAAGATGGAGCTTTGGCAAACCAGGAAGGGACAGTTATGTGATTCCACAGATTCCGGAGATGAAGGATGCTGCTTGGCTCAGATCCTACCTTGGTGAGAGCGAAAGAGAGCAGAATAAGCATGCAATAGCGGTGGCAGCTGCCACTGCTGCAGCTGCCGATGCGGCGGTGGCTGCAGCCCAGGCTGCGGTGGCAGTAGTGAGATTGACTAGCCATGGCAGAGGAACTCTGTTTGGTGGAGGAAGAGAGAAATGGGCTGCAATCAAAGTTCAAACTGTCTTTAGAGGTTATCTGGTAAGAGGATTTTGAAGTATTCGCAATTTTCAATCTTTTTGTTTATTGCTTGGAGTTAAGATTTAATTTTAAAAGTTGATTTTCTGATATGGGTAATTTTAGATTTTTTGCAGTTCCTGTTCTGCTTGGTTAGATTTGTGCGTTGTTTATTGTTCTGCAATGAAATGTTTATGAATATGTCAGTTCTGTTTGCAGTATTTTACAATGAAGTAGAAATGGGTACAAATGTTTTTTCTCCCCTTGATCCTTGCTTTTATGTCTGCTCTTAAAAGCTGTAAACATAATACCAAGAGCAATGAATGAAACAGTACATTTTGCTTTTGAGATGGAGAAATATAAGCTTTTTGGCTTTAGTTACTTTTCTTAAATTTTAGTCCCATGTCTCCACTCAAAAGCTGGAAACACAGATTCAAATGCTAATATGTCAGTCCCTATATCAGTTTTTTTCTTTTCTGAACTTTTTAGTTAACAACTTGCTTTTGTTTTGTTTCCTGGAAGTGCTCTGCACATTTAAATGGTAATGAAACAGGACTTGGTCAATGAAAGGTATATATGTTTTCACCTTTATTTTTGACTTGTTTGCCAAAAACTTGAACCTTTTCCTGTTTTGTTTTGGTCCCCTCATTCCTGGTTAAAAAATTTGAATTTGAAACTTCTGCCTTTTGAGCTGAGACTATGGCTTTTAGGTTCTTCTCCATTTTAGTACATCAATTAGGCAATGATTGCTAATTCCTACTTCTAACTAGTGTTTTCTTTTTCAATTGTAAATTTGGTTAAAATTGGTTTCATATGTTTATTGTTCTGCATTTGCAATATGTTTTTGAGGGTTTAACCCTTTAAAATTTCTAATGAGTTTAATTTTGGTTTAACAATTAACAATCTCAGGCTCGAAAAGCTCTTCGAGCTTTAAAAGGATTAGTTAAGATACAGGCACTTGTTAGGGGCTATTTGGTCCGAAAGCGAGCAGCTGCAACTCTTCACAGTATGCAAGCTCTAATAAGAGCCCAAACTGCTGTTCGAACCCAGCGAGCTTGTCGTTCTGCAAACAAAGAGAATAGATTTCAACATGAAAACCGGCCACGAAAATCCATTGTAAGAACCAATTTATATGCTTTCCAATCTTTATCTATGTCGAAAAATAATTGGTCTCGCTCACTTCTGAAACTTCTTCATTTGCAGGAAAGATTTGATGATACAAGAAGTGAATACCATAGCAAGAGACTATCTGCATCCTATGAAATGAATGCATTTGATAGAAGTCCTAAAATAGTTGAAATTGACACATACAAGCCAAGATCAAGATCTCGAAGAATGACTGCTGCATTATCAGAATGTGATGAAGAATTCCCTTATCATGCAATGTCATCGCCTCTTCCGTGTCCAATTCCAGCTCGAATCTCCATACCGGATTGCAAATATCATCAAGATTTCGATTGGTACCTCACTGGTGAGGAATGCAGGTTCTCAACTGCGCAAAGTACGCCAAGGTTTTCAAACTCTGTCCGGTCTAATGCCCCGGCTACACCAGCCAAAAGTGTTTGTGGAGACAGCTATTTTAGGCCTTATTCGAACTTCCCTAATTATATGGCGAACACACAATCCTTTAAGGCAAAATTAAGGTCTTACAGTGCTCCGAAGCAACGGCCAGAGCTAGGGCCAAAGAAAAAGCTTTCCCTTAATGAAATAATGGCCGCAAGGAATAGCATAAGCAGTGTTAGAATGCAGCGGTCATGTTCTTATGTTGATGAAAGTTTAGGTCTTTGACAGATTATATTAGTGAAGAGAGCCTAACCTGCAGAAAGTGATTTGAATGTAGAAGCTGAAAGCAATATAAGTTTGGAAAAATGCATCTTTTTATGAAGTTCCTATAGTTTTATTAAGCTCACTCATTATCATTCTATTCGACAGTAATTCTTCAGTTTCTTCCACAAAACTAAAATTTCACTGAAATAGTCTCAATCATTAAAGTCCCACCAGCAAATGTTTCAGGACTTGCAAAATTTAAAATCTTGGGTTACTCTTGCATTTCCATGCTAAGAATAAGGGCAAAATATCCACCATTGATATCTTTCTAAAAAAAGAAACTGACTATATTGAGATTAAAAACAAGATTCAATGTCCTCCTTTCAACAAATCCAAGAAATTTCAGAAGTTCATCATAGTTTGTACTAATAGTATATGCGAGCAATGTACAATGATGACATTTATGGACCTAGTCTTGCTCTTCTCAACTTCTAGTGGCTGGTTAAATCATTACTAAAGCATTTAATTCTTTTTTTACCCTTCAATTTTTGGTTTTAATGAAATAGAATGATTTTAATTTTTAACGTTCAATTACATATTCTTTCAGCCATTTTGCACTCCTAACCAATTAAAAATAATAATAATTTAATTTTGAATATATGGTAAGGATCCACCCAATGTATCTCTTGAAGGAAATTCATTAGGTGGAAACTAGAAAATAACCAAGAACTGCAGGGAATACAAACGTGGTTCATGGACATAAAAGACTATGTTTATGTCTTTGATATGATTGATGGATGGGTTTTTTGGTAATTAACACTTGAAATCTGTGAGAGTTTGCATCATCATTCCTTTCATTTCCCATGCTTTACCCTCACCGCACATAGTTTTAGCTCTAAAATTTTAAAAGAAAAGAAAAAGGCATAATGATGACGGGAGGGGCAATTTTGATAATTGCGTCAAATTTTTAACATTTATTTATTTATTAAATTATTATTTTATTTGGAGCACATGCCCTACATAACATCATCCATGATAAACATTTTTCGTGGAGCGTGAGGATAAGGTCTCTTTGTGTACCATGGTCCCATCCTCAGACAATAATTTATGATCCCAACATTGCCCTCCCCTGTACTTCTAATCACAACCCTGTCCCATTTTATTGGCAATGGATGGAATGTTGTACTTTTCTTTTAAATATATTTTTCAAGTTTCTCCAATCCTTAAAATGAAAAATCTTTAAATTTTTCAAAATCTGGTATATAAATTATTAGTTTCTTTTAGTTTTTTTTTTTTTTTTTTTTTTTTTTTGAGAAGAAGCAAAAATATGTTATTTTGCAAATACAATAGGAGGATGTGGTAGTAAATTTTGTTTTTTTTTTTTTTTTTTTGAGAAGAAGCAAAAAATATGTTATTTTGCCAAATAATAGGAGGATGTGGTAGTAATTTTGATTGAAATAAAAAATTAATTATCCTAAACAAAAGTAAATGTAAGTTTTGATATGTCTAATATGCCCCTCACACGCTTCTAAGGAAAATGCCGAGAAGCATCTTCCTGGTATTTGAACAGAGAAAAAGAGACGTTGTGAATAACTAAAACAAGTGATTCCCTCACTAATTAACAATTATGTCTCTTCTGATTCAAACACTGAAAATTCATTTTCTAATAGTGTTGTTTATAGGAATCTCTTCCTACGAGACTTTGGAGCTATAATGTGTTTGGTTTAATTGGTTCAAACGGTTTTTGCTTTCGTCATCCTAATCTACTGCTAATCTTCCCTAGCATTAAAAAATTATGCTTATTATAATGTATTAATATAGATCCTATATTAATTAATTTACAATTTAATACTAACCCTAGATTAGTGAATATAAATCTAGCATTAGTTGCTAGTGCTTTCAAATTTGAGACTTGGAATCTGGAAAACATGTATTAAAAAAAATATTGGCCATTTCAATTTAATTATTTATTTATTTTGATATTCTCGTAAGATTTCACACATTATATTAAATTTATATAAGTTTGATTAATTATAAATTATTTGTTCCAAATAAAATATAGAAAATACGAAAATCTCTTTTATAATATTTTTTAGCAATAACATTAACAATAAAGTTACTTAATTATCAATAATTAAACCTTAATTCCAAACTAAATCTGTTTTGAAAAAGTCCACGTTTGACCATCTTGGAGTGTGGCATAGGGCATTGAGAGGATGGCCTTAATCATGTTTTTTTATTTTTTTGTTAATAAAACTCAGGCTTCTGATCTCATGTGCTAAGCACTGATCAGTGCTTAAACATTATTGTAATTATTACTTGCAACCGGCAATTTTTTTTTTTTTTGGTTCTGTCATATATATATTATTATGCTTGAATTCTTTATATTTTATTGGTGGATTGATCTCAATTAATTTTAAGAAAGCTGCATGGTGCTCGTTGAACAAATCAAAACAAATATAAGAGTAGTGAGGAATTGTTAAAGTTTTTATCCTTAATTTCAATCAAAACAACTTTATTTTTATATATCATAAGTTATCTTGTTGTACTATTTTTATTTTTATTTTGAAGCTTTTATTTATTTATTTGCTTTTAAATAATAACGTTTTTCAATAATTAGTAACTTGGCCTATTAGCTCAGTTGGTTAGAGCGTCGTGCTAATAACGCGAAGGTCGCAGGTTCGAGACCTGCATGGGCCATCTTATTTTTTTAAGCGATTTTTTGCTTATTTTTAGCTTTTTTTTTTTTTTCACGTTATTTGCTTAGTCATTTGTTGATTATTTTTTTGATATTTCAATAAAAAAAATGAGAAAATCATTTATAATAAATTAAACACATGCTCAAATAGGATTATTCATTAGTCATAAAGATTTGATTTTATTTTTCTAAGCGATTTCTTGATTATTTTTAGCTTTTTTTTTTTTTATTCACGTTATTTGCTTAGTGATTTGTTGATTATGTTTTTGATATTTCAATAAACAAAATGAGAAAATCATTTATAATAAATTAAACATATGCTCAAATAGGATTATTCATTAGTAATAAAGATTTGAAAGCTAATATTGATTTGAATAAATTTTTTAATGTCTGAACTATAATTGTTTTCTAGAGGAAAAATAAAAAAAAGGGTAGTTTTGCATAACATTTGAAATTAATTTTTCCAGTTTAGGGACTTAGATTTCAATGATTGTAAATATAAATTCGGATGCAAGTTTTATTTCTTTTTTAAATGAAAACAATACGTTTAGATATTGGCATGTGATTAAAAATTTGAAATTCTTTTTATTCTTTTTGTTAACATATTTTTTGGATATTGGATATTGTATCTTGGGCCCAGCCTGGCCTCATCAGAAGCCAATTGTCGGCCGAAGATAAGCAATAAGCCCAATAACGCTCTCAAAAACTAGCCGTTACAAACTGACGCCCTGCAACGGTCTAGAGAACTAGAATTTCAAATTTCAAATAAATAGTATAGTTTTCAAAAACAATCCCCTTCCAACGGTCATTTCGATCAACTCATTTGCTGTGATCGCCTGTTCTATTCTCACCCTCCCAAAGATAAACTAGAGAAGAAAAAAAAAAAAATATTAACTAGACAAATCCTTGTTGCTGCATTGAAGCCAATAAAGAAAATGGATGGTTCTGATAAGAGTGTTTCATCATCATCGACTCCAGACAAGCCCCACTCAGTCACAAAAGGTACGTCTCTTTTCTGTTTCTTTCCTTTTCTTTTTTTCTGTTTGGTTTGCAGGAAAAATTAGAAAACAACTAAAGAGAAAAGATTTAAGAATCTGAGATAGGATTTTCTTTTATTAATTAATTATTTATTTATTCTGTTAGCTTTAAATGAAAATTAGACCTTTTGCTGGAACTCTTGATTTAATCTGGGTGTAGGCAAGAAATTTCCTTCCATTTTTATACCAAGAAAATTGAATTCTTCTTTTTCTTATTAGTTTATATAGGTAACACTGATGAGAATGAGCAAAGCCATCAAGAAATGGGTCTGACTGTCCAAAACTTAAACAGATCGACATCAACAAAGCACTTTATGTCACCTACAGTTTCCGCAGCTTCAAAATTCAATCCTCCCAGAAAGAAAATATTAGCTGAAAGGAACGAGTCTCTAGATAACTCTTTACAAAAGACCCCAAATCTTGATTCAAAGCCCCTCCAAAAAGCCTCAAGTCTTGGTTCCAAAACTTCTTCTAGTACCGATTTTGATGAAAAAGAGAAAAATGCTCTTGTTTATGATTTGTCACCAAGGCCTTACGACCCAGTAACAAATTATCTCTCTCCAAGGCCTAAATTTCTCCGCTATAACCCCAATAGACGCCAAGCAATATTGCTTAAAAGAGAAAATCAGGCCAAACAAGGCAAAGATAGGTTAACCATTAGTGACAATGGTTCTGTGGAAATCGAGAAAGGCATTGATGAAATTGAAGTTGATTTGGCTAGTTCTTGTGGTTCTTTGGCTTTTTGTTCTAAAGAAGCCGATTTGAATAAAGAATTTGAAGAGATTGATGAGAGTGATGATGAATTTGATGAGGAAAGGAGTTGGAATTTAAAAGGAGTACTAAAAGTTTTGATATTGTTGGCTATTTTAGTGATTTCCACTTCCTATATTTCTTCTATGAACTCCCCTACACCTTCGCCTGTCGTACAAGCTGTTGTGGGTCTTAAGGATGGATATCGCAAGATACAAGATCATGTGTATGAATTTGTGAAGAATGGGAAATGTAAAATGGGTTTTGTTGATATAGATGGGATTAAGAAAGATGAGATGATTGAAGATGTAAATATAGGAGGAGGAGGAGGAGAAGTAGACGACGAAGCAGAATATCGAAATGAGCTGAATGAAATGGTAGATATAAAAAGTGAAGAAAGCAAAGTTCTAGAAATGGTTGAAAATGAACTTAATGAAGGAGGAAAAAGTGAAGATCTTGTGATACAAGGTGGAGAAATTGCTGACCAGAGTGAGTTGAACGAAATTGTAGATGTAAAAGTTGAAGAAAGCAAAGTTTTACAAGTGGTTGAAAATCAACTTAATGGAGGAGGAGAGAATGAAGATCTTGAGATGCAAGGGGAAGTTGCAGATTGTATTGATCTTGAAATGGGGATTTCAGATGAAATTGCTGCAAATTCTGAATTGCAAGCATTGGAATCTGTAGGAGTTGTTGAAATACCTTTAACAATTGTATCAAATGATGAATATGAAATCAAAGAAGAAATCTTTAACAGAGAAATGGTGGAAATTGGGAACATCACTGAAGATAAAAACGAGCATGAAATTGCCATTGATGAAGCAGAAGAAGGTACAGAAAAGGAAGGAATTATCAAACACATGGAAACTGAATCAATTATAAAAGCTGTTTTTGGGTTCTCTTTGTTTTCCTCAATTTTTGCATCTCTTGTATTGGGTCTTCACTTCAGAAAGAACAGAATTGCAAGAAAGGGTGCTTATCCAGTTGCTGATTCTTATATTGACTCTAAGATACCAGAGAAATGCAGCTCAGTTATAGCTAACAAAGAAGTTAAGCAAACTGTTGATCCTGTTTCATTTGCTAATTCCAACTCTTCCATGAATTCACTGGAAGAAGAAGAAGATTCCAAACAAACATATGAAAGCCGAGCACCACCGTCTATCGAGTTGCTTGGTGAGCTTGTGGTAGAAGAGATGAGCATCTCTCTTAGGAACTGTGGCATCAAAAGTAGGATTATAGAGAGTGAAGTAAGCAGTCACTCTGTTTCCATGGAGAAGGGCATAAGCAGTAAGGCTAATTCAGTTCCTGTCCGTCTGCAGCCAGCTTTCTCAGACATTTCAAACATGTATTTCCCTTCATATTCTGATAAAAGGAAAATTGCCAAGAAACAGGTATTTGACAAAAAATTGAACTTCCCTAGTTTAATGCATTTTTGAGAACCAATTTTTAATTTTAGCCTGGGAAATATATAACAATTTTATATTTTTTCTTCTTTCTTTTGTGTTGAAGCAGGATGAAGAAGTCAATAATGTGATGGTAGCAACTCCATTAAGGCGATCAAGCAGAATCCGGAATCGAACAATTGCATCTCCATGATTATTATTAGCCTTCTCAACCTGCTTCTCCTGCTGCAATACAGTGAAACAGCTTTCTCTGTTGTTTCATTTTACAGCTTCTTAATTCCCACTTGAAAGCTATCTTTAGATTGATGTTTAGCTGTAACTGTAGACTTAATTAAAGAGCTTGTTATGTAGGAACTAATTGATGTATTGACTCAATTAAAGAGCTTGTTATGTAGGAACTAATTGATGTATTGACTCTGATCAACAATCCATCATCTCCATATTTTTAATTCTGTCCTCAGCCAATTATTAGGGTTTCTATCATTTAATTAGAATAAGTAATGGATATGAAGTGGATTCCATTTGCAACAAGTATATATGCCCAATATTAGGGTTTCCTATCATTTAATTGAATAAGTAATGGATAGTGAAGTGGAGTTCCCATTTTGCAAAGTATATATATTATATTATTATATATATATTTGGAAATTGACGATAAAGTTTTTTAATTGTAGCTTTAAAAAGTAATATATTATGGAAATATGAAGATAAAGTTTTTAATTGTAGCTTTAAAAAGTATAGCTTATGATTAGAAGATTTGATCTGATAGAGAAGAAAACAAATTGTTAAATTATTAATTGATGTTATTTCATAAGAATTTTCTCTAAAGCTAGAACATATATTTTATGGAATCAACAATTTTGATTACTAATTATATTTCACGATCCTTTTAGCAATGAACATATAGCGATTTAGTAACTTAAGAAAGATACATGCAAACTCTGTGTACTGTTTTCAGAAGAAAAAGGAAAAGAGAGAAATAATATACCACTCTCTCATTAAGATTTTCATGTACAGTCAAAAAAATTTGTTCTACATCAAGTGAAGCAACTCAAGAAATATATAATATACATAACTCAAGATATATATAATATACATAACTCTACTGATTAAAACCTCTTTAGTATTGGAGCTAGAGGAGGTCTGCTGTTATTTAGAAAACTATTGCCTCTTCTACCTGGAAAAAATGAAGATGACAAGGAACTTCGTGAGACCTTCTTTGATATGATAGGTTTTGGAAGTGTATAAGGTTTGTAAGCATCTAATCCATTTCCAAAACTTTTAGATGCCCTCATTTTTCTTCTGCAAGGACTTTCCTTTTTTGGAAGATCTTCAATGCTTGTTACTATTGATAAAGATGTAAAAGACTGAGACTTGCCTTGATAATACTTTGATAATCCTCTTCTGCGTAGCAATAAAGATAAATTCTAAGTATATACAAACAATATTGAAAAAGCAGATTAAACCAAATAATTTTCAAGTTAATTAATTGTTTACATATATACTTACTTGATGGGTAAATGGGACATGAGGTCAGATAACTGAAACAAAGGACCATTATTGGAATTTGAAGATGGAGAAAGTAAGGTTGAGGTTGGTGATGATGCATCATCATCATCGTCGTCGTCGTCATCTGCTAAATCTGATGTTGAAGAAGTTGATACGGTATTACTTGAATTATCATCATTATCATCATCTTTTCTCATCATCCTTTCATTTTCATGCCTTGCATGCGTATCTTTCTGAGCTTGAAGTATTTGCTCTACACCTTCAGCCATGGATGAGAGGATAGAAGAAGAAGAAGATACAATAAAAGCGAATGAATAGAGAGGCAACAAAGAAAACCACCCACAATGGAGCTTGAAACAACCTTGATGGAGAACTTATATATACAAAAATATGATACATGTGTATGAAGACTTGGGGTTGGTTACTTTTCAGGATAAAGTATCCATCACAGCTAGTGACATGTAGTTTCTATGATTCCTTATTATTATTTGTTTTTAAGATTTATCATAATTTGTTTTTTAAAGAAAATTTATTATAGTTTATCATTAGCTGGATATATGAGAGACACGTACATTCAGCATAGATAAATATTCTTTTATCTTCTTTGAGAAAACGAAAGCTATTATTAAATAATCATAAATTAGAGATGAGGATCGTGTTCGAAAATAACTTTTTAAGTGCTTTTATCATTTTAAGGATACTAAATGTTATTTTTATAGTATTTGGTAATATGACGTTTAAATTAATTTTTAAAGATTGAGGTAACATTTTATAAAAAGTGAATCCCGTAACATTTAATTTTTAGCATTTTATGAAAAACTACTTAAACAACTACTACTTACTCAAATAGCTACTAGCTACTCAAACAACGGACTATTAAAACAACTAATTTTGCTCAATAAACCGATGATTACATTTACCTAAAGCAGATCCATGGCTCCATTCATTGATTAAACCAATAAAAATAGAAATTTTTTTCAGTATGTAGTCAGAAATATTCTAATTTTAATAAAAATTCATATTTTCTTAGTTTATTTCATATGTAGGATCATGGACCCAGTTTAGACAAATCAATTTCAAAAAAATAATTATATCGCAAATATGGTATGGTAACCTGTAGCTAAGAAATGTGCAACTATATATGTAATGGTACTTGTAGCTAAGAATGTGGCAACTATATATATATTTATATATATATATATATATATATATATATATATATATACTCCAATTCATGCCGCATTTTTGTTTTGCTTTGTTGGGCTTATTTTTTGGACTGTCCCAAAATGTTTTATATATACTCCATTCATCCCATTTTGTTTGCTTGTTGCTTATTTTTTGGATGTCCCAAAATGTTTGTAAGGTTTTTAAAATTTAAATATGCAAACAATTATTTTTTCTATAATAACCTTTATAATTATTCATTGGACGAAGGAGTTTGGTATCTTAATGAGTTGTTAAAATAAAGAATGACAAAATAACTTTTATTGACTAAAATTTTAATATGCATGTTTTGTCAAACCATGCAAACAAAAAGGGACAGAGAGAATATATGTTAATTTTGATAATTATAGTAATCATTGAGGTGTGTTTGATGAATAAAATAGTGACATTAGGAGAGAAGTGTATGGATTCTCCATGCACTTTGTAAGAGTAAGGTCATTTTCACAACTCATCTTGACAACATTTCTCAATTGCCTTATCTTTTAGATTCGATATTATCTTCTTCTTCTTCTTATATGGTTTGAATTTCTTGACCTTGTCTCCTACAACTAAAGGATAAGCTTTATGGACTCAAACCCATCCACATTGACTCATTCTCTAATACCCAAATGCCCCATTTTACTTAACATGGCTGCAGCTTTTTCTTCTCAAAAATTCTTTACCATATAGAAGAAAATAAATCAAAGACTTCTCCTTGTCAAATCTGGGCCAAAAATATTGAACAAGAACAAAAAAACACCTTCTAGATTTCTTGGGTTTATTCCAACATATCAATTAGTCATATGTATCTAATTTTTTATACCCAATATGACTCATCCTCTATTCTAGTTAGACACGGAGTTACTACAATTATTTTAGGAGAGTCAAATGAATTTTTTTTTTTCTAATTTTAGGAGGTCAAATGTAATTTTTCTCTATTATGACAAATTAAAATATCATTTTCATAAGAAAATTTTTTTAAATAAATTTTGTTTGGGGGGCCACGGCCCCTTTAGGCCGCAATAGAGCTCCGCCCCTGATTCCAGCGGGGAGAGGTGACACCATAGAACCAAAAGGTTCGAAGTTTTATCCCTTTCTTATTGTCTAGTAATCAATTATTTCTTATCCTATATAAGTTATTTTTAATTAATAGGCTTTGTAGTAATTGATGAATTTGAATTTGAAGCTTGCTGAAATTACAGCACTGTAAAAATATAATATTGTACCGTACTATCTCTGTTAAAAAAAAAAAAGGAGCATGCTGTAAAAAAGTGAGGAGAGAAATTTGACTTATGGGGTGCCTTTAGAAAAGGAATGCAAAACCATGGGCACCACCGTCCCGGAGAGTTTTATATTATATCTATTAAATAATAATATAATTATTGATTATATTTTATGCGTTTTTACCTACTTGAAATTTGAGTGGCTTGCATTGCATTTACATATTATATTGATATAGACATATGGCCACTGTCGAATTAAATTTTATTTTATCGAAAAATCAAAATATAATAAAATATATAAAAAGGGGTGGTCTAATAATAATTTATGAGGAATTAATTTTAAAAAATTCATATATTTAAAGAAAATTTATTATAAAAAAAAAGTTTTTATATATCGAAAGGTAAAGTGGATGAAATAGGCAAAACTTGTGTTATCTGTCAAATCTGAATTTTGCAAAATCAGAAACGTGAAACATCAAACAATCAAGTTCCCCACCAGCAAACATTATAGGTCAAAAGTAATCCTTACAAGAATAATACAATCGTTTTATTTTATATGTTCATATAAAGTATAAACTTCAGAAAAAGAAATTATTTCATATTGCACCCCTGCATATAATTTTCAGTTTTTATGAATTAAACGAATTTCTAAAATTTATGCATTAGAAATTTCTAAATTTCATATTGCACCCCTGCAAAAACTTAATTAATGCATAGAAATTAAATCACAAAAGATTATAAAATGAATAATCTCTACACACTTATCCTATGAGTGAGGAACTACAAGACAAAGATCGTAAAAATACAAAATAAAGAATATTTTTAACCACATAACATTTGAATGAATTTTTAAAAATTAAAATAATATTTTATTAAAAATTAAGGAAAAATTGCTAACGGATAAATGTTATATCAGTTGTCAAAACTTCCCGCAAGAGACCCAAAGAGAACACCGCAGGAGGAAGGTGATAAAAAGGATGCAAGGATAAGGGAATAGTGATACGAGGACAAGGGTGGGGGTCAGATCACCGAACCCAAAAGACCAAAAAGCGTTGTGACCAAAATTTGATGGGCAGGTTAGCCTTCACCACATCATTTGTTTTAGGGTCCAATCTTATCCAACCTTCCCTTGAATTCCATCGACCAACCAATCAATTTTGAGATTAATACTAAAAACACTCGGTACGATGTTTGTTGGATTGAGAGCCAATACGAAAGTGTCATGTGTACAATTTTATGTCTTGACTTGCTTCTTAGATGACACACATGTATGTAGCTATGTAGACAAACTTGTGCAAGAAACATGTTAAATGGCATAATGGTACGGGACACACGGACCAATCCATTGCAGGAACTTGGCAACCTCTTCCTTTTATTGATCTCTTTACTCTTTCTTCATATGTGGTGCCATTCTTTAGTTGGTTGAAAGATTTTGTCCATTCTTGCCTTCTCTTTTTTTTTTTAAAAAAAAAAAGAAATGATGCCTCATTTCTAAGCAACAAGATGGAGAATTAGTTATCTTTCCCGTTCACAAAAAAAAAAAAAAAAGTTATCTTTACATTTCTAATTTGTATTTTTATATAAGGGTTTGTTTGTGGAGATGGGAGAAAAAAAATATTTAAGGAAAGTAATATTGAAGGAAAAAGTAAAATTTATTAAAATAACATAATTTTCTCAAATGCATTCTTCCATTCGGAGAGATTATAATTTTATAAACTGAAAAAACAACAATGTATGTTTTCCATCCTTTGGTTCTAATTTTATGGTTTCATGAAAATTGATGGTCTTTTTTTTATATATATATTTTTCTCACCCTTGTCAAAAAAAAAAAAAAAAAAACTATATATCTTTTTCTCCGACCCTTGTCAAAAAAAAAAAAAAAAAAAAAACCCTATGAATTTGTATATATAAATCTAATATAAAATTTCTTCGAAAAAAAAAAAAAAAAAAAAAAACCCTTGAATTTGTAATATAAAATCTAATATAAATTCTCGAAAGGAGAGGGGTGAATTGAATAAAATGCTTTAAATAAGATGTTAGAATTTATAAAGTGAGACATTATGCTAAATTAACCAATGAATAGATCACGACGGACTAAATTAATTTTTTATTGATAAAGTTCAAACACTTTTTTAAAAATTTTTATTTTAATTATTTTAATCTATAAGTATGGCTATATTCCTGATCTATGCATATGCAAGTAATTTCCATCCTATATTTGTTGAATATGAGTTTCTTGACAAAATTGTAAAATTATTGGAGTAAATGTTTCTACTTGTCATTTGCTATTCTGAAAAGATTCTTCAGCTTTTCTGCCCAGTTTGGTTTCTTAAGTATCGGATTCAATTTAAAGGGAAATGGACCGGACCGTATCACATCACTTTTTTTAAGATAATTTCGGCTGCTCTCTTGGTTTGACTTAGAAGCAAAGTTAGACAATATTTCTCAAGTTTCTTTTATTAATTTTTAATTTTGTAGCATAAATAATAATAATTATTATAAGTTTGTTGATACGCAAAATCTAATGGAATTTTTAGGAGAAACGACTTGTCGTCAGAGAATGCCAGTTACTCAGATAGCTGGGTGTCACTGTCGTTGTGTGAAATCATGTTCACGGACTCCACCATTTTCTGGGTCTTTGAACTACTCCTCAGTCCGGGGCATTAGGTAAACAGATACAACATTTATGAAGAATGTTAAAAACTTACATAAATTAGTTTTAAAGTTAAAACATTTATAATTGATAATTCTTTATTACGAAATTATAATGAAATTCAATAAATATAGTAATATGAAACAAATCTAAAACTTGAAAGAAAAAAAATGTGGGGAAGATGATTGTTGAAAAGTTTCAACTATGGATGAAACACAACTGCCCATCTTCCCCAGATGTTATATAGCAGGGAACTCTTTCGGATTCAAAGTGCACTTTCGTAGCACAGCGCCGATACACACAATCCCTGCTTCAATTTTTTATCCTTTCAAAATCATATCACAAGAAACAAAAATATAATTCAACTCAGATCCACCTTATACTCATACAAAGAGAACACCGAGATGAAGAAGAAGAAGAGTTAAACGGCACTGTCGATCCATTGAGCTTTTGTGAGTGTATATATAGACACGGGGAGTAAATTAGGGTTTTTGTGACTCGGCTTTGCAGGCTTCCTCCAATGACGTTAATGCCCTTCCAATCTTTTCCTTTTTAGTTTGATTGGGCTACGATGAAGAAAGTAAACAGACTTCGGCCCGAATAATAAAAATTTCCTTCCCTAAAGTATTATTCAGAGCTTGTCCAACAATCAACGGTATAACCATGCCGATAATTAAAAAAATATATATTCTTTTATTCACAGGGTTGTCAATGAATTCAAATAAATGAAATAATACGGTGAACTACTTGATAAGTGTAGCTATTTATTAACTTATTAAATTGATAAAAAATTTTATAGTCAAAAAGATTTGAATTTAAAATCTATTTAATGTTTAATAAAATCCAATTGATTTAACTTTTTTATTAATATTCTTCTAAAAACATTTTTAATATATAATATTTTTCATTTTATAAGGATATTGAATTTTTATCAATTTAATAAATCATATGCAGTTAGGATGCTATTCGGCCTCATTAAGCCACCAAGCCTTATTGTGAATTAAACCAATGGAAATAAAGTTTTTATTAAAATAAAGATATATTTTTACCATACATTAAAAGAAAATATAATAATTTTTTAAAAAAATTTACCTTTTTAGTATTTAAATATAATAATTTTTTAAAAAAATTTACCTTTTTAGTATTTTTATTGATTTTATCCATGTGTACGGAATCATGGACAAAGTATAGTATTTTCCTTCCATAATTTTTATGTTTAATGTTTATTTTTTGTAGTAACAACGCCATTTCACTTTCATTTCGCATTGCTTAACCACATAAATTGTCTTGCTAAAAAGCGAAATTCTTCTTCCAATCTCAAGGGAAATTTTCCTTAATGTCAATCAATTGGCATATTTACGTATAATAGAAGCCATTAACGTCCTTAATGTAAAATACATTCCATGAATCCTTGTAATGAAAGCCAAAGACATTGGTATTGAAAATCAAGAGAATATTATAACAGTATAATATAAATCCAAAATATTCGAACTTTAGATATCCAAACTTAATCCAAGCATAACAGAGGGATCATGAATACACATAAATTAACACCAGAAGAAAAAGCAATGAACCTAAAATCACCAACAAAAGAAAAAAAAAAAATTTCACTGTTTCTGTCCTCACAACGTTATTTTCAGCAAAATCATTAATGCCAGTTCATGGCCAGCTGCAAGCCCAAACCAGAAATCAGCATTTGACAACCATGATGGTCCATGGTGCTAAGATGAGGCCTACAGGCCCTGGTCAAGGAGGTAATCACCCAGCCTCTCTACAATCATGTTGCACTGTCCTGGAGTTAGTGGCTCATCATAGATGCCAATAATAAGAGCCTGGCTGGTTTTCTTCACAGTGATGCCACCAGAACCCTATAAATTGTATTCAAAATATATCAGACAAGAATAATATGATGAAATATTCAATTTGTATCGCTTAATTAGATACAACTCATCACAAGTTCAATGCGTCGACATGTATTTACAGATAAGTTTCTACCAAATACCAATATGGTAAAAAACTCGAAAATTTTACTTGTCATTGTGCTACTTAGCACCTTAGTAATGCTAATCCCTTCCAAATGTTTCCATCGAACATGAAAAGAATATATTAGGGACACCTAAGAGCTGGGGACACTATGTCAATTAAACTTTATAAAAGCAAAAGCAACTTGTCATTAAAATCATATGTTTACTAGTCCTGTGCACATTAGAGACCAAAAGAAAGGGACCAATAAGCCATGACTAAAGTAATTAACAACTCTTAAAGGTGGTCTAAAGAATGAAATTCTTGAAGCTTTATTATCATTTGTTCGAAACAAAGTGGGATCTTAAGATCCATAATGAAATGTTAAACAGAAGAATAAAGTTCTAGACAACATCAATGACAGACTTTACAGGAGTTACTCACCTAAGATATTTTCAATAGTGGAAAGACCTATAAGCTGGCCCCATTAATCATAATAAAGGTGCATGCATAGAACTTTGCTCGAATCTATTGAAGATTTATATGAATCATTTCCAACAAGATAAATCATTAATAATCAGGCCTGATATACTGCATTTGACAACAGTTATGCACCAAGGCTACATTTGGCATGTGATATCAAAATATAACGTAATGCATTGGATAATATTGCATTACATTCCATTTCGATATAATAAAATTAATCCAAATTGCTTATAAAGTTGCAGTATGCATATTCTAAAACGCTAAAACTTTTTAGGCAAAAAACAAATGGTTGATAGTAAATCAAGATCAATCAGAACGATTATAATAACGAGAATAATATGAGAAACCCAATTATATAAAACAATTAATAACCTTCTTTCCACGAATCACAGCTCCGGATTCTCCCTGGATCACCATATACTTTGTACCACCAAGGTGCAACCCAGTTGGAGCAAGAGATCCAGGCTCATCAAAATCTTTCATGATGGCAGCAATCTCTTCTGGCTTAAACTGCATACAATCCGATAAAACCAATATGAGTGTCAATGAAATCATTTAGATCACAATAATGACAGACCAAACACATAATAAAGAGTTGATAATTTGCTAATGTAAGAGGTAGATTGTCAAAGACAGATACTTTCGCAGGAATTACATTAGGGAAATGAAGATTATTATGTTTATATTTAATAAAACCAGATCGAATTCAAATCTAGAAAAAATAAAGCAATTAACGAACAAAAAACAACAATCCAAACAAACAGATCAGGACAAAAAATAGAGATACAAAGATTGAGAAGCAACCTGAGGGAAGCTGGTACTCTGGGCCCATACACTGCCATCGTGACCGATAATGGCAGCGGCGGTGAGACGTTGGCCATCGATATCGCACATGAGGTGCTCATCAACGTACGTTTGCCACGACATTTTCGATCGAGAAAATCCTAACCGTTGATTCTAATTACTAAGTTTTTTCTTCTTTTATAGCTTTGGCTTTTCTTTTACGTTCTCTGCTTTGAAATCTTCTAGTTCAAAGAAGAGAGGTATATATAGTGCTCTCAAAGCAGAGAGAGTGCGTGTACGTGTTTAGTGGGTCCCGTGGCGCTATGATTGATCATGGTGGTTTTCTGATTTTTGATCCGATCTTGGCCGTATATTTTAACATGATTCAATGAGTGCCGTTCACGTTCTCCTTGTGTTTCACGGAGTTATTCTTGTGTACGAAAGCTCACACCGGAATGCTGGATACTTCTTCTGCCAGGTCATCAATTTCTACGTGGCCTTTTCTTATCCAATACAGAAAAAACTTTTTTTAGGCAAAACTTACACGTTTTTTCCACTCATACCACGTGAGATCTACTTAGTATCTATACATAAAATTTAGAAATAAATATGATTAAAAATATTTTTTCTAATTTTTTTACGAGAAAAACCATATATAGTATGAAAAAGGTAATTTTTTAATCTTTTATTATTATTAATCATACATGGTTGCAATCTGTTTGTAAAGTTTAAATTTTTGATGTACCAAAATATAAATATTTAAATTTAAATAATAAGAAAAACTTCGACTTTTAACCTTACGATAAAATTCACTTAGAGATATGGTCCACTCAATCGAGTTTGTTTTTAGTTACACTTTTATTATAATGGAAATCTTCTGCATTTAAAGTAATTCCAAAATAAAGAGTTAATCTTACACTTTAAGCCCTTAATTATTAGTCAAACATCATCATGTACATAATTATGGTATCAATGTCAAACAATGCTTTAAGTTTTAACCTTAGATAAAACTTTTTATTGATAAATTTTAGCATTGGTGGAGTCAAGATTTTAAGTTAGTTGATGTAGAGATAACATATTGTAATTAAAGAAAATTAAACAATTTCTACAATCTTCAATTAATGTATTCTTTAGTGTTTTTAAACTATCAGTAATATTTTTTATTTAATTTTTTTGTTTTAATCATAGAATTATTTGAGAATATTTTAAAATGAAAAGTGGATGGATATGTTGATAAACAATTAATTAAAAAATACAAATCAAATAATCGAAATTAATCGTTTAGTAGAATTAATATCTTCAATAAAGCATCTAACCTCAGGTAATTAGACTTCCCCAATACACTCAACTTAGTTCAGCAATGTTAAATGAAAGAATCCGGTAAACAATACATAGATTGAAGTTTCTTCTCGAATTAAAAAAAAAAAAAAAAAAAAAAATTAGGACTTTCCCCAAATACACTCAACTTCAGTTCAGCATAAAATGTTTAAATGAAAGGGATCCGCGTAAACAATACATAGATTGAAGTTCTTCTCGAATTAACAAAAAAAAAAAAAAAATAAAAAAAGAAAAAGATTGATATTTAGTAAATGATATTCTGAAGTTACTTTAAAGTCTTACATATAATTCTTTATTTTTCTTTTATTTATTTATTTATTTTCCTCTCCTCACTATTTATGAGTATGATTTCAGACTTCCCCTTTAAGAAAAGATAAACATGAAATGTAAAGTATATGTCATCCATTTGATTACGCTGTATTACTTACAGATAAAGGATGAGGCGAATGGTGATGCTTAGCTGGCTTTTCAAAAAAAAAAAAAAAAAAAAAAGATTGATATTTAGTTAAATGATATCTGAAGTTACTTAAAGTTTACATATAATTCTTTATTTTCTTTTATTTATTTATTTATTTTCTTTACATATTTATGAGTATGATTCAGACTTCCCCTTTAAGAAAAGATTAAACATGAAATGTAAGTATATGTCATCCATGATTACGCTTATACTACAGATAAAGATGAGGCGATGGATGCTTAGCTGCTTTTCAAAACAAGGAGGAAAATCAAAAATAAGGATTAGGGAACAAAAATAAAAGGTGAAAAAAAGGCAAGAGGAATCGTTGGTTGGAGAGGAAAAATGCTGGAAAGAACCAAACAGGCAAAAGGTGTACAGTGAATGAACATTTTCTCAGATCAGATAAGGAGAAAGGACAAGGAAAGGCTATAAAGTTAAAGGGAGCTAAGAAAAAATATGCTTTGCTATCAAAGACTTTATACCAACGCGGTGTCATTTGGGGAATGGCGTCATTTGCTTAATGGTGTCATTTGCTTAATGGCGTCAATTTAATTAATCATCTTCACTGCATCAATTAGAAATGTTCATAAATTACCAAATACTGCTCAGACCAATACAAATCGACCTGAATACCGTCTTGGTTTGGCTTAGTCTGAATCTTTTATGAACCATCATTACAAGTTTAGTTTCAATAAATATTCAAATCAAACCGAACCAAACCATCAACAACCCCCTAGTTCCATGGACTTTCCAGATTCTCCACACAATACCAAAGGCAGAGCACCTGCTATAAATACAAATAGAGATTGCTCATGATTTCAAACACAAGACAGAAGCACTTAGCTTCCTTCTCACTTAGGGTTCTGTAAACACCAAACCCAGTGAAAAATCAAGAATTCAATCAAACATGGGTAAGTCGTTAATACGTTCTTTTCCTGTATTTAAGTTATTCAAGCCTCAGAAACCTCCCAGAGATGAAGATGGTTCTTGCTATGGTAGCAAGGCACACAAGGCGCGGCCTAGTGATGACTATGAAGGTCCATGGACTGCAGATCCTCGCATCAATGACAAAACTTCAGCTTTTATTGCTCGTATCCAAGCAATTCACATCTTAGAATCCTAATGTAAAGACTTTTGGCCTGGAAAGAACTTTCATGTGTGCATATAGCTTCTGAATGTCATTCACATTTTGGTTTAAATTTGTTGCACTGCAAGTAATACCTAGTTTCTCATATTGTTCCCCCACACCTCTCTCTCTCTCTCTCTCTCTCTCTCACACACACACACACACACTCAATTTCATCATCATTTTGAAGCTAACATTTTAAGTTATTCGAGTAGAATCAAAGAATCCTTATGCAGAGTATCAAAAATATTTCAAAATTTTCTCGAGCATTTATAAGCTACTGCATTGCCAAGTGTTTTCTACCAAAAAAGAAAAGATGAAATTTACATTAGGTAACCATTTAAAAAGGCTCTTGAAGTTTTACCACCAAGAGAAACGCCGGGTTGTGATTTGATATTTAACAATGTGAATACTTTATAAATCCGCAAAACTTGCAATATGCTGTTATATGAAGGCCAGGAAAACATCCTCTGGGGCACCTACATTTCAGCTTCATCTGCAAGATTAGAAAAATATTAGCACCTTGTGGAAAGATCCAAAATTTCACTTTTCCAAAACATGTTGCCAACAGGAGCAGGAGAAACTGTAATTCAAGTTTATAGCACTCCAAGATGAGCAGGTTAAGGTACTAATCAATTGAGGTACATACCTTCAACTTCATCCGCATTAAAGTCATCTTCATCATCATCAAAATCAACATTCTGCAAGATTGAAAAACTGTTTAAAACCTCCTCTTGAAACAAATAAGTTCCAAAGTTCAATAATGAGTATTGAGGAACCTTTTTATTGTTCAAGGACAGAAAAAAAATGTCTTTGGAAAAGACTTGCCAATCAATTTCACAATAAGTGATGGAAGAATCAAGTTATATTATAATCGATGCAGAAATTTAAAATGATATATTCATCGTTACACAAAAGATATGATGTTAAAACCAATGTGTCCTCTGACATGTCCAAACCAGTGTCACAAAATTTAACTTATCCAAAAATTTTCACAATGCTTACAAATAGGAACTTGGCTAGCAGCTTATATCTAAGGATCCTATAAATATGATATTTTGGATTATCAAATAGTGAGATCCAGCAAGAATGTTGAATTCTCAACATTAGCATACCGTCTTCTATTAGAACAAGGAACTAAAAAATTTTAAGTTGCTGCTTGGTACTTATCCGACAAGCCAGCCTGATTAGTAAAATGTGCTACCCGTAGAAATTGATGAATAATCTCATCCCTGAAGTTCGTTTTCTGGTTTTTTTTGTGAAAAAGACCACAGGTTCTCTGGAGATGTTGTCATTTTTATGTCTCAGGAGTGATTTTCCACCCTAGTAGTTTAAATTACATATCCTCAAAAACTTGCTACCAAGGGAAATGATGTGCATAGGTCATTGAGAGTATTGTCAATGCAAGCTGTTTCGTATTGTGTACAAATCACCTCCCCTAAGAAGTTTCACAGGGATGGCATAAAAATGACAAGCCATGTCATCATGTGAAGAACTTCTTATAGTCCTGAATCTATAAATCTACTTGGCAGGCAGGGGAAGGAGGTTAAATCAAAGAAATCATGGCATACTAAGTTTCTGACCGAACCTGATTATAGTCGTCATCACTAAAATCTTCCTCAGAACCTTCTACTTCGTCATCATCAAGCTCTTCATCATCGTCACCTTCTTTCTTTTCCTTCTCACCTTTGTCTTCTCGTCCCTAGAGATATCAGATAAGCCCAAAAAGAATCTGTTGGAACAGAGTTTCGTAAACACAATAAAAGGTTCAAGACTTTTGAAATCCAAAGCCCCAAAGAAAGAAAATCAACAACAGGACATGACATGCTACAATAATTTTTTGAAGTTAAAGACTTACAGGTATACAAATATTTTACCTGAAACTTCTGCTCAAGCTTCTCAAAAAAATCAAATTTCCGGTCTGTGATGGACAGTATAAATCAATTTAAGTAAATAGTAAAAAACTTCATTTGCAAGAGAGCTGAAGACAAAGAAAACATGGCTACTCCATAGAACCTATTACAAGTGTTTATTGAGAAGACTGCAGAGTTTAAACTATTTATTTGAACTACCTAAAGCACAGTCTAACAAATGGAAAAACAAGAAGGTTGAGATGTAAGTTTATATGAGTTTGATCAACATCAACAACGTACAACCATCTGTTTTTGTCATTTATTACAATGCTTACAGAGATAAAATAACATCTAAAAGAGCAGTGTCAAGGTAGCCTGACCAAATCTCATTAAATAATTAAACTGTGCGTGCGTGCGTGCGTGTGTGTGTGTGTGTGTTGTATACACAATTCAAACAAATTAAATTGTTATAAACTTCAACACTTTCACACTCTGGAAATGTTAATCTGCTCATGCAATTTGGTGTTTCCAATATGATTCACTCTTAACCTGTGGCTGAATGAATCTTGACTACCATGACAACATTCCAAGAGCATAAATTTTTTCATGTTCCTCTACCTTCAAAAATCTTCGCAACAAGACTTACATTCGCGTCATGTATGTATAAGTGCATCTACATGACAATGAAACCTAGTGGATTATGAACATTAAGTATGAGTAGATTGAGTGCCTTAGAAATGCAGGTGACAAAACATGGTATATATGCATTAAGAAACAAGAAAAAAAAATATCAGAAGTACATATTGCGTAATAATACAAAACATCTATGAGATTATGAGAGAGAGCCTAATGATATATAGGTATAGTGGATAAGGAATGAGCCCAGAATGTAATGGAGAAAAAACCATATCTCAATTTTTGTAAACTCCAAATTTTGTACCTTGGCTATATGATTAATTTAGAGTTTAAAGACCACTATCAGAAGAACAACAGGAGGAAGCACTAAAAGTAAAGAAATTAAGAACGAGGCATCGCATCTTATTTTACCTGCATCCGGATTCCATCGAACTTTTTTTGGACGTTTCTGCTCCATCTTTGCACCTGAATGATTATTGCACAATCAGAACAGTCTCTAAGGCCACAATTAAGGATATCATTAAGAGGAAAAGAAGAAAGAAAGCAGAAGTAAAAGTTATACTATGCAAACCTTCTACAAGTTCGTCAGGAAAATTTGCAGAACTGAGCAGCAGAAAATGGTTAAGTTGATCTCTTTTTGATGTGTTCTTTGGTTTCACCCAATCAGAAAATCTTTCTATGTCCATGCTTTGGCTCTCTGATATCATGGCCAGGAGAAATGGCAAATTTGGAAAAATCAAACTACAGATCAGCAAACTAATTGTCTTGAAACACTGTTAAGACAAATAGAAACACCTCATATAGCAAGACACAAAAAAGACAAGATTGAGCCAACGACAATTTGTAAAATGAATACCATTGACAGTTCATTCTAAAAAAAAAGTAATGCAAGACATAACATGGAATACAAGCATGTTCGCCGACTGATTGCTTGGATCTGAGCCAGCTATGTTGTGGGAAACACAAAATAAGCCCATTTTGAATTTGCGGCATGGAAGCTAGCATTACTAATAAGGACTTTCTTAGTTCTCTGTAAAAACTTAGCCATGATCCCCCAAACTGGATCTCTCCAAACGGCTCTCTGAATTAGCAAAGGCGAGCATATTGCAATTTGAGGCTTGAACTATAAGGTAAATGGCATTGAACATGCGAACCAAGAGAGTGAGGGTAATACAAAAAAGGGAGGCAAAAACTACATAGACCATCTTCTAGATTTAATTCTGTGATACCACTCACTAAAGGTATACTAACACAAGTGAGCTATAAGAGGCAGCAAATCTCACTTCAAATCTAGGAAAACACATAAACCTTCTGGCAATCCACATTAGTAATGTGCTCATCTGCTGGAACATTTAAAAGAATAAAGCTCTATATTCCTGTTGCACATGTCTACATACTAGTTCAGTTGCATATGGTCACAAAAAATGAAAATAAGCTGTATAGAATAACCACTCATCAGTCAGTTCATAAAAATCCAAGTCAGTATATCATGTATTTCAACTTATTAAAAGCCATAACCTCAAGTGAAGTACGAAATTATCTCCTTCCAATAATTAACCTTTCTATCAGGGAAATGAAACATAAACTAAAAAACTAATGTTCTCCATACTCACTCTTTGAAACAGTGTCTTCAAGATAATAAGCTGAAGATTTCCAAAAATTCTGCAACTTTGAATTCACAAAAACTAAGGCCTTCTCTTCCTTGACATATTTGTGATCAGGTAACTGAATGTCCTACAATTTTCACAAAAAAAAAAAAAACGCATTGAAAATAATGAAAAACAGAAGGGCGTGTAATTTCATGTCTCGAAGTCCTTAGCTTGGCTCATCCAATAAAAAAACAAAAGAAAAGAAAAAACATCAACATCAATCCATCAATGCTGCTGTTTTTCAGCAATCATCCCTATTTCAACCACAAGAACAAAAGCCTAGAAAATGCAATTATTACTAAAGGATTAACATTACTCAAGAAGGGCATTCTACATTTCTTTCCTATTTAATAAACAACAAATCAACCAGACAACCACCTTAAAGAAATTCAATTACTTGAAGAAAAACATTTATGGACCTAAGGATATTAAGAATCCCATGACATCCACTCTGTTTCTCAGGTACTTCCTAATCAAATTTAACACCAAACCCAACATTGTTCAATAAAATCTAAATTTAGCTTGCCGTTTCAATTGTCAAGTACAGATATTAGTAATCAAGCAGTGATCTTCACTTAAAAAGAGTATCAAATAAAAGAATTAATACTAAAAAACAAATTTGATTCTTTTTCTCTTTCTTTTAAGGCAGTACAATAACAGAAAGAATAAACTCACAGGAAACTCCACAAAAGATTCTTGTCTAGCATAGCTAAATCCACCACCTCCTCCAAATCGTCCTCTGCCGCGTCCTCTTCCTCTAAAAGCCATCTAGAAAACACAAGCACATAAACAGAAATTAAAAACAAAAAAAAAATAAGAAACCTCCTTTACAGAGCTTCAAAGAGAATTGACCTTGAAACGCAACTAAAACGGTAAAGTTTTTTTCACCAGTTCCAATGTTCAGTGCTAATCAACCACGACCTTCCGTTCCTTCACTGTCTTCCTGTACATGTCAAGTGAAGAGCTTGTTGCGTGGGTTTTGTGAGGGTTTTAATTCCGGGCTTGAAATGGGATTGAACTCTCACCCAAACATATGAGAATTCCGTCAACAGGCCCATTGGGCTCCACAATATAATACAAGAATGGTCTTAATTTTTTTCCTCCTTAATATTAGGTACTAATTTTCTTCTGTTATGTTAATACCACTTTTGGGTTTGGGCATAATAACCCTCTCCTAAATAACCAAGAATGTCCCTAATTTTACTTTCGATTTACTGCAGTGCCACGACCTTTAACTCAAAACCCAGCGCTAAATTCCCTTTCTCCCACTTGTTTCCACCACAGAATGGATATCCGATTCTACGGCATTCGGGGTAAAAAACTTGACTGTGAAAATGACTAATTTTTAAGAACACTCATCAATGTTATGTTATAGAGTCGTGAGTGGTTCTTCAGAACAATGTTATACGTCTTCTCTGCAAATGAAAGGCTACTCTTCAACTCATCCAATGAGAGAACTGAACATTGAAATTTACATTGCAGAGCACATGGCAAATACGGCATAGGGTTTGGGTCTTGAGGACCACATGCCTCCCTCTTCTTACTGGGAGGATTTTAACTTTTGTTGTTGGAACTTGGATACCAAATTGAGATGGGTTTCTGAATTAAGATTAATTAAACTACAACGGTTAAAACTAAAATATCAGAGAATTAGGGTTTTCTTTTTTCTTTTTTTTATATGTTGATTTCACAACAAATCTCCTATTTTAAGTGTCAAGCATGGTATTATGCTTACTGTACTGTATATAACCAGACGTAGGTGATAGCATCTATAAAAAACTCAAGTATTAAGGGAAAAATCCCTTAAATATATGAGCGCTCAAAGACTGTCTATCTTTATATATATATATACATAATGAGGGGTCCCTCCAACACGTGGGACCCACAGACATTTGAAAAGAAAAAAAAATAATAATAACAATACGTTTTTGTTTTGGCGGTCAAAGAGAGACTGTCTAACAAAAAAAGAAAAAAAAATTTATTGAAAATTTGGACGCGTGATTAGCGCATCCATTCGGTGGACGCGTTAATTACGCGTTCCCTTCTCCTAAGGATTTTCACTTCACAAAAACAAAAACAAAATATATAGAATAGAAATATACTATTGAGTGTAGAAAATTTTAGGAAAGGGTTCCTAAAATTGAGAAAGAGAGAAAATAGTGAGGATTGTAATTTTGGGGTGTTTTCGTTAAACACTTAGAGTACCACTATTTTTGTAATCTCTTATTTTTTTGTTAATACTCTTTTTGTAGCCTACTATTTTTTAGTAGAAGAATTTTCCAAGTTTTTTGTCCCGTGGACGTCAGCCATAAACAGTTGAAGGGTGAAACACGTAAATCTCGATGTTCTTATTTTTTCATCTAGCATTTTACGGTAATTATTTAATTTTTTACTGTGATTAATTATATTTCTAGTCGGATTCGATCGTCAAATATCCAATAACGTATTATTGGAGGCTTTTTCTGCAAGACCCACTCGGGATCAGTTAGAATCCACAATGCGTATCAGAAGCCTTTTGGTTAGTAAATTCTTGTCAAAATTACTATTACAGTGAATATGAATTTTGTGAATAGTGAAATTTTTGTCAGATTCAGGAATTCAACATGGCTAACGACGGGGCATGATACACATTGACGGGATTCAATTATTCATGTGAAAATTCAGAATGGAGGACTACCTCAATTGCAAAGATATGTAATGATCCAATTGACGCGTGACAGTGCAAAGCCGGAAGAAATGAAAAGAAAGGCAGTGGGAGGAAATTAAAAAAAGCAGCACCCATTGAGTAAACGCCAATGGATAGATGCTGGCCTGTACAACATGTGAGACAATGAAAAAGATCCCCAATTCTCTGGAAGAAAAATTAAGAAAATTGTGAGGCTACAATGCTCAAGGAAAATCTTCATGATGGCGTAAAGTCATGAACTTGAAGCTGTCAGAGGGACGATATTCAACAACACTGAACGATTTTGAAGGACTTCGTAACTGAGTTAGCAGTTAGCAGGTATGTTTTTAGAAGTACGGATGCAAAGCTTGCCTATGTTTTGGGATTCTCTACGAGATAGCTGGATACTCTTGTGGTTCATTGAGTAACTCAGCTCCAATGGTGTGGTACGATGTCTATGGTAAAAAGAATAGACTACTTAATGAAGAACTTACGAAGAGAGATGTTGCCGTACCGTTCAACAAGGCCCTTGTCACGAGAATAAGGGGGCCGGAGCAGAATAGTAGGTTCCAAGGCATGTAAAGTCCAGGTGGCAGATCAAGTCCAGATAGAATGAGAAAATGCTTACCATTTGCGGTAAGGAGGTCATCTCAAAAGAAATTGTCATTTACTCAAACAGGATAATGGCAGACCGAAGAACAGTAAGAATGACAAGAAATACATCTGCTAACGTCTCAGGAGAGATGGTGAGGTGACTTAAGTCACTCAATTATGCGAATTGCTGTCATATGGAGATGTAGTACCAAGTGGATCAGTAGATCCGGTGCTTCATACCACTGTGTTCCAAGGGAATACTTTTCCAACTTATTCCACTTATAAAGCAGGAGACTTTGGCACTATTAAAATGAGAAATAATAGTGTCTCGCAAGTGTTGGGAATCGGTGATATCTGCATAAAGATAAGTGTCGGGTGCACATTAACACTTAAAAATGTGAGACATATCCCCGATCTTCGGTTGAACCTGTTATCTATGAGCGTACTAGACAAGGAAGGCTATCATCATCATACAGGTGGCGGTAATTGGAAACTCACCAAAGGGTCTTTGGTGGTGGCGAGAGGAAAATTATGTTGCTTGCTGTATAAGACGCACGTAACAATATGTGCGGGTCAACTGAATATAGTTGAAGATGATGCTTCACCAAATTTGTGGCATAGGCGGCTGGCGCACGTTAGTGAGAATTAGTGAGACGGGTGAATATGTTGGCTAAAGAAAGTCCCCTCATACCATTAGCCAAGGTAAAATAAGACCCTTGTGATTATTGTTATTTTTAGGAAGGCAACTCGATCTCTATTTTTGAAAAGACTCTAGAAGGAAGAGACAACAGTTGGAGTTGGGTACACTCTTGACTTACTGTGGTCCCATGGAGGTAGAATCACTTTGAGGCAAGCTAGTTTTTCTTAATTCATTGATGATTTTCTCACGGATAAAACATGGATTATTTGTTGCGCACAAAAGCACAAGTATTTAAGCACTTTTTAGCATTCCACATGCTTATGGTGGAAAAGGGAGACTGGAGTGGTTTGAAAGTGTTTCGCATAGATAATGGTGGTGAATATATCTTTAAGCGAGTTTCGAGATATTATAGTCAGCCATGGTATTAGGCATGAAAGACAGTTCCTGGTACGGCGCTCAACACAACGGCGTTGCTGAACGGATGAATCGCACCATTATTGAGAGAGTCAGATCTGCTCAAAATGGCAACTTACCTAAGCAATTTTTGGGGAGAAGCTGTCAATAACTGCTTGTCTAACTTATCACCGACTACTTCAGCAACCAATTAGTTTTGATATTTCGGAGAAGGTTCTGGATAGGTAGAAATATTTTCATACTCTCAACACCTGAGGGTATTTGGCTGCAAGGCAATTTATGCTATGTTCCAAAGGAGCAAGAGTAAAAAGCTGATCAGACAAGTCAGTTCCTTGCACTTTTGTTGGTTATGGACGACGAAGTTTGGCTCAGTTTGGACCCAGTTGAAAAAGAAAGTTGTCCGGGAGCCGAGACGTAGTATTCCACGACAATGAGATCGTGGGAGTACAACTTGTGAAGAAATCCACAGTGTGGTGTTATTGATAATTACACCAGGAAAGCATTGGTTAACAAAAAGATGCCATAGGAAGAGGAATGCCAGAATCAGAACAGAAGAAGAAGAAGAGCCAGTTGTAGGGGATCAAGAAAAACAATTGCTAGATGATAACAGTGATGCAGAGGGTGTTGAGCAGGGGGAAAGCCAGAGGCACCCCAAATTCCACAGAAGGAGTTGAACCTCAGTTAAGAAGGTCAGGCAGAGAACGCCAACCATCTACAGGTATCCTATTCTGATTACATTTTGATTACTGATCGAGGGGGAGCCAGAAGCTTCCAAGATGTGCAATTTGCAAAAACAGAAGATTGCTGACCACAGGCCATGCAAGCAAGAGATAATTTTTGAAAAAAAACGACCAGTATGAGCTGGTGACTTCTAAAAGGGAAGAAACACTCAAGAATAAAATGGGTGTACTACTTGAAGAAAGATGATGGTACTAGTTGAGTACAAAGCTCGATTGGTCGTCAAAGAGCTTTAACTCAAAAGAAAGGTATCTGACTTTGATGGGATTTTTTCACGCAGTTGTTGGAAAATGAGTCTATTCGAGTTGTTGCTAGTCTAGTAGGCCAAGTTTTGAATCTCTGAGTTGGAGCAGCTTGGAGTAAAGACCGCGCATTCTTACATGGGGATCTAGCAATGAAGAAAATCTATAATGGACCAACCAGAAGGTTTCAAACGGTCAAGGGAAGAGGACATGGTTTGTCGCTTTTGAAAGAAGAGCTTGTACGGTTGAAACAAGCGCGCGATATGGTATAAAAAGTTTGATTCTTTCATGGTGAATCAAGGCTACACAAGGACAGAGTAATCCTTGTGTGTATGTTCCCAGAAATTCCTGATTGGTATTTATATCCTTCTTTATTGTGATGATATGCTATGCGTTGGACCAATGCACACATGATTTAGCAAGTTAAGAGTGATCTTGTCAAAAGCATTTGACATGAAGGATTTGGGATCGGCAAGGCGAATTGGAGATTATTCGAGACAGAAAGTCCTGCAGGTTATGGTTATCACAGAAAAAATGTATTGAACGAGTTCTAGAGAGGTTCAATATGAAGAATGCTAAACCAATAAGCACTCCGCTTGCCGCTCACTTCAAGTTGAGTAAGAAATCATACCCATCAACGGATAAAGAAAAATGAGATATGTCAAATGTTTCATATTTTTCAGCGGTCGGAAGTTTGATGTACGCAATGTGTGTGTCAAAGCGACAAGAACGGAGAGTTCCACCATGTAGTCGGAAGGGGGAGAATTGTTGTGGGGTCCCTCCGACATGTGGGACCCACATACATTTGAAAAAAAATAATAAAACAACACGTTTTTATTGTTGGTCAAAGAAAAAAAAAGAAGAGATTCAAACGTGTGAGACCCACACATGTTTGAATGAAGAAAATAGGAAGGAAAAATGGACGCATGATTAATGCATCCATTCGGTTAGGAGAAGGATATTCCTAAACTATGTACAAAAACAAAATAGAAGAGGAACACACAATTGAATGTAGAAAATTTTAGGAAAAGGTTCCCAAAATTGGGAAAGAGAGAAAATAGTGAGGATTGTAATTTTTGGGGTGTTTTGGAAAACACTTAAAGTACCACTATTTTTGTAATCTCTTTTGTACCTACTATTTTTAGTAGAAGAATTATTCGGAGTTTTTGTCCCGTGGACATAGCCCATACACGGACGAAGCAAATTGATGTAAGATATCATTGGCTTAGACTTGCCATTGAAGAGAAGCAGTTCCAGCTGCGGAAAATCCACACAGACAAAAATGCTGCGGATATATTGACAAAGGTCGTTCCGAATGAGAAGTTCGAACTGAGTGTCAAAGCGGCAGGAATGGAGAGTCCCACCATGTAGTCGGGAGGGGGAGAATTGTTATGGGGTCCCTTCAACATGTGGGACCCATAGACATTTGAAAAGAAAAAAAAAATAATAACAAAAAGTTTTTGTTTTGGCAGTCAAAGAGAGATTGCCTAACAAAGAAAGAAAAAAAATTTTGTTGAAAGTTTGGACGCGTGATTAACGTATCATTCGGTGGACGCGTTAATTACGCGTCCCCTTCTCCTATAAACAGGAGAAGGATTTTCACTTCACTTCACAAAAACAAAATATATAGAATAGGAATACACTATTGAGTGTAGAAAATTTTAGGAAAGAGTTCCTAAAATTGGGAAAGAGAGAAAATAGTGGAAAGAGAGAAATAGTGAGCGCATTTGTAATTTTGGGGTGTTTTTTGTTACAAAAACACTTAGAAGCTCCACTATTTTTGTTAATTTCTTTTGTACCTACTATTTTTAGTAGAAGAATTATCGGAACTTTTTGTCCCGTGGCACGTAGCCCATAACAGTTGAAGGGTGAACGTAACAGTTGAAGGGTGAACCACGTAAATCTCGATGTTCTTATTTTTCATCTGGCATTTACGGTAATTATTTAATTTTTTACCGTGATTATTATTTCTGGTAGATTCGATCGTCAATATCCAATACGTAATTATTAGAGATTTTTCCGCAGGCCCACCCACTCAGGATCAGTTAGAATCCCAACATATAACAGACTTGTTGTCCTCTAATTGTGCAAATTGTTATAAATATCAAAATTTTAATTAATGAATTGTTCTGACAAACAACCAAAAATTGTTTGAAAAAAAAATGTTATATCCTTATATTTGTAGATAAATAACTAATTAACATCCAAATACATGAAATTAAAAGTGTGTTTTGTTCCTGTCTTATCATTCTCTTCAAACAAAAAAAGAACCGAATTGCAAAATGTAAATTTTTATTTGTTGTTGTCAGGATTTCATCTCGTAATTAATTAACTAATATAATACATTGGATCAGGCAATTTGAAGGTTCGATTGCCAGTATTAGTCCCCAAGAGATCACTCCATTGATCACCAATATTGCCAATGATCCGGTATCCACTCTTCACAAGCTTTGCCCTTTCACTCGATTTGTAGAAAACTGCAGTCTTTCCAGAATAAGAAGATGCCCTACATCGCAAGAAACCAAGTCATTAGTATTAATTAGATGATTTTTTACTCTAATTTATTAACAAAAATTGAATAGTTTAATTATTGTAATTACTTGAGCACAAGCTTGAGCCAGGCTCCATAACCAGCCTTCTTGAGATTGTCGGTTGTGGCAGCTCTTTGGTCTTCAGGTCTTCCTGTTATGAAAACAATCTTAAGGCCAAGAGCTATCAATCTTTTATAAAGCTGGAGAGATTCTGGCAAAGCTGGTGCTTTGCTTGTTAGGACCCATTTGTTGAACAATGTGAAGTTGTATGGCTCTGCCCTGAAAAATGAAAATTGTTTCATATAAATATCTTATCTTTTTGGAAAATTCTCAATTATGACTGTTAACTTTGTTTGAAAATTTGAAATTTGATGCAAAAAGGTCATGTTGATGGTCCCACAGACTGTAGTTTGTCCAAAATTTGGTATTTCAATATTTCATTTAAAGAAATATCTTATTTCAATATTTCATATATATATATATATATATATTCATATATAATTATAGTATATATATCATATATCTTATTTCCCTTTCATTTATCTAAAGAAATGTATATATAAACCAATTTCAAACAAATTTCCTATAATAATATATCATATCTATTAGCAAATATAATCTTAAATCATATATCTTATTTCCCTTTCATTTATCTAAAGAAATGTATATATACACCAATCAAAAACATTTCTATAATAATATATCATATCTATTAGCAAATATAATCTTAATCATTTCAAACTTGATTGTAATATAAAATATATAATAATGCATCAAAGCATTAATTATGAATAAATAAACAAATAAATGATAAGTACATACCCAAATCCATGCGAAGCATAATAAGGTAAATTGGAGAGTGTAGTCTCATCTATATCAAAAACCCATAAATCCTTTCCATCTCCGGCCAGCACATGGCTTTTAGCATACACAAAAGCCTCATCGGTGACAGCTTTAGAGTCAAGCCTGTATTGATGCCCTAGCATATAATGTCCTACGTATCCTTCACATTCCTCAGGAACTGTTTTCCATCCAACAATATTATTAGTTTCTACACCCAATCGCCAACTAAGGCACGTCAACCCAGTAACTTTGCTGCCGGCCGCCCCAGCTTGTGGCCGGAGAAGGTGGATTTGGTGGGGGATGCTCACTTCTGCTGAGGCACAGGAAGTTGCTGCAAAGAATATTAGTAAGAATTGCAATTTCAACAATTCTAATCCCATTGTTTTTTTTCTTTTTGAAATATGATAAATAGCAAACTTTGCATTCTTTATAAAGAGTTGTTTTGTAACTTTTGACCTTGTATTTTTTATCAAATTACTTTGATACCCTTGATTATGGTCCACCACAAAATTTGTATATTTTGTGACTTGTGCAAATATTCCATTTCTATATTTTAATTAATGTTGATTTTGACATTTCTTTGTGGTTGTCTTTCTTGGAAAAAAAAAAAACATTCACAAAAGAATTATAATATTATAAACAAAGTAAATTATTGGTGGGTAGTCAGGAAGTACAAAGAGAAAAAGATCAAGGAAACAATTTTCATTAATTTCTTGAAATAAATTATTGTTTATTTATTTCTTTAGTGAAATAAATAAATTTATATATTTCAATATAATCGGGTTTTATATAAAAATCAAATCATTAATTTTCAAATTGGATTCAAATGATATAGTTAATATTAATATTTTTTTAAATTATAATGTAATAGTATATATATATATATACATATATATTATAGCATGTATATAAATAAATTACATACCCTATTTATTATCCACTATGCCATTAAATGTGGGCATAAAATCTATCGTAGTATCTTAGCCTACTGTTTTTGATGTTCCATTAGGTCACAAAGAAGTCAAAGTTACCGACAGAAAAGCAGAAATTGGATTCTAAAAGCACCATTATATGTGTATTTAATATAAAATGAAGCTTTTTTCCTGAAAATTACGTTGCAAAGAGTTGAAAATGGCGGCAAAAATTGCGGGTACACTGAACCCAATTGTGCATTCAGCCTAAAGGATCTGAAGAGTTGACCTAAAAAATGAATGGGATTGCATAAATTGGTCATGCCACAATTTTTTCTCATCACCTTTAATTAATGAACAAGTAAACACATAATGTATGATCCATCCATCAATGCCAATTGCTTTCATTGTTTGGTGAGAAATATATTATTGGCTTACTTTAATAGTAACATCATGTTTGTAAACTGTACTTTGATTTGATTTTTCATTAATGTGAGTAGCGAGTGTTTCTATACCTTCGACTATTAAGGTCTGTTTCGCAAAATTAACTGTTTTGATAGCTATTAACGTTTAATAAAACACTAAAAACTAAACGTTATATAGATTAACTTTTTATAATATAGTAATTTAAATTCCAAAAGCTAGTTCAATATTGTGTTACCAAACGCTATAAAAAATAGCATTTAGCAATTTGACTAACTACTTAAAAAGTTGTTGCCGAACACAACTTAAGAGATTTTGCTGATTTGGTGAGTCAACAAGGGTTTCTCTAATTATGTAATTCATCATTTTTTTTTTTCTCATTGAACCTGTTAATGAATAAAATAAATAAATACAAAATGTCAAAGTGAAATCTAGTTGTGGAGCACATTTTGCACAGTGCAGGAGATCAATGAATATCAATCCCAAAGAGTCAGATACAGATCAGCCTAAAAAATTTGGGGCCAACTAAAATATTTTTAAAATTTTTTTTAACACTAAAATTTGAAAATAGTTTTTATTGAGTGAGATCAGAAATCGCTTTGGCCCTTACGTGCGTCCGTCCCTGAAATACCCTACTATAAGAAAATGTTTGATGCATCAGAAAAAGGAATGTTTGCCCACTTGACGAACATCACACTTTAATTAGCAGCTAATTGCCGGGACCTAACCATATAGATTCTCATGTTCTTTCAATAGTTTCCATTATCCGCCTTTTGTTGGATAAAGTTCTTCTAATAATTATATTTTTAGATTTTGAATTCATGATCTTACAAGTAAATTTTACTTACAAACAGTCAATTTCTACTGATCCAACCATATCTTAGATACATATGGAATTCAAATTATGAATATTAATGTGGAGAAAGTTAATTAATTCGTCGGTGGCATAATATAATTGAAGTTGAAAGAAAGAAGTAAATAAAGAACATGCACATAGAAACTCGTGAGTTGCAGATAAATTGAGGAGACAGCTAGAATTTCTCATATGTGAAAAGCCACCCAAATGCGGATCAGGTTGATCCAGGAATCATTTTTCTGTTTCTGTTTCTGATTCTACAATGCTAAAGCTGTTTTAGCTTTGGGTCTACAATATTGTAGAGGACAAAACTTATCGAATCAATGCCTATCAAAACAATGCATTCGGTGCACTGTGATCTCACTCTGCATGATTATGGATCACATGCATGCATATATGCATTAACTAGTTCACCAATTCAGGGAAGAAAGCTAAATGGGAATAGTAGTCTTGCTCTTGATAGGGAAGAATAATTATGTTATAGTTATAGACTATAAGTATATACTACTCAAATAAAGCATTACCTTTCATAATTTCTGGGCCAGCTACCCTTTTGTAGGACTTTATCTTTATTATCTGCCTTTTACTTTTAGGTTTTTCTTTGTAAATTTGTAGGGTATGTAGGGCGGTGTTTTATTCTTTAGGATCAGTTTATCTTTTTGCAGGTGGAAATGTATTTATTTGGATGTCTTGGAACTATGTTTCATGAATGAAGGGAGAATTGGTTTTACTGTAGTGTCTTGTTCTTATTCAAAAAAATTTTCCTACCTTCCAATCTCTTATTTGTTATTGTTTGATATACTTCAGTATCGTGTTTTTAAGTTTGATATTAATGGAATGATATTTTCCTGCCTGTCAGTATCATGGTTTTACATTGTGGAATGTATGAACTTGTTGGGTTCCCCAGTTATAATGTGTTGATCCATATTCCATTTCGGACCTTCTGAACTTGGTAATTGGTCCAGTTTTTATTTTTGCTCTGAATGACGAAAGGCTTAAGCCCAAACTATAGCCACGATATAGGGCCATTTGATGTTACAAAAAAAATAGTAATCTGATGGTAAATAGTATATATTAGTCATAAATCCCGCTTCATCGTGCAGTTACAAATATATTATATACATAATAATATTATTTATTTTGATTAATGACATTAATAATTAATATATTATTTATGTATTTGACATTCTGGTAAAATTATATGAATATATATAGTATATATTAGGAAGGACCGAGGAGTACATTAGACAAGCTTTACGAGCTGCAAGAACATCATTAATATTTTTCATCGATTGCATATTTATTTTGTAAAAGCCAATAAAGAAGTAATCCTCCTTAAATTAGCACACACTTAATTATTTTTTAATGCAATCAGATAACATAAGATAATTCTCGGACCAACCTTTTCACACAGAGATTAAATCTCTGACTAGGCTATATAGTACATTGGATTAGGCAGCTTGAAAGTTCTTCTGCCTGGACTAGGTCCTGTTATATCACTCCATTGATCACCAATATTGCCAACAATTATATATCCTTGTTCCTCCAGTCTTGTCCTCATTGTTGATTTGTACTCTAGCGTGGTTGAGTTTTGGAATTCGTCACTCCTGCATCCATAAATTATTACAGGAGAAAACCATATTTTAGAAGAAATGGACATGCGAAAATGTTTTCGAAACGCGAAAATACCTATGATTGAGAGTTTGCATATATATCGTACAACAACCGGATTGGTAGAAAATTACTGGAAAGAATTTGTGTAATTAGGATGTTATGGAAATAGTTGTATTTAAATGTGAATTTTGTTATTTGTATTACACATGAACATGCAAATAATTAATTTAGTAGATAATGATTAAGAATTAAGCACGTACTTTAGTATGAGCTTTTCCCAAGTGCCAAATCCATCTGCAACGAGATTAACCACTGTGACATTTCTGTTTTCCTCACTTCTTCCTGTCAAGAAAACAACCTTAACCCCAAGTCTCAACACTTCGTCGTACAGCCTCTTGGACTCCGGCAACGCCGGTGCTAGGTCCTGTGCTAGTTCCGGAACTGTAAAAACCCAGTTCGCCGGCAGTATGGAATTCCATGATTCTGACCTGAAATTTCGAAATAAAGGCTAACTACAACTTTTATTTACAATAGGGTTTATTACAATGATCATGAACATATAAATATATACATACCCAGAAATTATATCAATGAAATATTGAACATTAGAAAGAACTGTGTCATCGATGTCGAAGACCCAAATATCATTAGTGCCATCTTTTGGTAGAGAGAGATTTTTGAGATAGTCGATAGCCTGATCAATCACTAGCTGTGAATCATCTCTATATTGGGAATGGTTGCCCACCAAGTAGTCCTTTACGTAATCGATGCACCCAGTGGGAAATTTAGTCCATCCAATGGTGTTATTAGCTTCATTGGCTACTCGCCAACTCAGGCAATTTGGTCTGCAATGTCGCCTGAGGATGATTGCCTCGGTAATAATACCTTGGCTAGTTGCAAAACGTGCCACTAAAACTACCAACAAAAGCATTGCCATTTTCATGGAAAGCTATTTTTCTTAATTTTGCGTGAGATGGTTTGTTTGCCTCTCTTTTTATAGACTTCCATGTTTGTATGCAACCCTATTTTCTTGTTTCAATAACATATCAGCCTTTAGAGTCCAAGATATTATTATGTTAATTAATTTTGTCATGTGAAGAAAGTAATTTGATATTTAATTCTGGGAAAAATAAAATATTCGGTAAAATATACAAGTACAAAGAAAGTAAATATTATCCATAAATATTGATATTTAATGATGGCTGGAAAGACTTTATCTTTACTCTTTAATTTTCAGAAAAGAAAGTAAAAATATGATTAAGAAATTTTACCTCATAAAATTAAAAATATTATTCCGAAAGGTGAGATGAAATGACAAAAATTCTTTCTCTTTTAATCAGAGATTTCAAATTCAAATCTTGAACATGAATCCTTTTAAACAAAGGGAGCGATTTTCCCCTTTCTTCAAGTGGTAAAGCAGTGACATAATTTTTAGTGCCTCAATTATACTGTTGGGGCTTTAATTATAGTGTGGTGTCATAATTATCATGCTGGGATTTCAATTATGTTGCTTTTAATGATAGTTCTGGTCAAAATATGACTACGTGTTATTCCTTTTTAAATATTATTATTAGCATGCTACGATTACAAATTCAAGCCCATTGAATATAGCCCAGAAGAGATAGAGAATTTTTGGTTATTAAGGAGTTGGGGAGATATTTTTCACAAAAAGATATCAAGGCATCACCCTTAGCCATTTGACCAAGGGATGATTTGCAAAGTATGATTATGTTGTATAACCTTTTTAACTACATTCTATATATTTCTTATTCTTGAAAGATATTTAGCTGACTGTATATTAGCATTCTAAGGAATCATTTCAAAAAAAAAAAAAAAAAAAAAAAAATAGCAATTCTAAGGAATCATTTCAAAAAAAAAAAAAAAAAAAAAAGATTATTAGAAATAATAAAACCACAGATTAAAAAAAAAAAAAAAAAAAAAAAAAAAAGATTATTAGAATATAAAACCCACAGATTATGAAATTACTTCTATGGAAAACTAACACATACATCCAATTAATAATTGATTGATACTTTAAAAAAAAAATATTATATCATTCTTCTTTGTTGTTTTATTATTTTTTCTCCTAATTAAAACATTTCTGTAATTTTATTTTCCATCAATTGTCGTCATTAAATTTGTTGGAAACATCCACTGTAGGTAATTTTTTTCCATCATAAAAAATATATATCCAATTATCCGTACAGTATTGTTTAATGTATCTCAGGGATCACAAAAATGAATGAAGATAATATCCAGTAGAATATTGTCACTTTATATAAGCTATTTGCTTTCATGTTCTTTTGCAGTGGTAGGATGTTACACAGTACTAACGATCTTCTGATATAACCTTTTCAAGCAATTGGATGAGACCATAAATCCTTTCCCAACCAGTTGAATTTGACCAGACCAATGCTTCTATGAAAGAAATTCTTTGTTGGGGGTGAGTGTTAATTTTAATTGTTGTCAAATCAAAAACCCACCAACAACTTTAATGCGTTCATACAATTGGCCATGAATGAAAGGCACCTGCTCAGTAGCAGCAAAAAAAGATCAAAATTTGATGCACAACAAGTTGCTATCTTGTCATTATTACCTCAACGGGCTTACAACCCAACCGGTGATCGGATTCTGCCTGCGAATTCTCACTTTTCTATGCGAACCACTTTGCAGTCGTTCAAGCACAGAATATGTGATTGAATCAGGTGTTAATCCTTGCTGCTTAAGTTTTGCATACAAATCCACTGCTTCGGCAGTTCTTCCATTCCTCTCCAAACAGTCGAGTAAAATGTTGTATGTTACAATGTTAGGGCAGCAACCTTCTGCTAGCATTTCATCAAACAACCTGCAAGCCATTTCAACTTTATCTGTTTTGCCAAAGCACTCAATGAGCGTGCTGTATGTAACGACGTCGGGATTCAATCCCATCTCTTGCATTTCCTTGAACTTCATGTGAGCTGCATCAATATCACCATTCTTTCCAAGGCAATTAATCAAGGAATTGTAAGAGATAATATCAGGTTTACAATCACTGTCCTCGAGTTCTTCAAAAAATTTAATAGCTTCATCAACTTGTCCTGCCCGACCAAAGCTTGCTATCAGAATATTATAGGTGAATACATCCGGTGAAGGGCCATCTCGTTTCATCTTTTCATAAAGATCATGAAGATGAGATATTTGCTTTAACCTGCCAAGAGCAGAGAATACTGTATTATACATGATAGTGTCAGTATTTATTCCTTTCTCATGAATTTTATTCAGCAGTTCAATGGCCTCTGTAGTTTTTCCAGCACTGCACAAATTCTCTAACATGGACAAGCACGCATCCCTGTCCCCTCTATCATGGTAACTCCACATGTTGCAAAACAGCCTATGAGCTTCACTTGCATGCCCCAGTTTATTCAATGTCCTAACAAGATAAGCATATATTGACCTATTCATGTACTTCCTTGATAATTCCACAACCATATCTAGCTTATGAAGTTGCCCTTCTGCAGCCAGGAGATCGAGTATAACAGTATATGTAAATTCATTAGGCCGGCAATCTTTTTCCATCATTTTTGTGAAAAGGAAAATGGTCTTGTCAACCATTCGGCCATTAGACAGCGCTTGGATCATTGTATTATAAGCCAGTAAATTAGGAGAACAGCCTTTGTTCAACATTTCCTCAAACAGTGTCAGTGATTCATTGGGTTTACCAATCTTTCCAGTCATTCTTATCATTATTGTGTATGTATACTCATCAGGCTCACAATGCTTCTTTTTCATGTCTTCAAAAACCTTGTAAGCCTGGTCAACCTGTCAAAATGCTGCAGATCAGATAATCAGGATCGCTGATGATGACATGCAGAACAAAAGAATAAATACTAAAAATAAAGTTGATTTATCAATCGTAGCAAAAACAATCCCTACTTCGTTAATTTGTATGCTTTACTATTACTGGGCAATTATGCATCATATGACTAGTTCAATCAGGCGAGCAAAAGTGTAAGCTTTGTGGGACTATATAATTTGCCTGCAAGAGAGGTAACTAATGAAATGATAAAGCCCAATGAATTTTATATCTCAAGAAAAAAAGGAAACTTCTTGTGAGTATAGACATATCAAGAAAGATCCAGTTTGGGAGCACCTTCAATAATTGCTTCTCTACTTCAAGTTCAGATGTCCTTATAGTAACTTTCACATCTTCTAGAATTAGAGAGGCAATTTCACCCTACCCTGTTAGGTTGTTATCTGTCTTCAGCTTGACTGAGTTTTCCCACCCTGATATTATCCTATCTTCAAAGCATATATTATTGTATATTATTATTTATGTTATAACTTTTAATTGAATAGCTAAGTGAAAACTTATTTTTCATTAGAGATATATGATGCTCAATCTCAAACTTTTTTAACATCAATATTCACCAAGGGTCCATTTGGAACTTCTTATAATATTAATCCAAGAGTTCCAGCAAAGAGCTCATGGAACAGGAAGTCTACAAGAACCTTTCGTCTTAATCTATTGCAAAGGATATCTATAGAACACAAACGAGATATGCATCCATAATTGCAACAACCAAATACTCCCAAATGCCACTTAACTATAGAAGCAAGAGAGCGATGTAGTGATGTTCAATCCACATAGATGCATAATTGCATTGTACAGAACAATGGTAAGCATAAATAAGCACACATTCAATACAACATTTTAGAGCACATTGGAAGCCTAAAAATCATAAAACCCACACATACGGATTCAACAAAAAAAAAAAAAAAAAAAAAAAAAAAAAAAGGATCCAACAAAAAAAAAAAAAAAAAAAAAAAAAAAAAAAAGAACGGAGGCGCAAAGGAACCAAACCTTTTCATCTTTTGCTAAAGCATCCAAGAGCATATTATAAGCAAATATATCAAGTTTATACCCTTTCCTCCTCATCTCTGCATAAACACTAAACCCTTTCTCACTATTACGTGACCTCAGATAAGCTTGAACCAAACATTTGTACGTATACCCATTCATTCTCAAACCCCATTTCTCTATCAGCTCAATACATTTATCCAAGTCTTCACTGTCTCCAAAAAATCCGATCAATATATTCACGGTGGAGATCGTGCCACGTAATCCAATCTTCTCCATGTCGGAGATGATGGTACGGACAATATCCAATTTATCGGGGATGCTAGATTTCGAGAGGATGTGGATGAGCCGCGCGTAGGTGAAGGAATCATGGCGGTAATTCGGGGAAAGGGAGGGGCAAAAGTGGAAGAATTTCAGTGCAAGGGAAGGGGAGTTGAGGGATTTTAAAATTTCGGAGGCTTCAGCTGCGGTGAGGGAGAGGGATAGAGAAGACAGATATTCCTGGAGGGAAAGGAAAGGATTGGGGTCGATGAGTCGACGAGACGTAGAAGGGCCGGACTGGTTGCTAGTCGTGCGGTGGGATTGGAGGAGGATTTGTGTAGCTTTGCAGATGAGGTCGCGGCGGGGAAGTGGGTAGCCGCGAGAGTCGGAGGGGACAGGCGGCGTAACTTCGACGGAGATAGTGCGCCCAGTGGAGGACCTTGAAGTGATTTTAGCTGTATATTTGGTGGCGTAGTGACGGCGAGCAGTTGAAAATGAGATGGGTGGACGATTGCGGCGGAGGTGTTTCATGTTGGTAGGCAGAGTGGTCCGTTGAAGTAGTTGGCGGCTTGGCGGTCACCAGCAGGCGCTGCAATGCAAATACAGGGAACATGGGTTGGCACAAATAGCAAAGATATCGGAAACGGCAACGTTACATGTGCTGCTTTTTATTTTTGGGCTGAAATGTAAATAGAAGGCCCAAGACGTTCGTTATTGTCTAGGGCCTGTATGTAAACCTCTTACGCATATTTGGTGATTTGTATAGATTGTCTGTAAAAAAAAATATTTCTCAAAAATAAACTATAAGCCTTAAAATGTGAGAAAATATTGGCATTTAAAAACTTTTTAGGATAATATAGTCTTTTAATTGGTCAAAGGGTATATTCAAAATAAGTATTTATTTCAAATAGATTTTTTTATGACCTATTTACCTACAGTTATCAAAGCGATAGTTAAATCAAGAATTTAATTTTTTAATCCTAAAATTGAAAATCGCATCGAATAGTAAAAGTTAATGTGATTTTTTAAAATTATTTAAAAATAATATGTATATATTTATGGATATATTTCTCATTAATTTTATCAATAAGATACTAAAAATTTATTTGAACTAATGTATTTATATAAATTTCTATTTCAAATCACGTAATAAATACAAAATGAGAAAAAAAAAACCTAATGACTTCTATAGTTGGCAAAATATTAAATATTAAGTTAAAATTAAAAAAAAAAAGTTAAAAATCAAAAGTAAAACAATCAAGCCATTCAATTTTTTATCCAAATCTATATTTTTTTTATTATCATTTCTAAATTCAAGCGCTTTATTATTCTAATATAATGATGTTTTTTTTCTTTTATTTATGTAGATCGATTTTTCTACTTATTTTGTTAAATATATAAATTATCGAGCATAAAAATCGACTCGAACTTAAGATTCAATTCATTTTCGATTTCAAATTAGCCATAAAATTCAAAATTTATGAAAATTAAATCAAATAATTATTAATTATAAGTTTGAAATAGAATTGTATTTAACTGATTTTAAAAGTAAACCAAAGGATAAAATATTTTTTATGTATCCTTATAAAAGTGGGAAGAGAGGAAAGAAATATCGGTAAGTAAGAAAACAGAGAAAGTAAAAACTTAAAATAATTTATTTTGATTTTTCTTTTCAATTTTTAGAATAATTGAAATTAATTTATCGCTACAATCAATCATTTCCTATAAATTATTTTCTATATCTCTGTCAAAGCAAAAAACATAGATGAGGTGAACCTTTGTTTTTTATTTTTTTAGTATTAGATGTTTGATTTGATTATCAAATTTTTTGATTTAAAATATATTTTAATTTATAAACTTATTTAAAAGTAAATATTAATTAAGTGTTTAATTAATAAGTACTTAACATAATTCAACTTATTACAATTATCAAAATTATATCACAAAATACGACTTCTTCTTTCTCCTTTTTTTTATTTTTTTTTTATTTTTTTTTTTTTGAGAGCGACTAATTTTAGTATAATTGAAATAAAAGGTTTATTTATTTATTTTTTCATTTGGCCTACGGGAAAAGGTTTGGGTTTTGGTCTTATCAACCGTTGAGATGGCATGATCACACGTTAAGACTCATGTAACTAGCATGTAATGCAATGCACAGGATTTGAATTCCCAAAGTCCCAGGAAAATGGCTGTTTTCTGCTTCCTCTAAGTAGCCACCTTTCTCTCTTACAAAATCAAGCCTCAATAGAACAAATTGGGAGAACGCAGCCTCAGAAACCAACTTCTAGGGTTTCACTCTAAATTAAGGTGACCATGTACAGAGCAGCTTCTCGACTTCGAGCTCTTAAGGTGAGTTCCTCGAAACCCTAGCTTTCTTTCTGGTTCTCAACAAAATGTAGGATTACGGAAGAACCTTTTGCTTATTTATTAAATTTTTTTTTTCCTGATGATGCAAAGTTAAGAGGAATATTTTTTTTAATGAGATATAATGACTGAGAGGCAACGATTGAGGCTTATCTCTTTCTCCGTATTCTCTATTTTATTGTTGATTGCTAGATCTGATTTTATTTTCTGTTTGTGCTTTTACCCAATTTAGCAATATTATACATGTGTTTGCCATCTTATTTTTTGGGTCTTAAATATGGGATAATTTTTTGAGTTCAGTCTATGATTTGCTCTTGTATTCGTTAAATTTTTTGGCGAACAAATAGAATATTTTCCTCAAATCCGATCACGTCTACTTTTGTATATCTTCCATTTGGGTCTCGAATGGGTAAATGGTGCTTTATCTGGTGGGCACCCAAATGCTAATTTGTGGCTGAGTTTGCTTTTTCTGCAAAGAGTTATGAGAATATGAATGTCAGCTCCACGATTTGTGATTGCCTTTGCTTTCCTCTAATAACATGTTTCATAATAAGTGGGTTAGTGGCACTTTTATTATTTTCTGATGCAATTTCATATGGTTCATCTGACTAATGGAAACTCTCATTTGTATAATCAGAGCAATGTTGGCAATTTGGGGGCTGTACGGTATGCAGCTTCAAGTTCAGTTGCTACTAAGACATCCTCAGGGGGGTTCTTTAGCTGGCTGACTGGGGGGCAAGGCGGGTCTCTCCCTCCTATGGACTTCCCGCTTCCTGATGTTTCCCTTCCACCTCCACTGCCAGATTACGTTGAACCAAGCAAGGTTAAGTCAAAAACTCTTGAAAATGGTGTCAGAATTGTCTCAGAAGCATTACAGGTATGCTTATATGTTGCAAACTTCCTTTGAATTTTTTAGTATCTTCATAAATTGTATTATTGCTATCATCATTTTCCTGTTTATAATTCTTAATGAATCTTTATTTGGTTGGTTGATTAGAATCCTGCAGCCTCCATAGGAGTGTATATTGATTGTGGCTCTATCTATGAGACACCCTTGTCATGTGGGGCCACACACTTGCTTGAAAGGATGGCATTCAAGAGCACTAAGAACAGGAGCCACTTGCGTGTTGTTAGAGAAGTGGAGGCAATAGGTGGTAACGTTGCTGCTTCAGCCTCTCGAGAGCAGATGGCATACACTTTTGATGCCATCAAGACCCACGTTCCTGAAATGGTAGAATTGCTCGTTGACTCTGTGAGAAATCCTGCATTCTTGGATTGGGAAGTCAAAGAAGAGGTATTTTCAGATCGTGGCATTTTTCTTCTTATTTAATAGGTTAATGGATGCTGTTTTAATTTTCTTGGTACTTTGAACATCCAAGGGTTTGCTTGAGGCCCTTTTTGGTCTGTCTTTATATTATCCCATTATTTATAGATTTATGCACGTTGAGGCTTGTATTGATGTTGTGCAACTGAGATGCTGCCATTCTACAATTGTAGTTTAGTTTTAGTGCTGTTTTGTTAAAAGGCAAAAGTTCAGTTTCAGTGACCATTGGTTATGACCATTATTGATACCTTCTCAAGCACCACAATTTGCTCACTGTTGTGAATGTGCATGCATGCCTTCACGTTGTTAATAGACTGATGTACATTTGTGCAGCTGAAAAAGATAAAAGATGAACTTGGACAGCTCTCTAGCAATCCCCAAGGCTTACTACTGGAGGCAATTCATTCTGCTGCTTATAGTGGTGCATTGGCAAATCCTCTGTTGGCTCCTGAATCAGCAGTAAATAGATTAGATGGTTTTATTTTGGAGGAATTTGTATCTGTAAGAATATGGAACCTTTTGACTATTGTACTTCAGATAATTTATTACTTCATTGTATTTTTATTCTCACAAGTGTATTGTTTTTGCTTTGATTGAATTTATATATTTTGTTTTATGGATTTCAGGAGCATTATACAGCTCCCCGAATTGTCCTTGCAGCTTCTGGTGTTGAATTTGAGGAGCTTATATCTATTGCAGAGCCTCTTCTTTTGGACCTCCCTAAAGTGCAACGTCATGAAGAGCCAAAATCTGTATATGTTGGTGGAGATTATCGCCGCCAAGCTGATTCACCGGTGCATAGTTTTTAACATCTATCGAATAAGTTCTTTCCAGATTGTTGATAATTTATTTGATTTACATGGTAACAAATTTTCCCCTTCTTATGAGGCTAGATGACGCATGTTGCTCTTGCTTTTGAAGTTCCTGGAGGCTGGCATAATGAGAAAGAAGCCATTGTTTTGACCGTTCTTCAGGTTCTGTATTGACCTTCACTTTCTCCCCCCTCCCCCTATTTCCCCCCTTTTTTCTTCTGCTTTTATGATGTTTATTTTGTGAGTAAATAATATAGTTACTAATTATTCTGGTTGAACTTCAGATGCTCATGGGAGGTGGTGGCTCATTCTCTGCTGGAGGGCCTGGAAAAGGGATGCATTCTAGATTATGTAAGTTGCAACCAATGAATATTCCTCTGTCAACTTAAGCTTAATGTTTTTACTTCATTCAGTTTTTAATTGTAACTGCTTGTATGTTTTCTCCAAAGCTAGCCTTCTTCCCACTTGGCTCTTCATTTTCTAAAACTGCATAATGTTTTTCATTTTTCTTATGTTACTTCTTTTGAATGCACTTGAACACAGATCTCAGAGTCTTGAATGAGTATCAAGAGCTCCAGTCTTTTTCTGCATTCAACAGTATATTCAATAATACCGGGTTGTTCGGCATCTATGCTAGTACTGTAAGCCCAGTTGCCCTAGTATATATGTGTGTGAATGCTTGCTTCGTTACTTGATTGCTTTCTGTCATCTATTGTTATCCTGAGTACTAGTTACTGTTGTAGTTTTTACTGAATGTACCTCTTGAGTAAGACTGGGGGATGTTACAGGTGCCGGTGTAAATTGAAATGGTACTTCCTTGAAATCAGTTGACTAGGTTTAACTCAATAGATATATATTGTCACCTCGCACATAGTGTCCTTGGTATGAAACTTGCATTTGCATGAAAACAATTTTTTTTTTTTTTTTTATTTTTTTTTACTTTAAATCATAAATCTCCATGCAAATATTAATGACTGTAGTATTTTGCTTTGCATTTGCACTTGATTTCAAAATAAGTTTGCTATTATGGAGTACAAAGACCCAATATCTGGCTAATCAACTTTGCATTTAAAATTTTTATGTTTCTTTGCATGCTGCATAATTATTGTGGTAAGATTTTCAACTCTTTTGGTTGAAGATCTGTCAATGTTTTGTATCCTATTTGTAGTTTTTTAATTTGAGGATCTTCTGTTGTGACAGAGCTCAGATTTTGTGCCGAAAGCAGTTGACATTGCAGTGGGAGAATTACTTGCAATTGCAGCACCTGGACAAGGTTTCCCTTACATCTCTTCATATTGTTGTGTTTGATCGGCTGCTTCTACTTCTGTAGCAGATCAGCAAATTTAGTTACAGCTCCTTTTCTTATCTTTACCCTTTTTATTTCTGGTTTCAGTTACCAAGTTACAGCTTGATCGTGCCAAAGAGACCACAAAATCTGCTGTACTGATGAATCTGGAATCTCGAGTATGTTTCTCTCTCTCTCTCTCTCTCTCTCTCTCTCTCTCTCTCTCGGGCTGATCCAATCTGCTTAGCATTTTCGTTATATTTTTGGTCAAAGCATTACTAAACTCAAGACATGATACTGGAGTTTATTTGAGGTTACTTTGCATGTAATTCCTCTGTGGAACATTAATTGAAGTCCTTCTATACCTACGTACTTTACTTATTTGTTTGATTGTTTCTTTTGTTTGTTAGGGACTCTGATAATTGTTATATGACTGTGTTCTGCAGATGATCATGGCAGAAGATATAGGGAGGCAGTTTTTGACCTACGGAGAAAGGTTTGTGAACCCTTAAAATAAATATGCTAGAACATATTCGTCTGTATTAAGTTTACTGGTAGCTTGGTCATTTTGGGGTCAAATATATGTGAAAAACTCAATTAAGAATAGGGAACCTTGGGGGTGGCTCATAAGTTATAAAGGACATTGGGGTCTGTGGTTGCAGTTCACCAGTTTTGCCTGTGAAATTGAAAATGGGATATAATTTTCTAACATGATATCATTATGCTTTCAGGAAGCCAGTTGAACATTTCTTAAAGACTGTGGATGGTATCAGTTTGAAGGACATTACAAACATCGCACAAAAGCTTATCTCCTCACCTCTAACAATGGCATCTTATGGGGATGGTAAGATTCGGTTTTCTGATGACCTTTTGGTATTATAATTCGTTGCTATAATCTAGCCATAATATGTATTTTGTTTTGGCGCTTGGCAGTTATTAATGTCCCCAGCTACGACTCAGTTAGCAGGAAGTTTCATGCGTAATGAGGAATTCGCATCATATATGCTTGACTGTGCCATCATCATTGGACCATGTGCGCATATTATTTCATTTCCTTTTGTTGCATATAGTTCAAATAAAAACAATCCAGGAAGAAAGTTTCCTAAAGATAGGAGGAAGTACGACCCTGCCATGGTTGTAACATCCGGATTGTCTTCGATTTGTCTGATCAAAATTTCCAAATTTGAATGGGTCATTTGATGTTTATCCATGATTATTAAGTCAGAGAACTTCGAAATTTTGCTTGTCCATGTTTAACATTACTTCCAACTTCTGGGGAAAAATGAAATGCAGCAATATGTATGTTAAGTTTCAGTTCTCTTTCAGTTTATTGTGGGATTTTGTTTTGCATCTATTTCTGGAAGTTCGTTTGTCATTAGCAAACGAGCAAGTCAACTGTCCATTTTCTGACATCTAATAATAAATTTTTGAAATACAATTTTTTTTTCTATAATTATAAACGATGAAAAATATGTTATTTGAAAAATATAACAACTCAATAGAACCATCGTAGCTATAACAAATTAACTTATTTTTAAATGTCTGTTAACTAAAATATTAAACTATTTAAAAATAACCATACACTTAACTATTTATTTTTGAATTTAACTTATAAGTTAAAAAATATAGCAAGTCAAGAGTTACAAAAAGTATTCATACCAAGCCAATTGATTGCCGAAAATTTAAAATTGATCATTTTATTCAATGAATGATATTAAACACAAATATTCATATAATTAATTTTTTATTTTTTTATATCTCCTCCCTGAAAAAAAATCACAAAAGTTTCTTTTAATTTTCTTTCAATTGCAAAATATTACAATAAAGAGAGAAAAATAAATAAAAATAAATAAAGGTAATGATCTGAAAAATAAATAAATAAAGGTAATTAAGTAGAATAATTCATTTAATTTTTTTATAAAAAATTTTAGTTAAATATACTTTAAAATTTAGTTAAATATATTTAATTATACCAAAATTATCAATTCAGATATTTTAATTACAAAATTTTCCATTCATACATACAAATAAACAAATAAAAACTAAAAGTTGAAAGGCGACAAATGTAATTAACCACTATGTTTCGTTTTTTTAGCTTTTCATCTTCTCAATAACACTGCTCGCCAATCTCTAGTGTTAAGATAATGTCGACCCCCCAAAAAAAGAAAGCAGTGTTAATGCTCTTGCCGGAGGAGATAATCACCGACATTTTCCTCCGGTTGCCCGCGAAGCCTTTTCTACGTTTTAGATGTATTTCAAAATCATTGTGTGCTGTGATCGATGAACCATATTTCATCAAGGCGCACCTCAATAAATCGGTGGAAACCAGAACGCACCAGACGCTAATCATCTGGGGCTGTCCACCCGGCACGGTGGATATCGATCTCGCATATCCAACTGATTTCTATGCTGTAGATTTCGATGACGGACTAAACGAAGCTGTTAAGCTAAATAACCCTCTCAAATCGTTTAGTGAACTCACTGAAATTTTTTGGTTCTTGCAATGGGTTACTTCTCTTGCTCCGAAACGACGAGACACTTGCATTATGGAATCCATTCACTAGGCGATACAAGAAACTGCCAGTTTTTCCAATCAAATTCCCTCGTGACGACTTTGGAGACTCTGTTTCTTTTGGACTGTGGCATGATAATGCTACTGATGATTATAGGGTTGTTGGGATTCCATTTATATCAAATCAAGTTTGGGTTTTTAGCTTGAAAACTAACTCTTGGAGAAGAGTTCAGGATTTCCCTTCAAGAAGTACTATTTTCCACGTGCAGCTGGCAAGCTTTCGAATGCTGCTTTGTATCGGATGTGCTTTCGGGGGTTATTTCTGGAGAAAATCGCTGCTTTTGATATTGCAAATGAGATGTTTCATATAATGCCGCTTCCAATTACGGTGTTCTAGACGGGCGACTTTGGACTAGTAAAGTCAATCTTACAAGAAATAAGCTAACAAAGATTCAGTTTTATGTTAGTGATAGTGATGGAGTTGGGTTAACTTGGAGCAAACTGTGTCAAGTTGTACCAAGAAAGTTTCGTTGTTACTATTTGGAACCATTGGCGTTATCCCAAGGATGGGAATAAAATTCTAATGGAGGGGATTCGGCAAATTTTTTGGTATAACCTTAAGAAGAACGCAGATGGAGAGAAAAGCTTGGGAAGGGTTAAGATTCGCAGTATGCCTGAATGGGTTGGTTCATCTATTTGTTAGGAAGGTCTTGTTTCTCTTGGTGGTAACAGTGAATTTGATGGATTAAACTAGCAACTGTGAGAGTGCAAGTTCATAATTTCATTCGAGATTTTGCAGAATTACTTTATATAGGTATGTTTCAAGGTGGAAAGAGCTTTGTTATCTTGCTTATTTTATTGGATATAATATATGAAGTCCCACTTGCTCCTTTTTGTAAATGCGTTCGTTCTTTCAATTGATAACACTTCCCCACAGTCACAAGGTGAGGAGTCTCTGTGCACGAGGGATTCTCTGTTTAATTGTTTATGTGTTGGTTAATTGATTTGCGTCTTCCTAATTATAATTAATGTGGTCATAGTTATTGAATCGGCTAGAACTAGGACTATCTGAAAATTGAATTCATGGATTGATAGGGTCTAATCTTCTTATTTTCAACACTGTTAATTCTACCATGCAAATTTGTGGTGATTGTTGTGTTGTATTCAAAGAGAACACAAGCAACAACGGTCTGACCATATTATTATGATTTGTATTTTGCTTCATGCATGAACTTCTGTAAACCGTATGTCTAAGTTGAAATACTGGAATTATATGTCCGAGTTTTAAGAGCATCAGGTCTTTAAACTGCAAGCTAGATTATGATCATAAATTTCTGTGGCTAACCTATTGGTTTTCAAAAGGTAAATAAGGTTCTGTTTCTTGATATAGTTTCTTGGTGTTCGTTATGTTGCATTCTTGGATTTGCAGGGACACTTGGATGGATGGTATGTTGTTGAAGGAAAAGATATTCGTTGTGCAGATGATGTAGTTGAGTTTTAGTTGAAACAGCTCTGTTAGTATTTGATGCTGAATACAAGTAATGTTTTTGTATGCTGTTAGTGCTGCCCGCAAAACCTTAAGATACTGCAGCAAATCTACTGTGATCTGATTAATTAATTGCAATTATGTGCTTGCTTGGCTGTATTTATTTATTTATTTATTATTATTATTGTTGTTGTTGTTGTTGTTATTAAAGAATATGGCTGGGTTGTTATGGCGATTGCCAAATTAAATTGGGAATGATGAACTCTTTCGTCCGCAACTTTTGTTTAGGTTTCTTCATTTAGTATCTACAATGATTGAAGGTCTGATTAAATCTGATTACTGATTTTAACGAATCAAGAACTTAATTAAGTCTCTTCTTGGCCCAAGAACACAGGGTCGAACATGAAAATTAAAACATGAATAAAAATTGTCTACAACATTAACCATTAACATTCTGCTAAATTCTCCCCAATCTAAAGCAAAATGTACACAACTACCTCCAAGTTTTGCAAGAAGTGTATTCCATCGAAGATGATGCTTCTGTTCTAAGAGAGCTTCGGGAATCCTCTTGTTGGCTGGCTCTTCATCATATACACGAGTGATGCAGTGAAGCGAAGAACATTTTTCAGCCCTTTCAATTCTGTCAATCTTCACATTCTTTAAATAGTGCCTCCAACGTTATGTTCACTGCCCCTGCAGCATTTTGGACCCCTAATGCTGTCCATTAGATTATGGGATAGAAACTGCTAAAATTTTTTTGGTTATCAGTACAACCCTGGAAAATATTTATTCTTGATAATAATGTTGATATCTACAAAGTGAAACAAACACAAAAATTTTACATACCTTCATGAATTTGTTTGCAGAGTCTATGCCAGAAGCTACAGACAGAATCCTAGGATGGCAAATGGAAAACAAGCCACATTGCAGCATGATTTAGTTCAGATTTGACTGTTCGCAGCATGATTTCATTTTCATGTTTCACATTGCACACGTATTTATTTAATATGGACACTCCTAATATGTGTGTATCATAACACATACATACATCAGCTACATAATATATTTTCATAAGATTGTTAATACCTAAACTTCAACGTCATTAGATCATTAGTTGATTTAAGAAAAAAAAAAATGATCAAGCATGTTAGTGGACCTATCAATGAGTGGTGATATAAATTCATATGAATCACCAACCACAAACATACTTTAAGTTTTTCTGAATGGCTACCGTCTCTTTGTGTTTTTTTTTTTTTTTAAAGCTGTAATATTTTAAACCTTAAACTTTAATTGGTCTTTTTTTTTAACATTCAATTCTCATCTGAGAACAGCAATTTATGGTTCGCTAAATATATAAAAAAAATTAATTATTTATGGTTTGGTTAGTCTTCTTTTCACACGTGGAGTGGAAACTCTAATATTCGAGACCTTTTGATAAATAGAGGTGTCCGCTGCTCCTGTTATATAACCCATAATGTTATTTCAATATATTAGGTAATAAATAAATAAAAAATATATAAAAAAAAATTGTGTATAACTCCAAAAAAGCTGAGGATACAGAGTACGTGGTTTATTTTTTGTGCTGAAGTTGCCATATTTTGATGATAATTTATTATGCATATCCAAGTTGTATAGTTTTATTTTTATTTTATTTTTTCTACTGTTTTATTATATTTATTCATATATATTTTTTATTAAAATAGATAATAATATTGCATAACATTTTTTATAATTGCTATAATTACTATAATAATATTGTGTCTAATAACAAAATTTAAAAAATAAAATTTTAATTTTTAAAAATGGATTTATCCAATCCGATTCATACCTCCACCAGCAGTAGGCGAATGGTAAAATTTATTTGAAAATACTGTATAATGATTGAAATTAAATTAAGATTATATAAGAAACGCATGTACGATTACGAAGCTATAATCCGGAATTTAGCAAAGAAAAACTGTTTCTATAACTATTCTCTACAATCTAACTTAGCTTCTGCAAAAGCTCTTCTACTCCCAATCTCTACATTTAACTGCCACAACGATTTTAATTTTTTTTTTCTTATTATTAATTTATTTTTTAAATTAAAATAAAAACTACCGCCCAATGACTTTCCAATCAACGGCTACAAATACGGCTCTCCCTCCAACGTTTCTGTAATTCTTCCTCACTTGCACTCCAAGTAAAATGGACACCATTTCTAGCTCTGCTTCTCTTTCAACTCCGCGGTTCCGCTGCTTTGATCCTACAAACTCTTATCATGCACCTGTCAATCACAGTCACAGGCCTTACTTCTTAACTTTCTCTTCAAATCGTAGCCCGACATCTAGTAGTCCTAGAGACACTCCAAAGGACAGTATGGGGAATTCTATAAAGTACGAACCCAAAATCATCGCCGGGGAAGCTGGTTATGTTCTAGAAGATGTTCCTCACTTGACGGATTACATATCTGATCTTCCTGTACTCCTCTCTCTCTTTTTTTTTTTTTTTTTTTCTCGTGAACCGTTTTTGTTTTTTTTTTTTTTTTTTTTTGTCGTGAACCGTTTTGTTTAGCCTTTTTGACATGCAAGTGAAAAAGGTGGGGACTTGGATTCAAAATTTCTTTTCTTCTTCTGTTTTCCAGTGTTTTTTTACTACTTAACAGTGATTAAGGGACTGTTTGGGTGGAAGTCCATGCAGTGTTCTGTTTCTAGTTTAATCTGAATAAATGAATTTACTTAATTAGTCTTTTTTCAGCAATTAATTAGTGGCTCCTTTTTCAAGGATCCTTTGTTGGGTAATTGATAGTGAGTGTCAAGAGGTTGTTGTCACTGTTTGATTTAAATTTTATTTGTTTTGTTTTGACTTGATGAACTATTAGTGGTGCTAAGTATATGCTCAAGGAATCTATTTCACTTTTTCTTCTTCTTGGGTTCATGCAGACATATCCAAATCCATTACAAGACAATCCTTCCTACTCAGTTGTTAAGTAAGTTACGTTTTGTCGCTTTTGATAATTTGTGCTTATGTGATCTGAGAAAAATGTTTGATTCATAACATAAAATTCTGTTCTACCACCAGGCAATATTTTGTTAATGAGGATGACACTGTAGCCGAGAAGGTGAATTTCCAAATTTTTCTGAACTAAAGTCATTAATCAATTTAAAAGTTCTGATTTTGGGTTTTTCTGTTCAATGTCTGCAGATTGTTGTGCATAAAGAAAGTCCAAGAGGAACACACTTCAGGCGTGCTGGGCCCCGCCAAAAGGTTTTGGATTTTAACTCGATTTCTTGATTTTGCAATTTTGAAATTTAGATCAGTGATTTCTAATTGCATGTGCTTCAGGTGTTCTACGAGTCTGATGAAGTGCACGCATGTATTGTAACTTGTGGTGGTCTATGCCCTGGTCTAAACACAGTGATCAGGGAACTAGTAGGTGGCTTGTATTATATGTACGGTGTGAACAAAGTTCTTGGAATAGAGGTAAGCATTTCGATTTATTAATTTCTTAATCTAATAAGGCCTATACATAAATTTACTCATGTATTTTTTGTGAAAAACCTTGTGCCACCAAAGTAATTATTATGCCGCTAAATTATGAATTTTGGTAATATTATACACCTCTTTAAACTGCCAACAATAGTTTTTAGAGTTTAAATACAGTTTTTATAGAGTGCCGCAAGGTTTTTCGCTTGTGTTTTGCCTGCAATTAGTCTGTCCTTTTATTATCATGCTGCTGTAGGATTCAATTAGTGTGCTTCAAGAGGTTACTGGTTTTTGAATACAGGGCGGATACAAGGGCTTTTATGCTCGGAATACAATTTCTTTGTCGCCAAAGGTTGTAAATGATATTCATAAACGTGGTGGCACAATCCTCGGGACTTCAAGAGGAGGCTATGATACTTCAAAGATAGTTGACAGCATTCAGGACCGGGGCATCAATCAGGTATCTGACATCATTCTATTGCAAAGCACACATGTTTCCAGCTCTTTGAAAAGAATGATGACTAAATGCTTTTTCAGGTTTATATAATTGGAGGAGATGGAACTCAAAATGGGGCTTCAATAATTTTTGAGGTAATTCTAGTCTGCCGATAAATAAAGGATTGTTTCAGGTCACTTTCCGAAGATTTGGCTGTGGTTGAAATTGTTAGTATGAAAAAAATAATAATAATTAGCTTCAGGTTTAGTTAATTATTCAACATGTTTCCAAGCAGGAAATCAGAAGGCGTGCCCTCAAGGTTTCTGTGGTTGGAATCCCGAAGACCATTGACAATGACATTCCGGTATTCTTATTTTCATTAGAACTTTCAGACAACGACGGAACTAATGCAGCTTCTGATCCTTATGTCATGAAAACTTAAAAATTTTCTTATGCACCTTCTTTTGCAGGTTATAGATAAGTCTTTTGGTTTTGATACTGCTGTTGAGGAGGCTCAGCGTGCTATTAATGCAGCCCATGTTGAAGCAGAGAGCTTTGAGAATGGTATCGGTCTTGTCAAGTTAATGGGCCGGTACAGTGGTAAGCTCTGCATCATTATACTATAGTGAAAATTCCGACTTACAAGTATTACAAAGAGTTGATTATTTTTATGGGTTAAAAGACCTAAATGCATTCATTTCGCATTTTAGAGGCCTAACTTGTTCTTGCTATCAGAAACTAAAATAACTTTCTTATGCAGGATTTATAGCAATGTATGCTACACTTGCCAGCCGAGATGTAGACTGTTGCTTGATTCCAGAATCACCCTTTTACCTTGAAGGCCCTGGTGGACTATTTGAATTCATTAGAAAAAGACTAAAAGAACATGGGCACATGGTTATTGTAATTGCTGAAGGTGCAGGACAAGAGCTTCTTTCTGAAAGTATCCGTGCCATGGACCATCAGGATGCCTCTGGCAACAAGCTGCTCCAAGATGTTGGTCTGTGGATATCCCAGAAGATTAAGGTATGAATGTTGTGCCTTAACCATTTTCCTGCCACTCTTTAATATGACCATTTATAGGCTTATTTGCTAATGCAAGTGAGTGCTAGAGATGTTTGAAAGTTTTAGTGGTTTAGGGTCCAGTTTTTAATGTGATGAAATTGGGAATAATTAGGGTTGCTTCTGATAGGAATTCAGGTTAAACCGAAGCTGAAATATCAACTACAAACGCTGGTATTAATCTGGTTTGTAGTGAAGGTTGCAGAGGATGATTCAGTTATTGTTTTATGGCCATTTTTTCACCAACTAGAAAGTAGCCTTAGCCCTTATGTATTATTACTGTAGCGTTCAATTTTCTCTTCTTACAAAAATATATAATTTCATTTTGCAGGATCACTTTGCAAAACAGAAAAATATGAATATAACTCTCAAGTATATTGGTTAGTACCAAACTTTTCCTTCATATCTTATGAAATAAGCAAATTTATCAAGCGATGGATTGCTTTATATGGCAGATCCCACTTACATGATTCGCGCTGTTCCGAGCAATGCATCTGATAATGTGTGTTGCACTCTACTAGCTCACAGTGCCATTCATGGTGCAATGGCAGGATATACAGGATTCACAGTTGGCCCTGTTAATGGAAGACACGCTTACATACCATTTCATGTAAGTTCCTGATACTTAATTTGCCTCTGCCTTAACCTTTACGAGCCTTTTTCCCCCCCCCTTAACAAATTGTATGCGGTATCATTGCAGAGGGTGACTGAGAGGCAGAATAAAGTGGTCATTACTGATAGGATGTGGGCAAGGCTTCTATCTTCTACAAATCAGCCAAGCTTTCTTGATCCCAGAGATGTTATTAAAGATGCAGTAGCAGATGAAAAACCACAAAGTCAATTACTGGATGGCACGACTGATGATACTGATACACTGATAGATTGAAGGGTCGAGAAACATTGATTTGGAGACACGTAGTTAGTTGCTGACTTGCTGTCAGTGATTCTCCTAGGTTTTAATGTAAGTTGCTGCTCTTTCGAAGTTTACTTTTCTTTTTATTATAGCAGTTTCTGAGAAGCATTGTCAAATCAGTTATATGCTCAGGGGCAGGGATGGATGTTGAACCAATTACTACTGTTGTATTAGAACTGAGCAAGTCTCCTATTTACTACAATAAAATTTGCCTGAGCTAAAATGTTAGACTGCATCATAACAAACCATGTTAGGGATGAACGTAATCATGATATATATTTTATGTCGCAAAATTTCACGATTACAAAAGAAGCCTAGACTGCCATGAACAAAAATGTAATGGTTCTATATTTACAATAAGCTCTAAAATGGAATACATACGGGCCCCAGAATGCCTCTCTTCACCTATCCGATAAAAGATTTCAAATTTCATCCGTTTCCTGTGAAAACAATGTTGATAACTTGCCTCAGATTAGCACAGCCAATGATTTTTATCCTCTCAAAACCTTGATTTGATAGAAACTTTTCAGCTGATTTGGGAACAATACACATTTCATATCCCAGTTTTGCAACTGTATTTACTCTTTTCTCCATTCTGGGTACCTGCAGTATCATGAGGTAAAGATGAAACTTAATAATAATCCACACTTAGTCCACTGAAAAAGCTACTAAAAGGAATGATATAAAGCGTTTCGAGGAAATAATGAAATGTTCAAACATAGCAGCAAAGATCCTATGATTATAATTGAATATAAGTTGTTTATAGTGAGAGTGATTGCTTAATTGTACAGGGTTAATAATTCAATAACATGCCAGTACGGTAATTCTTAACACATCAACAGTTTTGATGATTCCAAGGTTGAAATGTGGTGCTTTCAACTCTGCAGCATTTTAGATAAACTAATTTTGCTAGACTAAACTTTGACAATCATTGATCAGGGGCAAGTCAAAATCACTACTAAAATTTGTGGATTCATACCTGTTAAGACGTAAGAGGAAAGGAGAATTCGAGATATAACATAGAAGCAGAAATTTTCAGGCCTTGTGTTATTCCATGTGCATGGGGTATGATTTATGAAAGAGGAAAAGCAAAAGGTATTCATGATATAAACAGAAATTTTCAGAACTTAATAAATGAATCCTACCAAAGAGGCCGCTTTTCCAATTTCTTGACAATACTTGTGATTTATGAAGTGTTGAATATAAATACAAAGTGGAAGTTACATGATTACCGTGCGAAGCTCCCCACCGAGGCCAATTTCTCCAATGAATGCAACATTATTGGGAATAGGATGCTCCAAGAAACTGGTATTTCAAGGAACGTAAGAACATCAAATTTCCAATAGATAGCAGTAAACACAAAACCATATAAATACTTGTATTTATATTTTATTAGGTGGGTGAGTGAAGATATCAATTCTGGCATAGGAATAAAATTAAAATTTAAAGCTAATATTATTTGAAGAGCCTCTCTAAGTTAATGAGCAAAAGCATAAATATTTATACCTTTTGTCCCGGTCTTCCTTTATAATAAAATTTAAGTCAATTAATCTCTTCAAATTATCTAGCCTCACTAAGACCAAATGGTTGCTGAAATTTTTGCCTTATTCCACTAAGAGTCTGAGCGGTGCAACGCAATTGACAATGGTAAAAATAATAACTATTTCTGCTTTTAGAAAACTAATGATCTTTAGAGTGGCTTCCCAAACAAGATTAAACTAAACCATGGAACCTTATTTCCCCCGCTCCAGTCGATGAAATAAAAATATAGTTAATCTTCACTTTAGAATATACTGCTCCCTATGTTAAAAAATAATAGTCCTTATTTCATTTTTGAGATGTCCAAAAAAGATGATCCATATTCCTTTTAAAGTTAAACGTCAACAAGTCAAAAGGTTGTTTTAGACAATAAAATCCTTCAAATAACGCTAATTGATTTTGTGTGTGTTGCTTCTTGACCAAAACAATTAATGAGGAGAAGTTGGTAAACTCAAAAAAAAAAAAAAAAAAAAAAAAAAAAAAAAAAAAACTCGAGTGAAGTTGAGTACTTTTATTTGTATGGTACTGCGAAATAGTTTTCGACGATTACAAAGAAAGCCTTGGGTAAGGACTGCCCAACTTAATTTATAGAACGATAACTCAAACCAAGAAAAGAGTTCAGTATTACTCTCTACTAGCATCTAAGCTATTACAACATAGTGATCAACCATTACGGCCCAGAATAGTTCTCTCGCTCTTCAAACGAGTATCGAGTCATAAAGATGTCAAGATCGATTGCGGATCGCGGCGCGGGTGTTCCTGTGAAAACAATTGTTTGATTACATCATTGACAGTCTAGCCCTCTGATCGAGCACTCACAAGCCGGACAATGAAGCCTCTGTTGTATGTCCCTCTGCAAAAACCTTGGAAGTGCCTCCGATGCTAGAAACTTACGACCGCCTTGATTTAGAGTTCCAGGATGTGAATACAGGATACTGACCCACAAGTATCATTTCTTAGGGTTCCGGGCCCTACGTGGTTGCAATCTTGTATTTACTCGTTTATCTTCCATTCCTAGAAGTGTACTCAGGGCGACGACAGTAACATTCACGAGTGATCCACGGAAACGATAGACTACTCTAAAAGAAGACACACTATCTTAGGTCACTAAAAAGCGTGAATCTCAAACTAGGGACCTAGTGACTATTGCAAAGGCGGTCCTACAGAAGGCGAGAAATAAAGACTTTGTAATATGTATCAAACTATTGAAAGCAGCAAACCACGATTCCTCCATCCGTCGGTCCCTGATTGAGATTGGAAAAATGAGTGCAGAGTTGTTATCCATCAGTGTGAGTCAGTGAATTTTACCTGCTTTACTAGGCTGAATTGGTGTACAAGGGTAGAACTCTACATTCTAATAAGCATAGCGCAGCGGGAGGTAGAACGGAAGGAGGTAAATTTCTTAAAGCAAAGTATCAACAGTTGTTGGATATTCCAAGGTTGAAAGTGGTGGCGTTTCAACGTGCTTGGCGAGCGCATTTTAGATAAACTAATTTTGCTAGACTACATACGTCTTTTGATCAATCTATCTTGAACAACCGGGGACAAGGATCAGGAAGCTCAAAAGATCTTTGACTAAAGTGAATTTGAGGAACTTGCATTCAACACTTTTGTCCTCCTAAGACGAGTAAGACGGGAAAGGTAGTAGAATATCGTAGAAGAGTATATACACATTATGAAGCATAGAACTCCACTTTATCAGTGCCGTGCCTTATTGTGATAATATCAAATGTACATGGTTAAGAGGTAGTTGATTTCATGAAGAGTGAAAAGTCCATCAAAAGTGGTATTTCTGACCTCATTAATAACAGAGAATAATCTTTACAAAGGCGAACTTAATAGAAATGAAATCCCTACATTCCATATAAGAGCGCGGCCGTCTTTTATCCACCCAGAGAGATTTCTTGACTCAACTAGCATTTTGTGCTGACACTTTCTATTGAAGTGACGTGCCAAAGTTGAATAGGTACCATATTACAATGATGTCCCGATAGTTATCTCACCCCATGATTACCGTGCGGAACATGCTCACATCCCAACCGAGGGCCGACATTTCTTTTCTCCAAGATGAGATGGCAACATTACTTCTGGGAAGCCACTTAGGAATTGCCTCCGACAAACAGAAACTTGGAGTTGGTAAATTTTCAAGGAAACAGTGCCATTAGCACTACTCATCACTAAGTGCTCTTCGCATAGGCGGTGAGGCCCGGAGTTAAACTCGAACATATAACCATATAACATATCCTGTAGAATTATTAATATTATTGAAGTTATGGAGGTGAGTAGTCGCGGACCCGTCGCAAGAATTATCCCCATTATTTTCTTGGCATGTAAACATTAAGAGAAAATATAAAATTAAGAGGAAACTTTCTCAGAGCTCTAATATTAATTTGACAGTAGCTCGTTCTCTGAAGATTAAAGTATTTGAGCAAAAGAGCGTATTATAAATATGGTCTGTTATACACTAATTATGGGCTGAACGTGCCAGGTCATTCCTTATAATTAAAACTTATAAGTCAATTAATACAGGAGATCATTGGGACAAAATTATGGCTAGGCCAAACAGTCAAAGCGGTAAGATGACCAAAATGGTCTGAGCGTTGTAAGTGAATTTTTTTGCCTTATTCCATAGAGTCTGAGCGTTAATGCTGCATTTCCGACAAGGACTAATTTTCCGACGGTAAATATGTTAAAGATCTAATCCAATAATCCTATTTACGTGGGCATTGTGTCATGAACTTAGGATATCCAATATAAGTACTCTCTTTAGATGTGGCTATGACGCTCCTAGAATACTCAAGAGAGATTTGAAACCTCAACACTCATCGCAAGACCTTATTTTCCCATACCTTGCATTCTCCAGCTCGATGAAATAATAGAAAAATTCCATGCACGTATTTAATCTTTCACTTTGAGAAATTATACCGTGTCATCCCTATGTTTAAAAAATAATAAAATGCATGTCCTTACTATTATACTATTTTTGAAGGTCAATTGTCCCACAGTCAAAATGAATTTCCGAGTGATATTCTGCTTTTAAAGTACCTTCAACCACGAACCTTAGTCAAACAGAGTCAACTACGAAGGTTGTTTTAGACAATAAAATCCTTCAAATTATCGCTGAATTGATTTGTGTGTGTTAAGCGTTCATTTCTGATCTCAATAAACAATTTAAGAGTCGCGAGGCAAGAAAAAGTGGTGGCTAAACTGCAGAAACAAATAAAAAAAGAAAGACAAATAATAAAAAAAAACAATATTATCACAATACAACAAACAACAATTAATCCTAGTAAGAAATAGTAATTTTTATCCTATACTTTTCCCTCCACCTGAGTCTATTGAGAAATAACAAGAGCGATTGTCCATTAGTGATTTGTGAGATCGAAATTAGTGGGAGGAGGAAGACCAAGAATAGGGTATATCTGTGATTTATTTAACATGGGATGAGGAAGAAAGCTATGCCTCACAGCAAATTGCAGCTTGCTATTGCCAAGGAAGATCCCCAGCAGTCTCTGTCAGCCCGTGAATCACAACCCTCAGCGTGACTAGTGAACATTTTGAGGAGGAGAAGGACACACCCTAACTGACGCAATAAGGGAAAACCCGAGAGAAACAACAAGAGGCAGTGGAAACGCTAGGGGATCGGAATACACAAGAATCGGTATTAAGACTTTTAACCCACCTAAATTACCACATTCAAATAATGCGATTCCAATTAGTATGAAAAAAAAAAAAAAAAAAAAAAAAAAAAAAAAAAAAAAATCTAGTAAATGAATTTTCTTATTCTCCATGTCAAAACTAACAAGGACCATAATTTGTGGATCGAAATTAGTGGAGAAAAGACAAGATAGGAAAGGATATAAATGGATGAGAAAAACTTGCCTACTGCAAATTGCAGCTGCTATTGCAAGATCCCCAGCAGTCTCTGTCAGTGTCACCCCGCTAGTAACATTTAAAAAGACACCCTAATGCGAAGGGAAAAAAACACAAGAATGAAACCTAATCAATCAAAATGGTATTAAGCTAAAATTCCCTTCAATATCATTCAATTAGATATGATTTATTCAGTATTTATAAAATTGATGCTCTCAAAACGTAAAATTTGCATGAGATTCCAAAATATTTCATTGCGAACCAGCTTTCTACCATACAATAAATAAAAACGAGGAATATTCATATCCTATACTTGCAGAAGCATTTGGTCATCATTTCCATGTAATATATGCAAATTTAGTACTGTGCATATTTCATTCTACAACTTCAAGATTGAGGAGAAATTCCATTTTTTATGATTGCATCACGTCCTTACCATGTACCTAATGTTTGTAGAATCCTTCGAAAATCCTGAGCGTAAAAAATTCTAAAAGATAATAAAAGAAAAGGATACTACAAATTGTCCCACGCAGCAACTAGTACAGTCATTTAACATTTATATGTGTTACTGCAATTGTCCCCGATCTTGCAGAACAGGAAGAATAATGCTACTCGTTTTAATCCCTATTTAGAAGCTAATGTTTAAGGGCCTTAAAAGTATGGAGCACCAGCGCAAAGAAAATAATGTCAATCTCAGAAGGGAAATGCTACATATAAACATCAACTCACATGATCTTGGAGCATTAATCCAGCTTGCTTCTTAAGAACCTGCAATTCAAGACATAGGAAATTATAAATTCATGACTAGAATTTTACAAGATAAATCTAATACATTGTCTCCCCAATGCTTCAGCACCTACATTTGTAATTTTAGCTAACTATGAGAAACAAAACAACAAGGGAACAGCATTTCAAGGTTTGAGCACAGATATACACAAGGAAACCACACATGAACACATTATACTTTGCATTTCTGTAAGAAGATTACATGCCTACATTTGTACAAAATATAATCTCCTGAATGGCATTAACTTGTGTTAACTTAAGGAAAACTCATTCACATTAATCACACTTGATGATGCTGTATAACACAAGCAATTGATTGGTCATGGTTCCTTGAGTATGGAATTTATTATTGGTTTGAAAATTGAGTATTTGTTGTTGTCTAGCTTTGTAAAGCATTCATTGTAACTGTATTGAGTTACTCTTATTGTAAGAATAGATATACATATTAAATAAGGGCGAAACTTGAAAATACAAAGATTATCTTTCTTTAAAAGGGAAATAGGATTATAATTGGGAAAAGAGAAAAACAAAAGTGACCCTGTTTTTATAGGACAGAGAGAGTAATTTTTAATGGATTTAGACTCTCGAGAAGGGTATCGAGAAAAGAGGAGATAAGTTGGAGAGTTGAACCTTTATAAATTTATGTCTTCATTGTTCTTACTCAATTCTTAGCTTTGTTTTCTTTTTATTAATCTTTACCAAAATTTTAAGTAACCAAATTCCTCCCCCTCCCCCCCAAAAGAAAAAAAAACAAAAAAAAAAGGGGGTCAACAAAAATATACGGTAAACCAGACTCAAAATATTAACTTTCACTTACTGTAATTATCATTTCAGCTCTGCTAGCTTGGATCCCATTAACGGTCCTTAAAACTGATGAGCCAGATGCACATAATGCCTGCATAGAAGTTCAGAGTGTAATCAATGTGATTTATGGATCATTATTAATTCACATAAAGCCAGAAAAAAGAACTCAAATGCAATCAAAATCAAGCTTATCTTCATTATAATAGTGAAACCATGTAGACTAGAAAATTCAATAACCTAGTCAGATTGTGAGAACTGGAAAGAAGAAATCAGAGGGAACAAAACAAATGCAAAAAGCAATGTAAAGGGAAAAAAGGATTACCTGGATTTCAATAAGGAAACTACGAGATCCATCCATTATTACAGCAACAGCAACTCCAGCCAAAATTTCTGAACGAGCATACTGCTCACCTAAGAATATCTCACTAGGATTTGAGACAGTTTCCAAACCCAATTGTGACATTTCAAATACTCCTAGCTGAAAGCAAGAGGTAATTCTATAATCAACGACAGCCAAGAAAACGTTTATCTAAAATTATTCCATTCAAAGAATAAGCAAACTTCATTTTTTAAATATAAATTATCCATCCTTGTCATTGTTTTACAGAAATAGTCCTTGCAGAGATTAGAAAAAATTGCAAATTATTGTTCCACTCCTACAACATGGGACTATGTCCAAAATATTAAAATTGCTTGACCAGAAGTGCATTCAAGTAATTTCAGGATCATGCAGGAAAATAAACAGTCCTGACACCTATATGGACTAAGAATATTTCACAAAGAATGTCATTCAATATATGGATAGGGTGTCTCGAGTCAACTGACATGGTAAAGCTTATAAAAAATATGCAAGTTTTCAGACTCATGATAAATGTAACAATAGAAATGCCAGAGTGGAAATGTCATATGGAATTTAAGGTCTTCCATGAGAATATTGACTAAATTGGTAAAGATAACAGCATATAGGAAGCATTATTATGCATGCGTATCCATTGAGAAATAAAAAATATAATGACAAGAAAGTAATCAACAAAAATTTTACAAATCAGCAGCTCCAAAGGAAAAAAAGGGCGAGAAGTGCACGAAGCATCCCACGTGTGGACTCTGAGGAGGATTGATGTATGCAGCCTTCTCCTACTTTTTTGTAGAGAGGTTGTTCCGTGGCTCAAACCAGGACCTTAGGGTCACAAGTGGAGTAACTTTACCGTTACACCAAAGCCATACTCTTTTCAGCAGCTCCAAAGTAAATGGGAAAAATAAAATAGCACAATATCTACATTAAATGACAAATGTATTGCAAAAAATTTAAAAAAAGAAAAAGAAAAGGCAACAGCTTCACTATTATTCCACACCTCGTCAGTGGACCCAAAGCGATTCTTCACAGGTCGAAGTAAGCGATGAGTTGACTGCTTTTCTCCCTGGTAGTAACACACCTCTAATCAGAAAGCTTCACAGACAATGCACTGAAAAGAAAAAATGCCTTTGCCCAATATAAAAAGTTAAAACTAACCTACAAGACATTCAATTCTAGGCTGCTAGCTTAACCAACTACCCAGTATCCCAGTAAAAAGAAAAGTAACAAGGTACCAACTTCCAAATATAAAACCACATCAACAATGTGCTCCAAGACCCGAGGCCCTGCTATATCTCCAGATTTGTTCACATGTCCAATCTATAAGATATTTGGAAACAAAATAAAAATAAAAAAAATAAAAAATTAACATCCGTTAGTTCTTTTGCAACTTAAACATAAGCCAAAATAAATAATCGTACAAATAACAGCAAACCAACAAATGTGCAAAATGCCATTTTGATGCCAAACTATGGATAAAAGCAACAAGGCATCTTGAAAGGCACAGAAGAGTAAAAAATCCAGCAAAAGGCTTAATCTAGAGCCTTCACAAAAACGAAGGTAATATTCAAGAGTAATAAATCCAAGTAAAAAAAAAAAAAAGAAATGAACTTCGCATTTATTGAGAACAGGAAAGAAGAGTATTCAGAAGATATTGCCATGATGTACTTAGAAAGAGAGCAGAGACAGAGAGCATGTCCTGGAGTCATCTTCTCTGCTAATGAAGATATAAAACTTCAAAGAACAAAACAAAAATCTTTGAGTAAGCAACTAATGAATAGCGACTAGTTCCCATCCATCTAACATATACAATATCTATTTGGGAGGAAGTTTTATGTACTGTGAGATAAAAGCAAAGAGGTGAACAATGAAATCAATTAGCATGCGAAATTTAGTTGGCTTTCTGATATATTAGTTTGGAAAATATTGAAGAAACTCTTTAAGTTAAAGATGATAATTATTCTGAGGTTCCTAGTTAAAATTCCAAGCCAATCAATCATACCAAAAGAACTGGTATTCTTGTTCTCTTTGCAAACCGCAGCAAAGCTGATGTGCATTCCTTAACCTGTCACAGATCAAAACAATGTCAGCACTGACAAATGCTGCCCCAACTCACAATACACATTCATGTGCATGAGTGTGCACAGCCGGAAACAGGCATGCAGCTTGGGATTTGCTCCAGAAATGAACTAAAAATAAAATAAGAGCAGATTAAACAGAAAAGAAGAGAGAGAGGCCATGTACTTTGCTTCAGAAATGACAAAAAGATATTCTTGAAAATGTTCATTTAATGTACATTGTTCCTCTTATGATAAGAAGCTGAAGAAGATAAGCACGTAAAAGATGCTAATCTACTAAGTGAGTTTTCAGGTCTGTTAACAGCTTCAATTGAAAAGTAGATCTACATGGAATGCACATGTAAGACAGAGTAACTAAATAGACAGGTTAACCATAAAACATTTGCCAGTACAATTAGAAAAATGACTATAAAACTGCAAGTACTGCTCCTACATATCATTGTAAAAGAGTGAAAATTGATAATTGCCAAACATCTGAACTAAAATCGGAAATTTTAGATTGGTTGTCTATGGTGCAAAAGCAAACCTGAGATAGTCCTCCAGCACTTCCGGCAACCCCTTCTAAATAAACTGTCTGAATTGAATCAATAATTAGAGCACTGGGGGATAGAGGCTGAATTTTCCTTAATATGTCCTGAAAGAAAGTAATAGCTATTACTGTAAACATACCACAAAAATCTTCTAGATTGAGGCACTTGCATTAGAATATTTACAAACTAACCAAACCAATAAATCCAACTGCAAATCTAAAAAAATTTGCTTTTATCATACTTTAGGTGAGTTTGGCTATGATTTACGAATATGAAAATCCATACAGCAACAATAAAGTTCAGTTTGCTTAATTTACAAGATGCACAACAAGATGCATAAACATAAATAATTGACTTTAACTATATACTATTCCAATAAATTGGGTGAAATATAGAAATTGATCCATATAGACAAAATCCCAAGGATTAAAACTTAATTTATACAAGTCAAGTATATATATAGCTATATAATGTTATTGGCTCTATCCATATTATGTGAGTAACTAACTATGTTTAACCTTTACGAAATAATTATGATGCCTTGAAAAGATCTACTCTATGGTTCACACCCTAGTTTACAGAGAAATGAAAAGAAACATATTTTGAATTTATAAAAGTTAGAATATATTTTCTCCCTCCAATGTCTTTAGCCCACATTATTGATGAGATTCATTTCCTTCCTCCATACCTAAAAAGGCCCAAGTCAACGTGACAATTGAAGCAAAGGCAAAGGCACGGTTCAAAATAAAAGTGGACTTGCAGTAATATGAAAACATAAACACATTAATAAATGACAGGAAGGCAAAAGCTAAAAGTGATTACTGACAAATCCTGTTATTATACAAGTTCATAATTGTTACCTCAATGTCGGTACTTGAATACAAGAAGAGTTCATTCACTTCAATCCCTAGACGGTCAGCCCTGTTTACAATTTGCTCAACACTCTGCAACAAGGATAAGAAAAGTGACATAAAGCTTCCGCATTAATACTAAAACCATAGTTATTACTTTTCAAAAGCAACAAAGTAAGATCTATGGCTGGGGGGCCACCAATAGTGACCTCTGGAAATTAAAATAAACAAACAACTAAACCAGAGTGCTAATTCAAAGGCCTTCTATAATACATCCTTAAGTGAAGAAGCATAAAAAAACTTAAAGAAGTAGATCTCCATAAAATTGTGAGCAGTTGGATTCATTTTCAATCTCTCTTTTCACAAATAAAAACCAAATAGGACACCCTTTTTTACTTTCCATTTTTATTTTGGGGGGTGAAAAAGCATAAGAAAATCAAAAAATGACAAACACTAACCTCTTCCCCAGATACATACACAACTGGAGCTGGTTTACCTTGACCCTGTTCTTCAGATATTAATGCAGCAATCTTCAAATTCAAAGAAGTCGACATCAGAAGAGAACACTTAACAGTGACAACGAAGATAATTCAGGATCAATCAAAGATTTACAAAAGGAAATAACACAGCATATGAAAGGAAATAAGGAATAAACTAAAACATTCTATACACACCAAGAAAAAAGCACATTAGGCCAAATGTGTCAAAGAAAACTCATACCTGTAATAATAGAGTACTCTTGCCAACCCCCGGATCACCACCAATCAAAATTAAAGAACCTTCAAATTAAATTGGGCATGCAATTAAAATAAGATTAGAATCATCTTCTAGCAAAACAGGGACAACATAAATTTGTCCAAAGACTTCACTAAAAACTTGGCAGGCAAAGTAGCTGGGGAAAAGGTAGTACAATTAGATACCTGATACATTACAAACTTAGGCTACATCTAATTAAATCAAGGAATTGAGTACCAAAACCTCCAAAGTTTAGGAATGAAGGCCTAATTCTGATTCTTACTGACTAACAGAGTACTCAGAGTAATTTGCAGTCTAGTAAAATAATAATTCATGTCACAGATCAGAACAAATTCATGTTAAAATCAAAACAAACAGACACATGCTACTTAAATGGCATAAATCTATAGTCAAATAATAAATCATGAAGAACTTCTTGCAAGTCCTACCATCTTAATAATATCTAAAGGACTGAATTTTTTTTAAAATAAATAAATAAATAAAGAGCTGATAACACAAGCCTGTGACAGAAACAAAATAGATTCTTTTTGTTGCCAATTGCAATTGGATATTGTTAAACAAATAAACAAGCCATTGCATTTGCCAAGTAACTGCAGAAAAGTTTTATCAGGCGATGTGAAATAACATCAACCATAAATTCAACATGATGAACCACCCATACATGTTGAGAGCCGTCACCGACTCAAGGAAGAATTCTAGAGATAAAAGAAATGCTCAAAAGAAAGAAGAAGCTTTAGTTGCAACTTCCTTCACCGACCTACTAGAAGCTTCATTTCCTTACCTTAACCAACTTAGTTAGTTCATCTAAAGAAAGGAAAAGATGATATTATTGAATTTCTAACAGCACATGATATAAATGAGTAGCAGCAGCCAAAGCCTACAGTCTTTATGGATATAATGCTGCACTCCTCCTAAAAACTTCAGGATGATGAAAGATTCAGAAAGCCAAAAAGGTCAAATCATCAAAGCACTACCTTCAACCAGTTATCGTTATCAATGTAGAAGTCTTAACAAGTAAAATTGGCCAAACCTGGAACAAGACCACCGCCAAGCACCCTAGCAACTTCATTTCCAAAGAGTCCAGTCCTGAATATAATAACACCAATTTCTATAAGGCATAGATAAAACAAGTTTATATTCCTCTATCTAAAGTGATTTGGGACCCACCTATCCATCTAATGAAAACTTCTGTAATCTAGTTCAAAGAAATTGCTGCAGGGGACAAGTAACGTGCATCTATTGGCAAATACCTAAAAGCTACAATAGTTTGCCCCATTGCAAAATACTAATGTATGGCTGGATAACTTTAATGATGACCATTTCCCTTCTACAGAATGGTAGCAGCAGCAAGAATTCTTCATAAATGGAAAAATCCAGACCAATCAAACATGGGAACTACTGGGAGGTGATACAATGCTACAGTTGTGCTAATAATAAATGATGCCCCAATCATAGTTGCTTAAAATAAATCAATTTCATGAAATTTTTGGGAATCTTTAATAGCCAAATACATTGTTTCAGGGTTCCAGAGACTAAAATAACAGTATATAGATGTCAATATCACTAAAAAAAAGGTCCAGAAAGGATCATTAGATGCAAATAATATTAACAATAACAGCAACAATAATAACAATATTTTTTATTGTACCGATAGAAAGTAACAACAATAATAATTACAATAACTGACCAAAAATGAAAAATAAATCAGGCTGTTGCCGATCTAAATTACTAACGCCTTGGGCCTCATAGAATAGAAAAGGAAATCACTTACAATGGAATCCTCCAATCTGACTGATTCATTCTCTGATTCACCTCCGTCAGCCGCACTGGATGTGCCTCGCCATCCTTCACTGGTAGCCAGGACCGCACTGCACTTTCAGAAACCTGAATCCCACTCATCTTAGTCCCACTATCGGTACCCTTATCTGAAAACTGCTTCATTGTCCCTGCCTGGTGACATTCTCGACAAATACCCCACCATTGCCCATCTTCATACCCACAATTGTTGCAAACATAAATAGTTTTACTCTTTCCCTTCTTTCTGTTTCCCAAAAAAATCCCAGGCCCCAACCCGTTAACCGCGTCAGCCTTCTTTGCACATCCATATCTCTTTTGGGTCATCGCATCCTCATTTTCGTTGCTATAACGCGATAGCCTCATCCGGGTTTTGTCTCTATCACTCAAATTCTCCTTCTTCAGACCACTGTAACCATTTTCCTTTGAAAAATTATTGATTTCTTTGTCCAAACTCAATGAACCTGAATCAGTTTTGTTCCCTTCGATCAAATTTCTCTCGGAATCCCCAATTTCCTTTGGCTCCAAGTCTTGCTCATCGCTCTTCTTTATGCTCCTCTGCGTTATCATCCTTGCTACCAGTGGATTATAAACACTCCAACATTGACCTGCATGTTCACTATTCCCGGTCTCGGTAGAGTCAGGCTCCGTTATGGAGGATTTAACGGCTAAATCGGACTTGGTGTCGCAGAAACGACCGGCAGTGGCGTGAAAATGGCGGGGAAATAAGCAGAGAGGCTTTTGGGTTTCGGTTGGTTTTAAGAATATTAGATTACTGTGAGTGCAAAATGATTTTAAGGCTTTCATGTCTGGCATTTGCATGGGATGCACAGGATTTAGGGTTTTGATTTTCAAAGGTATAAATCAGGCAACCCGCCAAGTTCAAAAATGGAGCCAGTGGTTTGAGCTTTGTCTGGAAAACTGGAATTGGGAATTTTGAAACTCGGGGTGAATCGGAATAAAAAGTTTTTATTCCTGAAACGACTGCGTTTAGAAGGGAGTGCTATGTGGCAAAAATATGTTACGTGGCAAAACAATGTCAGCAGGATAGAACCACCTGATGATAATTCATAAGAGTCCATGTCACCGTAACGCACATAGTCACGTGAAAATTTTTTGTCATAACTAAAATTTTTTAAAATAAATGATTTTATCCATAATATCTATCTAACTAAATTATCCTTCTATTCTATTTATTTTTTTTATTTTTTCGTCAAAATAACTTAGGAACGATTACATTAAAATATTAATTTATTCACATATTAGAATATAAAAATTATTAACTACGTTGCATGTTTTAAAAAAATTCATTTATTTTAGAAAATAATGGAATTGGATTTTCTTGAAGCAAATTATATATGAATTTGTTGGAAATTCAATTTTGTAATTTTCAAATAAAGTAAATATAGTTTTATTACATAACGGTGATTTTAACAAATTTATTTGATATGATCAACATTGTTCAATCTTTTGTTTTTTTATTTTTTAAATAATATTATTTTTAATTTATCATCGTATAGTTACTATTATATATATTAAAATATATTATTTAAAAATATTTAAAATTAGGATTTATAAAAATATTAACTCATTTTTTAAAACAATATTTATATTGATCCACGTCATCTGCATACGTATGTAAACTGGCCTCCCTTAGCAACTCACACACAGGACAGGATGTCATATCTTAAAAGAGAACATGTTACCCTTTTCTACACGAATAAAACTCGTCGTGAGCCATTTATATACAAGGTAAATCAAAAAAATAATAATAATAATAATAAGATTATTATTGTTTTATTTTTCTTTTTTCAATATATAGATAAAAATAGTCTGATTTAATTTAAAATTTTATTTTATTAATTAATATATAACATAGATCCATACACGAGATGTCAGTAACTAAATGCATAGTTCCTTTTTTCCAATAAACACAAAGCCAGCAATCAATTTTTCATTTTCATTGTTAGCATGAAGGAGCAATTAATTGGCTGTCTACTATAAAATGTTTTTATATAAAAATAATATCAGATTTTGTTAGATGATAAATAATATTAGATTTAAAATTACACTTATATTAATCAATGACCATACCTATTTTTGTTTTGATACAAATTGTAATTCAATAATTATAAAAATTATTTTTATGATAGTTTACTTCAATAAAAAAAGTTATGACAATTTCTTAGGCATTTTAAAATTTGATAAGATAATTTTAAAGTGCAAGAGTATTATTTTCAAGTGAAAATGATTTATCTATACCCGGTATATATATATATATATATAAAATAAATCAATTAAAATCATTTTTTTTATTAAAAGTATTTTTAACCATTCACTGTAACAAACAAGTAATAATTTTCTATTAATATTAATTGTAAGACATATAAAAAATACTGAAAAGAAGCATACAAACATACAAGTAAGACGATCGGGTAAGGAATGGGATATCTCAACCATAACTATGATGAATTAGTAAAATGGTTAGCTTGTTGAGATTAGCACGCGTGGCATTGACAGGTGAATGATCCCAATCACCATTAAAAACTTAAGAACAATTAGCAACGTTACTTAAATTTAAAAAATTTAGCTAAGTCATAGATTATTATAAAGAAAACACACCTAGACAAGTAAATAAATCTTTTTAGTAAGAAAAGCGTATAGATATTAGTATAGTGGGTGAACTAAAGAATAAAAAATCATTAAATTCAAGTAGAAAAAAAAAATTTGTTAAACCCAGGGCTGAAATCGGTTAAACCAACAAAATTGAATTGAAGTGAATTTATGTTTTGATTTAATTTTCAAAATATTCAATTCGATTTTCATTAAAATTGAAAATCAAACTGATTATTTTTTGAAAATTGTCAAAATTAATTCGTTGTAATTTCATTTATATGGAATGATCAATTCGATCAAATTGATTTAGCTAATAGAGAATTTCAATTAATTTAGTTTTGATGATTGAGTTATGAAATTAACCTTTTGTACACAATTAATTACACCCACTAATTTATTTTTTAACGTCGAACAAGAGAACAAATGTCAAGATTTGAAGCTCCAATTATCTACATTATAATGCAAAGATATAATAATCCAAATATGCTTTATTTACCTATAAGGTTAATTGATTAAACAAATTTGAATTTCGAGTGCACGTTTCCATAAAATAATCTACCTTTCCAATCGAAGGCAAAAAATTATTCTTTCCCATCCCATGCACTATAAATATGAAGCATTGAAGCGTTAACTTCCTCACAAGAATCGTAAATACTACAATTTCACTTTCATCAATTAATCACCATAAACCTTTGAGTGATATGGCTGAGACACTTGTTTCTATAGCTCTGCAACAGCTAGCCAAAATCACAGAAAAAGAAGTTAAGCGTGTAACGGGTGTAGAAGAAGACATTGAAAAGCTTGCAAGCAATTTCAGATTCATACAAGGAGTGCTAGTTGAAGCAGAAAAAATGGAATTTGAAAATGCAACAATCAAGCAATGGTTAGATAACCTCAAAGACGTGTCCTATGCCATCGACGACGTGCTTGACGAATGGAGCACCGCCATTGCTAAAGAACAGACAGAAGAAGATGGTGAATATGGTCATAGTTGTTTAGATAGGCAACTCCTTCACTTCCCCGTTATCAAACAAGTATGTTCATTTTTCCCATCTTATTGCTTTTCTTGCAATGAAATCTGTTATCGATATGATACTGCTAGTGAAATTAAGAAACTAAATGTAAGATTAGATGAAATTGCCGAGGAGAAAAAGAGGTATTTTGATCCAACAAAAGCCAATGAACAAGTTGTTAGAAGACTTGTCGTTACCTCCGCTGTTGATGTTTCTGAAGTAAAGGGTAGAGAGGAGGACAAAAATGCAATTATAAAAATGTTAAAAGATGCAAGATCAAACCCTCAAGTAGTCTCTATTGTAGGGATAGGAGGATTGGGAAAAACTACTTTAGCCAAACTTGTTTACAATGATAGTGAAGTGGAAAAGCTGTTTGAGAGTAGAATTTGGGTGTCTGTGTCAACACCCTTTGATGCGATTAAGATAGCAAAAGCAATTCTTGAAATTCTGACTGATACAGCCCCTCTTTTGGTTGAGTTTGAAGCTATAATGCAACAAATACAAAAATTACTTAGAGGGAAAAAGTTTATACTTGTTCTTGATGATGTGTGGGAAGATGGACCCAGTAAGTGGGACCAAATGAGACTCTCTTTCATCTCTGCTTCCTTTGGAAGTAGTATTTTATTGACCACACGTAATGAAATTGTTGCAGAGAATATGGGTTGCAGTAGAGAGAACGTATACCAACTAGGAAGATTGTCTCTTGAGGATTGTTGGTCAATATTTAGTGAAATTGCATTCTTTGAAAAGAAAAATGAAAATAGAGGGCAATTAGAAGCTATTGGTAGGGAAATTGTAAAGAAATGTGATGGTTTACCTTCAGCTGCAAAAACTCTAGCGAGTCTTCTGCGGCTGAAAGATTCATGGCAAGAATGGGATAGCGTATTGAAAAGTGAGGTATGGGAATTAGAAGAGGTATGGGAAAAAGGAACAGACACACAAAGTGGTTTTGCCTCTTTATGGTTGAGCTATTATAACTTAGTTTCAGAATTGAGACCTTGTTTTTCATTGTGTGCTATCTTTCCTAAAGACTATGTGATTAAAAAAGATGAATTGATTCGATTGTGGATGGCTCAAGGTTATCTTAGGCAAACATCTGTAGATGATATGGAAAGAATTGGTGAAAAATACTTCCAGAACCTAGTTGCACTTTCTTTCTTTGAAGATTTCAGGAAAAATGATTATGGTGGTGTAATAAGTTGTAAAATGTGTGACATAGTGCATGAATTTGCTCAGTACATAAGAAAGAATGAATGTTTTAGTATAGAGGTCAATGATCATGAAGATTTGAGGACAGAAACTCTTGGTAAAGAAATTCGCCATTTAAGGTTAATGCTTGGGAAAGAAATGTCATTTCCAATATCCTTCTATAAGCTAAAGAATCTTCGCAGTCTCTGGATTCAATGTAAAGGGAATTCAAAGATTGGAGCTGCCTTGCCTAGTATATTTAGTGGATTAACTTGTTTGAGAACCTTAAACCTGTCAAACTGTAACATATCAGAAATTCCATCCACCATAGGTAAACTTATCCATTTAAGACAAATTGACTTGTCTTATAACAAGGACTTGAAGGAGTTGCCTGAACCCTTGTGCGAATTATACAATTTACAAACCTTGAACATCAATTGGTGTGTCAGGTTAGTAAAACTGCCTAGCGGTACGGAAAAGCTAATCAGCTTGAGGCATTTGAATAATATAGGTTTTGAAGGAGCTTTACCAAAAGGAATAAGGAGACTAACTTGTTTAAGGTCATTAGACCGGTTTAATATCGGACAAGACAATCACCAAGAATGTTCTCTTCAAGATTTGAGCTATTTAACAAACCTTCAAGGTTACTTGAGTATAAGGGGGTTAGAAAATGTAGCTGATGTTGGCGAGGCGAAGCAAGCAGAGCTGAATAAAAAGACAGGAGTGAATCCTTTAGAACTCTGGTTCGGTAGAGGGGATGTAGAATGGAGAAAAGCTCATGATAGCAAATTAATGGATGGTCTACAGCCAACTCCATATCTGCAAGAATTGAGAATATATGATTATCAAGGCATTACAGTTTTTCCTAGTTGGATGATCTCTTTAACTAATTTGAAAAGGCTTTTGCTTACAAATTGTAGAAATTGTAAGCATTTGCCTCCACTAGGGAGACTGCCTTATCTTGAATTTCTTCGAATATGGGGTATGGATGGAGTGAAAAGGGTAGGTAATGAGTTCTTGGGAATAGGAACTCAGTCTTCCTCATCATCTTCAGTTGCTATTGCATTCCCTAGACTGATAAAACTGCGGTTTGTTCGAATGCGGAGTTGGGAAGGGTGGGTGGATGAGTTCAGCAGAAACGGAGATAGTACTAGCACAACAATAATGCCAAAGCTTCAGACTTTGTCATTTGCTTGGTGTCCAAAGCTGAAGTCAGTACCAGACCAAATTCTGAGAAAGGAAACATTAAAGGAGCTAATATTAACTTGCTCTCCTTTTCTGCAACAATGCTACCAGAAGGATTGGAACAAAACTTCTCACATTCCTAAGATCAAATTTTGGAACTTCGGAGAGAAACGGCTGATTAAACTGCTAGAGGTGCACCTTTGCTTTCATTTGTCCTCTTTATCTGTTGTTGTGTAGTTGCAATTTTAAATTCTCTCTTTACATTTGTGAACATTTTTTTTTTTTTTTTTTATTCTTTCTCTTTACATTGTGAGAATTTTTATTTTGTTATTTTGTAAATTTGTACAGGAAGAAGAGGACTGATAATTGTATCTTTATATTTGTGCGGGAAGTAATTCTCTCTGGATATCAATAAGGAGGCCATTTTTTTTTTTTTTTTGTAAATTTTGTACAGGAGAGAGGACTGATTAATGATCTTTAATTTGCGGGGAAGTAAATTTCTCTGGATATCAATAAGGAGGCTTGAATTTCAGCAGACTGTTTTTGTAAGGTAGGACCCTGAAAAGAAAAGATAGTCAGCAAACTCTGAAACGAGATTATCTTATGCCCAGAAAGAGTGTTGAGATAATCATTGAAAAATAAAAGTTCCTCTGTTGTGTATTTTGCTATATCTTTTTCATTAGTATACTTTTTCTCATTTTCTAATATAATCATTGTCACGATCCGTTCCATGAGCCGCACCGGGACTAGAGCCCAGATAAGCTTAAAGCCCCCGAGACCCGTAGTAAGCCGAAACTACAAAACTTAACTATATCAATAGCTGTATCAAGCATTCAGCCCATATTATTATGCATTATAAATCTCATTATTTTATTATTCTTTGGCCAAATTTAACATCTGAAACAATTTATAGCTCAAGCCCAAAAATAAAACAATATATACATAATATGGGCTAACAGATTCAAGCATTTTCATAAATGATTAATTGAACATCCTCATCAGTTTGTTGATTTTATTCCTACAACTGCAGAGTTCAATATTAAACAGAACATTTAGATTTTGTAATCTCACAATTACACTAAATATTAAAATTAAATATTTTCTTCTTTAGCTCTGCGGTGAAAGAAATAGAGTTTTAACTAGGGTTTAGAAGAATCTACTTCCTGAAAAGCTAAACAAGATAAACAAGACATGTGAGTTTTATGAGAAATACTACTTCGACAGCTTCTGGAGCATCAAGCTCAAACCGTTGTGACATTGATCTAAGCTGGACGGACTGTTCCCATCAATGCCAAAAAACGTGGTAAAACGTTCAACTGTCAATTAAGTCTCCAACCAGCCTTCCCTAAGCCTTAACCTTAAAAACGAGGCTAAAATAATAATTATTGCACAATACATGCATTCACCCGAATGTGTAAGTATACTCGTCTAGTCATCCGACTAGTTATATAATCATGCAGGTGATTACACAGATGGCATAACAACAGCACTCACAAATATAAATACCTTCACATAATCACATCACGTGGAAATTAGCCAGTGGCGTCACCGAAACCCCCGATGAGTCGTCCTCTCACATGACCCATCCTCTTATGACGTATGCACCAAGAAGCCGATCCCCCATACATGGCCGATCGGTTTAATTCTCACTTGACAAGCTCTCTCATTATTTTTCCATTCTCTCTTTTCTTTTCTATACCAACAGGAGGACACCCTGTGGTTTTCTATATCATCTATATCATATCATCAGGTGCACACGGGGGAGCCGATCTCCCCATATTTGGCCGACGGTATCGCTGACCGCCCTCACAAACTCATGGTAACCCACTTCATCCTAATTCCACACAAACAAGGCATAACAAAATCACAACACAAATAATCAAACATCACATTTAAATACAACACATTAATAAACAAAGATTATGCAAATGTACAAATATAAACAAATATACAATAAGTAGAAAAGTAATGAATTAAATAAATAATAATCAAATAAATAGATAATTATAGCATTTAGTGATAATGTAACTATGCATGATGCAGATGGTAGAGCACTGTTTATTATTATTATTCACTGGTATAGTGAAGAGAAGGTGCTCGATCTTGGAATTTGACTTGAAGGAACAGTAGACAGGTCTGAACGATCTAAGGAAATTAAGAATGCAAATGAAGAATTGGAGTAGAACAAGGAATAATTTAAATGGAGAATTAACGAATTACTCTAATAAATTAACAACTAATCTATTTGCTATATCTAGACTAGATTCTGCCGAAATTTCGACAGCATCTCCCCTCAAAATTGGATTATCCACTTGTTTAAAGAAACACAACTTAATATATATAGATATCGATCATTACACACAGCCCATACATCGGGCGATCAAGCAATTTAATTTTTCCCTTCCTCCATTCAAATAACAATATCAATATTACATTTAACCCTCAACATATAAATTGAAATAATCTTCATTGAGCCAAGCACATTATCAGACATTTTCACTTCACCTTAATATAATTAGCTTCTTTAACTAGTTATCAAATAAATAAAACCTTTCGTACACATATATATAAATATAAATAAATCTTTATTCATCCACCTTACGGTCATAAATATACTTTTACAAAATTCTAGACTAGTCGCTAAGAATGATTACTTTAATTAAATTACACTTAGATAAATGTATCTTTTAAATGACTAAATTCGCCACTTAAAAATATGTCAATTAAAGCTTCATAAATTTTCTTCCATTGTGACATATTTATACCACTTCCAATTAACTTAATAAATAAATCCATTACTATATTAACTTATATAAAATAGCACTAGCTTCACATTAGTTGCCACTTATTAGAACCAAAGGTGTTACTCTATTCAAATTTACATATTATGTTCTAAGTAACTCGTATCACATCGAGAATTTAATCCACGGCCTCATTTGATTTATAGTCCAACAATAATCATTAACTCAAACTAAACTAACTTAAGTAACCAATTTCTCCTTTATAGTCTCGCTAAAATACACCTACTGTTATGAATTAACCAATCACATTAATAGTAGCTAAATATTTAAATATATATCCAGATTCCCTAACACAAATTATATTCAATTAACTATTTAGTTGAAATCAATTTAATTATCTAATAGTTTTAAATTTGGAATTTATACTAAAAATGAGGAACTAAGTCTTAGAACATACCAATCGAAAATCGGACAACGGTTCCACAATCTGCGCGAGGAGGAGATGATTCTTACTCTTGAGGCCTCGCCGGATCGCCGTCGACACCACCGTGTACGATGGCCGGAAAAGCCAAATGACCCAGAATCATGCAACACCTACACCAAAATGCTCGAAATCACTTGTAGAAGCTGAAATTGGTGTCGTTTTGAGGAGATAGTGTCTCGTTTGGGCGGATCGACAGCCACAGCCATCTCCACTCCGCCACTCATGGTGGTTTCAGTTCCCTCCACAGAATCCGTCGATTCTTGGATGGAAAATCTTCGCGTGGAGGAGCTGAGTTGATCAAGATTCATTTTGGAGCTTCAACTCGCAGGAATCGCCTAGTGTCGCTGGAGATCGAGGAACGAGGCTGTCGATGGATGAAGCCTCCGTTCGTGCTCCTGGGGATCTGATCATCGGGAGGAGAGGCAGAATCAGAACCACCATCGCGAAGGGGGCCTGTCGCCGCCTTGTTTCCGCCAAACGGTGGCCAAAAACGAAGAGAGAGGAGGGGGGCTCATGCGCTCGAGAAGAAGCAAAGAAAATTTGGGTTTCTAGACTATTTCGGTTTGATTCGAACTGGTTTAGTCCAAATCGGTGGTTTGACTCGATTTTTATTTGTTTTATGGATTTTTCACCTGGTTTTTCCGAAATTTCAATCGGGTTTACGGGTCCAATTAATTTATTTTAATTGATTTAATATTTAACGCCCAAAATAATTCTTAAGGAGTTTAGAAAATTCTCTATTAGGAGTTACGATACTATACTTTGGGCTTGGGATCAACTCGCGGATCTATATTACACGGTATTTGCAGCCCACGCAATCAAAATTTCTGATTTTTAATTTAATAAAATTTAAAAGTTTCGAAAATAAAATTACGGGATGTTTCACGTGGATGATTCATGTGATTCTGCTGTTGTATTTGTTATTAATGTCCATTTATGATTATAACTTGGAATGTTTATGTAGCTGTTTGTAATTTTATTCTTTAAGCTTTGCTGTCTACAAACACCTCCACGAGCTCAAACTTAAAGACCATTTTTGCACGCTAACTGCTGTGTCAAGACATGGGCCATTAATTCTCCCAACCTCAGCACTTACAGTCATTGAAGAAGGTCTTCTATTGCATGTGTAAATGTCATGGTCATATTTAATAGTGTGTATACTCCATGTGTCAGGTTGTTGATCTTATTTCATTAATTTACAAGCATCAGATTAATCACAAACTAGCAAACACGTGTTCAGAGTTTAAAAATTTGTTAAAGATTTAAAATGCAGCATTCATAGTATCATTCTATTACCATAATTAATTATTAATACAGTACAAAAATTGGACCAAACAAATCTATTGCTGTGCCACACAAATCTAGGAGTATCGTGTCATGATCAAATACACTTACGAACTTATATGAAAATTTGATTTTTTTTTTTTTTTTTTTTGTTATGGGATTAATTTCGTTTTAATGTTTTATGATTGCTCTTTTTTGATTAAATCTCTAATTTGTTGTCTCCCTTAATTTTTGAAAATTAGTTGTTACCAAACTTTTAAGATCTTCGTAAATGGGATGTTGAAAACGTAGCAAATCTCTTTTGAGGGCATATGCACTTAAATTACATAAATGACCTTAGATGTCACCATTTATTTATAGCGTTTCTAAAACAAAGTTATTCATTTCCTTTATTAGCAATAATGAATTAGATTAATTATAAATTATTGAATAATAATACTCCCTCCGTCCCAAAAATATAGTCCATATTTTTTCTTTTTGGTTTGTCATGAAATATAGTATATTTTCCTTCTTTTTTTTTTTTGCATTGTAGTTAATCATTCAATTGTTTACTATACCTTTGTTAAATTACCTTATTTTCAATAACCCTCATTAATTATTAATTATTATTTCAATACTCATGTGTTATTTAAGATATCCATAATAGGAAAGTTATATTAATAAAATGGTCTTTTAACCATATTTTTTAATTTGTGTGAAAATAAAAAGTAGATTATCTTTTTGGAACGAAAGTAGTAGATTATCTTTTTGGAACGAAAGTAGTATATGATTTTCTACTTTTTTTTTTCCCCAAAAATTTATAACCCATTCAAATAACATAATAATATTATTATGCAGCAATTTAAAATTAAATTACAATTTATCATCATATGAAAAATATCTAAAAACAATTGCCACCTCCATTTAGTTACAAGTGCTTCTTTTTTTTTTTTAACTTCAGTTGTCATTTCAGCATACTAAAAAGTATTAATTATTTTTAAAAACTATTAATAACAGGATATTATTTCGCCCGATGAATTTAAAAAAAGTTAATAAATATTCATTTCGTTCCATTTTATTTATATAGTTCGACAAAAAACGCATATTAAAAATTTAATTAATAAAAATTATTTTATTATTTTTTATCTTTAATTCAAATATATCAATAAAAATCATTCATTTAATGGATAATCATAAAAGTTATTATGAGAAAATTAATTATCTAAATATATAAATTTAGAAATCTTACAAATAATTTAGAGCAGAAGAAGTATTAAAAATAAAAAAAATATAATAAAATTAAAATAGAAAAAAGGAAAATTATGTAAAAAAAAAAAAAAAAAAATTAAAAATAAAAAAAATATAATAAAATTAAAATAGAAAAAAGGAAAATTATGTATAAAAAAAAAAAAAAAAAGCAATCGAAAAAAAAAAAAAAAAGCAACGGGCCAACACATGCGGAACCTGTCCCTAAATCAAACGTACTGTCATTTGTCAATGACGAGGTGGCCAGAAATTGGAGGGAAAATTAATTACATAACAGAATAACATTTAATTGACGTGTTAATTATTTCAAAATAAAAATTAATACTGCTACTATTTATTTGTTTTATCTATTGTCTAAATTAATAATTAAGACAGTGAACTAATTCAAAAACACAGAGTAATCGTATTTTTTTAATTAAAAACAGAAGATGTCTCTTGACCTTGGTAGCTTCCTTTTGGTTATCAACTTGGAATAAGAATCTGTTTCTTTCTCTCACTAATTAAGCTTTTGAAGATCACATTCAACAGGACACAAGACAAAACCCCAATATAGGCTGCGTGTTTTATTACAACACTGATTTTGAAAACAGAAAGCACTTTATAATCAAAAAAAGATTGGATTTTGGTTACAAAAAAGAGGATTGTGGCCAAGGAGAGAGAAAAAGACCGATGCAGTTTCTAACAGAGACTAAAAACAGTAATTAAAGCGTTACTGTTTAGTTGATTCACATTTCAGAATCAATTTGATACCACCTCTTTTTAATTGTAAGTCCTCCGTTTATCCCTCTCAAAATCAATACAAATTGAATCGAGTTTATGAGTTTTGATTACTTTATGGTTCTTTGTGGCTTAAAATTGACACGGGTTTCCTTCTGATTTTGGGTATGACCGGTCTTCAGTTGAACTGGGTTTTGCTTTTTTTTTTTTTTGCTTACTATGATTATTTTTTATGTTGATCTCGTTGGTTTAAGTGAATTTTTTATTTAAATTTTTATGGAATTTGGTTTGAACAGAAAGGGGCTTTTTTTTTTTTTTTTTTTTTTTTTTTTTTTGCGTGTGTGTTTAATGATCTTCTAGGCTTTTGTGGTTTAATCTGTGATTGGTAAAGTCCTTCAGTTCTGGGCTTGAACCTCCATTTGTTGCTTATTTTGAAGTTTTCAACATTATTGTTCATATAATAAGGTGTGGATCGTGTTTTATTTAGTATGTTCATAACTATATAAGTGCTGGCGATTTAGTTCTTCCTATATTGGGAATTGACATATGCTTCTCTTGATTATATATGCTATGTGGTGCTGTTGCTTATATATTTTTCCTTTTTATTCTATTTCTCAATCTGATGCAGAGATGCTAATATTTCTATTCTTGGCATTTTAGATGGACGATGATGACGAAGACCTATGATTTACTTCTCTGTCTTTATGTGCATGCATAAATTTAACTGCAATTAGAGGTTCTAATTGTAATATGATGAAAGATAAGAAAGATATTAGGCCTGTTCTATTCAAAATTGGGGCTGCTTTAGCCCTTTCTTTTGCTGGATTTCTGTTTTCTCGCATGAAAAGCAGAAGGGCCAAATTTCCTCGGCTTGATCGCTCCCCGAGCTCTTCAGGTGCTGCAGACCGTTGGTTGCTAACTAGTCTTAATAAAATCTTGGTTTTCGTATTTGTGTCCAGCTTTTTAATTGTACTATTTATGTTTTCAGATCATGATGATGGAAGAAGAGCTGCAATGAAGAAAACCCCGAATTCGGGCAGCATCAAAGTTCCAGCAGAAAGAAATGTAAGTTCTTTTCATATTTTTGTTACATTGAGTAGTTGATTTCTTTTTGCTAACCTTAAACTGTGTTTTAAATCTGTCTTGTTATATCTGCTCATTTTCTTATTCTATCGTAATAACATGAGATTTTAGCCGTCTGTAAAATTATTTTTTGCTTGTTTCAATGCAATAAGTACAGGTTTGTCGTGACTGAATCCAAGAAAGTAACTCATCTCAGCTTCCTACTTGTCAAGACTTATAGTTGATTGTAGCTATTTATTCAAATAGAAATTGGTTACTAATGGTGGTTATGTTTTTAACTTAAAAAACATTATTTCTGGGTTTTTGTCTGACAGGAAGATGCATGCTTGCTCAAGGTTGCAGATGATAACACCATGGTTGTTCCTTCTCCAAGTGCTACATGTGATGGAGATAAAGATGGGTACCTCCTTCCAGAATTTAATGATCTTGTGCAGGAATTGGACTTTAATGCCCTAAATGCCAGGTTATCTCCAAAGAAGGACCTAGAAACACATGGGTCAGACATGGAAACTCCAAAAGCATTTAGTAGTAAGGAAATGGATGATTGTGAGCAAGAGATTATACATCTGAAGGCCATTGTTGGAAGGCTTCAAGAGAGGGAGAAAAATCTTGAGGACCAATTGCTGGAGTGTTATGGCCTTAAAGAGCAAGAAACTGCCATGATAGAGTTGCAGAACCGTCTAAAGATAAATCATGTGGAAACTAAGCTTTTGACCCTCAAGATTAAGAACTTGCAGGAAGATAATCAACGACTACAGGCACAATTGGCTGATCAAGCAAAAATTGTTGCTGATCTTGATGCCGCAAGAGCAAAAATTAAATTGCTTAGGAAGATGCTGAAATCTGAAGCTGAGCGGAACAAGGAACAGATCTTAGCTCTTCAAAAAAGAGTAGCTAGGCTGCAAGAACAAGAAATCAAGGCTGCTGCAACTGATTCAGATATTCAATCAAAGTTGGAAACGCTGAAGGATTTGGAGGCCGAGGCAGAAGATTTAAGACAGTCTAACTCTAGATTGCATCTAGAAAATTTCGAATTGGCTTGTAAGTTGGAGTCCACCCAAATTCTTGCAAATCCAGAGGTATTCTATTCATTTTTGAAATCTCTCTCTTGTTTATTTATTTTTATAACCAATATTCTTGTACTAAATTTCTAGGCTGATTTTGTCGCAGATTGAAGCGCTTAGAGCACTTAGCAACCAGTTGAGACAGGAAAATGAGGAATTGGTGAAAGAAGTTGAGCGACTTCAGACAGACAGATGTACTGATGTTGAGGAATTAGTCTATCTGCGATGGATCAATGCTTGCTTGAGATATGAATTGCGCAATTTTCAGCCCCTACAAGGTAAAACAGTTGCAAGAGACCTAAGCAAATCTCTCAGTCCCAAGTCTGAGGAGAAAGCGAAACAACTAATACTTGAATATGCAAATATTGAAGGGACTGGAGAGAAAGGGATCGACATTATGGATCTTGAGTGTGATCAGTGGTCATCCTGTCACACTTCATATATTTTAGACCCAACAGACTTCGATGATTCTTCAGTTTCAACAAAAACCAAAAACTCAAGCAAAGACAAAATATTCAACAAGCTTAGGAAACTTATTCTGGGAAAAGACATTCAACATCATAATCATGGGTCATCATCTGGCAAAAGTGGAGCAGAAGATTCAGATTCGCCACGTGGCAGTTCATGCATTTCAACTACAACTGATGCTGCAAGTGATCTGCAATCTAACAGAGCAAAAAGCCAGTCTCCAGATTTACCTAGGCATTCAGCTAGATATTCTGTAGATATCCGGAGACTGAAGAATCCGACCACAGATGAAATGCAGGATATCAAAATGGTTCGAAGAAATAGTGACTCAGTGTGGCATAGAAGATATTTATCTGGTGGGATAACTGCTAACAATTTGTTGCCAGAAAATCAAGATTCATACCCTATTGAGAAATCTGAATTATTGAAGTTCGCACAAGTTCTGAAGGACTCTGGTAGTGGAACAGGAAAGATACATAGAAAATCAGCATCGCTTGGTGCATTTTGAGACTGTTTCACAATAATCTTACTTCATTGCCTATGTCTGTATACTATTGTCAGTGTAAATGACTCGTATACCATAGAAACTAATTCACAAAATGGAATTTTAGTAATAAAACAACACAGAATGTAATTTTTATACTTGAGGATAGTGAACCAGTAATCTTTCCATGTTTTTGGAGTATCAGTATAGAATTTCTTTTTCATACTTCGTCATTTTAATTGACTCTTCTTTTTGTTTGTAATGATATTTCTATTCTCTCTAGAAAAAGTAGAGAGCATGTAGCAAAATCAAACGCGTGTAAGACCGATTTTCGTTTCGGGTAGGACTTAGTAGTCAAAATGTCGTTTGGAGTGGTCAATGCAAGCCCAAATGCACACTGCTTATTCCCATGGGTTTTAAAAGGACGCACTTTTTCACCCAACTTACTCGCGAAGTTTACCGGTGTAACTTGCTCGCGAAGTTTAACGGTGTAACTTGGTTTTTCGACTCATGTCGTTTGACTATAGCCCGCTTCTATACTTCCTGGCTAAGGTGTCTACCTTTATCGGCGAGTACAATTTATCTCTACTTGACACAAGTTACTCTCTCTCTGGACAAATAACACATACAGTGGGGTCTAAATTTAAAAGCCTAAAACCCCCCGTCTGAAATTTTTTGCCTTCCAAGGTATACCGCTATTTAAACGACAGCGTTCTAACTTCTATGCCTCATGATGAGAATCTTGCGGGGCCACCCACGGTACACTTTGCATCATTTAAAAGCGAGTACATGAAACTATATTAATTGAAGCGAGTACTCTCAGGACAACGCACTGCACACAAGCCTCACCGTTATAACAAACAAAACTTCCCTCCTCTCTCTCTCTCTCTCTCTCTCTCTCTCTTTTTCTCACTCTGTCTCTGCAGAAGCCAAAAAACTCTTGTTCTTCTTCTTCTTCTTCTTCTTCTTCCCCATTTTCTCTCTCTACAAAGTCATTCTCTCCTTTGTCTCGCTTGGTTCGCTTCGCTTCCGTTGCTTCGAAAGCAACAAATCAATGGCGGTGTTACTTCAGCCACCTAGGTATCTGCGACAGAGGACGTCGCTGTACGTGGGTGATTTGGACCCAGAAGTTACTGAAACGGACCTTAGCGCTGCGTTTTTCCAAATGGGTTCCATTTCATCTGTTCGCCTCTGCCGTTGCGCTCGCTCCGGCAAGTCTCTCTGTTACGGCTATGTCAACTTCTACTCTCACGATCAAGGTATAATCTATGAGTATTATCGTGGAATTTCTTCTCTGTCTCTGCATAAGAGGGATTTCTTGGATTTTTTTTTTATTAACCTTTATTTTTGGTTTCTACTTATACAAATGCATGTGTTCGATTTATGGGGTTTTATGTTTTTGTTTCTTTACTAATGGGGATTACGGTCATGGGCTTTCAGGTTTCCTCTGTTCCTTTATCAAATAACAAAGTCTTGTAGCGTTTCTGCTATACATCTGTTATGAAGGCATTGGCATGATTTTTAGTTCCCTTTGTTAATTGGTGCTAGAATAGTCGGAACATGAAGCTCTGGTTCTCTGTGTCTTCCCTTGCAATAAATTTCTGGGGAAAGAATCTCTCTCTAGTTTCTTTATGTATATATTTTCTGTATATAGTATGCTGATTCTGGCATTTATTATTTTTCCTCTTTCTTTTGTTTTTCTTCTGATTTTTATACTGTAGATTTGGCTAAAGAGCAAAGCTCTGTTACTCTATTTAAATATTTCCATATGATATACATGTATTACTGTGTTTGTTCTTCAATTTCTGAGTTTTGTGGTTGAAATTGGGACAACATTGTTTCTTGAGACTGTTTGTCATTCATTGATCTGGATACTTTTCATCGAATATGTGTTTTGGTAACGGGTAGTTTAGTGATAATCTTCTCTGTTTCTTTCTCTATCTGGACATAACCGTCTCTTACTTTTTGTTCTGTTTCTCTCTCTCACGTTTACTCAGACAATTAGGTCACTGCAAATGAATATGCTTTAATTTTTTTTTTTTTTTTTTGAGGAAAAATATGCTTTTATTTTCTCTTTTATTCGTTTCTTTGGCTTGATTATATTATATGGGTGGTTTTGGGCCCTTGGGTTCCCTTGTTGACATTAGTATTGGAAACTATGGTTTCCCTTTTAGCCTTGTAAAATTTCTATGAAGCTTTCTTGGGTTTGCTTACTCATTAATAACATCTTATTTGGGTTGTCTTCATAATTGCACAACTTAATATTTTTTGGGTTCTCTGTTTCTAGGTTGTATTTGGTGAAGTATGACGTTTGCCCTGCTGTATTTATCCTTTGTTATTTTCAAATAAGTGATGTTTTAGTATATGACTACGTCTGTTTCCTTTTATCTGTCTTTTCTGTTTGGTGTGCTAAACTGTAGATCATTCTTTCATTTAAGTTTCTCTGTCTTGATTATGTTTAGTTACACAAGTTTTAATGCTTGTAGGGGGGAAATTGAAAATCATTCTCCAAAAAATATTAACTTAGACCTAACTAAACGAATGCATTAGTCTTTGTTACGGCTATAATTGGTTCTAATGTCATGTCATTTATTTGTCTCATTTTCTATCAGCATGTAAAGCTCTGTCTATTCTAAATCATGCATACTTGAAAGGAAAACCCATGAGGTTAATGTGGTCTCAGAGGGACCCTTTTGCAAGAAAGAGTGGAATTGGAAATCTTTTCGTGAAGAATCTAGATGCTTCAATCAACAGTGCTTGCTTGGAGACCTTGTTCTGCAAGTTTGGAACTATACTTTCTTGCAAGGTGGTTGAAGAAAATGGCAAGAGTAAGGGTTTTGGGTTTGTCCAGTTTGATTCAGAGGATTCTGCCTTGGCTGCTCGAACTTCTCTTCATGACACTATGGTTAAAGGAAAGAAAATGTGAGTCCTGTTTATTTGGTCTCTTCACTTCTCTTTATCAAGTTACCATTTCTCTAAAGTGCTTTCTAGAATGCAAATTTTGACAGCTAGATATTTTCTTGTCTCTCGGATTTAATCTGTGCTCTCTTATGCTTTGGGTGACTTTGTTTTCACTGATGGGTCTCTCGTTCATTGACATACTGACATTTAAAATCAGAGGGGGAAAAACAAAGGAATAAGTTGGCAAGTTGCACTCTGTAGTGCTCGATTATCAGTTTGCTGAACTTTCATCCCCTAACCAGTTGTTTGTTGATCGTTATTTTTCCATTAACTTATGAGTCTGCATTACTAGTGCATTTGCTTTACAACCTTTTTCATTTACTGCCATTTATTGGTTTATGATAGCTGGCTTATGCATCCATGATTAATGAATTTTAATGGCCAATTTGATCTAGTAATCAGGGATCTTTGTTTTACATGTTCTTCTCAGATATGTATCCAAATTCATCAAGAAAAGTGAGAGGACAACAGCTAGACCTTGCGAAGAATTAGAATTTACAAATCTTTATGTTAAAAATCTGGCCAAGGATATGACAGAGGATACCCTTAAAAGTATGTTTTCTGCATTTGGGAAAGTCTGTAATGTTGTCATCATGAAGGATCATGACAGGAAATCAAGAGGTTTTGGATTTGTAAACTTTGAGTCACCAGAAGATGCTAAGAAAGCGGTTGATGCTTTGAATGGTTATCCACTAGGTACATTTTTAAACCTGTTATGGTTTCCCTTGGCCATCATTCATTATGAGTTATTCAAGGGTCAACTTCTCTAACAAATATTTGAAATTGATTTATGATCAGGTTCCAGGAGTTTATTTGTCGGAAGAGCCCAAAATAAAACTGAGAGAATAAATGTATTACAACATGAATACAAGGGCTTCATCAGCAACAATATTGAGAAATCCAGAATGTCGAATCTGTTTGTGAAGAATCTCGATGTAAGTATTAATGAAAGAAAATTGCATGAACTTTTCAGTGGGTATGGACAGATAGTTTCAGCAAAAGTGATGCGGAATGATAGTGGTGTAAGTAAAGGATTTGGCTTTGTCTCTTTCTCAAGTCCTGAAGAAGCAGAGACAGCTCTGAACAGTTTGAATGGTGAGCTAATTCTCCCCTTATCTTTTCACATTTCTTCCCCATGTCTGAGGATATTCTGTTTCCTTGTTATCTAATATGATATTATTAATATTATTATTTATGCTAGGAACCTTGTTTGAAGGGAAGTCTCTATTTGTGGCAATAGCTAAGTGTAAAAGCAATCGCTCTCTGGAATTGCAGAAGTATTTTCCACAACATCAATCTCAAATGTTATATCTTCCTAATTGCAATATTTTTCCACCTCCAACCAGCCCACTTTATTACTCTCCTTGTTTTCCTTCAATATTCCCTTACCATCCAATTTCGTATCCAAACTTTGGTGCAAATATGGGAGTCGATTATACTACAGCAGCACAGAATTACCAACAGCCCTTCTGCTCATATGTAAGGATTCTGTTTTATGCAATTGGTTTTTGAAATTAACTGAGCTAAGTTTATCAGTTGTTATTCTTAATAGCTTGTAAAACCACAGATTTCAACGGGACAAATATACCAAAGCACTCAGAACCCAACAGCACAGTCCTTCCAACCTCACGTATGCTCTAACTTCTCTTTTGAAGAAAAAGTAGTAGTCACTGTTACTGTGCTTCTAACATCTCATTGTATACTTTGTTTTTTCTTATTTGTTGAGAAAATGACTAGCCAGAGCATGAACTGCATATAATGCTACCATTTTTTGAAGCTCTTGGACTGTTGTGGTTAATTGTCCAGATTGATCTTTAAAGAAAAAAATCTTTACCAATCTGAAACCCATTTCCTAGTGGTGCTGCTTAAGCTTTGCATAATGCTGTTGTTTTCTTTTGCTCAGTTGTTTCCTGCTTTCTGTTAAAATTGCATTGCAGTTTGTGAAACGAACAACATCTAATCTTCGTGATCGAGATCTGAACCTGAACAATGGGTATGCTGGGATTCAAAACGTTGGCACTAGAAAGAAGTGGACTAAGAAAGTTGGAGCTACAGGAAGTACCTCCAAAGGGTTACAAGCCACAGCATGTCTTAGCGCAGCAAGATCTCCTAGTAACTCCAAGAAAGACCTCGTGAATCTTCTGCCCTCTCTTGTCCAGAATCTTCAGGTTCATTGATTCTAAAACTCTTCTAGAAATATTATCTCAATCTGTGGGAAACCTCTACATATCTAACTGTGCTTTTCTGCAAGCGTTGTATGTGCATGTTTGTCTATCTGTGCCATGGTTAATTTCACAATCAATTGATTCTCCCGTGCGTGTAGCCTGAGCTTGCAGGAAAGATGACTGGAATGCTGTTGGAGATGAGCAAGTCTGAAATAGTTAACCTCTTGAATTCCCCAAATTCCTTGGCTTTACAAGTTGACAGGGCAGCTCAAGTGCTGAAGGAGGCCAATGCTATGAAGGCTGCAGATACTGGTGCGGTTTTGCCCAAGTGTGCTTACTACTTGAGATACTAGATTTAGTGGTGATTCCGGTTTCTAACATCTTAGTACTATCTTCAAAAGTGGATGTTAAAACACAGCGTTTTAACACGACACGATTTGTCAATTGGTGCACTAATTGCATATTGTTTTTTTGATGGAAATGCAGTCTCATTGCACTGTAAATCTTTACTAGGAGAAATCAATCTGTGCCATGGTTAATTTCACAATCAATTGATTCTCCCGTGCGTGTAGCCTGAGCTTGCAGGAAAGATGACTGGAATGCTGTTGGAGATGAGCAAGTCTGAAATAGTTAACCTCTTGAATTCCCCAAATTCCTTGGCTTTACAAGTTGACAGGGCAGCTCAAGTGCTGAAGGAGGCCAATGCTATGAAGGCTGCAGATACTGGTGCGGTTTTGCCCAAGTGTGCTTACTACTTGAGATACTAGATTTAGTGGTGATTCCGGTTTCTAACATCTTAGTACTATCTTCAAAAGTGGATGTTAAAACACAGCGTTTTAACACGACACGATTTGTCAATTGGTGCACTAATTGCATATTGTTTTTTTGATGGAAATGCAGTCTCATTGCACTGTAAATCTTTACTAGGAGAAATCAGCACTGGTTTGATTATATATGAAATGGAGATTTTCCACTTATATAATCTTGCCTGTTTTCCCCCTTTATCCTACCTCATTCCTGGTTCGGTTGTGCTGTGGATGTATAATGAGGAGGAAAATAAAAATTCAAGCTTTCTTGATTTCTCGGAGCTGAAGTTTATGTTCCTTGAATGTTCGTTAGCAACGTTAAAGCCAATGCTTTTTTAACATGAGATTTGACAATGATAATTCATGATAGAGATACACCCATTTTCGTGAAACCCACTGATAACATGATATTTTACAGTGATAGTTATTTAAAATATATTATATATTTTATTAAAAAAGACGTGTCTTCTTCAAATGAGGGAGAAGCCCTGGACAATCAGTCCATCTGCAAGAATCTGGTTAGCAGCCTCGGATGGATGTATACCATCCCAAAACACAAACTGGGTGGCATTGGTGCAGGTTCCTGGGGACTTTGAATTGCACAGAAGTGTTGTTGTTATTGTCTCTACAGTGCCCGTCTCAGTCTTACAGCAACCTCTTCTTGCTTCCACAAAACCTAACAAAACATAATAGAAAAGGTTGTTTACTATATATCAATCAAGTTACCTTCTAATAGAGCTCCTAAATTCGTTACCATAATTTGAAGGTGTTTGAAGAAGGTCATAGAATGGTTTGAACATGTCAAATACAACAATCTTTAGACCAGGAAGTAGCTTTTGGAGATTTGCAGCAGTAAAGTTGATCTTATTGTTAAATTTCTGGGCATCATCGTTGATCCTGGAGACGCACCCATTTTCAAGAAATCCAAACAAGGCACGAGCTGCAGGAACACAACCCAATGGTGGGAGTGAAGATACTCCAAGCCTCCTAGCCCCTAACCCATACAAATCCTGTTTGTCAAACAAAGCTTCAAACAAATTATTTACTATAATAACGAACTTGCAAAATGAATCTGAAAGCAAATACCTTAACAAAGCTTGAGAATGCAGTGACAAGGAAGGAACCATATTGATCAGGAGTGTAAATTTTATTTATCTGTGGATTTATATAGTAGTTAAGGAGGAAGTCACTGGTTCCTGCACTCAATAAGTACAGTGCATCCTTAATGATCGACATCGATTTGTTAGAACCAGCCACCTTGGCTAGCTTACTTTTGTATTCTTTGAAATACTGCAGCTGCTGATGCAATGGAATAGCGTTCTGCAAAAATGTATATAATATGTCAGTATTAACGTTAAAGAAAGTAAAAGAATTTATATAATGAAATAATAACATTAAGAAAAATATATATTATGACATTTGCTATGACAATTTTATCATCAAAACCAGATGCAGCCGATGCAAAGCTAGCTCCAATTAGAAGGTTCTCCCCTGATGCATCCCTGCTAAGGTATGCCGGTGGATAAGTCTTAAACCCCATAGTTTCAGCTGCCAAAAGAAAATCAGGCAAAAATAATATAGATTAGGCAGTCTTGACCTATGTATAAGGAATAATTATTACTTAATTACCGATTATGTCGGAGATCAATTTGCCATTGCAGAACCTCCCAGTAGGCCTATGATTGAGGAAGTCCTTTCCATAAGGAGAGTAATTGGCCTTGAATTTTGTTGGGAGATAGTCATTGTTCCCAACATCCAGGCCTGAGTCTCCAAATGTGATAATAGCAGGAACAAGAGTTTCTTGTGCATATTCTCCACTTATTAGAAAAGCCAAAGCCAAAGCCAAAGCCAAGACCAAGCTTGCTCTATAACAGATATCCATTTTACTGTAACAACAATGGCAGGTACTTCGAGACTTAATTTCCCTATATAGGAAAAGTCATGGGGACTTAATTTTACTGTACCGCAATAATTGTAGTGAATTATGCAGAGCGCTATCCTGTTATATAGAGCAGTTCATAGTGTTATTTCGGCGCATTAAGCCTCACAATAAATACTAAAAACAAAAATTTTATATATCTAATAACCAAAAATCATTCACAACCACCGAACATCGTCAATTCATTATAACACTTAATCAAAGGGTCCCATATACCAATTAATAGTAAGACCTTTAACTACTACCTATACATAATCAATGACATATAACAAAATAAAATTTAAATCACTCTGAAGCGGCCAGGTTCACATAATTCTTCCTTTGACTATAAAAGTGCATTAAATCACTCTTTCGACTAGGCCAAAATGAGCTAGAATTTATCAATTCCTACCTCAGATGTTTTGGCCTAAGCCCTAACTAGTTTTTCATAATTTAATTTGATCAAAATTTCATTATCTATCGTTTAAATCTTTCAAGTTCAATATCAAATTTACAATTTCCTACACCTCAACCCCTAGATAGATTTTATAGCTCATCCACACACAAAATGCAATTAATTTGATAATTTAAAAATTCATTTGATAGCCATTAAGAAAATCTTCTTAACTTTTTTATAAGTGTTATTTTTATAGTATTTTTAATATAGTTTTTATTAGGATTTTTAGTATTTTTAATTACTTTAATTATTTTTTATTTATGTTTTTTAATAAAGCTTTCTTGAACTATATTTTACTCTATTTTGAAGAATTTTATAAAATTTTTATAGAAAACCAGTCAAAAATGCAAGAGAAAATTAATTGTCAAAGACTTCTAGCAAATAGCACCCCTAGGCTGCGCTACCCAGCACCCCCGTGCTACTTTACAGGGTTCAACTTGGACCGAAATTTCATATTAATCCCGTACTGCCCACATGAAGATATTGTGGGACGTACCTTATTAAAGCTGAAATCATATTTAGACGCTTAGAGAGTCCTAATTAGGAAAAAATATAAAGTCTAAACAGTTTCCTATCTCTAAAAGATTCTTACGCAATAAAGATTCACTTTTCTAAACGAACACGGAGATATTCCAGAAAGTCTATATAAAGAGAGAGACTAGCCATGATCGGGGGTCGAATCTATTCATTGTATATTCCATATATAGTTGTATTATTTTCTACATAGTTTTCTCTCTTCAAGAGTTTAAATGCTCAAGATTGGTGTCAAGATTCAAGGAAGCCGCTCAAGCCCATCGTTGATTAGCTTTTATTTCTAAACTCTCTTTTTGTTTATTATTCTTCATGAGATTAGTTACAAGTTTAATTGGATTTTATTTAATTACTATGTCGAACTAAAATTTCATATTAAAGATTTGATGTAGCTGAATTTCTATTTCAATTTATAAAATTAGATTTGTTTTTTCTTGTTCAAAGTATAATTAATTATTGAATTTAATACTTCTAGGCAGAGTTTCTCGTCTGGATTGATTTATTTCATTAATCACTATCGAGAGAAGGGATTTTGATATGAAAAAAATAATAAATTACATGAGAATAATAACTTGATGCGGAAACTATATGGTTTGACTCATGGAGGTTTTCATAAGTTAATGATCTCAGGTAATGAATTTACAAACAAACCATAAAACTTAATGATTTAATTGCGCTATTGGAAAATAGGTAATTAGATCGGGTTAAAATAGCTAACAATACATCGGGAGAGTTTATTAGTGATTCTAGGTTTATTTCCCCTACCTGAACAATTAAAATTGATTATCAAACTAATAAAGGTTATTAGGATTCTAGGTTTATTTCCCCTACCCTGGAACAATTAAAATTGATTATCAACTAATAAAATTAAATTGGGATAAAATTAACATGAAATCAAAATTTTCCTAGTAGCCTTGATTTCTTTCATCAAATGTTCTTGCTTGGGTTTTACTTTTTATTCTCTTTGTATTTCTTTATTTAATTTTTTAAAATAATTTTTCTTATTATCGTTTAAATAATGGTAGGCGTTAACAAACAATTGTTTAGTACTTGTATACAATTCCTCGTGAGAACGATCCTCGACTCACTCTTTATTACTTGTTTGCGATTTCGTGCATTTGCCAAAAAAAGCCTATCGTTTAAGTCTAAGCCATAATTGGTATTTAAGAATTTTGGGTGAGGCTTTCCAAAATTTACTAACTTTGTACTCACCATTTTGGTTAAACATTAATTTTTCATAAGAATTTTTTTGATTCTGTTTTGATTTTTATAAGCTATATTTTTGGAAGTTGTTTCTTCGTGTTGGCTAATTGATATATTTATATTATATTTATAATTTATAATTTATAAATAAACTCTGTTGTTAATAATTAATATTTAAATTTATAAATCAAAAAAAATATTTTTATACAAGTAAAAGAAATATCACTCATAACAATAGACAACAATAAACACGCGATTACTCGATTATAAATAATATACCTTTAAGGGTTATTTTACATTTATATATTAAAAACATTACTAAAATTATCCCTAACAACTATCATTCAACAAGTACCAAATCAAGGAAAAAGAGCTCTTACTTTATTCGCAAGTTGGCATATTGATACTAAAAAGTAAATTCTCAGAAAAATTTTAGACAAATGCTACATCTTCGGAATAAACCGAGTCATGTAAAAATTCAAAAGATGATTTTGCACTAACTTCTCACAGTAGAGAATTTAAGTTCAATATAGACAATGAAAAGTAATAGCACTTCAAGTGAATTAATTTACACTTATAAATAATTGATTTTATAACTGATTGTAATTTTTTATTCTCTTCAGAGAAGGAGAAATCCCTGAACAAGCAGAGCATCTGCGTAAGAACTGATTAAGCACCCAAATAGCTAACAATACATCGGGAGAGTTTATTAGTGATTCTAGGTTTATTTCCCCTACCTGAACAATTAAAATTGATTATCAAACTAATAAAATAAATTGGATAAAATTAAATGAAATCAAAATTCCTAGTAGCTTGATTTCTTTTCATCAAATTGTCTTGCTTGGTTACTTTTTATTCTCTTGTATTTCTTTTAATTTAATTTTTTAAAATAATTTTTCTTATTATCGTTTAAATAATGGTAGGTTAACACAATTTTAGTACTTGGTATACAATCCTCGTGAGAACGATCCTCGACTCACTCTTTATTACTTGTTTGCGATTTCGTGCATTTGCCAAAAAGCCTATCGCTTTTTAATCTAAGTCCATAATTGGTATTAAGAATTTTGGGGCATTTCAAAATTACTAACTTGTACTCACCATTTGGTAAATCATTAATTTCATAAGAATTTTGATTCTTGTTGATTTTATAAGCTATATTTTGGAGTTGTTTCTCGTGGGTTGCTAATTGATTTATATTTATATTATATTTATAATTTATTAATTTTATAAAAATAACTCTTTCTGTTTTTTTTTAAATTAATATTTTCATGTAATAATTTTATTATAATTATTCAAAAATAATATTTTTATTTTTATAATACATTAGAATAAAAAATTAATAATATATTCACCTTAAACAAATGCAAAATATATAACACGCGATACCGTATATAAATAATTATACCTTTAAGGGTTATTTTACATTTTAATATAAAAACATTACTAAAATTTTACCCAACAACTATCATTCATATCCAAGTACCAAAACAGGGAAATCAGATGAGCTCTTACTTTATTCGCAAGTTGGTGCATATTGGAAAAACTAAAAGTAAAATTCTCAGAAATATATTATTTTAGACAAATGCTACATCTCGGAAATAACCGAGCTAGCAAAAATATTCAAAAGATGATTTTGCACTAAACTTCTCACAGTAGAGAATTAAGTTTCATAATAGACAATAGTGGAAAGGTAATAGCACTTTCAAGTGATATATTACACTTATAAATAATTGATTTTTATACTGATGTAATTTATTCTCTTCAGAGAAGGGAGAATCCCTGAACAAGCAGAGCATCTGCAAGAACCTGATTAGCAGCCTGAGATGGATGAACACTGTCAAAAAACACATATTGGGTTGCATTAGAACAAGTTCCCAGAGACTTTGGATTGCACAACAATGATGTTGTCTCTACTCTCCCTGTCCCACAACAACCTTTTGTAGCTTCCACAAAACCTGCCAAATATAGCAGAAAAGATGAGTGCTTGGGTCCTCATTTTAATTAGCTAGAACTTCAATTTTTCTAATATTTCTTACCATATTTTGAAGGAGTTTTGACAAGGTCATAGAGTGGTGTGAAAATGTCAAAGACAACAATCTTTAGATCAGGAAGTTGCTTTTGGAGATTTATAACCGTTGAATTGATCTTCTTGTTAAACTGCTGTGCGTCACTGTTGATCCTTGAGACACACCCACTTTGATGAAACCCAAATAAGGTTCGAGCTGCAGGAAGGCAACCCAGTGGTGGAAGTGAAGTTACTCCGATTCTTCTTGCTCCCAATCCATATAAATCCTGTTGATAAAATACAATTTTAATTATCATATATAAATAATGATTAGCAGTGTTTACTTAGATTAAGAAATTATTGATGTACCTTAACAAAGCTTGAAAAGGAACCGACAAGATATGAGCCATATTGATCAGGAGTATAGAGTTTGTTTAACAGAGGATTAACATAGTAATTCTGGACGAAATCACTACTTCCTGCACTTAATATGTACAATGCATCCTTAATAATAGATGCTGATTTGGCAGAACCAGCCACCTTGGCAAGCCTACCCTTGTACTCCCTGAAGTACTGTAACTGTTGAGGTAATGGAATTGCATGCTGCAACCAAACAGTTGTGGATTAAGAATATTGCCTAAAGTAATTAAAATTTGTATTAATTTAATTAAGGCTTAATTATATTTTAAATTAAAAAAAAAAAAAAACATAACCTTACATTTACTGTTGCAGCTTTGTCATCATAACCAGAAGCAGCTGATGCAAAATTAGCTCCAATAAGAAGGTTTTTTCCTGATGCATCTGGGCTCAGGTATGCAGGTGGATAAGTCTTAAACCCTAGACTTTCAGCTGCAAAAAGAGAACCTCTAATTAATACAATATAGAATTACATCTTATAAAGAAATGCAGTATAATTGACACATTTATGCCTAGACAGGACTAATCAATACCAGTAACTTGATGATCTGTGCTTACCGGTTATGTCGGTGGCTAGTTTGCCATTGCAGAACCTTCCAGTAGGTTGATGATTAACAAAGTCTCTTCCATAAGGAGGATAATTGGCCTTGTAGATTGTTGGGAGATAGTCATTGTTGCCAACATCTACAGCAGAATCACCAAATGTAATTATAGCAGGAACAACAGTATCTTGTGCATATGCAGGATTCAGAAACAGTGCAACGGGTAATGTTGCCAAGGCCAAAACCAAGAAAATATCCATTTTTGATATGCACCAATTGGCTTGTGGGTGAGAGTGAGAGAGGTTTTAATGTGAGCTGAACCTTTATAAAGGAAGTTGAAAGGGACTTTAAATTTGGAGTAGGGGAAGATGGAAGCTCAGAAAGACTCATAAATGAGAGTTGTTAAAGTGGCAGTGGTAGCATTCATAACATATAGATAAGAAGTTTCTTTGTTTCTCTTCAAAGCTCTTTCTTTTTTAATGAAAAAATTGTTTCTTAGCTATACCTGGATTAGAATACACATACATTCATTATCCCTTGCAGTGCATAAGGCTAATATCAAAAAATTGGTGTTATTGGCAATTATTTTTACTCCTAATTAAAATTAAATTATATTAGGTATAGTTGTAGAGGTAACAGTAACTGTGAAAAACAAAATGGTAGTTGGGGCAATCTAAGGATTGTCAATCGTGTACATGTGCGGGAGTTAATATGGATTGCTTTAGGCATTGGGCAACTAGTCACGTGCAGTGCAGTTTACATAAATGTATAGTCTTAGACCATATAGTGCAAACTTAATTATAAAGAGTGGAATTTAAAAAGAAAAGAGAGAGATATACAGTCCACCCAAATTAATTTAGAATTAAAGTTTTTTTTTTTTTAAAGAAGCACTTGTTAATTTTATATATATATACATTAAATTTTGCTAATTAAAGAATGATACAGCAATTGAAAGTTACATGATAAACTAAAATGATGTTTATCCTTAAAATTATGAGCCTGAAATTTCAGTTGAGGAATAATCATTCATGAAAGATACTCGAGCTTTATGTACTTTGTGATTGGTCAAATTGAAGTCATTTTCAATTATTTTGTGATTATTGTTATATGTAAGGCAAAAATTATCAATGGAAAAATACAGTAAAAATATTAAAATTCAAGTCTTTCACTTCCTTGAGTCAAGGTTCAAAGTCCATCTGCGAGTCATTCATGGCAATAATTGTGATTATATATATAAGATGTCACGCATAGTCACAGCAAACTGAGTATCTCAACTGTTAATATTTGTGGTGGAGGGCTTAAAATCCAAAACCATAATAATAAATGAAAAAGGTGCAATTAGTTTAGGGTAGTTGGGTTAGTCGTTGACATTTGCCACTTGTAACTAAGTACCCTTCAATTCGAGGTAGGCTCCAGCATCCTTGAAGCCTGAACCGACAACTCAAGGTCCAACCTTAGTTTATCATTTCTGGTACAGAAAATTAGAAGACACGTTTTAAGAGATGTTACTGCATCTATGGAGCATCTTACTATATGTAAAACGACATAACTTACATGATTCTAAGAGCTATAAGGAAGTAGTGGACAGATGAAAATCTATAAAGTACGTGTACTATTTTATTATGGGTGGAGGCAAATTTCCAGGCAAGTTGTTGAATGAATTAAAGTATGCCCAAATGCAGATGCTGGAGACTAATATTTATAGCTAGTTGCTCCAGTTTAAATACTCATTGCATTCATTTCAGTTTAAGATGGCAACTACCTTGTTGTCTGCTCAAGTACCATCAACGTTGAACATCACTCTCTTTTATTATGGTAAAAAAGAAAACTCTACAAGAGCAAGAAAAAGCCGTCGACAGCAGCGTTCGAACCTGCGCGGGCGAAGCCCAACAGATTTCAAGTCTGTCTCCTTAACCACTCGGACATATCGACTTTTGATGGTTCCTTTTATCAATATATGATTTAAAATAATCTTCAACATGTTACCTCAAAAACCATTCTTTTCATCAATCAGTACCCCTTTGTGCCCTAATTATTACCCTCAAAGCAATTCACCTATGTTTTAATTGATTTTTAAAACAGTTATCATAATATTGAATTACTGATTGTATAAGCTTCTTAATTTACTATGCAGATCAATTGCATAGACTTGACAGGTATTTCTAAACAAATTATAAAATTTCTTTATTATTTATAAATTTATAGAATAATTTCAAAACAATTCCAACTGTATCAAGTATTGTGCTTTATTATATAGGTATACATGCATATTATAGCATCTGAAACAAACCACAATACATGTTCTACGCAAAATATCAATATTAATTAACCTAATATATTTACAAAATCCCACATAATACTTCCATACAACTGTATACAGAACAATGTAAATCACTCTCATCAATTTCTACCTTGCTTCTGGACCACGTTCAGTTGCAAGATCCACAGAAATCATTTCAAAAGAATTGCTTAATCTCATTCTTTGCTCTTCCATTCTGCATCTCTGTTCACGACCAATTTCTGTTACCAAACATTCCTTTAATTCTGCAACTACTTGGTTCATGGTTGGTCTTTGAACGGAGATTGATGGCACACATGACATTGCTATCTCCATGAATTTCCAAACGGAATTCGTCTCAAAGTTTCCTTCCAGTCTTGGATCAACAGCACTTCTTATATCGCCTCTTTCGATATAAGGACTCACCCAATTAACAATATGAACATTCTCATCTCGGTTTTTTATTATTGCAGGCTTGCCTGTAATTAGCTCTAGAAGTACTATTCCAAAGCTGTAAACATCACTTCTCTCTGTGAGCCTGTTGTTTGTGTAATATCTGCAGAAACCAAGAAAATTACAATCAAGTTCCTTAATAACCCAAAATTTCTCTAAATTTTAAGAGTATTAGCATATATATAGAGACTTAATTACTCTGGATCAAGGTAACCAAGGGTTCCAATGACATTAGTTGATATATGACTTCTACTTTCAGATGAATTAAACCTTGAGAACCCAAAATCAGAGATTTTGGCCTGCAAATTATCAGTTAACAAAATGTTTGCACTCTTCACATCTCTATGTATTATAGGAGGCTTGCAACCAAGGTGCAAGTACTCTATCCCTGCACAATTAGTTTTTAGATTATGTTAATAATCCTCAAAAAATATGAGTACTTATCTGGATAGTTAGTTACTTGAAATGGATGAGTATTTGAATTTGTTTTCTTTATGATTTTTCACTCAGGAACACAAATTCAAATATATTTTCATTTCAAATGCACACCTATCCAAATGGATATTTCAGTTATTTTGTTTGCGAACCTTGTGCTGCATCCAATGCAATTTGCAGTCTCTCCTTCCAACTCAAAACCTCAATTGACTTATCTACAGCCATAAACATACCCACATGGATAATAAGTCTCAAAACAAGTGTTTGATTATATTACATTATATTACAGCTTTTTCCTGCACATAGAAATGGAAGATCGAGTTGGTACCTGATAGATATTGCTGGAGATTTCCATAGGCAATGTACTCATAGATTATCCCAACATTACTAGCTTCATTGCAGTAACCAATAAAGGAAGTTAAATTCCTGTGATGAATTCTCATCAAGAGCTGAGCCTGTCAAGCAAGAAAATCAAAATCATATAGCTAGTACGCCAATCACTCACAACTAAAATCACTTGAATTTTAGTTTTGATATAAGTTCACATACTTCAGTTCGAAATTGACTCGATCCATGATCTGATGCAGAAGAGATCATTTTGACAGCAACTTCGGTCCCATCAGGCAAGTAGCCATGGTAAACTGTTCCAAATCCTCCTTTCCCAATAACGGTGCTAAAACTGTTAGTAATTCTTACAATCTCAGCATAACTAAATTGTCTGTTGTCTGACTTTAAGGATGATCCTTCTCCTTCCTTGGAATTGACAAAAGTCCCCGCAGCTTCATAGAGCATTCCAAATTTTCCATTATTAGTGAACATAGTTACAAGTACAGCTAATATAGCGACCAAGTACAGAATCGTTAGTGGGTTATTTATTTTACCTTTTCTCCTTTTGTATCTCCACAGAATAATTAATGCCATCAGGATTAGCACAAATGGAACAATAGTTGCTACAAGTGGAACTACAATACTCTTCTTCTGTTCCTTGCATGGAGGCGACCAACAAATCTTCGGATTCCCATTTAGTCTATCATTAGATTAACTGTTCTTAATTAGCCAAAATGATAAATTAAGTTCAAGAACTAGAAAAGTGACTTGATTTTTTAAGTACAGAGTTTACTTCTAATAAATTTATGAACCTTAATGATAACAACCCATTATTGGATCTTTCCATCAGAGCCAAAGGAACTGAACCAGATAGTTTGTTTCCTTCTAAATTCCTGCAGTTTTAGTAAAATGAATTTATTTATCCATCTAATCTATTCATAGTATAATTCTAGCTATAAATATCAATAACTTACAAAGTCGTCAAATTTTGTAGTTCAGAGAGAAATTCAGGTAGTCCTCCTGTTAAGCTATTATTTGATAAATCCCTGTAGAGAAAATAATAATTGTTTTTAATTTGATGTTAAAACTGCTAAAATACAATTAAGCATTGAAGGCAGTTTTCTACTTACAGGTACTGCAATAATTTAAGTTTGGACAATGAAGGATATATTTCTCCTGTTAATCCACTCGATGACAAATTCCTGGTGACAAATTAGGTAATTATAAGTACTATGCTTGTAAGCAAATGACTAGCCATAGTAACTAATAGTAACATGTTGTTTGGCATAAGTGAACTTAGAGTACAGAATGCAGCTATAAATGATAAGATTTGTTTAATTATGTTGAATTCCATAGAACTGAACTACTGAGAGTAAAAGTTCGTTTCTTTTGTATTAAAACATGAGAACATGAAATTCCTATAAATATCATAATATTTTGTAAAAATTTCATTTATGCCAAGCAAAGGTTATGTTATTTTAATTTTTTTCTTTCCAACTGCAAGAACTCACAAGGAGATAATTCTTGGGGGTTCATAGCCTTGGTTGCTGCAATTCAAGCCCTCCCAGGATGGAGAAGGCATGCATGGGTCTCCTTGCCAGACTTTACTCACCTTATAATATGACTTAATATCTTCGATAGCATTAACTGTAATAAGAAAAGAAATGAGTCAAGCTTCAACCAACCGAAAAAAAGAAAACACACACACACACAACGCATATAAGAAACTCACCATCTTCCATGTCTGTCTGATTCTGCCAGAAATCATAAACTAAATATATTTCCAGTGCATTCAATATGGGCGGAAGAGTAGAACTAGGCAACTTATTGAGAGAAAGGCTGAGCCTGGCTCCTCTCACCGCCTGCATGGTAGTTATTGTTTTTGACTGCAGGTACTTAAGATCAACTACTTCACTTAATAGCTTATCATTTAAAACAATGTTGAATGTTCTAGATTGATTCCTTTTGAGAACTTCAACTTCAGCAAAATGAATGTAAACCTGGAATTTTGTATTGGGATCTCCAATATCAAATTCAAGATTTAGCGGTTCATTAGCATTCATTGGCTTGACTGCAGTTTGCATAACTTTTGATGGTAGATTGAAGTCACTTCTATTAAGGGAGTCAACTTCATTGGAAGTGCTCAACGAAACACATTCGGAGCAGCTCGAATGATACCATATGCGATCATAAACATCATCAGGGTACCTGAGCCAGGCATCCAAGAAAACTACATTAAACGAGCTTTATTTAACTCTGTTGTACTGAAGTAATTTCTGTAGCCGTCAGGCTGCAAAGTTACAACTGCCATTTAAAATAAATCCCCCCTTCAAAAAGAAAAAGACAGAAAAAATGAAAGAAAAATGTCAATATTTATAACTAACCTTATCTCATCAGTTGTTGATCCAAAATCGAGCCGCTGGAACCCGACTAATGATTTTCCAGATTCTGTTTTGTATGTATCAATATGGTAATGCCTTGCCTCTAAAGCTGACATGAAAGGGGTTCCTAAACCAGTATTTAGGAGACAGACATATATTTGATCCCTTACAGGGACATGTATAATTTCCTTTATTACAATATGAGATGCATTGTCAAACTTTACTGTACCCCACAAATTAACTCCAAGAAATAAACTGAACTGCGGCAACTTGTCTAGATTATCATAATTTCCATACATGAAGTAGGCTCTGATGATGTAGATTTTAGCTTTGCCTTCAGGTGGCCTCAGAGTATAGCAGCTTCTGTTTCTTTCTGGAAAAAACCTGACAGTTCGCAAAGAAATTGGAAGACCATAAGAATTATAGTCGGCAGATATCATCTTATTCACTCCTGTATCGATATATGTCTTGTCTGAATTGTATGGCATGTGAGTTTTCTCATTAGTAGAGATTGAATCTTCTGAAATTCCACAATCAATATTTATATCACCTGTGCAAAACCCAAATAAGATTTGAAAAATTTTTGTACAAGAGACTATAAACTGAAAAAGAATGAAAACAGGCGATAAAACAAAACAAAGGCCTCTATCTAACTTTGCTTGAAAACATAAAAGTACCAGCTACATCATCAAGTTTCCTCCTGGAATGCTTTTGATTGATAAATTCAGCATCAGAATTCCAAAATTTTGCAACCCTAAGGGACAAAAAGTTTGGACCTTCTGTCTCTAAAAATGCTAGAAACATAAACAACAGAATGAAACCCCAAACCCGTCTTCCTCTACTATTCATAATCTTTTTTGTTTTTCTAGGCAAAGAAAGAAACTTAAGACGTACGAGTTTGTAATTCCTGTAAAAGAAAGGCTTGAAATGAGATGACACTAAAACAGAATGGAAGCGTTGAAGAAGTCTTATTCTTTGTCATTAAAGCTTTCGTTATAGACTTGAAAGAGACAAACACCAACTTACACAAGTGGTCCGCGACTTGGGATGTAATTATACAAGCCACTGCAGTCCAAAGACAAAGTATTCCCCTCTCCGGTTTTAATGGTTAGACGAGAGAATGAGAGCATTTAAAGCTCTCAACAAAATGCTAACTCTATTATTCAATCTTGTGATCAGCAGGTAGTTTATGAGATGAACCACTATAATGAGTTGAAGATTATTCAATAGACCTAGAGTCCCATATTTGAATGGCAAGAATAATGCTCTCCATGGAGCTTGTGAGTTTAACGGCTAAACTAAGCTATCTTGGATTTAAGTTGAAGATTATTCAATTGTCCTAAAGTATTCCTCTCTCCCGTTTAATAGTTAAATGAGAAATTAATCTCTTTCAGATAAAGAGCATTTAAAGCTCTCGTCAATATGTTGATTCTATTATTCAATATTACGATCATCAAATAATTTGCGAGTTTAACCACTAGACGAAATTATTTTAGTTTGAATTGAAGATTATTCAATTGTACTAGAGTCGCCATATTTGAATAAGAACAATTAGTGGGAGGTCATATCCATTCTCAAATCAATTTCCTTCTGTTATAGTCACCCTTTAGCTGTGTCTACTATCTCAATTTCTTAGTGTAATTTGGTCACAAAAGGTGCAATATGTACATTTCATGAAGCACTTTCAGGGGACCCTTATATTAAATAAATTTATGAGGTTGTCGTAGCCCGTAGGGCATAGGTCGTAAGTCAAGCACTTAGATAGGGAATTTGATGTTAAGGTATATAAACAAAATTATGGAAAAGTCAAATGTTGTGGAGATATTTATATATGTGTGGTCTGATTGGCGAGGGCTATCATTATTGTTTAACAAATAATATTATCTTAGTCTATTGAGCCTCCTATTAATAATAATAATAATAATAATAAATAAACGAAAGAAAAAAGTCATTCATATATGTATGTGAACTTAATTGCTATGCATTCCCATTTTGATAATTCCTTCATTTTAAAAACTAGTTTTTCTAAAAAAAAAAAAAAAAAAAATCTATAATTTCCATACATGAGGAAGTAGGCTATCTGATGGATATTGTAGTTTTTTTAGCTTTTGCCTTCTCTATAGGATGGTGCCTCAGAAGGAGGGGGGAGTTATTATCCGTGCTATAGAACTGTTTCGTGGTTCGTTTCTGGAAAAAAACTCGTGACAGTTTCGCAAAGTAAAAGAAATGGAAGACCATAAGAATTATAGTCGCAGACAGATATCAGGGTGGCGTGGTGGGAGTTCAGCTGGCCGGGGTGGTAGTGTGGAGTATAGGTGGTGTCGGTGGTCTGAATTGTTTATGGCATGTGAGTTTCTCATTATAGTGGAGGAGAGGGGTTGGGAGGATGCTGTGCGGTGCTAAAGTGGGGTCGCGACTATATTCTTTTGATAGTTAAATATCTATCTGTGTGCTAAATAACTCCTTCAAATAAGATTTGGGAGAAGAAAATTTTAGTGGGTGAGCAAGGGAGGAGCTATAAAACTGAGAGAAAAGGAATGAAAGACAGGGGCGAGTAAAACAGAAAACAAAGGGCGACTCTAGTCGTAACTGGTGTGCTGGGTTTTTGAAGGAACAGTGAGAAAGGACCGAGGCTACATCATCGCAAGGTTGTGGCCGTCCGGGTGGGCATGCTGGTTTGATTGGGATAAGGAGCGTTTCAGGGCATTTCAGGGAGAGTTGCCAAGGAAAAGAAGGTGTTGCAAACCCGTAAGGGACGAAAGAGAGAGGGTGTTGGAGGCCTGTGCTGTCTGGCGTAAAGGAGAATGCTTAGGAAAAACATAAACACAGAAGTTGGAAGACCGGCGCGAAGAAGCCCGCGGTCGTGTGCCTCTACATATTCATAATCATTTTTTTTGTTTTTCTAGGCAAAGAAAGAACTTAAGAACGTACGAAAGGTTTGTAATTCCTGTAAAAGAAGGGGTATGAAATATGAGATGGACACTGAAAACAGAATGAGAAGCGTTTTGAAAGAAAGGAAGTCTTATTCTATTGTCATTAAAAAGCTTTTCGTTTATAGACTTTGAAAAAAGAGAAAAACACCAACTTACACGAGGTGCGGTCGCGGGGCGACGTTGGGAGTGGTGTAAGGGTTGATCAAGGCCAGGCTGGCGCGAGTGCCAAAAAGAACAAGTTTCCCCTCTGCCGGTTTTAAATGGTCTAGACGAAGAGGAAATGAGGAGCATTTAAAAGCTACTCAACAAAATGCTAACCTGCTATTAAATTCGGAAGGTCGTGTGGTGGGGGATGCGAGGCAGGTAGGTTATGTGATGTATTGAATCCATCTCTTATATATGATTGTCATATGAAATTATTTTCTAATTAGTATTCCTAGTTTAGTCCCATATTTTTGAATCGGCAAGAATAATGCTCTTCCATGCCGAGCTTTGAGTAAACGGACAATAAACTAAGCTATTCTTTGGATTTTAAGTTGGAAGATTATTTCCAATTGTCCTAAAGTATTCCTCTCTCCCGTTTAATATTTTAAATTGAGAATTAATCTCTTTCAGATAAAAAGAAGCATTTAATAAAGCAATCTCAGTACAATATGTTGATTACTAAATTATTCAATATTAACGATCATTCAAATAATTTGACGAACGTTTAAACCAACTAGACCGAAAATTTATTTTAGTAATTGACATCTGAAGATTATTCCATCCATTGTACCTACGAGTCGCCACTCATTTGAATACGAACACATCAGTGGGAGGTTCATATCCATCTCTTCTCAAATCAATTTCCTTCTGTTAGTCACCCTTCTAGCGCTGTTACTCATCTCAATTTCCTTAGCTGCTTCAATCTTGGTCACCAACACAGGTGCAATCTGACACTTCTCATGAAGGCCAACTTTCACGGGACCCTTATACTTTAAATCAAACTTTATGAGGTTGTTCGAATAGCCCGTAGGGCCATAAGGTCGTAAGATCCAAGCACTTTAGATAGGGAATTTGAATTGTAGGTATTTATATATAATCTATATAATTTATTGGAAATGTCAATATGCTTGTGGCAGACTATTCTCATAAAATATGTGTTGGGGGTAGGTTCGATTTTGTGCGAGGCTATCATTATTGTTAACTAAATAATTTATTATCTTAGTCTATTGATGTCCTCCTTTATATTTAATTAATAATAATAATAATACATAACATCAAACGAAACGAAAAAACGTATTCATATATGCTATCTGGTTGAATCTTATATGCTTACATTCACCATATTTGATTAAATTCCTCTCATTTTTTAAAAACTAGTTTTTCTAATAAAAAAATAAAAAAAAAAAATCTACATATGAATAAGAAAGTTACTAATTATTTTAAATCGTTAATTCATACTTGCGTCATAAACTAATCTTAAAAAAAGAAAAGAAAAAACAAAAATTCAAATTTGTGGTTGACATATAAAAAAAAAAAAAAAAAAAATCCTACATATGAAAGAAATGTTACTAATATTTAAATCGGTAATCAATTGAAAAAATTAAAAAAAGAAAAGAAAAAACAAAATTCAAATTGTGGTTGACATATCTTTTGTCCGCAGTTTAAGCCCAACCAGAATACATAATAGTGCATACGGAATACGTTTCACGGTTCTTGTTGGGCTTCAATTGCCCCACAGTTACGTAGGATATTTAAAAACTAGAAATTTCATTTTTACAGTCTTAGTTACTGCCACGTCATCCGATCAAAGTTGCGCAAGTAATCTGAAATGTCATCCATATTCATCCACGCCAGCGAGTCAAACATCATCATTGACGTTCGACGTGTCATAGGTCCCACGTCATCTGTTAGTAACCACGTGGCAAGTTCCAAGGGACACCTTTGCCAAAGAGAACCCGCAAAATAGAATTATGATTTCCAAATTACTCTGGTTGTTGAAGGAATAGTATTGAAGGGTCCCTAATTTCTGTGCTAAAGTTATTTATTTATGTCTGATATGGCTTCAAGGATTTGGAAAGTGCTAAGAACCCTAAATTGGTTAGAAGTGTGAGTATTCATGTCACGGAATCCTTGGCCTCTCTGCTCTGATTCAGATGCTTCGAATATCAGAGAGGAATTGGAGAGGATCGAATCGGCAAGTATTAATAATTTGCCTGTTACGTTGTTCGACTAATTTCATCAAATGAAATTAAACCTGCCCGTCATAAAACGACGATAAGAAAGAGTCGAGAATGCTAATTTGCCCTTTCTCACGTTCCTGTTCATCAAGTTAGGGTTCCGCTGAATACTGGGACTTCTTATGTAATTTCTCTCATCTTACTTTCGATTCTCAGTAGACAAATAATTCTATACAATAGAAAAATGTATATGCAGCAGCCCAAGAGGAACAAGATAAAAAATAATAACAATAATAAAAAGGAATTATGTGATAATCACTCCCATTCCTTCTCTACCTTGCTTCAGGACCAATTTCATTTCCAAGATTCACAGTAATCATTTCAGACGAATTGCTTAAACTCATTGTATGCCCTTCAATTCTGCAACTCTGCTCACGAGCAATTTGTGTTACCAAACAGTCCTTTAATTCGGCAACTACGTGGTTCATGGGTGGTCTTTGAATGGAAATTAATGGCACACATGACATTGCTATCTCTATGAATTTCCAAACGGAATTTGTATCAAAAGTTCCTTCCAGTCTTGGATCAACAGCACTTCTTATATCGCCTCTTTCGATATAAGGACTCACCCAACTAACAATATGAACATTCTGATCATGGTTTTTTATTATTGCAGGTTTGCCCGTAAATAGCTCTAGAAGTACTATTCCAAAGCTGTAAACATCACTTCTCTCTGTGAGCCTGTTGGTTGTGTAATATCTGCAGAAACCACGAAAATAACAATTAATAGGACAAATTAGTCTAAATTTTAAAATTATAAGCGCATGCAGAGACTTAATTACTCTGGATCAACGTAACCAACGGTGCCAACGACTGTAGTTGATAAATGACTTCTGCTTTCAGATGGGATGAGCTTTGATAACCCAAAATCAGCTATTTTGGCCTGCAAATTATCATTTAGCAAAATGTTTGCACTCTTCACATCTCTATGTATTATAGGAGGCCTGCAACCATGGTGCAAGTACTCTAGCCCTGCACAATTAGTTTCAGATTATGTTAGTCCTCAAAAATATGAGTCGTTCAACCCATATGTGCCCCTACTTGGATAGATTAATCCTTTAAAGTGAATGTGTACTTGAATTTGATTAATGATATCCATTGGTTTTTTTATGCATTTTCACTCAGAAACACAAATTCAAATCTCTTTTCACTTCAAATGCACATCTATCCAAATGGATACTTTAGTTATTTGTTCGCGAACCTTGTGCTGCATCCAGTGCAATTTCCAGTCTCTCTTTCCAACTCAAAACCTCCATTTTCTTGTCTGCAGGCATAAACATACCCACATGGATACTAAGTCTCAAAACAATGTATTATTTAATATTGATATCACATACATTACGGCTTTTCCTGCATATAGAAATGGAAGATTGAGTTGATACCTAATAGATATTGCTCAAGATTTCCATAGGCCATGTACTCATAGATTATCGCATTATTACTAGCTTCACTGCAGTAACCAATAAATGAAGCCAAATTCCTGTGATGAACTCTCATCAGGAGATGAGCCTGTCAAGAAAGAAAATCAAAATCATATAATATGACAATCACTCACAACTAATCTCACTTCAATTTCATGAGTTCTGATATAACTTATCATACTTCAGTTCGAAACTGACTCGATCCATGATCTGCTGAAGAAAGCATTTTGACAGCAACTTGGGCACCATCAGACAAGTAGCCATGGTAAACTGTTCCAAATCCTCCTTTTCCAATAACTGTGCTGAAACTGTTAGTGATTCTTACAATTTCAGCATAACTAAACTGTCTGTTGTCTGCTTTTAAGGATGATCCTCCTTCTTTCTTGGTCAAGGCAAAAGTCTGTGTAACTTCATAGAACATTTCAAAATATTCATTGTTAGTTATAAATAGTTAGAACTTAGAAGTAATGCTACATATAGTGCCACAGTTGGTGTTTTTTTTTCTTGTTTACCTTTTCTCCTTTTGTATCTCCACAGGATAAGTAATGCCATCAGGATTAGCACAAATGGAACAATAGTTGCTAACAATGGAACTATAATAGTATTCTTCTCTTCTTTGCATGGAGACAACAGACAAATCTCTGGATTCCCATCCACTCTATCATTAGATTAATCATTCTTAATTAGCCAAAATGATTAATTAAACTAGAAAAGAAGCTTGGTTTTTTAAGCACAGATTTTACTTCTAATAAATTTGTGAACCTCAATGATAATAATCCTTGGTCGTGTCTTTCCATTAGAGCCAAAGGAACTGAACCAGAGAGTTTGTTTCCTTCTAAATTCCTGCATTTTTAGTAAAATGTTCTTATTTTCCATCAAATGTATGCATATTACAGTTCTAGCCATTAAGTAGCAATTACTTACAAGGTCCTTAAATTTTGCAGTTCAGACAGAAATTCAGGCAATCCTCCTGTTAAACTATTGTTTGATAAATCCCTGATGAGAAAATGATAGTTGTTTTTAATTTGATGTTAAAACTGCCGAAACACAAAAAAGCATTGAAGGCAGTTTTCTACTTACAGGTGCTGCAATAACTTAAGTTTGGAAAATGAAGGATATATTTCTCCTGTTAATCCACCTGATGACAAATTCCTGAATGCAATTAAGTAATATGCTAGTAAGAAAATTACTCTTATGGGCATAATCAATTACTTCTTATTTGCTAGGCTTGTGTTATTTTAGTTTTTCTTTTTCTAACTGCAAGAACTCACAAGTAGATAATTCTTGGGGGATCATAACCATTTTCACTGCAATTCAGGCCATCCCAGGATGGAGAGGGCATGCATGGATCTCCTTGCCAACCTTTACCCACATTATAATCTGACTTAATATCTTCAATAGCTTTAACTATAACAAGACACAGAAATGAGTCATACTTCAACCTAAAAAGACATATATATACCACTGAATTATATATGTAACAGAAAACTAACCATCTTCTTGGTCTGTCTGTTGCTGCCAGAAATCACTAACTAAATATATTTCCAGTGCATTCAGTATGGGAGAAAGAGTAGAATCAGGCAACTTATTGAGAGAAAGGCTAAGTCTGGCTCCTCTCCCTGGCTGCACAGTAGATATAGTTTTCGACTGCAGGTACTTAAGATCAACACTTTCATTTAATAGGTTACCATTTAATGTAATGTTGAATTTTCTAGATTGATTCCCCTGGACAAGCTCGACATCAGCAAAATGCATGAAAATATAGAAATTTATATTGGGATTTCCGATAAAAAATTCAAGATTTAGTGGTTCATCAGCATTCATTGGCTTGACTGCAGTTTGCATAACCTTTGATGGTAGATTGAAATCAGTACCAACAAGGGAATCAATTGCAAGGGAAGTATTCAATGAATTACACTCGGAGGAGGTGTAAGGATTCCACATTCGATCATAAACATCATCATGGTACCTGTTGTAAGGCATCCAAGAAAAATACATTAAGCATCAAATTATGTGTAAAAATATGCCATTTCTAGAAATGATGAAACCAATCAGGTACAGCTAACCTTATTATGTCATTGGTTGTCGATCCAAAATCGAGTCGCTGGTATAGAACTAATGATTTTCCAGATTGTGCTTTGTATGTATCATTATGGAAATGCCTTGCCTCTAAAGCAGAAATGAAAGGGGTTCCTAAACCAGTATTTAGGAGACAGACATATATTTGATCCCTTACAGGGACATGTATGATTTCCTTGATTACAATATGAGATGCATTGTCAAACTTTACTGTATCCCACAAATTAACTCCAAGAATTAAATTGAACTGTGGCAACTTGTCTAAATTATCATAATTTCCATACATGAAGTAGGCGATGCATTGTCAAACTTTACTGTATCCCACAAATTAACTCCAAGAATTAAATTGAACTGTGGCAACTTGTCTAAATTATCATAATTTCCATACATGAAGTAGGCTCTAATCAAGTAGATACTAGCTTTGCCTTCTGGTGGTCTCAGAGAATAGCAGCTTCTGTTTCTTTCAGGAAAAGTCCTGACAGTTTTCAAAAGAATTGGAAGACGATCGGAGTTATAGAGGGCAGATATGTTCTTATTCGCTCCTGTATCGATATATTCCTTGTCTGGAATGTATTGCATGTGAGTTTTTTCATCAGTAGAGCTTGAATCGTCTGAAATTCCACAATCAATATTTATGGCACCTGTAATAAACCCAATAAACTTTTTAAACAGAACAAAAACAGGTTATAAAATAGAACAAATATTTGATTGAAAATAGAGAATTACCACTTATATCATCAAGTTTCCTTCTAAAATGCAGTTGGTTGATAACTTTAGCATCAGAATTGTTAAATTTTGCAGACAAAAAGCTTGGACCTTTCGTGCCTAAAAGTGCTAGAAAGATAAACAACACAATGAAACCCCAAGCCCATATTCCTCTACCATTCATAATCATTTTTTTGCTAAGGAAAAGAAAGAAAGGCTTCAAATGAAATAACACCAACATGAACCAGAGAAAACATAATCTAAAACAGGACAGACAGTTTTGGTCTTATTCATTAAAGCTTGTTCTTGAAGGAGAATTCTTCAGGTTCATTAAAGCTTGCATTGTATTTGTAAACTTGAAAGGGACAAACCACCAAATTACATAACTACTCCACAACTTGTGAGTAATTATCCAAGGGAAAATGTCAACAGATTTAAATTTTACACCAGAGAATTGTATGTGAAGTAGTTAAAGATCATTCAATAGTGTTATCTCAAAAGGGTTTACACTTCAAAGTCTGTCAACTGGGTATTTGAATTATCAACTGCTTTATTTAGTACAAAAGCAAGAGTTGCAATATTTGAATAGCAAGGAGAATATTAATGCAAGGCCATAGCCATTCTGAAATCAATTTCCTCACCCTTAGCTGTGTCTCAGTTTCAAAGGGTATGTGGTCTACAAAAGGCCATAGCCATCAGGTACATTTCAAGAATAACTTCGAGGGACCCTTGAATTAAATTCATATGGTTGCCATAATGGAGCAGTACCTTGATTGAGAATTTCATGTCAATGAACATACAACAAAATTATGAAAAAGTAAAATGGTGATATTTTTTTTTTAGCAGATACTGATCATTAAATGCAGTTTTGGTCTCAGTTATGAAATTAAACAAAAAATGCCAAGGGAAACCCTAAAATTCAAAATTAAATTTGTGAAAAATATCTGGAGTTCCTCAAGTCAATAGTCATATATATGAGTTTAATTCTTCTACCCCACATTATATTGCAAAAACTATGCTTCAGGTCTCGAAAATTTCTTCGGATCTTGAAAATTTTACCCAATTGAATCAGTTCAAGAGCAACGGTGTACGTAACTTTTGTGCGCCTTTTAAGCCCAATCCTTAATACTCGGTGCATCAAAATACCTTGGATGGTTCTTGTTGGGCTTCAATTGGCCCACATTCACGGGCCTTCAAAGACATTTTATTGTTGGACCCGTGTGGGAAAATAGGAAAATGAAAAGATTAGTTAATTATTTTTATGTTAAAAATATTTAATTTTTTCTCATTGATCATCAGTAATTATTTTTTATCTTTAATTTTCCTGTACGTAGTTTACTGCTTTGCATATGTTGATACTCCAATTTGAAAGATTTATACAAACCAAATCAATAATCACTATATATACACATTAGAATATATAAAAAAAAAATTCAATATGACGTATGAATTTTTAAAAATAAATGCTAATAACAAAATGCATACTATATATACATTTAGTTTGTAATAACAGTTCAATTTGGATGATTTTAACTTTAAAATATAAATAAAATAATTATATTTTTTTGTTTTTAATATTTTCTAAATGAAATCAAACTATTAACTTTTCAAAATAATGATTTCAGATCGATTTGGGTAATTTGTGGTGTTTCATCATTCATCAATCCTCAAACTTTGCATAATAAATAGAGTTAAAAAATAATCAGGAATATAAAACAAACATTTAATAGCTAATTGTATATATGGCATTATTTGATCAAAATGCAAGAAAATGTGGATACAATACAAGTATATATGTGGAAAATTGAAAGAAACATACAATTTTTATTCAAGTTTTATTTGGAAAAGAAGACCAACCCTCTTTTTTTATTCATAAAGCAGTTTATTATATGTCTTAAATAAAGTAGGTTTCATGGAAAGCCAAATTTGGAATGGGTGTCGTTATGAGAATCGCAGCACTTGCAACATGCTGATGGGGCTGGGGTTGGAAGAGGAGGAGGAGGTCCGCAGCAAATGCATTCAGGACACTTCACGTTCACCTGATTTGCTTTAACCAGCGGTGCATATGCATTACCCGGTGAATTACCTATACAAGAAATAATAAAAAAAAATTAAAGTAGCCGAGAGTGATCGAGATATATAGTGTATTGGCTGATCATATCTCATATTATATAGTACTCTTCTCTGTTAGCTTAATTACCAGTAGCTTGCTGGCGAGTTGCAACGGAAGGAGACAAAACCAAAGCAACGAGAATGAGAGAAACCGTAATAGACCTTAAAGAGTAACTTGCAGCAGCCATTGATTGAATGATAATAAATAATATATAAACTGTATGATCGAGATATGTTTAGTTGTTGGATATGCTTAGGAGATGAGAGTAAAAGCATATATTCATATGCAGAGCCTGTCCTTAACCTACGTTAATGTTTACTGTTACTACACGTGTTTTCTCATTTCATCGCGTTTACCTGTGTTGGTATTGTTCCAAACAGGAATAATAATAATAATATGGTTTTGGTTTGGTTGTTGATGGTGATCTGATCAATGGTCTACATAATCTTTGGCAAAGATTTCTAGCAGTTCGTGGCGCACTTAAAAGTTAAAACTTCGCTTGACTGACTTGATTTTGTTTGTAAATTTTTAGTTATTTCTTTTTGAGGATTTTGTCTTTTGAGATCATTATGAAACGTGTTATGTGTTTTGTTATTACTCCTCAGCACTCTAAGATTTACTCATACAAAATACTAAATATTCATTATTTGAGTACCAAATTAAAAAAAGATAATAATAACAAAATAAATAAAATAAGAGATATCAAATAGTAAAATTTGTTATCAATTGGGTTCACACGTAAACAGAATTAATTATTAATAAAAATGTAAACCTTTGGACAATATTATATCATCTTTATTCTCATTTTTTATACAATATTAACCAAGCAGTAATAACATATATAATTTCTGACAGTAAAAAAATAATTACTTGATACAAATCCTGGATAAATGCACCAACAGTACTAATTTTAAAAGAGAAAGCACCCTTCTTTATTCACGTTAATTTAGTTTCTACATATACTTTTAGCTTGAAAGGCTCAAACGACAATATACAGCTTCAAGGAGATCCAGATGTCGATGAAATTTGACCAACACAGCACCGGCAACAGGTACCTGGAGTCGCTGCAGGTTCACAACAGACACAAGCAGGACAAATGGGTGGTCGTGTTGTTGTTTGAAGGAGATCTGCAAAAGCAATTGATAATTAATTCAGATTAATTAAATCAATAGCTGTATCATCTAAAACATATATATTTCGATTGCTAGTAATATATAGCAAGTGTATACCTCGATGATTAAGTCGAGCTGCTTCGCTAGGTATTGCTGGAGACAATACCATAGCGAAGATGAAGAGAGTCACCAAAACAGATTTGAGAGAATTAGCTGCCATTGCTGAACCTTAAATTGAAAGTTATGATATATTTGATGATATTTTGATGAATTTGTATGGCTATTTATAGATTTTATGGATAGTGAATCATTATAAGTAAACATTGGATAGAGTAGAGATGTGCAGTTTTCTTTGAATAAAAAGTTTGACTTTCTTGGTGTAATTTAATCCTTCTTTTGTGTAATGCCAACCGTTGTGCATGCAGCAGCTAGCAGCCTATTCTTGATTGTATTACAGACTTCTGTTTTGCTACGTTTCGATGACAGACTTTTTTTATTTTTTTATTTTTTTTTTAATTTTGTACATATCTGGTAGATCTTAGTTGCAAGAAAAAGGTATGGAACTTGTCTTGAATTTCATGTTGGAAGTATGAAATTTAAATATCCGATTACATGAACTTTTGCTCTCTAATCTCAATAGTTAGCGAATGAAATATGGTTTTCTCAATGTCTTAACAATATCAGAAATTTTTAAAAGTGTGATTAAGAAATTTTCATTATTTATAAACTCTTTACTTGAATTCTTGCTTGTTACAATTTCGAGTGCAAAATAAATTTATTTATCTTTTATATTCTTATGATATTTTCATACATTTTTTTAATATAAAATTAGTTTTGTCTCAAAGTTGTGATCGTTATTTTTCCATTTGACGGACCAACTTACCCACTCGACTTCTTATATTTAAAGCAATTTGTGTATCTACTCCAATGATACTATCATACCATTAGGAAAGAAGATTCAGAGGAAATATCTTGCATAAATCATGGGTTAAATCTAAGAGTGTTTTATCACTTGAATGTGAAAATATTTAATTAGTTATTTTTTATATTAAAAAGATTATTAAATTTCTGCTTATCAATGATTAATTAACTAATTAATCTTTGAATAATTAATTATTTATTTTTTATCTTCAATTTCCCTCTTGCTCATACGTAAATCACCACTTTGCATAGTAGATAAGAGTTGCAAAAATATTCATCAACTAAAAACAAACACTTAACATCTAATATGGCCTTATTTGTTCAAAACACAAAAGGTACAGAAAAGTATCTGGAAAATTGCTACGAGACATAAATTTTTATTCAAATTTTATTGGGAAAAACAAGACAACTCTTTTTATTCATGACTTAGTACATTTGTATGTCTGAAAAGGACACAAGTACGTAAGTAAGTTTCATGGAAAGCCAAGTTTGGAATGAGAGTCGTTTTGAGAATTGCAGCACTTGCAACAAGGTGATTTTGGGGTTAGAGGAGGTCCACAGCAAATGCATTGAGGACATTTCACCAGTTTTGCTTTAATCGGCCCACTTGGGTTGCCCGGTGCATTGCCTATAAGAAACGAAAAACAGTAAATAATTATTTAAATTAAATTAAATTAAATAATATAGCAAAGAGTGATGGAGGTCAATTAATTAATTACCATGAGGTTGCTCGCGACCTGCAACAGAAGGAGACAAAACGAAAGCAATGAGAATGAGAGCAACCATAATAGACCTTGAAGAGTTACTTGCAGCAGCCATTGATTGAATGATAATAAATAATATATAAACTGTATGATCGATATATGTTTAGTTGTGGGATGTGGTTGGAAGACGAGAGTAAAAGCATATTTATAGGAGTGAGAGCCAGCCCTTAACCTACGTTAATGGTTACTGTTACGACACATGTTTTCTCATTTCACGTGTTTTCTCAAATGGAAAAAGTTTGGAGCCCAGATTTAGGTTCTGGTCTTTCAGTTTGGTAATTGTTGCCATTGTTGCCCCAAGCACTCAAAATTTCACTTCGCTTGATTTTGTTTAAGACTAATTAACTTTAATGGACTTGACTTGATTGGCTTTAATTTCTTACTTTTCCTTAATCAATTTTGTTTCACCAAATTGGCGATAACCTTTATGGCGGAGAGGACTAGAAAGACCAATCAAACCACATCTAATTGGTATAGAATTAATTTTCATTATGAAACAATGTTAATTATATGTTTGTTTATATTTTTCAGCAATATATATAAAATTTGCTCCGAGACAGTACTAAAAAAATTCAATTCATTATGGTACAAAATTTGACAAATTAAAAAAAATAACAAAATAAAGAGAAATAATAATACTCCCCCATTTTGTTTGCATGGTTTGACAAAACACGCATATTAAGAATTTAGTCAAGAAAAGTTATTTTGACCTTTTTTTCCCTTTAATTCATTGAAGATATTAATAAAAGTCCATTATTTAATAAATGATTATAAAAGTTATCATGGAAAAATAATTATTTACATGTCTAAATTTAGAAACCTTGTAAATATTTTGGAATATTTGAAAAAAGAATAACAAACAAACAAAATAGAACGGAGGGAGTATAATTTATTATCAATTGAGTTCACACGAATCATAAATAATCTTTATCATATAAATAATCTCAAAATAAAATTGGGAGAATTTTGTTCCGATTGTATAATTTTAATTTGAAGAAAATTAGTATATGATTTATTTGATTATATGTGGATATACATTATAGATTTTATGGATGGTACATTATTATTATTAAATCAAAACATTAAATATGCAGTTTTCTTTGAAAAACAAGTTTGAATTTCCTGTTACATTGCACTATTTACTATTTTGTGCATGCAGCCAAGAATATGAGATAGACTTCTATTTTCCTACGTTTTCATCATCAAGCGTGTATCAGAAATTTTTGAAATGCATGGTTGACTTCTTAAATTGTTCGAGTATGATATAAATGTTTGACCACAGAACTATTTGACAAATTGGTAATAAAATGATTTCAAAATCCAATGTGGAATTTAGATCGATCTTTAATTTAATTATCCAAGAAATGAATATTACAACTATATATTTTCTAAAGATTAGATACATAGTTTGGTTGATAATTTACTTAATTGAATAATTTGAAATTAAATCTTTTTGTTGGAACTATAAATTCAGGCTGAGATGAAGTTAAATCTTTATTCATGAATCCATTACTAAAACAAAAATCCAAATTTTAAAGTAGAACTTTCATCCAAATACACCAACTATTAACAATCTTACTTACCTACCGGCTATCTCCACCTTTATCTTTTATAAATAGGAAGTATAACTATGATTTTTTTTTTTTTTTTTTTTCTTTTATAAATAGAGATATACTAGATTTTTTTTTTTTTTTATGGATACTGGGACAACGGGGTTTTTTTTTTTTTTTTTTTGGATACATGGGACAACAGGGGTGAAGTAGCCCTCTCCTTTGAATAACGTTCACCATATGATGAATAGAAAAAGCAATCAGACCATACTTTATTGATACATATAACTATGGTTACAACTAGCTGTATATACTTGGAAATTTCCTGTCGTACTAATAAAACTTATGTTTTTGTATTTTCTCGGAAGGCTTCAATTTGTTATATTTATTTTGAGCGTAGATAGTAAGGAATTCTACTTTTTTTTCTTGATAAATTAAGTATTAGAATTGTTAGAGGCTTACTTAACAAAAGAAGATTGAATCGATTTAATTAATCACCTTAAATGGCAAATTTATTTTTTTGTTTTTGGACAAAGCCTAAAATAATAAAACATGAATTAGTTTTTATTCATCTGTGAGATAATTTATCAACTATTACAACATTCATTTGCCACTAGGAGAGGCTCTTTTATTAGACAAGCAAGTGGGATTTTTAAGTTTCAAGAGCAGCTGAAGAGTGAAAATATTGTCATGGAGAATCACTATTGTTATTAGATTGAGCTGCCATAGGAGTAGGTATAGAACAGCTACATTTGCAGCATGAGCCTGGACGTGGTGGAGGTCCGCAACAAACACAAGCTGGACATATAGTTCTTGATCCAACACCACCTGCAATTTACACATATTAATTGATAATCAATTATTTCAACAAAATATTAACTCCAATCTCACAATATTAAATTCTTCTCCCCGCTGAGCGAGAAAAGAAATGAATAAACCTTATTTGCAACTTAATTGATGTCAAATATGTTAAAATTGTACCTATAGATATTACTTTTAGCATGTACCTGGGTCCTTGATGCGATGTGGTGGGTCTTCTCGAGCTGCATCACATGGTAATATCGAATAGGACATCATGAAGAAGAGTAGAAGAGTCGCCATTATCAGCTTAGCAGAGTTATCTGCCATTGCTCCAAGCAAAACAGAAATTGAGTTATAATTATTTGATGCGATGATCCCTATATGTGTGTCTCTCTATATATATAAATGTACCTTGACCTTTAAAACACGTTATTGCATACAGTTTTCTGAAGAAAAATAGGAGGAAGTTTTTCTTAATTTTATTTGAGTCTTGATTGTGGGGAATTCCACCAATTTTTAAAAATTAAAGACTGGACTTGAGGTTACAGCCTTTCCGTGACTTGTGTTTGGCTAACATTATTTTCCCAGCAAAATACTTATTGAAAATCTATGAACTTCTACAGTTGGTTTTATATGAAGTCAAAGCTCCTATATCAGAATATTGAATTCTTGGTTGTTAATGATTTCAGTTGGACGTATACTCAAGACTTTGAATTTTGATTCATTGTTGAAAAAGATGGGTTTGTTATCTTTCTTTTGTTGGGTTATTTGTGGTGGTTTTGTTTAATGCAAATATGCAATTTGCTTGGATGCTTCCAGGAGGACGACCCGTGATTCAGCAAACAAACCATTACAAGTTTATAACATGTCATTAACAACCAAGGAAAAATTAGTAACAAAAATCTTTATTATATTCCAAACGTATCAATTACAAAGTACTAAAAGGAGAAGCACTCCTTTAATTTATACATGTATAGTTTTATTGATTGGACATTTCCTTTAATTTCTTTATTAATGTTCATTATTCATACATATTAATTTTCCATATTGCGTCAAGCGCCTGAACATTTGAAAGAGTTTCAAGGATCAACAGGAGTAGCACAACAATCGCAGCAGGAGCCTGGCGGTGGAGGCGAGCAACACACACAAGCTGGACAAAAGGGTTCATCTGTTTGAAGAAGACCTGCAAATATATATGCAAAATAACCATTTTAAATTAAAGTGAACAAATTACGACAGTGTTAATTACTCTTCATTTGGAGCCTAATTAACCAAAAAAAGAATCATGAAGGTAAGTAATTTAATTACCTCGGTTATGGTTGGGTGCCCGAGCTGCTTCGCATGGCATCATCGGAGACAACACCATTGCAAAGATGAAGAGAGTCAGCAAAACAGACTTGACGGAATTAGTTGCCATTGCTATTGTCGTTAACTTGAAGGTTAGCTAAGGATACTATGTTTTTTGTGGTATGAGAATGCATATGGGATGAGGGTGTATTTATAGGATTGGTTATGGTAGTACTTTACAAAATAAATGCGTATGTATATGCAGTTTTGTTTGAATTAGAATATTGTAATAATTTGATTTTTCTCGTTTTGATGGCATACAGTCGTAATGAACATTTACGACTACTTATTCAATGCATATCCATGATTTATATCATTTGCCTAACTTGTAGATTTCTTTTTTCTTCTTTGGTTTAAAAACTTATGGGTATTGTTTAAGTGTTAAACTAATTGCAGTCTGAAAGTTATGGATATCCATGAAATACATTAATTGAACAAGTCAACAAAGAGCCCATTTAACTTATTATTTAGCACAAAAAGTCAAATTTTACCATATTTTCTCCTACAATAATATTTTAAGGCTTTGATGAGCGATTTAGATGAAAGCTCTCTTTCTTGGATATATCCACAAGCTAACAAGGTTGCTCCTAATTTAGCTAGAGCTTCTTGTTCCTTGCCTCGCCTTCATCATGGGATGTTATCCCCAACTGTGTAGAAGTTCCCGTTTTGAATGAAAAAAGCTTCTTCTTTCTTCAGAATATATATATATATCATGTAAATTTGATACAAAACTATATTCTCATCAAATATTTTTGAAATAAGAGTATATGTTCTTTTTATAAAAATTAAAGTAACATATATCAGTTAAGAAACAATTACTCAATTTTTTTAGTCAATGATCTCATATTCCCTTTGTTTGACAAGATGCAATACAAAATAATTAATCATCTCTAAGAGGATGTAATGATAATATTCTAAATTGATGAAATTCTGCAAATACGTATTTAGTTGACGAAAGATTTGTCTACATCTGGTGAATACTCAGGTTGATACATGAAACCCGGAAATAATTTTTAGTGTGAACAGAATAACAAAGTTCTCTTACGATTTAAGCCAACTATTCAACAAACACAGAGAAAAGTCTGGTGGTGGAGGTTTTCAGAAAAACAAGCTGGACATACATGGGCCCTAACCCGGCCCACTAATACATAAAAGGTAGACAACAAGGTATTACGTGTTTAAGACTGATCATATGTTTGAAATTTTTCCTGTGGCCCAAAAAGTAAAATTAAAAGTTTAAACTCGAAGAATGCAAATTGCAAAATTACAGTTTCGCAGAAAAATATAATATATATCAGGAACCAAAATAACTCTTGAGAGGAGGCACAGATTTTATCTTGACATCATCTGCAAAGCGGCGTTTGAGGTAATCACTGTAATCAAAAGGCTTATAGAGCAAAGGATGGTCTTCGTCCACTAGCTCTTCTAAGGCCTTTATTATGTATCCATCTTTGGGTACTGAAAAGAATGAAGCAGAGTACCTTGGCTTGTTTCCACTCAGCATAACCCTATGATATGGGCTACACAATCGACCATTTGTCCATGCCTGCAAAATGCAATTTGCTTTCTTTCAATATGATATTTTTCTTGTACCTTGAACTTTTTTCAAGATATAGCTAGATTCTTGAAATTGTAATAAAGAAGTGACTTACATTAAGAGATTCCCCAATTAAGACGAGAAAAGAATCAGGTGAAAACATTATAGGAATCCAATCTCCATTTCTTGATTGTATCTCTAACCCATCTACCTGATTTTGATAAAATATGCTTATTGTGTTCTTGTCAGTGTGAGCCCTTAGCCCTGTTATTTTCTCAGTAGTTTCAGGTGCCTTATATTTGGCCACCCTTAGAAAATAATATGTAGAGTTCATATGCTCATCTAGGTATTTCTCAACCCCAAAGCTCTCCACAATCATCCTCCTTACTATTTTATCTAATTCGAGCACTGTCTCAGAGAACGAATGCAGGATTTTGCTGCCAAAAAATTTTAAAATACTAGATAAATGAGCAACTTAGAAATAAACTTGATCACATTAGTTCTTGTTGTCAGTAGCAATAGAGTCTAGAACTATAAAGTTACCAGATTATCCTAAAAGAAAAGAAAAGAAAAAGAAAGTCACAAACCTAAGTTCTGTGTTTCCTTGAGGATATAAGACATTAGTGAAGGTGGTTTCAACCTTGTTGTAGATGTCAGGTTCAACTATGGCCAAGCTCTCATATAGTGACATAGCTGAAGATGATGATCCAAGGTAGCCATGAAAAGGTTTTTCAGAAACATTAAGCTGTTTTGTTTCTAGAGGCAACTGAAATAACTCTTCTGATGCTTGATTCATGGACTTTTGAAGCTGTTCAGGAATTTTATTGAACAAAACCTGGAAGCAACCATATTCCTCTGCAGCTTTTCGAACTTGAGATTTCAACAAACCCCATGTAGGATTGCTTGGCTTTAGGTCTGAATTTGAGAAATCTATCACTGGAAGGCTAAGAGAGACTTTGTTACTACTCATTTTGCTGTTTTTGGTACAAACTATAGTCGAGTTGTATTTTCCAAAGCTACAATGGAGTTATATAAATTGTTGATAATGATACACGGATGCTGATAGGTTCACCTAAGATATGTTCGCAGGGACCATTTTAGGTTCATCTCTCTTTTTCTATTAATAATAATATTTTTTAAAAAAAAATGTTTTTTGAAATTGACAAGTTTGGCTATTGTTTAATCATTTTCAATAAAATATACAATAAAAATAAAAATGCTCCATAAACAAAGATAATTCTTAATTATTTATGAAGAAAAAATCTTAATTTCCAAATTCAAGTTAGAAAACTCAAATCATTGATACTAATCTTGGAGTCACTTTCAAGCTCAGGCCCAGCCCAAAATAACATTTATTATACTAAAGCAGTGGTTTAAGGAAAAGAGTTTCTAATTCTAATATATATCTTGGAGTCACTTCCAAGCTTCAGGCCCAGCCCAAAATCACATTTCTCATACTTAAGCAGGTGTTAAGGAAAGAGAGTTTCTAATTCTATATATTATATATTATCAGAATATATATATATAATATATATATATAAGCCACTTGTAGATTACAATTATATTCATTATCAAACCCTTGTAGCAGAAGATTAATACTTACTACCCAATTAAATCATTTAATAAATACATAAAAAGTTACAACCTTAGATTTACATATATATATAAGCCACTTGTAGATTACAATAATATTATTATCAACCCTTGTTAGCAGAAATGAATTCCTACTACAATTTAAATTCATTTATAAATAATAAAAGTTAACTTAGTTACATCGAATCCTACAAATTTAGTTTTTAGATTTAGAATAAACATTTTCAGTTTTATTGAATGTGGAAATTTTAAATTTTAAATGAATGTTATAAAATTTTGTTGAATTTATGTATTTCAAATAGAGGTTTATTGCACATTACTTGACTCATTGTAGAAGCAAAGATGATCTTTTGTTCATATATAATCACAAATGAAAGAGAACAAAACAATAAAATTATCGAGATGATCTTTTATTTGGTTCATTAGCCTTAAAGAAACCATAACTGAAAGATACAGGTGGAATGGAAGCACCGCAACGCTTGAAACAAGAGCCTGGTGGTGGAGGAGCTGAGCAACATTTTCGTGCATTGAAGACAAAAATGCTCCTCTTTTAGTTTTATAATCTGACAAGTAAAATCTTAACGGTGAATTGAGCTATTTCTAAGGATCATTCTTCAGAATTAGTAGCAAATTGAGCCGCTAAAAGGCATAGACTTGAAGAATACAGATTGCATGTCAGAGTTTTTTTTTTTTTTACCTGATACCTGCTATCACATATCAGGAACCAAAATAATCCTTCAGAGGAGGCTCAGTTTGTATCTTGCGGTCTTCTGCAATCCGGCGCTTAAGGTAATCACTGTAATCAAAAGGCTTATAGAGTAAAGGATGATCTTTATCCACTAGCTCTTCTAAGGCCTTTATTATGTAGCCATCTTTGGGTACCGAAAAGAATAAGGTAGAGCACCTTGGCTTGTTTCCACTCACCATAACCCTATGATATGGACTATACAATCGACCATTTGTCCATGCCTACAAAATGCAATATGCCCTCTTTCAAATCATGATAACCATTATATATATACACAAAGATTCTTGAAACTATAAAGAAGTAACTTACATTAAGAGATTCCCCAATTAAGATGAGAAAAGAATGAGGTGAAAACTTTATAGGAATCCAATACCCATTTCTTGTTTGTATCTCTAACCCCTCTACCTGATTTTGATACAATATGCTTATTATGTTCTTGTCAGTGTGAGCCTTTAGTCCTGTTACTTTTTCAGTAGTTTCAGGTGCTTTGTATTTCGTCAACCTTAAAATATAATATGTAGAGTTCATGTGGTCATCTAGGTATTTCCCAACACCAAAGCTCTCCACAATCATCCTCCTTATCATTTGATCTAACTCTAGCACTTTCTCAGAGAAAGAATGCAGAATTTTACTGTCAAAAAATTTAAAATATATAAACAAATAATTGACTTAAATAAGAAACAATTTAGCAACTGGTTAATCACATTAGTTAGTCAAACCTAAGTTCTATGGTTCCTCGAGGATATAAGAGATTAGTGAAGGTGGTTTCGACCTTGTTGTAGATGTCAGGTTCAACGACAGAAAAACTCTCATGTAGTGGAGATGAAGATGATGATCCAAAGTAGCCATGGAAAGGTTTTTCAGAAACATTAAGCTGTTTGGTTTCTAAAGGCAACTGAAATAATTCTTCTGATGCTTCATTCATGGACTTTTGAAGGTCTTGAGGAATTTTATTGAACAAAGCCTCGCAGCAACCATATTCCTCTGCAGCTTTTCGAACTTGGAATTTCAACGAATCCCATGTAGGATTGCCTGGCTTTAGGTCTGAGTTTGAGAAATCTATCACTGGAAGGCTAACAGAACCGTTATTGCTGCTCATTTTGTTGTTTTTGGTACAAAGTACAAGGTAGAGTCGAGTGTACATTGCAAAGCTACAATCAAGCTATATAAAAAGAAATAAATAAATAATTTTAATTTGCTTATTGTACGTATAATATATTTTTTTGAATATAAAATAATAAAATTGAAATTGACAAGTTTGGCTATTGCTTAATCATTTCCAATAAAATATATTAATTTTGTTCTTAATTACTTGTTACATTTGATAAAGTATTATATTTCAAAATATTTGTCATATTTGTAGTTTTAAGGAGTAATAATTTTTTTTTCATGTCTACCTTTTTGTATACGATAAACAATTATTATTTCGATTCCTCAAAAATTTGGTATTTGAATATATTAAATTAAAGATAATATAAATAATATACTCAATAATTTATTATAATTTAGACAAATTTAATAGCTTCCTTAACAACTATGAAATTCCAAATGTGACAAATATTTAAAAATGAAGTAAAACAAAAATTAATTAAAAATGTTGCACACAAAAATATTATTTTCTTCTCATAGTAAATTGAATTTCAATTTTAGTTATAATTAATAGCCTTCTAATTTCAAACTATACCCAACTTTATGAATAAAATATTATTTTCGTTAGACCTACATAATTAAATTAACCAAAAACTCAATATTTAACAACATCCTCACTAATATTGGTTAGAATTTTTTTTTTTAAATTCAAAAAAAAACCAAGTAAAATTATAAATTTTAGTAAGTTATAAGGATAAAATATTAATTTAGGATTTTGTTTTGCCATTTTTTAAGCATAAAATTTTAGTTAGAGTTCATTGAAATTATACTTAAGTCAGATCTTTTATAAAAATAGGTTTTATTTATTACGGTATAATTTTATTTTTAAGATGAATTATTTATTTTTATTTTAATATTGAGTATAATTTGAAAATAATATTTTAGTCATCAAATTGTAACCCCACTTAATGAATAAAATATTATTTTTTATTTTAATATTAGGGACAATCTGAAATTACGGTACTTTAACAATTAAAGTTGAAATTTAGGGTGTTTTTCAGAATTTCATTGAATAACAAAAAGATCACCAATTCTTGAACAACAAACAGCTTCATACATGTACAAGAACACAAATGACAATCATAAAGATAGCATATCTGAAATGGTCAAACACCAAAATACTCCTTCAATGGCGCTTCATAAACTTTTCCAACCTCTCCAAAACGGAGTTTAAGGTAGTCCTTATATTCAAAAGGCTTAAATTGCAAGGGATGTTCTTCATCCACTAGCTCCTCTACAGCTTTTATTGTATACCCTTCATTAGGAATTGTAAACAACACAGCAGAGTGTCTTGTCTTGTCTCCACTCATTATAACACGATGGAATGGGCTATACAATCGACCATTTGTCCATGCCTGCAAAATTGAACTCACAATTGAAGTGTCCGTGCTTTATATACGAAGATGCAGAAAGAAAAACCATTTTGAGTAAAGAGACTTACATTTAGAGAATCTCCAATTATGAAAATGAAGGAGTCTGGTGAGAATTTGACATTGATCCATTCACCATTTTTCAGTTGTACCTCTAAGCCATCAATCTGATTCTGGTATAAAATGCTAGTTGTGTTCTTATCTGTATGAGCCCGTAGCCCTGTCTTTTTCTCAGAGGTTTTTGGTGCTTCATATTTAGTCACTCTAAGAAAATTGTAAGTTGAATTCAAGTGTTCATCCAATAAATTCTCAATTCCAAAGCTCTCCACAATCATTCTCCTTACTGTTTGATCTAATTCTGCTAATGCCTTTGAGAAACCATATAAAGTTTTGCTGCCAAAATTTGAATTTAAGGAAGAGAGTTAAAATGTTTCAAAAATAATATCTGTCTCATAGTTTCAAAGTTTAAAATCCTGACAACTCCTGGCTAGTTTTAAGAATTTTTTTATGAAAAACAAAAAAAAAAAAAAAGGAAAGAGATTAACTTATAAACCTGAAATTTATGTTTCCTTCAGGCCAGAAGACATTGGTGAAATTCTGAACCTTGTCATAGTTGTCAGGATAATAAAAGCCCAAGCTCTCATATATTGAACCTGGAAAAGATGGTCCAATATAACCATGGAAAGGTAATTCAGAAACATTAAGCTTCTTGATTTCTGAGGGTAATGCAAAAATCTCTTCCAATGCTCCATTCATTGCCTTTCGAAGCTCTTGAGGAATGTTTTTAAACACAGCTTCAAAGCAACCATACTCCTCTGCTGCTTTCCGAACTTGGGACTTCACTGTCTCCCATAAAGGGGTCCCTGGCTTTAATTCTGTGCTAGAGAAATCTATGACCGGGAAGCTTTGAATGGTTTCAGAGCCCATTTTGTGAAGAAAATGTTTTAGAGTGTATTAAAACTGGTTATAGGCTTTCTTAGTGTAAAATAATTGTCATCTTGTGTTTCTTATATATTCTCAAGTTTAATCAGTAACTTTAAAGTTGTTTCTAAAACTACGAGATTAAAATTAAAAATTCGAAAATTATATAATTACATTAATCTAGGATAATGAAAACCACATTTATGAATTTAATTTTAGTTATGCTTGATTTAAGAAGGAAATAATTTAATTTAATTTTGTCTCTAACAAGTGAGAACCAAACCCCATTTTAATTTCACCTATGTATATGTAAGCATGCACAGGGACCATTTTGGGTCCTTTTCTCATCTTATGTTATATAATACTCCATCTGTCTCAAAATAACACGATATTAAAAAAATAATTAATTCTCCTAAAATATAATAAAATCAACAAAATTATCATTTATCTCAAAATCAACGATACTTATTGTATTTAATATAAATAAGGATAACATTATAAAAATATCTTTTATTACTCCTTAAAATATTCAAAACAACTTATATTTCGTGACAGATGAGTAATTGTCAAGTTCTCGTTGAAAGATATTAGTCCTGGATTTTTGTGTTGATGATGCATTTTTTGGACTTAGTGCAATTAGGGTTCTAATTAATTATTTGCTTTTATTAATTGATTTGGCTTGCATATAAATTGGCTTATTCAGATGGATACTGACTATTAACTTTATTAGTTATAACCAAACTGATATTAAATTGTTACATTCAAGACATAATGTACAAAAATATATAACTACTGCCATTATTTTTCAGAACATTTTTAATTTCTAGTAATTCACTCTCATCTTTCCTAATAGAGCTTCAAGTCTTCCAAGATTCACCATTTTAGCTTTGCTGGGAAGTACTGCATGCAAGATTAGAATTAGGTCATTTAAATTAAAAAAATAAAAAATAAAAATTAATAAATATGGGTTTTTCACCTTATCTATGAGGGAGAGGTAGTAAGGCTTGACCTTTTCCACATCAACTCGAACTTTGCTCTTGCTGTACAGGTCATATTTGCTGCATGGGAAAAAACAGAATTGGAAAAATCAAAATCAAATCACCATTAATTATTAAATTTCAGGACAAATTATATAAATATATGAGATTTTTACTTGAATATTTGAAGCCACTTCAGATTTTCAATATCCTCTTCATTCATCAAGTGTTTGTATGCTCCTGATCTATGTAATGCTGGAAAAAGGAAATTAATAATTCAATTAGAAAGTGATAAGTACAATTTAATTATAATAATTATTTCTTTAATTTTAAATTTAATTACCATAGAATGAATGGTATCTGATAATGAAAAGAGCTGCTGAAGGTAGACTTGTCTTATTCTGCTTGGCCACCTGATAACAAGACACCAAACTCAAATATTCTCAATCATATTTTATAATTTATTTGCATAATTATTAAAATAATAATAATAATTTTTGAAAATGACGAATTACCAAATACATGTAATCATCATGTCCCCATGACATCATCACATTATTTAATCCACATCCTTCTGAGTAAACTCCATATTTAGTATTGTAAGCAGGATTATTAAAGTCAGGATTTTCCTTGAAATACTGTTGACCAAATTAAGAACAAATAATAAATGTTAAAAGAAATTATTTTTATAAGAAGTGCTTAAAATAGATAATTAAGAAAAAAAAAAAAAAGTTAAAGACCTTGTGATGGACTATTGATTCATCAAAAGCACATCCAACAGGGTAAGTGTCACCTGTAAGTAATTGCAATCAAGATTAGCAACTGTAATGGTAATATTTTAATTGATAAAAAATGGTAAAATAATTACTAACCTACGACAGCCCACTGGGCAAGCTCACCAAAGCTGGGATGAAGAAGCACCTTCCCAAGATCTAAATCAAACCAAAAAAATAAAACGAGTTATGAAACCTGCTCATTGTCTGAGCCAAATCAAGTCATGCTCGGTCTAGCCCGACCAAACCAATTGCTCATGCTCAAGCCCATGTCAACGGCCAGCAAGTCCTCTGTAGGCTAGCACAGGGCCAGAGGCCATGCTCAGCCCAACACACAAAAATTTCTATTCATTAGGAGGAGGTATAACGAGCAGAAACGCTGCAAGTTATACAATTTGCGGTAACTCTTCCTAAACTCGTCAAATTAATAAAAATATTTATGGGCGAAAGAATTCAAACTTGAGACTCAAGATCATACCTGATTGGCTTTGCAATTCTATATTTATGAAAAGATGAAAAGTGAAGAAGATTAATTACCATGAATAAGGCCAGTCAAGTGTAGCCAGTCTTCATTAGGATAGTCCTTTCTAATGGCTTCAGCTGTTTGGAGCAAATGCTCAATTTGAGGTTCATCCAAGTCAGGATCACTCTCATCCACTACATTATTAAGAAGTTGACAGCATTCCCATATGCTCATCTCCACTCTGTTCAGCTTTCCATACTCTTCTCTCATCCTTTTCACCTGAATTTCATTATTACATTTCAAAATTATTTATTTATTACTTCAAAATTTATTACTCTTCATTTTGATCTAATACTTTTGAATAAAAATTTTAATTTTAACAATTGAAATCGCTAATCTTTTAATAGAATCAAAAGGTGTTAATCTCGTTTTGGATTGTAGAGCGTGAAGGATTTTAGCCTTTCGTGTGCTCCCTATATAGATCGAACTTGAGTTCTGATCTTTAAAAGGATCAAGACTGTCGGTAAAATAATGTTAACCAAATTTTAATCAGAGAACTTTCGTGTGCTCCACATAGTTCGAACTTGAGTTCTAAGGATCAAGACTGTCGGTAAAATAATGTTAACCAAATTTTAATCAGAGAACTTTCGTGTGCTCCACATAGTTCGAACTTGAGTTCTGATCTTTAAAAGGATCAAGACTGTCGGTAAAATAATGTTAACCAAATTTTAATCAGAGAACTTTCGTGTGCTCCACATAGTTCGAACTTGAGTTCTGATCTTTAAAAGGATCAAGACTGTCGGTAAAATAATGTTAACCAAATTTTAATCAGAGAACTTTCGTGTGCTCCACATAGTTCGAACTTGAGTTCTGATCTTTAAAAGGATCAAGACTGTCGGTAAAATAATGTTAACCAAATTTTAATCAGAGAACTTTCGTGTGCTCCACATAGTTCGAACTTGAGTTCTGATCTTTAAAAGGATCAAGACTGTCGGTAAAATAATGTTAACCAAATTTTAATCAGAGAACTTTCGTGTGCTCCACATAGTTCGAACTTGAGTTCTGATCTTTAAAAGGATCAAGACTGTCGGTAAAATAATGTTGAGAGAGAGAAATGAAATGAAATGAAAAATCATAAAAAGTAAGCTCACAAAGTCATAGCTCTGGTTAGTGTGATTGATCCTGTAGAAATTCTCCACACCAGGTTGCCTTTCCCCTTCAGCATCATAATCTCTGTTTCGGACACATATTATTAGATAGATCATTAATGAATTTAATAAAACATAAAAACAACAAAGCATTTTCTTAATTATTCTTCAAAAAAATTATACCTCTTTTGTTTAAATATATCAAATGTACAAGTCAATACCCTTTACTTATTTGGGTTCAAATCTTAATCCTTCACAAGTGTCATGTTATCTGAAATTAAAGTAATTAATTAATTAAGTATTAAATCGAATTGTTCCACAATCTGTCCAAATATTCCATGGTGCCATTAATTCTAAATCTGTAACTTGCGGGAGATACAATTTTATATACCAGCAAAGGAATATTTCCTTGTTAATTTCTTAAAATACTTTTTCAGATTATTTTTCGGTTAGCGTATTAATTAGATCATGAGGTATGATTGGGGCCATAAAAATTTATATTTCATATATTAATGGGAAGAAAAAAAAAAAGAATGACCTAAAAGTTTGGCCAAAAGAGTTGGTATTTGGCACCACAAATCCACCCTCCAACACTACTTCTTCTTTCTCATCAGCATGGATCTTCTTTTCCTCTACCTCAAACTCTGTAATTGGAAGGGTCAAAAATTAAAAAATATAAAAGGTTGCCTTTTTGAAACTCAATATTTCAAGAATCAAGATCTAAAATTTTTCTAAAATAAAACAGCATGTTAAAAAAAAAAGGATCATAAATAAAATATATATTTTTGTGAAAATGAAAATCAAAGAGATAAAAAATAAGAAAAAAAAAGTTACTAATCACCAAATTCAAAGGGAGGTTGCTCAATGAGAATAGTCATCGTGAATGAGGACGGAAACAGAGAATAATTTGGAGAAAGAAAAGAAAATAAGGAAAGAAAGAAAGAAATGAAGCGGTTGCATTGTAGGTAAAGAAAGAAGTAAGTATTTATAATTGGCCGGAGAGCCCTTCCCTGAGAATTCAAAGGTCCCGAGTCCTTACCTGAAAATCCTCACTTATAACTTCTTTCTTGTTATATACTTTATGGCCTTATACGATAATATATCAAAATATTATTATATTTCTACTTTTATTTTACACCATTCACATACACAGTGAGAGTCCCATGCAAGTTGGCAACAGGCACAGTGAGAGAAAGAATACAGCTTTTTTTTTTTTTTTTTAGAGAAAGAATACAGCTTTTTTTTTTTTTTTTACCTGCTTTTTTTAGAAGAGCTTTTTTTCCCCTGCCCTTTGTTATATTTAAGACTATTTTTATTCTTTAGGCGTTTATTACATTCATTTTATATATATTTTTCTTTGATTTTCATGCGGAAATCCGGTTTTTTTTTTTTTTTTTTTACCTGCTTTTTTTTAGAAGAGCTTTTTTTTCCCCTGCCCTTTGTTATATTTTAAGACTATTTTATTCTTTTAGGCGTTTATAATTCATTTAATATATATTTCTTTGATTTATGCGGAAATCCGGTCCGTTGAAATAACACTGAGACTATTCTTTTTCGTTTTTTATGGATCTCAGACCGTTACTTCCTTGCATCTAAACTTTAAAGTCCAAAGTCCTTCCATCAAAATTCTTAAAAAATTTCGAAGCCCTTACAAAAAAATAATTTTATTACATGCGGAGTTGGTAGGATATTTTCACGTGAGGCCCATCTCGAACATATCTATACAGTCATGACTGACTCAGCTTTGGGCTGGACGCCACAATTCAATTCAATCACGTGACCCTCTCCTGGGACCCAGTGACGTGGCATCGAGTCATATGGACAGTGATGTTACCCCGACCCCCACCGGAATCGCCGTGCTTGTCTTTGTAGGCAGTTTCTACGTCCACTCCAGAGTTTCGCTAATGTCACGCAAAGAAAATTATCAAGTGCTACCGAGAGCGCGAATCGTGTCCAAGTAGGACATTCCGGTTCTGACACGTGTAGGTGGTGGCTGGGATGTTGTCTGATCAAATATCTTTGTATCGTTTGTTCTTGTTCTTTGTCTACCTTGTCATGCTGCGCCCAGACAATTTTGTTTCCATTTTCTTATTACTCGATACTAAGTTTAGATTTATATTAAAAAAATATTTATTCATTAATAATATTAAAGTCTAAAAATTTATAGTGATCGAGATAAATTGCGTTGCAAGTCAATTTTGACCGATGATAAGCTACCACTTCCTTCATTTGTTTGTTTTTCTATTTTTCTGTCGGTGGTGAATTTGTCATTTGTGTATGGACGTGTCATACAAAATGATAATAATAATAAAAAAAAAAAAAAGAAAACAAAGAAATAGATAAGGATTTCAGACCGATCATTTTATTTTTATACATGTGTTTTTTCTTTCTCTTAACTGTTTTGCAGAAAGCGTAATAAATAAAATTTAGAGCGAAAATTAATTTTTTGAATAAAAAAATGAAATGTGCCAATAAATCTAATACTGTCTAAATGCAGATTCTAACAAGCTACTTGTACATAGTATGTAATTAAAAAAAAAAGGAAATGAAATGTATTTTGCCTGAATTTTGAAAGTGAAAAACGTAGATCTTCCTGAGATTTTGTGACGGAAGCTCCACTTGGTTCCGTCTCTGGCATTTATTTATCAGCTGATGTTTACAAGACATTGATAAAAATAATATATTTTATAGTATGATATAGTTAAATAACACAGAGAGACTTTTTTTTTCTATGAAAAATAAACCTAAGACGTGTTGAACTTGAAGAGATTAACGATATAACATCAAGAAAGTGTTTAACTTGAACATAAATAATAATATTATAAATTAAATAAGATTGATTGACTTGCCGGTTTGAGTGTTGGACAGGCAGAGTGGTAGCTGTGAGGCTGTGAGCGAGTGGTGAGGCAGTATCAGGAAATATCAAGGGGAAGCTTTTGATTTCCCATGAAAGGACAATGCTTGACGCTGATTTACTACCAGAAATGAAAAAAATAAAAAATAAAAAAAAAAAAACCACAAACATGCCTCACCAGGAAATATCAAGGGGAAGCTTTGATTTCCCATGAAAGGACAATGCTTGACGCTGATTTACTACCAGAAATGAAAAAAATAAAAAAAAAAACCACAAACATGCCTCACCAGGAAATATCAAGGGGAAGCTTTGCTTTCCCATGAAAGGACAACGCTTGACGCTGATTTACAACCAGAAATGGAAAAAATGAAAAAAAACCACAAACATTAAACAACGGCCCAGAATGCTGCCACGTCATCTAATATTATAGACAAAATTCGTGGCAGAAAGACGGTTGATTATATTACATTATGTTCCATTACCACACGCTAAGCATACCCTTAATATAATGTTCTAAACATGAAGACAAGATTTGAATCTGAGGTCCACAGCATAATGTTCCTATTTGCACGTGTCCTTGAACCTGGGAGAGACTAAGCTAAGCCACTATCTAACTTGAATTAGTATCCAACTCCAACAGAGAACTACGCTCGTAGAACAAGCCAACAATGTTAAATACTCCACAAAACCAGATTAGAGTTATTAGGAGATGCAATACGAATTAGACTGAATTTTGAAGAGAATGCATACTCATGTTAACATAGTTCAGTACCACATGTTTGAAAATTAGATACAAGAAAAGTACGAGGTTAGAAAACGGTCTATTTGATTATGCCCTGATAGAAATAAATATAAAAACCCTTTCTGATTCAAAATTTCATCCTTTTGGCAGGACCTTGATCAATGATTGGATCAACAGCAAGAGGTTGTGACTCAGTTCCCTGCTGACTTTCAGCACCTTTCTCTGTGTCCGTACTTGGAACCGGAACATAGCCTTCTGGAAACGGAGGTGGTGGAGGGGCTGGCGGTAACTGCAACACAGGTATCCAAAAGAACAAAACTGTTAAGCTATAGCTTTCCATGGATGAAGATGGACTTCAATATATTATTTCATGAAGAAAAATTCATCAATTAGCTTATTGATAATATCATTTCAACCTTCTTAGATCTGATGTTTTAACCCAACCATATAGGAAAGAAATCTCTCAATGCATACAATGATAAACATAAAATAGACAAATATCATGGTACATAGAGATAGTTACATTATTAATATTATTAATGCAGGGGAAATGAAATCTGAAAAGTTACCTTGCGTTGTAAGGAGGCAAGAATACTATCTATTCGCTTAACTTCCTTGAAGTCAATCAACTCTTTACCAACTTTTGATTCAGAAGTTACACCTTCACCTTCATCAACTGCGTCACAAATAACATAAGAATCAAAACCAATAATGACATAGAATGGCCTTCATTAAAGAAATACTATGGCACATTGAGACACGAAGAGGACAGACAGAGAGAGGTTATGCATATATCATGCTTCAAAGGTACTTTAAATTCATGCTTGGAGAAAAAAATATAGGACCAACATCCAACTAGAGGAGGAAAAATAATATGTTATGAACATTATGACCTTCACCCTCAAAATTGTGGACAATTAACATTCTCAAAGGCAACCATTCTTACTACTAACTATTCAAGAGGCAACCAAAGACAAATTCAGGTACTCCATAATGTTAGTTTGTTACTGGACTAGATGGAAAATCAATTGAATACGGCAAAAAGAAATTACAAGCTACAGGTTACTGAGTTAAGAAAAAAAAATACAAAAAGGTAAGATCATACATAAATTGTTTGAAGAAGCTGAAAAAAAAAAAAGAAAAAAAGAAAGACATCCGCATTAGACACTATTGATCATCAAAATCTACCAGCATGTCATTCAGTCCATGGAGCACTAATCACCCATATAGGAAAGGCTACTAATGCATTCAAAGCGTGTATGCAATAAACACCTAAGTGATCAGAAAATGTTTCCATGGTTCTAGCTTTCTGCCTTAATCCTACTTACAAAATACATCGGCATGCAGTTGATTGAAATTGAAGCTTTGTTTACATATTAGGATTAGGCAGCTAATATGCTTTCAGAAATTAGCCAAATGAGGAATATGTAGAGCTAGGTTATATCATGAGACAACATAAACTGCGGTGCTTCTTAACCTGATAACAGTCATATTTATCATGAATACATCAATAAGCATATTTTTCTTATAGCAAATCTGAAATATAATGGGAAGGAAAGTATTGCACTTGTAAGAAAACTGATTGACAAAGGAATTTACTGTCAGAAACATTATCCATAATCGTGAGTAGAAGTCAGAATATCTTTTTCATTAGGTTCAAAAGTCTGTTGATCAATCCCACATTAACCAGTGAATTACATATGATTAAAATGCAATTAGTTATCTGCATCCATCCATAAACACAAAAATACATTTAGAAAGAAGCAAAAAATTGTGGCTCATCAATCACTTGGAAAACCAACAACTGATAACTGCAACCAGAAAAAGTAAGAGCAGCACTCTCCAAAATGCAAAAGTACTCTCCTAAATAAGTAAAACGAGCAAAGTTAATTCAATACCATATCCAATCTTTTCCAACTTTGAGGCAGCATTAGTAAAGGCTTTTGATATATAATACAAAGCCCGTCCCTGTCACAAGGTTACACTCAATCAATAATGGCTTAGGACCAAAAAACATCAGATTTTCTTCACAAGCTTATCTTATAAAGCTTTTAACATAACATTTAGATCATTTGATAAAAGTAAAATCAACTTATCAACCCCAACTAAGATTATTTGTGACAATTCACAAACAGAAAAACAGAAACTTACAATTCGAGCTGCAAAGACATTGCAAAGCTGTGGTGCTTGGTATATTGATCCATCCAATATATAGTAAGTAAGCATAGGTGTGACCTTCTCAGGACTATCTCTCTTCTGCTTACGAATGACAAAAAGATTGGGCTCCATTACTTCACTCAGCATGTATTCCATGCCCGTCATTTTCCTTTACCAATAGAAAACCAAATTAACTAAAATTTTCATTCTTGAATCTTCTAATACCTCGAAGAAACAATACCTAATCAATTTAATGTCGAAATTTCAAGTTTTGAAACAAAATTACAGATTTTATAGCAAAATTGAAAATTGATCAAACTTTCAGATTCCAAGAGCGACCTACAAAATCACATTGAAACAGAAATAGGTACATAAAGACGTACTTACGAGAGGTGGGAGAGATCGAGAGGGTGAATGGATTGCAATCGCAGCTGCTCATTATTGCAAGTCCAGTCATAGAAAGGGGACAAGGCAAAGTAATCAAATATTAGGTTTCTATCGAGAGGATAAGTGTTCAGCCATAACTGGTCTCTGAAGCATATTCCAGTCATGTCAGTTCCTGGCGGCTGCGGCGGAGCCGGAGGATTTCCCTCGAAGCTTGCTCCCGGCGGCGGCGTTGCCATTTTGCTTGGTATGAGCGCCCGGGCTATGGATCTCCAACAGTATCTCTGGTTTATTGCATTCAGCTCCTGAAGCTGAATATGAAAATTACAATTTATAATTTATTTTAAAATATTGAAAAAAAAATTCACTAATGGGAACGACACCCTAATCTTAATTTTGAAGCATTGCAGCCTCTTCTCGTTCAGGAAATTCAATTTTGAAACTCGAAGAAAACGACCCGCCCCAGTTGCACGAAAACACGAGGTATGATAATTTTTAAAAGTTATATTCACTCGCTTAAAATATAATATACTAAATAAATAAGATATTAATATTTTAAATAAATAAATATAAAATAAAAAAATATTAAATTTTTTATTTCAATGAAAAAAAGCAAATTAAAAAAAAAACACTTCATTTTTATTAGTAATAAAATAAATCTTAGTTGATTAGCTTGGTGTATGAAAAATTTTTTTATTTCAATGAAAAAGCAAATTAAAAAAAAACACTTCATTTTTATTAGTAATAAAAAACACTTCATTTTTATTAGTAATAAAATAAATCTTAGTTGATTAGCTTGGTGTATGAAGTAGTCTCATATACCAAGAGCTAAGTTGCACAAACACAGGATTATGTAGCTTTGGTTAGTTTTTGTTTAATATAGTAAATTTAGCTATTTTTTATTATTTTTAAGTATTATTCAATATTTATAAATCTTATATTTTTAATTATATATCTTAAAATATATTTAAAAATATTATATATATATAAAATATTAGGTTGAACTGTATAAAATCCGATCAAACATTTTGGTTCACTGAACTCCTATCCTTATCGGTTCAGCGATCGGTCTAATTCTCAGAACATTATTTCAAAGAAACATTCAATTTTTTGGATTATTTAGCCCCAATTAGTTATTATTATTTTTTTTAGATTAAAAGATTAATAAATGATAAGTCTTCTTTTTTATTGCTTTGTATGTGAGTCAAAGACCAAGTCTAGGTTAATATTTTTTTTTTGATTCATTAGGAGAAGTCTATGTTAATATTAATTATGAAGATGGTATATTTTTATTAAACCAAATAAAACCATATGTGTATATATATTGTAGTACATGAAAAAAAAAAAAAAAAAGAAAAAAAAAGTAGAAAGAATTGGATCAAATGAACTGAAATCAGAGAAGAAAATTTTCCCTTTCACCATATTAATTCAAAAATAACTTGCACGTTTGCTCTAAGAGTTGGCAATGACTCGAATGCAAACCCTTCATCAAACTCAAATTCCTTAACCTTGTCATTAATCCCGATCTTCATCTTAACATCTTTTAAGAGATGGCGCCAGCACCACTTCAATTCACAAGAACACTGCTCAATTTCTTCCATGTTTGTAAGGAGAGTCTCGCAAAGGAACTGTAAAAGAAAATGCCAGATTAGAGATCACTTCACAAATTATCAGACCAAACGAAAAGATTACAATGCAAAATATTAAGTACCGCAATGAAATCTATGTTGCTTTTGGATCCCTTCACATATAGAGCTGTTGGGTGAGCACACCATAATAATCCATTCAAAAGAGCTGAATAACTCATTCTCGAGTTCAAAACTTCTATCTCTACACGTTCAACTTTGGATGGTTGAAGATCTTCTGTCCATGGATCGAATTTAATCTTCAAATAAAAGCAAAAAAGAAGACAAAACTATGATCAGCAGAAACAACACACAACATGACTATATAAACATATATGGAAGAGGAATATATATATATATATATATATAATAGCGAAACATTGGAATCTTTTGATATACTGAGAAGAAGCCGAGCCTAGATTCAAAAACTTGATGTTTGCTGGAACGTTTGAGAAGAGAAACTTCCTCAATCTACGAAACCACATGGGTGTCCAGATCATTCCTGTGTCTAAAAAGGACGGAGCACTTGTAGACTATATATATATATATATATATATAGCGAAGAGCATTGAATCTTTTGATATACCTGAGAAGAGCCGAGCCGTAGATTCAAAACTTGATGTTTGTGGAACGTTTGAAAGAGATAATTCCTCAATCTACGAAACCACATGGTGTCCAGATACATTCCTGTGTCTAAAAAGAGACGAGCAACTTGTAGACTTGGACTGTTTATTGGATAGGAAAGAGGTAGACTTCTATTATTCTTGTATTCGTACGATTCAAGGTTTGGAGCATCAATCTTAATTAAATATACATCCTCATGAAAATGGACCAAACTTAAGCTCTTCAGCTGATGACGGCTTGAAATTTCGACTTTTCGAGAAGTAGGAAAATATTTTAAATGCAAGGTCTCAAGCTGATCGAATTTATCAAGAATTTGCTGAATCCATAGGCTACTAATGTCTCTATTAGCACTTACTTTCAAATGTTTCAGATCCTTACAACCATTTAAATTCGGTAAAGAATAACCAGACACTTTAAAGATAAGAAGTTGAACATTTGATGCTTCAAAGGCAACAAATGTGTTTGAGTTAGAAATTAGACTAACCTTAGTTAACTTGGGAAGGTTAGGAATGCATAATAAATCGTCTAATCCTCGACATTCTTTCATATATAATTCCTCGAGGAAAGGGCAAGAAGACAAAAGCTTTTCTGCCACCCTTTCTTCAGCATAAACTCTTATCAGAGAGAGATTTTGCAAGCAAGGAAAATTCAGATTGACGAAAAATAGTAAGTTATCAGGCAATGCAAAACCTTGTAACTTCAATGTAGATAATGATTGAGCCAGAAAGGTTGTAGCAGGTAAATTAACACATGGGTGTCTGAGATTGGTTTTCATGTCTAGGTGTTTGATGTGTTTCTTGGCGACGAGTCTCATCCATTGTTTCATGTGAGAAAACAAATCATAACTAGTTACAGCGTGAACAGCTGCGTGCAGATGTAGCACGAAAGTCTCAATTTTCACTTCGTTGATAACATCTTCGAGCTTTTGCAATGAATCATCAATGAATTTTAAGAACCTATCTGCTTTTTCTTTTGCTACCAAATTTTCGTTACGTAACCTTCTTTGGAAAGATAAATATTTGAATTCAAAATTCTCTATTGGGATAGAATTCCATAAACGCCGCCATGATTTCGACAAAAGGCTTATGTGAAGTGCATCTATTGGCGGCAACAACAAGAAGATTTGGAGCATGAGGGGTTCAGGCAGCGCAGATAACCTGTCAGTTGAACTAATAATGGCGTCTTCGCCTTCTGCTTCTACTTTGATTCTCTTTTGCCTATTCCGTTCAAATCTTTTTGACTTTCGCTTTCCCATGATTAACTAGAAAGAGGGCTTGCTCTATTTTGGGTTTCTAAGATTTTAGCTACTCTTATATATCTTGATTTCACGGTCAGTTCCTATTCCTAAAAGGATTGGGTTAACGCGTACAGAAGCAAAGTTGGAATCGTTTTGAAGGAAACCGACCAGCAACAACATAAATATTCTGTGTTTTTGTGCAATTTTTAGGCATTGTTTTTCTCTTTGATTTGCAAATTATTAAGCAATAAATCAAGAATTTGGAGATTCAAAATGCATTAGTCTTTTAACATTAACCAACCTGCCATCTGCTGTTAATTTCTAGAGCTTGGGATGTAAGGAATATAAAAATTATTTATAATTAATCCACTATAAAATCTCCCTTAAGAGAGTATTTAGTGTCGCTCAAGATAGCTCATAAGCTGACTGTTCAATCAAAAATCTGCAGATAAATAGAGACGAAGATCCTCATGCGAATGGTATCAAAATGTTCAAAATTTAGGGATCACAAGGGGTGGGTTTTCAAATAGCCATATCCGTCCTGTGAGATTAAAATATATACTTGCCCTTAGCAGTATGGCTTCGAGTTAGATTTTGTTAAAAAATAAATTTAAAAATAGAGAATATAAGATTAACATATAATAAAAGAAAAAATTAAATGGCAAGGTATTTGGGAAATTGGGTTTTATTTTTTAAAACTCATATCTACTCTCTTTAAATAGAACTGGGTTTTTACTCACCCATCTGAAGTTGATTTGGATTGGTATCTAATGGAGGAGGGTGATTTTAATATTGGAAAAATGATTTCAATAAAAAATGAAATACTACAATTTAAATTAAATATATAGAAAAATAATTTCTATTAAACTTGTGGAAGTCTACCTTTTTTTCTGTAAATATTTTAAAAAATTTCCAAAATGCATTTCAAATAGCCAATTTGTTCATGATGTTAAGGTAACCTATTTGACATCAAGTTTCATATAGTTTATGCTATTTAATTAATATATGCATTCTTTATAGATATATATGAAGAAAAAAGAAAACTTGAATGCCATCATCAATATTAAAAAAAGGGTGGATGGATCATATTTATTATAAATTCAAAGATAAACAAGGCAAACTTCAAGCATTATGAGCACAATCCTCAGGACCAAAATGCAATTGCATATGTTGAGTGTCATAAATCACACGCTGGTCTGCTTGTTGGCGTGCTCCGATAATGGTCAATCCATTTGTTGCTTTGTACATCGCCAAGCAAAAAAATTTATAAAACCGGCCATGTTCACCAAGCACATACAGATTCTCTGGCCTCACTTCAATATCACCCCCTTCAAAATGAAATGTGATTCTCGGAAGCTGTCCGAACCCTGCAGAGTCTGGCCTTTCAAAGCAAAGATTGAAGCCATACAATTCATCAACTAGTTGAAATCCCGGTTTGTGTTCAAAGTAATCTATCATTGCTGTTTTCAGCATATTGAAAGGGCGCTCAGCAATAAAAGAGCATCCACTTCCTGAGTCTATGACACATCCTAGACTACCACTATTTCCTCTTTCGAAAAATCGCTCAGGGATGTGTAGTCGGTTTCCTGCAAGGCTCATATCCTTTAACTTTAAGAAGTAACCATGTGCATCGTGGTGAGTCAACAACCTTGTTGTATGTAAATGTTGTCTTGATCTTGGTATGTCTGAACCAAATCTTAACAAACTAGGAGGCACATCACCATTGTCATTGGTTTGTGGCAGACAATATGAGAAACGACCATCCGTCAGATGCCTCGTTTGATCTATAAAAGAATAATAGAGTCGAGTCACTCCCAAACCCAAATAACCAGCCATTCTGTTTTCTCTACTGGTAACGAAATCAAAATGTTTTTGGTCAAATCCACAGCCAAATATCAGTTCAATACTTTCTTCGCGACCATGCCCAGCACTCGAACCAAAAGTGAACGTATCATGTGCAAGAGTCCCTGTTGTTTGGGCTTGATCTTGATATTCAATAAAATAAGTACAAAACTTGCCATTACACCTATGTGAAGTGCAATACCGATGGTCATTGCAAGGTACAGGGCGATAAGTAAAAGACCTACTACTTGGAAAAAGAGGTTCTGCTTGGGGAAAACAATGGTGGCCTGAGCTTGCGCAATCTTCGCATTGTAGCCATGTGAGATCACTACCAGTATCAAACATGAGAAAATATTGAATATGATGAGGGTTTCGATCATGGAACGTTCCGACGGATACTTGTACCATGTGGATCGACATAGGTTGAACTTGGACCTGACCGCGAATTGTCTGAGGAAATGATGCATTTTGTTCTGCGTGAGAAAGGTAATAGGCACGGGCTTTTGATTGAAGACCAAGCCTTTGCAATTTCTCAACATGGGTAAGGTTTCCATTGTAGTAAGGAGAGTTTGGAGAGTCAATGTGTATGAGATCCAAGGTAAAGCCTGAGCTGAAACTTCCTGTAATAATAGTAAGAATGCTTGTTAGAAATAGAATTTGAAATGAAAGCAGCATAAAAACTTTGGCCATGACTGTTTGCTGCTGTAACTCAAACAATTTGGTTTGGCCACTGCTTTATAAACTACATAGACTTTGGAGGCATGAAATGAGAATCTAGCTAGCTCAATTTTTGGTAATTCACATTTAAACAATATCTTCTTCTTTTCTGATATATATGATACTTAATGTATCCGCATCCAGATACATTTCATCAGATTCATACAGTAGATCTGCACATACAATTTGGCAAAATGGTTTAATCAGAGAGCAGCCAAAAAATTCATGAGAAGATGTATTTGGATGAAGATTATTGAATTTGAGATTTCATTTGAGTTAACTTTCCAGTTGCATGCACGGCTAAAGTCACTTTATTTAGATTTGATTCCACAAGTAAAATGGTTTTTTTCAAAAAGGCATTCTGAACATTCATGAGGAGATCTATTAGATGAGAGGATAGTTTATGGAGTCAAGTTATCAGTTGATGCTGCAAAACGACAAGTAGTTTTGCTCGATTTCCGGAACGACACTTGCATGTTAGGCTCATCTAAAGAAATAAACAGAGAACGGGAATTCCAAGTAGAGAAATTTATTAGGCTTTTTTTTTCCTTTGTTATTATCTATATAGGTCTTCTGTGGAACGATCACTCAAATGGATCCACTTTTCTAGTATTGGGCTTGGGCTAATGTGGGCTTTGTTACGTAAATTAACTCAACGAGGTGAACCATCGTCCGTCTATTTTCAGGTTTGCTTCAGAAAATCGCTCTCACACTGGAGAGGAAACATTTCTCTAAACAACTTATTTTTCTTTTCCGTTATAGGAGGAAAAGTTTCCATCACCTTAGAAAACTTCCTTTCATAAAAACAACCTATCCTTGTAGTTTGAACGAGGACCTACAATTTGCAAAACATTTAAAAATTTGCCTTTCTTCAAGAACTAATACATAGTTCATTGAACAAAGCAAAATAGAAAAAAATATATATTATTATTATATATAAAGAAATTAATAAATACATAATTCTAAGATTGATAAGTTGTAATGTAACGTAATATAAATGTAAATAAATTATTAATATATATAATGTTTAAACTAAAAATATTTTTAGTTATATTACGTTATGCGTCACAAAACATAATTAAAATTCTCAAACATCGTAGCTAAAATCGCAATTATAAAAATGACTCAAATGCCATTAAAGTTAAATTCATTAGTAATACAACTTCTATTTTTATTGTGATTAGACACATTAATGGTATCAGTTTAATAAGAAAAGTAAAATTATTTGAAATCAAATTTAAATTTCAATAAATAAAATTTTCTTTTTCTGTACATATATATATAATTAGAAAAAAAAATGAAATAGAAATACTAATAAATAACCAAGTCATATTTATTGGTTGCAATAAGCAAAAGAATATATTATGTTATCTTCCCTTTAAATCGCCATCCACTAGAAAGCAAAAAAAAAAAAAAATCAATCATTCAAATCCTACAAGAAAAAAATAGGGGTAAAAAGAAAAAAAAAGGTATAGATCAAGTCAACATTGTCGTGCCTAGTGACAATTTCTGATTGAAGACCAATAATTAAAGGGGTTCATATCGATTTTTTTTTTTCTTTTTCCTCTAGAACGTTGTAACAAATTAATGAAGGTTCCTTATATATATATATATATATATATATGAAAGCTTTAAAGAAGGTAGAGATGGCTAGCTTAGCTTGCTCGTCGCTTGGTGCTATGGTTGAGCCAATGGAAAATGTAGCTGTCCATAACAAAACAACCATATCCTCAACTGTTTAAGAAATAGTCAAATTTGCAAGTTGAGAATGGCTACAAAATACAAGTATTCATGATTTTTCTATACACGCAAATTTGTTATTTTGGGACATCTCTCTTCTAAGCTATGGCATTTTGTCAAATAGAGAGAGAGAGAGATCTAGGTTCCTTTCACAACAGAATGTCTAAATATAGCAAATGTAATCCCAACCACACATATTAAAACACTCTCTTCCTTCCAATCAAAACCTATACCTATTTAATTGGAAAAAAAAAATTTTGACTTAAAAATCAATCATGTCCAAGAATTAAATTTTCCTAGTTCGCCTATAAATGAAACAATCGAAAAACAGATTTTTTAATATTGTTTACACTTGATCGTTTTCTTTTCCGATAAATTGTTAGAAATATCTTTATTTTAATAGAATATTATTTTTTATTAGTTTAATCTATAGATAAGTCTATAAACTGAATTTAAATATATTAATTCTTTTATTAAACATATATATCAAAGGAGAAAAAGATATAAAGGTAGAAAATTCGATGGATATTGAGTTCAATCCCAAGACTTGTGAAAGGATTTTGTTTTTATAAATCTTTTAATTTAAACATAAACAACCAATTCTTTTATTAAATAAAAAATAAATATATAAGACAAAAGGCAAAACTGCCAAATTTATATATAATAAACCCACTTCGACACCATCATAATCATAATGAATATATCATTAGCTTGATAAAATACTAGGAATCACAAAATTAAAAATGGAGAAAATGGTTTTGTAAGTATAAAAAATAGAACCACCTGCCAAAAAAGAAGCATAAACATGTGCAAAGCAATGAGGTTCGGGGTGATTTTCAAGGGCACGCTTTGGATTGAATCAAGGAGACAGGACCACTGACTGGACCTCACAATTCTTAAGAGAATGTCTTACATTGATTAGCTACAAATTTTAGATTAAAATAAACATCATAAAGATCTCCAAGCAAAGTAAGGTTTAAGTACATTGAATACATTAAACAAACTATTAAAACAGAAGCTAATAAAGTGATAATCACTTTCTAGCCCTTGATCTTAATCATAGGTGTTATAATTGCTTTGCCTTTCTGTATGTAACAAAAAAGGCAGTGATATACCTAAACTATTTTACTATTTGCACTGTCATTTTCTCCCACAATTCCAATAATTCCACTATTTTTTATATGGTGGAATTAGCAAAAACAGTAGAGAAGATGGAACTACACAAAAGTTACTCTTTTCCTTGTTTGCTCTTGGACAAGGTGGATGTAATGATGATAATAATTAGGAAACCTATCATTAGTGGAAAGCTTTTAACTCTTTGGGTCACAGAAATGTAATGATGAAGATTATGAGTAAGGATCTTGGATTAGCTTTTTTGTACTTGTTTTTTAGGCTAGAAAATGGGCTTTGGATCCTTAATCAAATCATTGGAGATGGAAATGATGATAACTAAATCATGATTAAGGGATCCATTATTGTAGTGGGTTTTTTTTTTTTTTTTTAAATTAGCTTTTCAACTCTGAGGGTGGTGAATATGATTAGGGTTTTGAAGTGGAAAGTGAGTCTGCATGGGAAAATTAGTGTGGTTATTGAAAGGTAAAGAAGAGAAAGCAATGTTTGTTGGTGGACAATTAACTGAGTCAAGTTTGTGGCCAATATTTTCTAGTGCTTTGACTTGTGACCTTAAGAACTTAAGATAATTTGCAGCCTCATCGAGCATTGATGCAGTGTCCATCTTGCTTCCTCCTGGGACCAGCCTCTGCAAAACCCTAATTCTTTCACTTATTCGTTCTCTTCTTTGCCTTGCAGCCACTGTTTGTGGATCAGTTGATATTCTAACATTCTTTCTTTTTGGCTTCTCCACTATTTCCAAGCCTAAATTGACTGGCCTAAAAGCTGCAGCTCTATAAATCATTTCCTTCATTTGTGCAATTGCTTCCGGATCAGGCTCTTGATCAATTACTGAAGAAGATACTGAAGAACTCGGTTGCTGAAAGTTGATATTCGATGGGCCTGGGCGCTTATCTGATGATGATCTCTGTCTTTTTATTGGCTTTGATGGGTTTTCAGAAATGAGCCTAAAGCCACCTTCTGTAGCAGAACAATCATGTTGTAGAAGATCAAAATAAGTATATTTATCATTGTTGCTTCTCTTTGTTGGAACTTGTGAGCATTTTTTATCTGAACAAGTACTCTGAGAAACAGATTCGTCGAGCTCACTTATTTTGTAATGCACTTCTTTGTTTCTTGTATTGGAAGTATTGTTTTCGGATTCTCCAGATGAAACTGCACTATTATTATTATTTCCAAATGTCCACAAATTTTTTCTACAATCAGAGAAGATCATAGAAATCCCATCGTCTTCTACTGATGTGTCGGTGTTGCTATTAGTAGCTGAGAGTAAGCAATCAAGAGATTCAAGAGAAACAGATTTTGGAACACCGTTACCCTTTCTATTTGGTAACCCGCCATTGATGATTCTTGATTGATCATTACTCATGCCAAAACAAGTCGTAGCGTAAGGAGAAGAGTATAATTCTTGAGTTGATTTTGCAAGAACTGTACCTGCAACTATTCTTGTAGTCTCTTGGCGCTGCAATTAATTATTAGATTCAAAATTAGAGACTACATTGATTTTATATGGAGTCAAAATCAAGAATTGGCTAGAGTAATTTCAAGAATCATTAATGTCACTTACTCTTTGATCAGAATTTGAATTGATCTTTTGAAGGTCTTGAAATTGATTGAAGATATCTTCTGTTAGATCTATCTTGTCACCAAAAGGGCAGGAATTTGAATTAGAAGCAATCAAGCTTTCTTCATTTTCTTGATTGCTCCACAGAGGTATTGCATGTTGTGGATTGCTCCACAAAGCTGATGTGTTTGTAAGGACTTGTGAATCATCCCATCCCAAACTATCCATTGATCAATCCTCTCTACGCCTATAAATCAAGAAATGTATAAATATCAAGAATCAAGAAAAGCTCAAAAAATAAATCAAGAATTGATATGTCAAATCTCAAAACAAAGAATATACAAATATAAATACCAGTTATGATTCCAGATCCAACAACTGCCAGCCAAGTAAGAACGGCAAAGAAGCCACCAGTTGGAAATATTTTTTCTTTATAAAATTGTAAATAATGGAGACAAACTTGGAACAAACGGCCTCAGCTCTGTCTATAATCTCTGTACTTGCACTAACCAACCCTCTTTAATTTCTGAACCATGAAAACTGTGATCACGAACAAAACAGCCATCGCCTAACGTCAGTTTTAGCAACTAATATTTGTCAGCAAGCATTCCATATAATAAAGACAAACAATTCCCACCAAGAAATTCAAGAAACTGGTTTCAAGAGAACTTAAATGTGCATAGAAAGTTAACAGAGAAATAAATTAAGCTCCTTTACCTTGAACTATATACTATGGACGATGATGACGATGTTAATGACCAAATGTTGATACAGTGTTATGGCTTGCAAAAGGGCATATATGCTTATATAGATAGGAAAAAATGTAAGGCTGAATACTATAATACTAAAAAGAAATTGCTAATAGTACTTGAACATGTAAAATATGAGAAAATATATAATAAAAGAAGCCCCAGAATAAAATATATATAGTTGCAACAGTTGAAAGAGGTGTAATGGGGTTTGAAAAAAGATAAGGCTTTTTGGTCAGTTTGGTGGATATGTAAGAGTATATTTTTTGCAGATGGGGAGCATGAGATTTCAGAGAAGCTTATATTAATATATATATATATTATATATATATATTGAATATTGAATGTTTAACTGATTAATTATTTTAGATTTTTATAATGTAGAAGTGGGGGAAAAGCTCTGACTACCCTTTTCGGTTTTGGTCATGCTCTTCCATGCGCACTGTGAAGTTTCTGTAAAATTTGCAGAAGTGAGTGAGAGAATGAGAGGCAGAGCATCTTTTGACAGTGCCACTTTCTCCTCCTTATAAAGGCTAAAGCTTTTCGTTAATCATAGTTTTAATCATGACAATCAAAATTACTGTTTTCACTTTCTACTCCATGCACCTTCCTTTTCACTTTGTCAAATTATGTGTAATCATAACATATATGGCTAATAATAGATTAAACCATAATTAATTAATTTTGGCTGCTAGACGTTTTCTTGGATCTAGTTGTGTTTTTCTTTTTATTTCCCCTGAGATTTCATAATTAGCTACTGTATTTTCTTGAATCTTTTTATGCATTAATGTCAAAAAGGGCATGTGGTTAATTGTTATTTGCTTGTACTTTTCAACCAAAAGGAGAAACAGGGACAGTTATTCCACACCTGTACCATGAAAAATTACACTTACGAACCCGACAAAAGAACCTAACCATATCAGTATCAAATTTAAGAATAAATCAAGTTAGCTTTAACCATGATTCTTAAACTCTTATGTCTTGAAAATAAATTTAGCACTATTAAGGATTATTTAATTTAGCAATAATCGAACCATCAGCAGCCAGCTGCCGTGTTTCTCGAAGCGAATGGAGATTAATCGAGTTACATGAATTATTAAACGGACATAGATTTGAATAGTTGAAGATGCTATTTTGGAGATGAAAACTAGCGGTGGGGAATTTAATGATATATATATATATATATATATATACGACTATTAAGGATTATTCTTTAATTTAGGCAAATCGAACCCTCAGCAGCCAGCTGCCGTGTTTCTCGAAGCGAATGGAGATAATTCGAGTTACAATGCAATTATTAAAAAACGGAAACATAGATGTTGAATAGTTGAAGATGCTATTTTGGAGATGAAAGAACTAGCGGTGAGGAACTTTAATGATAGATATATATATTATAAATATATATATATATATATATATAAAAGGATGTTGGCAGGCAAGCAAAGGCAGTCAGAGAAAGAAGAAATAGAGCAATTAGGTTGTGGAATTTTGTCCCTCGTAAAAGCTCTTCCCCCTTTTTCAGTTTGATATTAAAAAATAGTGTTAAATAGCAGAAAAAGAGAGAGGTATCTAACTGGGTTCTGAGTCCTACCCACATGCATCCCATCATTACACAGCTCAGTGAATGGGCTCCCCTCGGTATTTTTTTTTTTTTGCTTCTTTTTCCCAACATTAACCACCTCTCATTCTCAACTCTCATGTTTTTTCTTACAAATGTTTCCAGAAATCTATAAAATACATATATCTAATTCAACATTGTTTTACAAAAACTGCACTCGCAAAGCACAAGTTAACCACAATTCGGTTTCTAGATTCTAGATGCAGATAAGAATTTTTTTTTTTTTTTTTTTTTTTGGTCACCGCGATTTCAATGATCCAAAAACCATAATATATCGACTATTAATTTGTAATGGCAATTTACATATTTTTTTTTTTTTTTTTTTTTTGAATTCTTTGGTCCCCATTTCAATGATCAAAACCATAAATATCGACTATTAATTTGTAAATGCAATTTACATATCTATTTTTAATGTAAATTTTGAAGTTTTAAGGTCATTTGATTAAATAGATATACTTTTTATTTTATCGATAAAAAACCAATGAGAAATTTTATTTTTTTCATTTACTAATTCTGTAATTTCAATATGAGTGTCGACTCGAGCCTCAAAGTAAACTTTATGCATCAGGTTTAAGAGTTAGAATTATTACTGTTGAGAAGAATATTTATCTGAATGTCATATTTTGTTTGAACGTAAAAATATATGCAAACAAAAAAAATTAATAAATCTAATATATACTCGATACATGCAGCAAATTTAAATTTTGCGAATACATGATTAACCTCAACATATTTAAATCTAATAATGCTAAATATAATTACTTCAAGGAAATTTGTGTAATATTATTATTCAATATTTTTTTTGAATATGTTAAAAGAATTGCAACGATTGAATATTTGTTAGGTAATTGAAAAATATTTAAACTTCTTTTTTTTTTTTAAAGGAAATCTTTAAACTTCTATTTAATAGCTAATATATTTATACATTTATATAAATTAAAAGTTGAAAATGATATGTCCCGATTTATATATCCAGCCAAAAGAAAAATAACCATCATGTACATTTATATTCCTAGCATGTCCCTTGGCAGGTACATGAACGAAAATGATACGCCATTAATGCATTTGCAAACCATTTATTGAGACTTTCACAGGTTAATCCAAACTATTAAAATTTATTTTTACTATAATATGTTTTAATTACTAAATTTCAAAATAATTAAATAATTGTTTAAAATTAATTTTTTGCCACATCATTTAAAAGCTGCTTTTTGAAAAATCAATTTTGAATCCGAGTAGTAAATAGATTTACTTCTTTCACTGAGATTGGAAATTTAAAACATAAATAGTAAAAATGGTAGCAGGGGTCAAAAAAGTTCAGCAACTATCACATCTGGACCGTTAATCAAAATCAAAATGGGACCATGTTGACGCTTGATTAAGGGGGAAAAAATAGCCGCTGGTCCACTTTTATCCCTATACAATGTCAAAATATTAATTAATGCCATTTTTGGTGTCTTCCCGCGTTATTTCGGTAATATCCTGTTAGGCCTTAACCGTTTCTGAGCTGTCGTCGTCTTGCTCTCCAGTTCGGCTCGGCTAGTTAAGCTAAGCTGTGATATGTTCGTGTGGGGGGTGGTCCCACGACGAAACTTTTGTAGGACCCACTACTACTAGCCCTCCGTGGCTGTGCTTCTATTATTGTTACTTGCGCACACGTGAACTCAACGTTCCTATTCACACGTGGCGTGATTCCATTGGATGGTCACCTGTTCAGATGGCCGTCTCCCACATGGGGGAAATCAAGACGGTGCTAGAGCTGTAAGCTGGGACCATCTGATTCTAGTCTTTCTTGTTTAATTTTTGAACATTATCCTCTACAATTTTAATCAAGGTCTCTATCATCTTTGATGTTGATGTCCTGCACTTGATCTTCATTTTTGTCCTTTTTTTTCCCACTAAATTTCTTAACTATTTTGATGATAAAATTTAAATTTTTCTTCATTTTATCTTATTTAGAGTCATTTTGAAATAATGACTTAGCTTATGTTTCCAGCATCACAAGTGACATTTTAGTGAATGACGAGTCACATTATTCCTTACTAAATAGGATTTTATAATAATTACTTATTAAAATTAGTTATTTTAATAGTTATTAAATATGTTAGTAGTCATCAATTGTTTTACTGATGCTTCATTAAATATTAAAGGAAATAATGTTTCATAATTTGCTCTTTTAAATTCTAAATACGAGTATAAACACCGTGTCATCAAATATTATAAATAATAGAGATAGTTTTAACTCTAATCAAAACACCTAAATGCTGCATAAATAGTTATTGCCAAATATGGTATAAATTTTCACTCTCACACTCAGCGATTAAGGCTATATTTTCTGCTGTTTATCTCTCTTTATTCATATTTTTTTTTAGTAATATATATATTTGAGATTAGTGCTCTTTAATTAGAGAGTAGAGAAGCATATATTCTCTATATGAATGAACATCATCAAATGCCAATTTCTGTCATTTTCCACAAAATCCATGTTAGTTTGGATAACAACTTTTCATAGATGGGAGTTGACAGATTTATATTTCCAACACCTGGTGAAAATTTCGCCACAGATTTATATACAACTAATGTGGAATGAGATCGGAATTGTAAAGATATAGTTTATAAATTCTCTATTAATTGTTTTCATGCTCCTATTAGAGTGATATTCAGATAATAAAGTTATTTTAACAGTAATGATTTTAGATTTTAAATCTCCGATCCTGCACACTTGGGTTTGTTTAAGGATTATAAAATGTTATTAGAATAGCTAATTATATCAATTTAACATAATTATGTCTCCAAAATTAATTGTTAAGGTTGAAGAGTCTAGCTCGAGACTAGCCTTATACAATTTTCTGATTTAATGTATTTGCTATACACTACGGTACAAAACAAGTAGTCTGAGCATTAATTAAATAATTAAATTGAAAGAGTTAAATGTAAATAATTTTTGAGTTTTAGCCTGAAATCTAGTATAAGCAAAAAATAATAAGGAAAGAAGCCATATCTATGGAGGGATATCACCTAAATGAATGATTATGGGAGTGTTATTAATTTTGCTCGATAGAAATGGTCATAAATAGCTAAACTCGAACCTTCTTGGGAGTGCACCTTGGGTGGTCCGTGGTTCATGGTCCATGGTTCATGGAGTATGAATAGGCATGGACCTAACTCTAACCAAGAACTGAACCCGCCTTTGAAATATTGGCATTTTAAAAACAGGTCGGCTGAATAAGATCAGCTGAACCCCACAACCTGGCCCAGTTTTTTAACCATCCTGTGTCCAAAGCCCAACGATTCGAATAATCAGGATTTACGTAGGACAGATCTATATAGACATGATTACAATTTTAGAATCGTCAGTTTCGATTATAAAAGTGGTGAAATTAGAATCGAACCACTTTTAAATGGTTTCTAAGATGGTTTTGGAACCACTGATTTTTAAAATATTTTTTTATGACTTGTAGCTTTGAGTAAATAATAATGATAACAATGATATTGAATAAAACTAAATCAATTTAATAAAAATTCTTTAAAATTGCTTTAAAAAACTATAATAAAAAAATTAGTTGAGAATTTTTTTAAGAATATTTTTTTCATGGTTTCAACCGAAACCGGACTATGGAAAATCCAAACTGTGGTCATCCCTAGATCCATAAAGAAAGGCAAATCGCTCCCTTTCGAGCATTTAAAGAAACTTCACACCTAGAGTTTGAACTCGAGAATTCTGATTAAGGAAGAGAAAATTCCTACCATCTCATCTCACCCCTTAGAGGTTGGCCAGTATCCTTTTTATACAACTTTTTTTTTTCCACAAGTATCTTTATCTTAAGTTAGGATCATATTCAGATAACATCTTTCTACAGTGATAAATATAAATTTCAAATCTTAAATTTTATGGGTAAAGTTCAATTGAAATACAATTTATTTTTGCTAAACCAACTATGTTAATATCGTTCTTAAAGTTTTTATACTTGAAAACAGCATGTCGGCAGAAGCCAAAGATGATGAGCCCAAGTCTGAGTTTGTGACCAGTAATCACAACCGGTCCACAGCCACATCACCGTTGGAGGAAGAATTTTTTCTTCTCTACGGCGACTGTGACAAGTCACGGTCGATAAATTAATGCAATTTATTCGGTTAAATTAACTTAGGTGGCAGATTTGAATTAAATACATTTACTTGTTCATGTGGATGCATGAAAGGGAGAGATTTTGTCACATTCATTGGCTCTTAGCCTCAACAACCAAAAAAGGGACCAATAGCCCATGGGGAAGGGATAGCAGCAGGGGCCCTTATCACTTTCAACTGAAGGGTCATTTTCCTTCCATTTTCTAGAACTGCCGAGTATAATCCTAGAATTCTCCAAGCTGGCTGCCTACTGCCCAGGGTGATGACACTGACCCCCACTTGTAGGCTACTTAGGTCCACTTCATCTCACACGTATGTGTCCAATTTTGTTTACTATACGTTTTGGTATTACATTTACACTCTGGGATGGAGCAAATAGTAATTAGTTAATTACCATTTACCAAGTACTAAGGCTGGCTGGCAATTTTCTTTTCTTGTTTTTCCAACTTCCAACCTCAACTTGAACTTGGGCTTTGGCCCTAAATTCTGATACTAAGCGTGGCCCACTTGGCTAATTTGGGCTATTATGCATTAAAGATCCTAAATTGAAGCATTACGGACCAAGGTTTCAAAATCGGAATCAAAACCAAAATCAGAGATTCCAGCCAATTCCTTCAACAGATCCATTATTGAGGCCCAACCCAAAAATTTCCAATTGAACAACTTATTTGAGGAACTGGGCAATTGGACACAGGAGATTAGCCTTTAATACTTGATGGTAATTGTTTGCAAATGGGCCACCCAAATAGATCCAATTCACAAATTTAGCCAAATCCACCTGATCAGTTTGGTTTGTCTCCTTTTTCATATTCAATTTTAATTTAAAATATGAAAGATTATATAAATTTTAATTTGATTTAATAAGAATTTCAAAAAATCTTCATCCGTAAAAAAGCAGTCAAATTTATTACCACGTGTAAAACTCTTAGGGGGTAATATAAAACTCTCCGTTTCACTAATAATAACAATATTAATAGGTAATTAATCACGTGCGAGTGATTAATATAGTATTTTAATTGTGATTCTCACACATCAAGACACAATCTTTGTTTCCCAAACGGGATTTGCGTAGAGCAACCCATTCCTTACGCGCCTTAATCCAGCAAACGTTGGAAAATGGGTACATTTTCATGTCAGCGGCCACCAGTCCACCACTGGTTTGGCGGTGAAGACACGATACCAGATGAGCGTGGTTACGAACTCCCAAAGAAAATCTGATCTGATCTTTACCTGATTTTTCGTTAAAAATTGTTGGCCAGATTTTTGGAAGAAAACAACACGTGGCTGTAAAATCCCGTTTGAGGTTGGCCAAATACGCATGTGAGAGAGAGAATCAGCCGTTTATCCAGCCGGTTTTCTTGCGTTTGGACTTGTCTGGCAATTGAGAACTGTAACCTTTTTTTACAATTCTTACCGATTTTTACAATTGAGAATCAGCCTTTTGGTTTCGTTAAATATGCAGTCTTTCGACTAAAAGATATCGTATTTTTAATGTTAAATTGATGGATTAAACATCAGAAAAATAGTATGTTTTAGATAGAGAGACTAAATAATAGAATGGCATTAAATCTGGGGACGAATTAGAAAAAAGCGTTGATATTTTAATAATAAGATCAAAATGAAGGGACAGGGGTACTACGTAGGGTCCATCTGAATTAGCGGGATATAACTTGATGGAACTGAAAAGGGTGGAATTGGAGAGGATGAATGTTAGAATTGGGCAAGTTTTGAGTTCTATCCGGTTGGGACCTACGAAGTCCGTATCTTTTTTTTTTTTTTTGTTAAAAAGTTCCTTTTGGGGTTTTGTGTAGCTTTTTGGGTCAGATCCTCTCCTGTGGAATTCATAGGCGAACCTCTTCCCTGGTCGAATCTATTTTTGACCACATATATCTGCTTATTCTATCTTTGCTTTCTTTTATCTTCTTTTGTTACAATATCTATCTATCTATCCCCTTTGGCCTCATAATTCTCCTGTGTTGCTTTGGGTAATGTCATGTTTTCTTCCTGTTGGTACCTGAAATTCAGTTTTGAGTTTGGTCCTTTTGGGGCGGGTTGATTCTGGGTACTTGAAAAGTTGAGCTAATTTCATCTGGGTTGTTCACTTTTAGCTCAGGATTTGATTTTGTGAGGTGGATTGCTTTTGGGTACTTTTTTTTTTTTTTTTTTTTGTCAATATTCTTTCATGTGCACCAGTTCTTTGTTTACGGTTTTCAATCACGAGGAGATTTGCTTTTTTGAGGTGGGTTGATCTTCACTAGCTCCACAATTGAGCATTCTGAGCATTCTTCACCAATTGGCTGCTCTTGCTATCTGGGTAGGCCTGCCTTTGTTTTTGATGGTTAAATTTATTCGAATAGTCAATCAATTATTATTATGTTTTGTAAGTTAATCTTGGATAGAGTGAATTCTTTAGAGAAGTTACTGGTTTTGCTCTCTGAATATGCAAGTCTTTTGGTTGCTATTGATTCTCAGTGAAGTTCTATTTCCTTGCTGAATATCTTGAATAGGTCTTTTGGAAGGCATTTCTTCCACGGCTGGTTTTTGGTTTTTCCCTAAGAGGATGGACTTTGTTGTGAATTTTTGGAAAGAAATAAGTTCTTATGAGTGAATTCTTTTGGTCAAAAAAGAGAGGAGGATGAGAGGGCCAAAAGATGAGGAAAAAATCATGAGTCCTATATTTCCTAGGCTTCATGTGAATGATACAGAGAAAGGAGGGCCCAAGGCACCTCCAAGGAACAAAATGGCTCTGTATGAACAACTCAGTATCCCTTCTCAAAGGTTTAGTTCTGGATCGTCATCCATGTTGCCTCTTCCACCAAACAATGGAAACAAGTTGATTCCTTCAATGGCCTTAAGCCAGGTGGGTTTGATAATTCTTTTATTTTTTTTTCTAATTCATAAGAGATTATTTTCCCCCTCCCGCTTGAATTTGTCTGTTTTAACATTTGGCAGTGCCAATACCTTGATAAGTTTTCCAGTAATGGCTGTCTTTTTGGATTTGGACTGATTTGGAATATGTACTGTCTCTGATATAAATCATGGGCAATAAATGGCCTTGGATTATATCTTGGCTTTTTAAGCAATGCATCTATTTGTATCCTTTGTTGCAATCTTTAGGTGTTGGATTGTAGACTTCGGTATGATCTTTGATCAATATTTTGACCCTTTTATTTCCACATTGACTAGGAATAGTTTTGTTCTTGATATAGAATAAATGAAGCTACTTTGGGAGGTATATTTGTCTTCCATCTTTTTTCATTGTCTCTAAAACTTCAAAGAGTTGGTCACAAAATTTACACAATTTTTTCTAATGCCAACATTTAGGATTTTTTTTTTTTTTCAAGAGAGGGGAAAGGAGAAGCAGAGGTTCGATTCTTTGATTGCATGCACCATAATGTGGGAATATTACCACTTAGCAACTGTCAATTTTCATTTTATTGAAAAATATATTTTGAGCTCCCATGCTTCTTCTCTACCTTTACAGTTGGCTTACTAGTGATTAATGCTGATTTGCTCCATGGTTTCATCATTTCATGTGTTATGAATTTTCAATACTTATGTATCTTTTGCTGTTGTGTGAATTACTTTATTTACAGGGTGGTAGTTTTGAAAGAAGTACTTTCTGCAATTCCCCTGCATCTTCACTTTCCGAAGAGTCTTTTTCTCATTCCTTTGGTGGAGTTAAGCTAAGCACTAAAATGGCTAGCCCAGAATGGAAATCTATGAATTCCACAGATGATCGAAATTTGAAAACCACACAGCCATTATCATTTATTGCTGAAAGCAATTCGTTTCAATCACACAATTTTGCCAACTTCAAAAACGTCTCGTGCAATAAATTTGGTGATGAAAAAGATTTTGGAGTTCCTACCTCTTCCCAGTCAGGAGCTGTTTTGCTTTGTAGCAGTAAACACAATAAAGAGCAAGATAGTCAGCCTTGCTGGAATTTGAGCTTCTCAATGCAGTTCCAAAATGGTTCTGAAAAGCGGAGGAAAGGAACTGGCACCGTAAATCAAAAAGCAAGAGAGTCTATGAGGAAGCAAGCTGAAGAGAACGCAAAAATATCTCATGCTTTTCTGGATCCTGTGGAGAGACCAGCTTCAGTCCCATCAGTTCAAGATAAAACGTCAGTAGATGCATCCTCGAGCCCATCAGCTAAAGTTAAGAGAACTGAATCATTGAAGCGAGCACATCCATTGTCAAACCAGGAAAACAGTAGCAGTTCAGGGAATGTTTTGAAAGGGTTACATGGCACAAATTCCTGGCTAAATAAAAATTTTATAGAAATGCAAGACAGAAAAATAGTCCATAAAGATAAGGATTTGGTGGAATTTGCTTTGAGCATGGGTAAGGAAAACGCTTCCAAAATGAGACATGAATCATGTTCTTGGTTTTCACTTGGAAATTACAACAGAAGTCACAGTGACATTGAGAATGTCATAAAAACTAACCAAGACAAATATGGGTCTTTGCAAGTGGGAAACGTTCAAAGACGAGATGATGTCTCAAAAACTTCCATGATGGACTCTGTATCTGCTTTTGGTATAACTTCTGACAATGTTATTAGAGTAATAGGTGAGGGACAATTTTGGGAGGCAAGAAGAGCTATTGTCAAGTAAGTATTCTTCCGGTAGCTTCTATTTCCATGAGTTGCAGGGTACCAACATCAAATTTAATTTACTTTATAAAATTGATGTGCTTCTTGGAATCCTATTTAATCCAAGTTAAAATTTCCACCTCTTGTAGTTACTCGTCTCATGTGCACTGATCATTAAACGCTCTTTAGGGTGTATTTTAGATAATTCCGCAGGTTACAAGCTCTAGGAAATTTCTGCAGTCTATATTTGTATTTGTTCTGAAATCATTTAGTTACTTTTGTGGATTTTAGAGCAGTCAAAATTTCTATCTCTAATTGTCTTTTTCTGCTTCAGCAATCAGCCATATTCATCTATTCACTAAATTGAGTAGAAAATTAGGTCAGGACATAACCATATGCATAAATAATAAAACTGTGAACGTTAACACATGTATGTTTATGAAGTGATTTGGTATTCTTATATTATACTTGCAATTCATGGTTGTTTGGCAGATTTTATGGAGCAGAGCAAGTTTTAGACGAAATTACTCAAGAAAGCAAGCTCAACAACCATATGATATTTGGTCTCTTGGGTTTGGGGAGGTGGAGAGGGATGGATTGGGAGACTTAAGGGTTGTTTGTTTTGTCTTATTGACACACACTGATTTAGTTGTTGATTCTAACTCTTTCTTTCTATCTGCAACGAGTCTTTAATAAATTTTAGATGGAAATAAGCATTTATATTATAAGAGTAGACCATCTACCAAGAATTTCAAATGTAGACACCATTATTTTCTGAAATAGCACATAAGGTTCTGCTTAATCCTATACATATGGTGGTCTTCTCCTTTTTACTATTCGAGCGTTAGTGTTTGACCTGACTTGTTATTGTTTTTTCAGACAACAAAGAGAATTCAAGATACAAGTATTTGAATTACATAGGCTGATAAAGGTATGCTCACCTGATCAAGTTGCTAACGCTTTTCCTACAATTGGATCTCCATATGCTGTCTTTTCTTGATTCCTTTGGAAAGAGAACCTACAACTTGTGCTAACTTGGAACAGGTACAAATGTTGATTGCTGGATCGCCTGATTTATTGCTTGAAGATAATATTTATTTGGCAAAAGCTTCATTGGAGGTGTCTCCAGTCAAGAAGGTTGCTTCTGAGAATGCTAGAGAACAACCACCTCTAATTGATAAACAAAAGGATGTTTCTCAGAAGCCGTATCCTAGTGCTGAATTTGCTGATGAAAATGCTGTTGTGAAGCTTCCCCTTCCTCATGTGAACAATGAAACAAGTAAAGGACTTCTTACCCAACAATCAAATGACGGCTCTCATTCAGAAGGTGTACTACTGTCTCCTATTGCTGCCAATACTAGACAATCTCCATGGTGTTTCCCACCCCAAGGAAATCAGTGGTTAGTTCCAGTCATGTCCCACTCTGAGGGTCTTGTTTACAAGCCCTACGCAGGGCCGTGCCCTCCAACTGCAGGATTCATAGCGCCAGTTTATGGCAAATGTGGCCCTATGAATTTACCTGCAGGGGGTGGGGACTTTCTGAATGCAGCCTGTGGTGTTCAACAAGGGATTGGAATCCTTCCCATGATCCCTCCTTTGGGACAGACATATTTTCCACCGCATGCCATGCCGGTCATGAGTCCTTCCATCTCAGTCTCAGCAGTGGAGCTGGTGACACCATTCATTGCACCCCCGTCAAAGGATAATCAATCTTCAGCTGGGGACATTAAATTTGCCTTCCCCCATCAAAGTTCATGTAATATGTTAAGTCAGATGAGTCGTGTGATCTTGTGTGGTGGGAAATTTCAAGCATCTAAGGAAAGTGAGGTACAGGAAAGTACGGCAAGTAGCCCCTTCAAGAGGCCAAAAGGAGATGCACTTCCTTTTTTTCCTACAGAACCAACAACCCAGGTATCAGATCCAAATGTTCAACTGAATGAGCTGCGTACACACGTGATTAAGGTTGTTCCTCACAACCCTAAATCAGCAACTGAATCAGCAGCTCGGATTTTCCAGTCCATACAAGAAGAAAGAAAACTGTATGACTAGTTTTTTGGAATTTTGTTTTCAGCGAGACATACTGGTGGAAATGATAGTGATCTTAGAAGCCTTATGAAATATACTTTTGTATATGTATTTCTGTTATACATATTAAAAGCATGTAAATACATTTTGTTTAATGTCAATTGGACCATTCCCTTTTCATGAAGGTTGCCTTGTACTGGTTGCTTCTCTTATCTTTCTAAATTCAAAGTTTTCAGGAGAAAAGATCAAGCACTTCATAATGACCTGACCGGGAAATAACCATGAATTTATTTGTCAAATTTAAAATGCTAATAGTAGTGAGTTGTGATTACTAATTAGCTAGTTTGCATAGGGCACACATCATAAATTTCATATCTATATATTTAAAATTTGGGACTGAATTCTTAAAGAATGCTGATATTGCACGCCTAAAAGGTGTTTATTTTCCCCAACCTTCCTTAGGAAAATGCCCACTTCCCATTTCTGTTGATTGGTCCTGTATTTAACTATCTTTGCCAACTTCTCCACCCCAGCATATATAAATATAATTAGAGCCTTCCTTAGATAAACTTGTCAGTATGGAGTTAGGCCAGTATCCTGTTTTATATGTCAACAAAATGTGAAAAAAATAATAAAGATAAGCATAATATAAAACTTAAATAAATGTAGGGTTTGTTCAATAAAAGTAATAATTTCAATAGTTGTCAGCTGTTTAACTAGCATTTCATAACATTTTATAATATGCTTCTTCATCCAATGTTAAGCTACGCTACATCACTGAACAATATAAATAATAGAGATAGAGTTTTGATTTTATTTAAAATTCTAAAAGCTATATGAAATATGTTGCTGAACACGACCGTAAATATAAAATAAAAATTTATATGTCATTTGATTAATATTCTTGCTCTTTATTTAAATACTTGCTTCTGTGTTGAAAATAAGGTAATTAATTGCTCTACAGGCATCGTGGTGAAAATCCAGGACCCCCATAATAAAAGTGAACTCCAAAATCCTTGTTTTTTTTTCCAACTTTCAAGTCATAGCAAGAAGGCTTTGTGACATAAGGCATAAGATGTTCAGGATCTCTCATTTTACCCAAATTGTCTATATATCCAAGACCCCAAAATGCACTTGCTTTTCCGAACCCTTCTCCTGGAAAAAGCCCACTTCCCATTTGAGTAGATGTATGGCGACCATGATATTGAAAATTCACAACCAATCCACCCCAATTTATTAATGTTGATCTATTAGCTAGACTTGTTAATATTGATGGAGGCCAATATCCTACTTCTTGACCATGCACTTGCAGCCACCAGTTCCCACTCTTCATGTCCTGAAACAAATTAAATAATCGTTTTCATCAATCAGACCATCAGAGTTTTCACAGCTTCAACAGAGCTAAAAGGTGGGTTACTCTTGTTTTGTACTTAAAATGTTCTTTCGGCCTTTAATTAAGTACCTTGTGTATAGTTATGTCTATAGAATATTGCGGGCCATCGTATTTGGAGATTGGTTCTATAGCAGCACCAAAAGCAATTCTATGGTTGGTTTGCACAAAACCAGGGCAATCAAGATTGTAGCAACCTGTACTTTGATAATTGTCTCTCTAACAGATCAAATTATAAAACTTCAATAAGTTACATAAATAGATCAATTTAACCAATTAAGACCATTCTTGAAACTTTAATAGAAAGGAAATGATTCTTGAATTACCGTCCAATAACTATAAAACCTTGTATCCTTTTCCCCTTTGTTAACCTGAAATCATTATTTATTTTGACAAATTAAGTGAAATTTAAATATCAAAATTAGAAATTTATATATAATATAGTCTCTGTTATGTACCTTCCAACCAGCCTGAATAAAGTTAAGACCTTGGTCACGTCCTGCTACAACCCAAATTTGAGCCGAACTAACTTCTGTACCAAAAGTTGCAGGATTCCATACATTAAGTCTTGCTTGTGCTCCTAAGAAGTTGCCACCGTCCGCAGAGACTTGGGCGTGCTAATTTATACAACCAAGCAGAAAATGAAAATTAAAAATATAAATTTTCGTTCAGTGGAAAATGAAATTTAAATACAGGGAATTGGTGCAGAGTACCTCATAAATATCATTACTATAAACGCTTCTATTATAGTGTGTCTGGTTTGGGATAATTGGTCTAGGTTTCAGAGGATTAAATACTTGTGTTCTTACAATAGGAATTGTTCCTTTAGGGCATTTTCCTTTCTTATTCCATTCTTGAAAAAGGACAGAGTTGTTGCTTGTCATGATTCCACCAGGATAGGAACTGGGTTTCAACTGCACAATCAAATATAAAATCATAGTAAAGTTCGTTCTTTTTAATGAATCATCTTTAAAAAGAGTTCAAATAACAGAATAACCTGTATTTTGTGATTCTTGAGGAGTGGATGACTAAAAGCTGGTTGTTTGTAGATGTCAACACAGTCAATTACATCACCGTCTTCAACCTGCAATACCAATTGAGTTTAAAAAGTTATTTGGAAATTAAAATTAATCCATTAAAAATCTTTAAATTATGAAGATTAAGAATAGTCAAAAACAAGAAAATAAACAATTCAGTTGGTGCTTATAAGTACAACCTTTATGGTTTTGACTGTTCCTGTATGCTTAGCCATTTCCATGTCTTTCATTGTTGCTTTGATCATTGCATCACCACCATTGAAGATGTAAGATAATGCCACAAACACATAGATGTAGCTTCTAATTTTGATCACATGGTTCCCCTCAGTCATTGTGAAATTTTCGTACTTTGTGTTTGTGATATGAAATTAATCCGTGAATTTTATGCTTCTATCCCTTCTCTCTTATATGGGTAAGGTGTTTCATTCTTTTTCCCTTAAATTTTAGAATCCCCTTCTGTAAACATTAATAATTACTTGCAACAACAAAATGAAAAGGCACAGATTTGTTTGGATTTGAGTATTAATTACGCATACATTGCATTACCGATTCATGAACACGGCGTATTTATTATCAGCTGGAGAAGGGACTTCCAATTATATCATAGTTCTCAACCTGCAGCTGTAAAGTTTAAAAATTGAGGGAAAAAAATGTAAATATACCTGAAAATTTCAAATACCAACCACTTCCCTCGAGAATATCTAAACACTGTCAACTGCAGATTATCATAACCGTTTTGGAAATGAACACAAATCACTATACAGAAAAATATGAAATTGTAGCTAGAATCTGTCACTTGTTTCGACTCTACAATTAAGTTTCTCTTTTAAACTACTAATTGAATGTAAAATTAAGCTGCATTCTTTTGAGACCTGCTTTGGCTATCATCCCTGTAGGCATCTCGAGGCTCCAAAAATTAGCTTCAAATAAACATGGGAAGCAAAAGAAACTCAATCATCTCTGAAGAAAATAATCACCCTTCTATTTCGGAAATCAGAGTAGAGCATTGGTCAAAAAGCTCACGTCTTGAACCTTACTGGTCTGGATATGCGTTGTAAGTGAAGATCAGCAAAGCTCTAACAGGCAAACACACTCTATGTGAGGGGTGTGAGGAAACATGTCCACCGGCTGTAGGCTTTTTAGTTTGTAACATCCTTTTATATTTTGCTCTTTCTGCACAAAGATTTCAGAAATTTAGATTACAGATATGGTTTCAATTTCCAAAAGCAGAGCGGTCAGTAAGACTACATACCACACCATGGCAAAGGTAATCGAGGTCACGTGCACATGTGGCTGGATTACATGATACATAAACAATACGAGGAGCCTTAAGCTTTAACAGAAATTTAATCAACTTCATGTGCATACCAGGACGATTTGGATCTGCAAAATGTCACATCAAAGCAAAATTGAGAATACTTGGTGCTGGAATTGTCATCTTTTAATGAAATTTAATTCAATTTTCTTTTTGCCAATCAATAAAATAGAACCTTAAACATTAGCTTCCCCTACTCCCAACCCCCTCATCCTCAAGCTAAAAAAAAATAAGTTATCTAATTTCAGTTGTTGTCAATAAAATCAATATCCAAGAATCCTTCACAGACCCATGGCCAGTGCAGGCTTATTGCATCACAGTTCATACTGGCAAAAAGTACTTTGTACATGCTTCTCATGTTACTTGCAAAGATAGGTATTTAAAATACTAAGAAATTTGATTGTTAATTGCCAAAATAGATCCAATTTACTAATCATTTCAAATTTGGGAACAAATATAAAAAGAAAAGACATCCACTGCAATGAAGCATAAAAGAGATAGCAGAGTTTGTCAGACAAGTTCAATATGCTGAAGGGTACATTCGGAAATGAAATCATGCAGACCAATAGAAAGAGAAAAAATGGAGTCCTCAAGCAAAAAGTTTAATGAACTTGGCAAAGTCAATATTATGTCCCTTCCCAACCCATGCACAATTTCTGAAATAAATAAAAGAAGAAAAGAAAGCTATATTGTCCTTCTTGAGTAAATAAATATGCATAATATCAAACAATATACTTTGAACATTTCAAGGAAAAACCAATAGGTATGCTGCAAGTTTTACAAGGCATCTGACAAGAAAATAACCTGAAATGACAACATCAGGCTTTGGGAAATTGTTGCCAAAATTTTCACCAATTTTGTTAAGATCCCCTTGCACAAATGTGGCATTAGTGATGCCATTCAGCTCGGCATTCCTAAAAGCATCTGAGATTGCTTGAGGAACAACTTCATAGCCATAAACATGCTTAGCCCTATAAAGACAAAGGCGCCAAAATAAAACATGATGTCAGATTGATTGTACTCTACATATAGAACTGACTGAACAGTAGAGATATACCCTCTGGCAAGAGTCAGACCAATGGTGCCCGTTCCGCAAAATAGGTCAAGAACAATTTCTGATCCATCTCCTCTGAGACCAGCACAATCTTCAATAAGTTTGTACAGAACCTCTGCCTAAACAGTATCAAATCTTTCCATTTTACTGGTTATGGACAGAACAAATCAAACGGAATAAAGAGAGTATGGAGAGGGGGTTGTTAAGAAGTATGAAACCTTAGAAAGCATTCAATCTACAGTTATTCCATGATGCATGTACCTGATGTGTATTTGTCTGAAAGAAAGAGTTGGCTGAAATTTGAAAGGTAAGTCCTCGTAAGACCTCTGTGATGGTGGATTTGCCATACAAAGTGTATTCCTCCTCTCCAACAGATGTGTTGCCAACAGAGGAATTTACATTATTCATGATGCTTACCTACCAGTTATCAACAAGAAAAGAGAACAGAGATAAATAAGGAATAAAGCAACCTGGGTAGGATTGTCTCAGCATATGTTGCAATCTCAGTCTCATACTGGGGTCAAGTAATCAATGGTTTTGACATGAATTGGAGTCAGTTAGAACTGCTCCGACACATAATGCATGTGTAGCACTACATTAAATAATAGGATCCATCAAAATGTGGGTCAACAAAAGGAGGCCCATGGAAGTTATAACTGAATACTAGAATATCTTGGAATTAGCAATACAAACCACTTCTGGGATAGCTGAAATCTTTTCCATTAGGGGCTTCAGCAGCTCTGGCTTGTAGGATGAGGTGACAAAGTTAACCATGAGCTCAAGCGAACCAGACTCAGCATTCCTGAATCACTAATCATAAGTACTGAATTGGAAAAGGAAAAAAAAAATTGCAATGATAAATCAGAAATATGACAGTCAAACGATTGCCTCATGGTGACACTTTTCATTTTCTAAGGTGTTCATAGCCTCTTGAAATGCTGAATTCTCATATGAATATGTCAATTAACTAATGCAAAATTAGAATCTGTTAAATCCTTATTCTTGATTTTATGTAATTCAAACCATAGTTAACTTGGGACTCTTAACCAAGAAAACATAATTAGATGTCACTTCATTATTTACCTGACAGCTGTTTGATAGGACATCCATACATATTAAATTCACATGTTCATTCCCCAGTTCAATGTGACAATTATGTGACAGATAGACTTGAGCGTCTTTCAAGTAAGATGAAAATTAAGCTTGAGGAATATAACAGAGTTCACGGTACCTTCCAGTTCTTAGCATTAGGTGCTTGAGAAACCCAGCATGAGAATAAACATTATAAGGAGTAAGGCCCACTGAATCCCTCCAACAATCTTGGACAGTTGCTAGAACCTGTTTGTCAGAAATGCACGTCAAAGAACGCACGAAACATACAGTTCCTTTTACATAAATCCTATAATACATTATCATATACAAGGATTTCAATAATAATTGGTGAGTTGAAAATCCACTAAACAGCAAGAAAACTGAAAGGAAAAGTCGCAAACTCTGTGTAGATTGGGAATAAAATCCAAAATGCTTCACGTATTCATGTGGCATTGTTATTTGCTTCACTTTTTTTTTTCCTCCTGTTTGACATCCTTATGCATGGCATAAAAATACTGTTTTGGGCATGTAACGACAGTAAAACAGAAAACAACAAAAACATAAATCTAAACCTGGAGTAGATAAACTAAAATACTACTACACTAATAGAAATTTGTGCCCACATCACTACCTATTACATTGATGCCATGGAGTGCATAACTCTAAAACGTGTCTCCAAATTAAGCAAATCTTTATAAAACCTAACAGTAAATAAGGAATTTTTATTTACCTAGAGAATATTAGTTGTCATAGACCATCAGACTGCAACATAAATTCCAATGAAATTAACAAAAGGTGAATCCCTGATGTAATTGGTAGAAACTAGCAAAAACTTTCTCAAAAAATCACTCATATTCAATGTGCAGTGCAGAACCCCCACACAAAAATCCCAGTGAATATAAATACATCCAATAATACATTTAAAACAAGCATACCGTGTTAGCAGGCTCACTTTGTAACAAGCACCCGTCAACATTTAGAACCTTGTCAAAAAAGCCTGGAGCATGCAGTCCCAATGCATAGCTTTCACTGCCTTCTTGTTTCTCTCCTATTAACTCCTTAGGTAGCCATTTTTGAGGACCAAATGAGAACTCCATCTGCCAGAGTCAAGTAGCAGCTAAAACATTTTCTGTTTACATGGTTTGAAAAGCAAAGTATATAGCGGCTACATATTCTCACGTTGGAAAAATGCAAAATTTTGGATAACCACATACATGATAAATATGACAAGATTATGATGACATGCACTACAAGTAGAATTAAGAAACCATATTGCAAATTCAACACCTAAAATTTATCTCCTTGTATTCTCCTTGACTAACTAATGAGATATCACAAGGACTATAATGGCAGCATACTGAATGTGGTCACTAATTTCCAAGATCATTTTACATCATTTTCCATTGATTGAAGGTGGAGAGGAGATTCCAATATAGGGGCACATGATACATGAGTCATTTTATTTATTTTTCAGAATAAGCATCAATGTTTTCTATACCTTTTGATCTGAACAGCATCTGTGGAGAATTTTGCAGAAAATAAAGGTATCACACTCTACAAACAATTATAGTTTTCAGCTGCTAGATAAAGACAGAGAGTCTACAGTTATTGCATACAAGTACAACAATTTGTTTTGGTTGCTGAAGGCGAGCTCAAGAATTAAAATAAAGCCTTTGTTTTCATTCCTTAATTTGTTTGGTTATCCAACAGAATGAAAGTGATGTCTTTGTAATAAATGAGCCTTGCAATACCCAGTTTTCATCCCCATATAGGGGCTAATAGTATTAGAAACAAGAAAAGGGAATGAATCTCAATTCCTCTTCCCGTTTTCTCATCCCCTGAATCAAAAGGGGCCTAAGTTCAACTGTTTGCAAAAATGTTTATGCTCAACCAGTTTTTAAAATGTTTATGCTCTACAGAACATTTACCTTATTTCTATAATGGAATTGAAAATCACAGGGAACAATGGGCTTCATAATGCTATAAAATTCTGGATCTTTATCTGAAAATTTCCCAACATTTACCACCAACCCATGGACTTGCTGTTCCTTAGCTTTGAGCTGAGCCTCGTACACCAGATTTTGAGTTTTACAACCCCCACAATATGCAGCATACTCACAAGGGGCATCTACAATATCCAAATGAGGGGATAACGTTTTCACCTTAGTTACCTGTCCATTTATTGAAACAAAACAGATCACTAGTTAGACACAATACAACCAAATGACAAAATAAATTACAAACATCTAAATATGTTATCTTTTTAATTTACCAAATTTAGCACAATAAAAAGGTTAATCTTAGTATTTTTTTTTTTATTTTGTTTTATTTTTTCCCCTTCCCACGCCCCCTCTCCCCTTTCCTTCCCCTTCCTTCCCCATCTCTGCCCCACACTCTTCTATAAAAATCAGGTGACGGCACCGGAAATTGCATGAGCTAACACCAGACAAAGAAAGAGGGTTGCACACTTCATCAAATTGTACACCAAAGCAAATGAATTACAAGGACAAGGAATAAGCAAAACCGATGCAAGATCTATTCAATTCAGTTACCACAACTTCTTTTGGTGCAAACTAATTTAGACTTGCTTTCACTTCTGTGGATTTTATTTCATAACCATGACATCCAATATAAGAAGAAACTGCACAAATAAGGAAACAACAGTCTCAATACTAAGCAACAAACCCATTATAGTCTTTAATTAATTTTCTGCAGATTATCCACAAAATTTTTTGAAGCACCCAGTATCAATTGGACTAAAATTCACAAATTAAAGCAACCTTTTTTAACAAGTGCCTCTCTTCAGAAGATGAAACCACCCAGCTGACAATTTACTAAAACCAATTTTAAATTTTCTTACATTTTCTTGACATTTTGAGGAATCAACATTTTCTTGACATTTTGAGGAATCAAATACAATCCATAAGAACAATTTGCGTGATAAGCTTGAGAAAAGGGAAAAATACCTCAGCATAACTTCCTTTTCTGCGTGTTACCCGGCCAATGAATCTTTCACCAGGAAGTGCACGGTCACACATGAGAACGAACCCAGTATCGGGCACTTTGCATACACCCTTCCCCTTGAAAGCCAAAGACTCACAAACCAACTCCAAAGTCTGGCCTCTCTTCGGGAAAAATGAGTTAGAATTATTGTTAACTCCAATTGATTCCACAATATCATTCTTGATGTTTTTGTCACTGTTACTGAGTCGGGTTTGTTGGGTTTTCTGGGTTCTTTCTTGTTGTCGCTGCTGCTGCGGATCTTGAGTGAAGGGAGAAGGAGAAAGAGAGGCTGAAGAATGGAGCTTTTGAAGTTTGTTGAGTCTATGGAGCCACAAGTGAGTGGCTGGTAAGTGTCTCAGGGTGTTAGTTGGCATAGTCATGGTGGCAGTGAAGGTGGTTTATGGTTTGTGTCAGGGAGGGAAAAAATGGAGTGAAAGTAGATTTTGGTTTTTGGGGATAGAGGGTATTCAGGGTATTTTCAAATTTTCCGGAGGGCAATTAAGTAGTCCGAAAAGATTACTTAGGCTCATAATTTTGTTCAGTATATTTTATGAAAAAAAAAAACTAAATTCAATTTATTAAGATATTATAATTTAATTTACGTAATTTTATTAAAATTTTACTTATGAATAAGATTATATTTATATCCAATAATATTTTATGCTTTAATAAATGATTATAAATTATTATACTTTGCTAGAATATATTTTAATAATGTATTTATTGTTACTTTGCTAGCGAATTATATATATTACATTATATTATGTATATATCATATTATATATTTATTGCTTGATTTTCTATATGCTTATTTCTTGCACAATAGTGTCAAATAGCTTGGTGGGAAGATAACTTAAAGATAACTTAATTGATATACAAAAGTCATGGGTTTAATATTATTAATAGGCATAAAATTCTGATTTATCCGCCCACTTAAATTCAGATATGCTCCAAATTCGATGCTAATACTAAAATTATAATCCAAACCCATTTATACACCATCTAAAATCGGGTCGGGTCGGATAAAATTATCATCCCTACTCGTAATTTAATTTTTGCATACATGATTCTTATTTGATGAGATTAGATATTAGTCCTTAAAATACTTAATTGAGTTCAAATAGACTCTGATTTAAAACATAATTCAAATATTGATTATTGTCATAATAATAAATCAATAAATAGTACAATTTAGAGATTAAATATTTATCTTTTTTTTATTTTAATATTTAGATTTGTAATTAAGTTCAAATTTAGGATTCTTGATTGAATTCGATATTAGTATTTTTATGATGTATACTACATAGGACTAATAATATTTGACCTTAAGATATTTTTGTCCGCTTAGTTGTTCCCGGGAGGTATCTTCTGCCTGCATCACACTATTAATTTTGCATTGTTTGCAACCATCAGTATTTCTTCTCTCCTATAGAATCTTGGGTCTCATTGTCTTATAGGTTATGAACGAGTCACGGATCGTTTCCCTCCCGAGGTAACACATTATATTTTCTCTTGAGATTTTCTTATGCTTATATATCGTAGCACTTAAAATAATAATAATCAATTAAATTAAAATTTCATTAAAAATAATAATTAAATATATTATATTCTTACCATATTAAATATTTACATTATATAGTATAACATAACCAATTAAAATGAATTTATCTTTATTTTTTCAATTAATAAAATTAAAATCCTTAAAATAATATGCCCTTACCATATTCAATATATACCTTATTTAATATATAATATATCCTTAAAATAATATGCCCTTACCATATTCAATATATACCTTATTTAATATATAATATAATTTTTTAATTTATCCAATAAAAGTTTAGATTTAAATAGAAAATTAATACAACCATCAATTTAATTACCTTTATTTTTTCAACTAATAAATTTGCAATCCTTGAAGATATCGTATTCTTACTAAATTTAATATATACCATGTATAGTATATAATTCTATTGCTTATTTTATCTAATAGAATTTAAATTTAAATAGAAAGTGAATATGACCGATCAAAATTAAATTATCTTTATTTTTTTAATAAATAAAATTAAAAATTTAGTGCTATTTTCGCCAATCCCTAAATTCATTAAGGATGTTTTGGCAATTTTTATTTTTACTTTTATATGTTATACGTCACTTCCAATGTAGAATTTAATAGAAAAATTATTGGCAATAAGGCATATTAAATAGAAGTAATTTAGAAAATTAAAAAATCAATTATCTATATCTATACTTTTATTATTATACTATATAAAAATGTGGAAATATGGGGAATAATGAAATTTTCAATATCATCCCTATTGAAATTTTGAATATTCTAAAATAATATCAATCGTAGCCAATTCAAAAGTTATATTTTATAACAATGAGTGTTTGGATGAGTGGTTCGACACTCTTCTCTCTTAAGTAAGGTCAAAAAATACTCGCTGTAAACACTTTATCCATTTTTGAGCTGATCCGGTGTGAGCATGATTTAATTCTAGCCCAATAGGCTCAAGATACACCGGTTAGGACAAAAAAAAAAACGTTTTATTATTTGATTGGACATAATTTCTTTTGATTATATATGATTTTTAAAAGTTATTTTTTAAATAAATACATGTAAATAATAAAACAGAAAAAAGTATACTCATCTTTTTTTGTATAGTTGTAGGAAAAATTGAGCGTTTATTTGGTGATGATAGAACGTTTCTTTTTATGCAATATTTTTTATTAATTAATTGACTTTTATTTATTTATTTTAAATTTTGCAACTTAGAAAAATAGAGAAACAAAATTAATCCTAACATTATTTGTTTTGTAATTTTCATTTATTGACTTGGCTATAATCTTTTTTTTTTTTTTTTTTTTTCTATTGAATCAAATTTTCATTAAATAAAGGCATTTCAATTTAAAGAATGAGTTGTTTTTTGAAATTCAAATTGATAGTTTTATTTAATAATTAATTTGTTTCTTGTTTAGGGCATATACATGAGTTATATTTAATTATAACGGATTTTTTTTTTCGTTACTTGAATTTATTTGTAATTTTCAATCTATTAATTAGCAAAATTTTTTTATTCTCCTTATAATAAATAGATGGGACTTCATTGGATTAATAATAATTTTTAATTTTTCTAGTATTTTTTTCTATGTATTATTTCTAAATTTGTTTTGTTTGAAAGACAAATATATGTTTTAAAAATGAAAAAAAAAACTTAAATATATTATTTCTGTTTGAAGAAGGTTGATTTTTGAAATTTCAAATTGATTAAAAAATTTTTTTAGATATATTATATATATTTTTTTTTTTTTTTTCTGTATATTGCAGTTCAGAAAGAGTTAGTATTCTTCGTACAATTATTATTATTTTATTTTTTATTCGTTATTGAAATTACATTTAACTTGTTTCACATTTGTATTTTTAGAAAATATTTACATCATATATTTGATTTTTTTTTTTTCTGTATATTGAGTTCCAGAAAGAGTTATATTCTTCGTACCAATTTTTTATTTTTTATTTTTTTTTTCGTTATTGAATTAATTTATAACTGTTATCACTTTAATTAGCAAAAGATTTACATCTCCCTTGCAATAAATAAATGTCCTATTGATTATAATTTTTTTAATTTTTTTATTGTATTCTAAATCTGCTCAGTGTTTATAAAATTGAAAAAAACTAGAATTATATTTTTCTATTTTATGTCACTTTTTTTAGGTTTTTTACATATATGCGCATGTGCTCCTTTCTCTAATGCATTGGGTAAGTAATATTGTCATTATTGTCAAAATAATAATTATTATTATTAATTTAGATCATCTGCTTATTTCTTTTCTTTACCCAACAGTAAAAAATAATTTATTTTTATTTTTATTATAATTGTATATAGATATTGATTTGGGGTTGAGGGTAGGAGGTTGGCGATTGAGTAATGACTTGATTTTATTTTCTTTTTGGGCACTTATGAAAGTTTTAATAATCTACATTTATAAATTAGAGATTAAAGGATTAGGTCTAGAGATTGAGTTGAATTTTATTTTGAGATCACTTCACTATATATATAAAAAAAATAGAATTAAGTACATGAGAAGTAACATTACAAGTAGTTTGTACCATAAAATCCAATACAAATTAAGCAATTGTATTTATTTTAATCTAAATAAAAATTTATAGTTTAGTATTATATAGATAAAAAAAATTAAAAAAATATAAATACATAACAAACATAGTTAACATGCAAGACATGTCATAAAAAAAGACTAGTACTTTTAAAATGAAAAAATGGTTTATTGTCATTGCGATTTTAACATAAATAATGATTTATTATAAAAATACAGGACAATATTTACGAAATTATTGATTATAATTTATCATCCCAAGTGTTTGGAATAGCCTTACAACGGAACAAGGAAAATTAAAATAGTACTAGTTTTGTTTCATAATACTTGTTACATTTGAAAAAATAGTTTGTTTTAAATACTTGTCACTGGTTTCAATGAATAATAAATTCATCTTGTCCATGTTTATCATTTGTATATGACCAATAATTATTACTTTAATTTAATTGTTTCTTAGAGATTAGTATTAAATTAAGGGTAATATAATCAATATATTTAATAATTTATTATAGTTTAGATAAATTTAATAATTTTCTTAAATAACGTGAAATTTCAAATGTGACAAATATTATGGAACAAAGTTACTACTTATTGTTTTCCATTTACATAGAAAAGTACGTGCATTTACATACATAAGATAAATAATTTCAACAAATAAACTTTTTCTTTGACAATGATTTTATTAAATTTCTAGTGCAATTTTAATTAAAATTCAAAGTATCAACCAAAAAATTAAAAATTTCAAACTTTAAATCAAAATATAAAATGTGTAAATGAAGGTTTTTTTTTTTAAGTCATATCAATTATTTCTTTTCTTTAAAGGAAAGAAATGCTTAATTGCCAAAAATAGTGTAATTAATTATTTAGTATTACTATTTCATAGTACTTGTTTACAAATAATAAAAAAAAAATTGTAATGGCCCACCTGATAATGAGGAAAGCCCAGACAAAAATCCACGAAGCGCCTCCTCCTAGGTTTTTTCACTCCCACAAGGCAAACGGAGCTTGTCACTCTCTTACTGGCTTTTTCTGTTTCAACTGTTCTTTTCATTTAGCTTTGCCATCAAACTGCTAAACTAGTCTAGAAGAACTTTCAAGCTCAAAACCATCCCATCCCCACGTTGCATGTCTATTGAAATTGAAAGTTCAATCCCACATTTGGGAAATCCCCTCAAAACTCATCTCTTTCTCTCTCTTCAATAAAAGCTGCCTCATTTGAACAGGTGAAAACCAGAAACTTTTGAACCAAAACCGATCCACAGCTTAGTTTTCTAAACGGTTCTCTCATTTACTTTCAAATCTTATTTAAACCCACCTTCATGGTACTCTCTCACCATCCCACATGGTAACAATACACTTTTTCTCTCTCTTTTTTTTCTTTGCTATCTTAATGGCTTAATCATGTTACATGTTGTTTGCATATCTGCCATTATTCTTGGAAAGGGATTGTATTGATCTTATAATTCAAATTTCTTCTTTTTTGACCATAATTCCCTGTTTCTCAAATACTTATTTGGTAAAGTTCTAATTTTTTTTTCCTTCTTTGTAGCGATTTGGTTCTCCTCAATCCTCATGACTTAATGCCTCGCATAGGTTTTGTTTTCCAGAACCAATGGACCAATACCCATGTGGCAGTAACCAAAGTTTATTCTTTACTAATATCTTTATAAGATGCTCTTAAAGAGCCTTATTCTTTCATGAGGGATATTTTGATGCATTTTTGAGTATTTTAGGATTTAATTCTTTTGGAAATTCAATACCCAGAATTGAAATTAAGATGGCATTGGAGAATGGCAAGGAGTCTGGTATTATTATTAGATTCAATCAGAATAGACCTCTGCCATTGAAACTAATTCAATTTACCTTATTGTTTTTGGTTCTGGGTCTTGGGATTTCGATCATCAGTATGTATACGTTTCGATATTTTGGAATCCAAAATTTAACTGCTGTGTCTAGGTCCAATCTTATTTATCCATGTTTTGAACCACCAAATGATTTGGAGAATTGGATTAGGCCTTCAACGAACCTGTTGCATAAGATGAATGATACAGAGTTGTTTTGGCGTGCTTCATTTGTTCCTCGAGTAAAGGAATATCCTTTTAGGAGAGTTAAGAAGATTGCTTTCATGTTCTTGGCAAAAGGACCACTGCCGTTGGCACCTCTTTGGGAGAAGTTTTTCAAGGGGCATGAAGGGCTTTATTCGATCTATATTCATTCGCTGCCATCTTATGTTGGAAACTTTACCCCATCATCAGTGTTCTACAAGAGACAAATCCCGAGTCAGGTATTTGCAATTTTTTTGTATTCTGTTTTTATTTTATTACGGAAATATGCTATTTTATTGTAATTCTCTCTAGAATCCGCTAATTGTGTTTGTTTTTCTTTTTTTCCCTTTTTTTAATCAGAAGAAACCTTTGATATTTCCATAATTTGCACAAAAAATTGTCGCCTCCTATTAAAAAATCTGTAGTCATTATTTGTCGCCCTTTGCCTAGGGCTGCTAATAGAATTCTGTTGTCTGTTTCATGATAGTTCTTGATTTGTCCATGTGATGCGGTTGAAAGTTGAATAATTTTCTGTGTTGTTTTACCTTCATATCTTCATTTCTGCAACTCTTTTTGATAGGTTCTTGAATTGATTTCCTATATCATTGAGACAGGCTTGTTCATTTCTTACCTTTTTTCTTTTCTATTGCAAGATCCCTTTGTTTTATCTTATGCTGTTTGATTATCTTTTTTTTTTTTTTTTCAAGATCCTTTGTTATCTTATGCTGTATTTGATTAATCTTTTTTATATTTAGGTAATACTCAAATAGAGAATCAATAGGAAACTGTTTGATAATTTTTTTTTTTTTTTTTGGTTACTACTCAAATGGAATCAATGGAAAACAGAGGACGGAATCAAAGTTTCCCTTTTATGTTGACGAATGATATTTTCATTCTGAAGTTCTTATCATTGTTAGATGGTTTTTGATGATTTTCTTGGCAAAAAGCCAGAGATTGTGAATCTCTAGTCCTTATGGTCGGTCGTTTAGTTAGTCTTCTTATTCATAGGCATTAAAACCTATTTATTGCGTAAAGACTGGCAACAGAGTTTTTTTGGAAAAAATACAGCAATTTAATTAAGCCTATGTTGAGAAAGGCTTGATCGGTGGTAAAGAAGATTGGATCATTTCCTGAAACTGCAATTTGCTTAATGCTCAATAAGAGTGCTCTATCTAGCTAGAAGGAGATTGTGTAGTTAAACTCTATACACAGGATGACCATTGTAGCTAACGTACAACACAGAATAAAGTTTGCATGAGCTTGTTAAGTAGGGAATATAATATCAATATAGGGATCTTTTCCTTTCTTGTTTGTGTTGACAATGGAATATTATCTCTAATGTGTCCTTTAATGTTCAACTTATATGCTTAACATTCTTCTGTAATACAATTGTAGGGCATTGAAATTTACAGTTGTTGAGTTATTTAAAAGAAACGTACTGTACCATGAGTTCATAGTTATGCTTTAATTTTTCTATTACAAGAAATATCATGTCCCAAATGTATGCAGTAGGAAATAGATATTCCAAATTTTTAAGAAGTTGGAGTTGTCTGCCACAAGTGTTCTTCACTTGAAGAGTTTCTTTGTTCCTGTCATTTTGTTCACTTATGAACAAGTATCTGCAGCATAAGCATTTGCCATGAAGCATTGAGATAAGAATAGTGAAATGAATTTGTCAAATCTGTTCTTGAGACTTTCTGCTCCTACTACCCATAATTATGAGATATGATAATGGTTGTAAGTTTGAACCGGTTCACTTTCATTGTATTTTATATGGGAGTTGACAGAAACAAACTTATCTATTATTTTGGATGGAACACTATTGGACCACTTCTAAACATAGTTTTTAGCCTGTTTGGTCATTTGTGGTAATTAATCAAGAATATAGGTGTGCAAGGTTCTGCGCTTGCATTTGTCAATACCTAAGGAATAATCTTGCAACTTTTGTTGTTGAGCAATGGTGTATTGGTTGTGCCATTTGTTGAGCCCTTAGAAAATTAGTGCACAAATACATTATTGTGAAATCCATCCATTTGCTTTTCATTTTGGCCTTTCAAAATCAGTTTCCTCTTGGTAATTGTCACTTCGGATGCTAAACTATTGAGCTTCTCTCTGTACTATAAAAGAGAGTTTTACCTTCTAATACTTAGTGTCTGTTTGCAAAGTGAGGAAATGGCGTACAGAATCTCTGCTTTTAGCCACAGTAATGAAGGAGGGCAAACTTGAGTTGCTTAATGAATCAAATATCTGCTGAAATAAATTAGGATGTGTATCTGGTGATTGGAATGAACAAGAAATGGCAGCTTCTGCAAATAGTTAATGATGTTACAATCTCTGTCTAAAGACTTGTGGCAAAAGCAATGGACGAAAAGAAATAACTTTTTTTTCTGGAAAAAAGAAAACTAGGTCAAATGAAATTTGTCTCTTCTATGGTTAAGCGCAGATATTTTTGCTGAACCTTTTTTTGGCACTTGGCAAATCTTGGAAGTACTTTTTTTTTAGATTTTCTCGAGGAGGAAGTGAAGGTTGGTTAGCTGATGGAAATTATAACCATTATCTTCAGAACTTTTCTGCAAAGCATGAGCCTTTTTGTTTAGAGCATATAACTTACCAAAGCTGCTGAGTGTTGATAATTGCTTGGCAACTCTATTTCCCCAAGAGTTGGATTAGCACATCTATATTTTGCACACATTCTTACTTGTAATAATCATAATTCCTTATTGATTCTATGCAGGTAGTAGAGTGGGGAAGGATGAGCATGTGTGATGCTGAGAGGAGACTCCTAGCAAATGCAATGCTTGATATCTCCAATGAATGGTTCATCCTACTATCTGAGGCATGTATTCCTCTTCATAATTTTAGCATTTTCTATCGCTACATATCCAGATCGCGGCACAGTTTTATGGGTTCATTTGACGAACTTGGTCCATATGGAAGAGGACGCTATAATTCAAACATGCAGCCAGAGGTCACACTTGAACAGTGGCGTAAAGGGTCTCAGTGGTTTGAGGTGAATCGCAGACTCGCAATTAACATAATTGAGGACACCACTTACTACCCCAAGTTCAGAGACTTTTGCCAGCCAGCATGTTATGTGGATGAGCACTACTTTCCTACAATGCTGAGCATCAAACTTCCACATCTGTTGGCGAACAGAACACTTACCTGGACAGATTGGTCAAGAGGCGGGGCACATCCAGCCACATTTGGGAAGGCCGATATCACAGAGGAATTCTTCAAGAGGATATTTGAAGGACAGTCTTGCACCTACAATAACCAGCCAACAACTGTATGCTATCTGTTTGCAAGAAAGTTTGCTCCGAGTGCTTTAGATCCTCTATTAGCTTTAGCATCTAAAGTTTTTGGGTTTTGATAGGCATATGGTGGGTTAGATGCATACTTTGAGCAAATGTTACCTAGGTATGGGAATTTAGACCTGGCTGATCTATTTCAAATGAGTTAATAGGGTATTTAAACATTGATGTCAAAGCATTTCACTTGTATAGTTATTCAGTTCCTAAATCTCACTTTTAAAACATCTTCAATTAATAATACCATAATTTTCTTCTGCCACTCGGTTGGATTATAGTCTTTTTTTTTTTTTTTTTTTTTGTTTAATAGGGTAATTATAAACATTGATGTCAAAGCATTTCACTTTTGTATAGTTTTATTAGTCCTAAATCTCACTTTTAAAACATCTTCAATAATAATACGCATAATTTTCTTCTGCACTGCGGTTGGATTATAGTCTTATTTTTTTTTTTTTTTTTAATGCAAATACACTGCTGTTGGTAGAGAATTTTACATAAAAGTGTGAGAGGTCATGTTTATTTGCTTTGCTGAAGTTCTTACTTGATGTAAGAGAAAGCTCTTAAATAATTTTTTTTTTTTTTTTTTTATGCAAATACACTGATGTGGTAGAGAATTTTACATAAAAGTGTGAGAGGTCATGTTTATTGCTTTGCTGAAGTTCTTACTGATGTAAGAGAAGCTCTTAATAATATACTGTGCTAATTTTTTATGCAAGTACTGGAACAAGAATTAGAAAATTTTTAGTATCCTGAGTGAAAAGGACTGGACCACAAAATTTGTGCAAGCAGGTGAGGGTGGTCCTGCAACACAGCTTTAGTAGGTAAGTGGTTATACATGCAAATGCCTTGTCTAGTTCTTTACCAAACCAGCAAGTGGTCATTATCTATAAAGACAATTTTTTTATCCTGTGAATTCGAAATTTTGTTCGTGGAATCTTTAAAAGAGAGTTATGCCTGGCCACAAAGTTCTTATTGTTAATTACATTGCTATCACTTTTTTCTTTTTGGAATTTCTTTTCAAATGATCATTACTATAGGGTTTGTTTTTTAAGATAATTAGCATTATTAGCAATCATCTCCCCATTTGGTGGGGAGGTAAGGTGGGGTAGTCTGTAATTTGAAACTGCTTCAAATAAGCTGTCAATACTGAATTCTGAAACCATTGCCTTTATGCACCAAAAAGATGAACAAGCATCACCTACCTAATAATGTTCATCTGAAAGCAAAAATGTAATTACTGGCTTATTCCCCACTCAAATGCAAAATTGCAATTCACAGCCCAGATAGCTTTGTAAAGCTGCTTGAGAGTCGGAATTAATTGCGAACAAAAAATGCAAAAAATACTTAATATCCTGATATTGATAGACCAGTTCAACTAGAATAATAAGTCATATATACATCAGAAGAAGAATCAGAACATTGACTTGAAAAAATTTCAAGGTTTTCAAGTCAACAAGAAAATTATATTGATTGTAAAGGCAGACAACAAGCACCTCACAGTTCATCATGATGCTTTTCTTCCAGCAAAGGAACTTCCAGTTGGGATTCAAGAAGATACCTAGCAGCCAATGATGCATGTAGTGCAGCACCATAAGGAAAGACATCCTCGTTGATTTCAAAGAAGGGAGTGTGCACGTATTCAAGCCGTTTGCGTGTCTCATTCTGCATTCCAATAAAAGCAAAATATCCAGGTACCACCTCTTGGTAAAATGCAAAATCCTCAGATCCCATCAATGGTTGCATATCTTTCACTTTATCAATGCCAAACACATCACCTGCTACAACTTTGAAGTACTTGTGCAACTGCTTATCATTTATGGTAGGAGGGAAAAAGGGCTTGTCATTCTGGAGAAAATTAATAGTTGCTTTACACCTCTGCACAGAAGCTTGCCCTGTGATGACCTGTCATTTAACAGGAGACACTAATAAATCATGGTTGAAGTACAATAACAAGAAGAATATAAAAATGTCGACAGGCGGTAGAGAAAAGACTACATAAGGAAACGAAAACCATGGTTTATCAATTTAGGTTAGAAAAAAGAAAACACACTCATAAATCATTATGTTGCATCGCATCATCATCAACAGTATAAAGCTCAAAATTCAATTAAATTTGTCGCGTCATAGTTATTTATCATAATTGATAATTCACAATTCAACCACCACACCTCCTCAATTCGCTGCCTAAGTTGCATAAAGCTTTCCCGTGAAAAGGCCCGGAAGGTGCCACCAATTGTAACGGAATCTGGAATAACATTGAATGCACCACCTCCTTGGAATTTTGCAACTGTCACCACCTGCAAGTCAAACTTCAACTTAGGTGGAAGCAGCAGCAACTATAATGGTGACAAATATAACAACAAATTTCATCACTTTGACACACCTAGAATTTCCTCCTCAATTCAAGAAAATAGCCAAGTGTTAATTATTTTCAGAGGATTGATTTTTTTGGGGGGTGGTTTTTTTAAAAAATTAACCCAAAAGAGCCTGATTAGTCATAAAGATTGGAGGAAGAAGAAGTATATCCTAATTCTTTTTTAGCAGATTCTCACTCTGTCATTGGATGAGGAAAGATACCACCAGAATAAAGGTACTGATATCCTCGTGAAAAATAATCATTTACATCCTCAAAATTAACAGCCATTCAATCGAATACACAGGAGAAATAATGCACTCTATTCTCACTGCTTATAGTCATGCTTTCATAACTGATGGTTTCTCAAACCAAATTATCAATCACAAGAAAAAGCCATACACCGAGGCACTTTTCACGTCTGAACCTCACTTTCAGAATGGGTAGATCTAGGATATGCTTAATTTTGTAAAGAGAAAAGGGCCTGACTTGATCATTTACTAGGAGAACTTAACAAAAAAGAGTATAACTAGGTGAAAAATCAAGCATCAAGTGAACCCAACAAACTATAAAAAAATAGAGAGTGCTTTATATATATGTGCAATAAATGCAGAAGAACTTAAAATGGCAGCTGTAGAGTTTGTCAATTTCATACAAGAACAGAGCAAAACATAAATAAAGCAATACATTGAACAAAAATGAAAGGTACCTGTGAGTCCAGTGGATCAGCTTCCCGTGAAACAAGATGTTGTAAGCTAACAATCACATTAGAAGCTGCCAATATTGGGTCTATTGACTGCTGAGGAAGGGCAGCATGACCTCCTTTCCCGCTTATTACTGCTTCAAAAAAGCCACTCCCAGCCAGTAGAGGACCTGGTCTGGATGTCACTTGACCAATTGGCAAACTGGGGTCAATATGTAACCCAAAGATAGCATTGACATTCTCTAATGCTCCTTCATCTATCATCTTCTTTGCCCCACCACCTCCTTCCTCAGCTGGTTGGAAAACAAGAACAACTGTACCCTAATAAATTAACAAAAATTGTAAAGTATCAGGCATCTATGAAATGGACGATTTACAGTCCATCTCCTCTCCCTGTTCCATAAGACACACTTTTGTTCATTTGAGCATAAGAGGACTGAATCAGAGCTCTTGAACCAAAAGCAGACAATTAGTTTCAGAAGCTAACTTCAGGCAAAACAAGAGTTATTTGCATGTAGAGAACGCGAAGTTGACTCAATGTCATGTTCTACTCAAAATTTGTCATGGCAGGCATTTTTATAACAGTTAGGCATCAATTGCAGATCCCCTTCCCTGCACATGATTTGATATTTCTGTGATTATATATTTTGTGGTTTGCTTATTATACAAATTAAGATAGTGAAAAAAGTAATATAGCCCAAGAAGCATCTCCTTCACATACTTTGATGCTGCTATCAATATTGAAAGTTAAACAACAATCCCAGAGATTAATCTAACATTAAAAGTTATGAATTGAAGCTATATCATAGTGAAACGTATATATTTCATTTGCACGTATAGAGAAACTTACATATTTCATTTGCAGGTATAGAGAAACTTACATATTTCATTGAAATGAATAACCCCTGTCCAATTTTTTCTAATTAATTCATAAGACTTTGGTGAAGATTTGCTTTTGCTTTCTCTGACTTTTAATTACTCAAAAAACTCACTTCAAGATATTATTTCAGCAAAAGATGAATTATCTTTACAGTCAACTCTGTTCGATATTGTCAAAAAAATAAAAAATAAAAAATAAAAAAGGAAAAAAAAAAGACAAGCAGAAATACCAACATCCTAAATTCCATGCCTGTATTTGGAAGAAGATTCTTCTATTTCCCCCACTAGCTAATGCCCATGTAAATTCGGTCCTAATGCAATTTAATTATTTGCTCTCAAGGGTTTAGAAACTAATAGGCCAAACAAACCTTCAACTCTTCCTGATGCTCTTTAAGGATCTTTGCAGCACCAAGAAGCATTGTGACATGAGCATCATGTCCACAAGCATGCATCTTTCCAGGAACTTTACTTTTGTGCTCCCACTCCACCATTTCCTATCAAATTCAAATACCCAGCGATTAAATTCTCAAGAAAATAAGTACAAAATTAAATCACCAAAATCAAAAAAAGAAACATATTATTAGAAATCCACCTAACATGATTAGCCTTAAAGAGGATAAAAACAAAACCTGCATAGAAAGAGCATCCATGTCTGCCCTTATTGCTACAAAGGGAGGTTTGCCAGTTCCAATAAAGCCAACCAAGCCTGTAACTGCAAGTGGATATTTATATTCAATACCCATTTTATCTAATTCTGCTCTAATAAGCTTACTAGTCTCAAATTCCTCATAACCCAATTCTGGGTTCTCATGTATCTTTCTTCTTATACCCACCATCCAATTAACAAGCTCCTCTCTTTTGGCATAATTGAGAAACCTTGTTGACAAATCCGATGACGACCCATTTAAGCTCAAAATCGGAGTCAACAAAAGAAAGAAGACGACCCAAACCAAGGTAACCCACCTGAAAATACTCATGGTATCAAAAGAAGCAGTTAACAAAGGAGGGAACTTTGGTTTAGAATTTAGATTTATGATGACAGAAATTGATAATGGAGAAAGCAGATGCTGCAGCTTTTCTGGATGTTAAGTGTGAATTCAGAGCAGTCAAAATCGAGGAATGAAAAAATGGTATTGGATTGTGGGACTGTGGTGATTGTTTATAAAGTGGTCTCCACTTGCTCTTCTAAGGACAACAGGGGCGATTTGTTTGCTTTTGATGATGGAGTGGCGGCTGATTTTTGATGGCAATAGCGATCTTTTTGTGACCGAATTATTTGTCACGGACGCACAACCTCTCCACAAGTACTAGGACTACCAGCCCGTGTGCCAAAATTTCATTTTTCACGTGCTTTTATTCTTTGTTTACTATTATTATTATCTTTTTCCATTTCTATTCTTTTTTTAACACATTTATCCTTACTTTTTAAAAAAATATACGACTTCATTCCTATTTGGTTCATCAATTATTTAGGTTTTTTTATTACTTTTTGTTCACATAAATAAACATTATAAATAAATAGTATATTTTTAAAAAAAAACAAAAACGAAGTAATTAATTTTAGCATAAAATAAAAATATAATGATAATTTTTCCTTTCCTTGTGTATTTTGAAATTAATTATTTTTCTTTTATGTTATATTTATTTTATTCGTGAAAAAATTAATATATTTAATAAATTATAGTTTATAACCATCATTATTATTTCAAATGATAAATTTAAAATTTTTCAATTGAGATTATGGAGATTATCTTATTTTTTCTTACTCATCATCCAATGGAGCTTATGGTTATCTTCAATTGGACATGGAGGACTTTAAAATATTTTTGAAATTAATAATATCTACATAGGATTTTCTAAAATTCAATCAAATAATATATATTCAAATTAATATTTTTAGAATTTAATATTTTCACTTGTTGAAAAACCGCACTTGTATTGCAATATTATTTTATTAATTATTATATTAATTTTTTATAAACTATTATAAATTATCAAACTGTTAAGAATAATAATCAAAATCCTACTTAAAATAAATAATAATGATCAATATCAAAATGATTTGTAATAAACATTTGCAATAGCCTAACATTGTAATTTATATTATCAAAGTAAAACAATAGTGGATGAACTAACCATATGTTGTTACGTGGCAAATGACTAATTAAAATAAAACTTAGAAAATTTCATTATTTAATACATTCAAGTATTTAGAATTGATTTTAAATAATAGCATAGGCGCTCGAAATAGAAATTTATAGAGAAAATCATTAAACATTAGAGCTATTAAAATTAAATTATTAAAATAAATAACTAAATCCAAGAATAATTATTCAATTCAATTATTTAGATAGATGAAAGGAATAAATTTTAATAGATGTAGGATGTATATAGATATGTAGTTAGATTATATTTGTAATTAGATACTAACACTAAAAACAAAAATTACTAATTATCTAATTATTTTATATTAATGTTAAATTAATTAATTAAAAATATATAAACAATTTATTCGTTTACATTGTTCTCACAAAGAAGACATACTCAAGGCTTGACTCCTGTTATGCAACCAGTTGGGGTTGGAGCTTCAGAGCTAGGAGGCAAAGAAAGTAAATGTGGACAGTTCGTGGGATTCTTTGCTTCAGAAGGTAGATAGCTGTAGTTTTACTTCTAGAATAGTTGATTAGATTTTAAAAACTTATCAATATTTATATTAAATATTAAATTGAAAATTTGTTTGAGTTGACCAATCAAAATACAGAAAAATAAAAAAAAATTAATTTTTTTAAAAAAGAAAAAAATAAAGTTGAATGAAGAGAAGGCCTCAAACCTTCTCTTTGTTTCGCTTTTATATAGATATATAGATTAGCAAAATTTTGAATTTTTTATCTTTTGAAAATTAAATCTGCGATTTTTTTTTATTTTAAATATATTAAAAATTTATATATAGTATATATATCTATCTATAAAAATATATAATTTCTAAAGTAATGGATGTTGAGGGAGAACATCTTAGAGTATGAAAGTATTCTTCTGGCGTTTTAACTTTTTCGCATTATAATTAATCTTGTTTTCTTGCATTTAATAAATATTAAGTTTTTTTTTTATTAAGCAATGGAGTTATAATTAATAACATTAATCAAATAATGGATTTATAATAATAAGGTTAACTAATAAAATAAAATATAATTTCATTTCATTAAGATTAATTGCATTATCATTAAATCTTTATATATCTCTTGTAATTATATAAAAAAAAAGATTTGAATTGAATGTATGAGAATTTCAAAATGAAAAAAATAAATAATTATGTCAGTCGAATTAAAATAATTTAATTACAATAATAAATATTTCAGTTTATTAATTAAAAAATTATCATATTTAAGTAATGATCATATAATATCATCTTTCGTTATTTAATCAAAATATATAAATAAATTATTTAAATTAAAAAATACAAATTTAAATCGCAGTAATTTCATTCATTTAAATTTATTAAAAAATATATAAAATTACATAATTCGCGTATCATGTTATACATGAATAATTTATCTATAAAATTAGAATAAACCATCAATAATAGAGGGATGGAGTTGGTAAAAAATCATACGTACAAAGATTCCAAATAACATTAAAAAAATCTTAAGAATTCTTTAAAATATTTAAATAAAAATAATTAATTGTACAAATATAAAATTATAGTAATAAACAAACAACAAAAGATTCCCAAACTTAATTGGTTATCTGGACGAGGAAAGTATTGATTTTTGGTAGATTCTATTAGCATATTTACATCAATATGATAAATATTTTTTATTATTAATTTTTTAATAATTGTTAAATTATGAAATAATGTGGCACCAACTCGAAATAATGTGGCACCACTCTTATTTAATATATGTCACTTTCGCAGAAATATTTCGCAAGTCTAACTATCTTATATCAAATATAAGATAAAGATACGTTGACACAGACAAATAATATATAATTTATTTGTTCATTCTCAATAATAAACTTACTGTCATTGTTGTTACAAGTTGGCAATTGACAAAATTGGTAGTTTTTTATCAATTTTTTTTTTTTCTATGATAAATATTTTTTATTATTAATTTTTTAATAATTGTTAAATTATGAAATAATGTGGCACCAACTCTTATTTAATAATTATGTCACTTTCAGAAATTATTTCGCAAGTCTAACTATCTTATATCAAATATAAGATAAAGATACGTTGAACACAACAAATATATATAATTTATTTGTCATTCTCAATAATAAACTTACTTGTCATTGTTGTTACAGTTGCATTGACAAAATTGGTGTTTTATCAATTTTTTTTTTAATAATTTCCACCGTTTCTAACGGATAACGATAACTTGTTTTAAAATGCTTTCATTATATTTTAATTAAAAGATTTTATAAAATAATTTTAACATTATAAGTTAAATAAAAAAAAAAAGTTAAACGGCTAGTTAACAAGAAAAGATGGAGGTAGACTCATTGGGAGCCCAATTTAATAAGGCGATGGTTTAAAGGGCCCAAAGAATTATGGGCTTTTATAAATACGCGGCGTTTTGTTATAGTAATTATCAACATATACTTGCTCCACTACTGCGTAAGTTAAAATTAGAAAGAAACCCTCACTTTAATTCTCCTTGGCTGCGTCTTGATTTTCTTGTTCTCTTCAAATTCTTGAGGTAAGCATTTCGAATTACCCGTTTCCTTCTCCTGGTCTAGTTCTATATCGTCTTCTTATCAGTCTTTATGGTAGTTTTTACATTGGGATTGGAAATTAGTTGCATGTTGATTCTTGGTGTCTGCCCGGTTACTGGGATTGTGAAATTGCGAAAATTTTGCGTTTTAGGTTAATTGAAATTGAATTTGAATCAGGGGTGTTGCTTTTGTTTTCGTTATTGTTCCTGAAACAAACAGGGCAGCCTGACTAGAATTGAATTTCCTCTTTTTACGAATTCAGAACCAATGTTAGGCATTAATTCACCAATTTGTTATATTTTCTTTATTTTCTTGTTAACCAAATAAAGTAGATTTTGTATCATGAAGTTTTTGTCTATGCGTATATTTATGTATTCTTTTTTCTGGACATTATGTTCATTATTCTTTTATGTGCTTGGCTCATCGGAAAAGCTTATGTAATGAGTGCTGCAGTTTTTTATCCTGACGTGCAACTTTGTTGTGATAATTGTTGTTTGAGCAAGTCCTGTTAATTACTTTGTCCTTTCTACTTATTTTCTTTTGGGATATTCTGTTATCTATTATATTTTTCATAGGGCGTTGAACTGTTTTGCATAGCATATGACTCGGTGAATGGGAAATGATTTGAGAAAGAATCTTTCTGCAGAATGAGAAAACGACCTTCATGTGGGAGTGAGAAGAAATTCTTTGTCACAGAAAAGGCAACTGACCTTATTGCATGTACCTCTCGAGTGCCAAATCATTTGGCAAAACATAAGACTAACCAGATTGACGGAAACGGAAGTGCTTGTCCTAAAACAAAGCAAAGTAGAATAGAAGTGAAAGCTATGGACCAATGCCCTGACTTGATCTCACAATTACCTGAACACATTATCCATCACATCTTATCTTTCCTGCATTGTAAAAAAGATGCCGCTCGAACCAGTATTTTGTCTAAGAGGTGGAGAGACGTATGGTTTTCCTACTTCATCTTGGACTTTGACGAGCGCAAGTTTCAAAATCAAGATTGGAAACTCCATTTTTACTCTAACAGGCTATATCGAAAGATCAAAAAGAAGAATGATATGGAAGTCAAGAGGAAGTCTGAGGTATTTAGGAATTTTGTTGACAAAACCCTGCAGAGCCACAATGAGAAAAAATCTGTCATTAGAAAATTTATGCTTCATTTAACCTCTTATGATTTGGAATTAGCTGATCATGTGGACCGGTGGATAGATTATGCAATTAAAAGCAACATCCAGGAGTTAGATATCTATGTCCCAAGCAAGAAAACCAGATGTTATCATTTCCCTCAATCTGTCTTTGCTGCTACTACAATAACTGCATTAAGGATTTCCGGCTGCAAGTTGGGAACTTGTAATGATATTAAGATGTTCAGTTTGAGAAAATTATGGATTGGAAAAATCCACATTGATGAAGAGAGAATTGAGAATTTCATAGTTAATTGCCCTTTACTTGAAGATTTGAGGCTCATACATTGCAGTGGATTGAAAACTTTATTGCTTTCAAATAATAAAATTCATAGAATCGATATACATCTTTGCCATGCACTGAAGAAAGTTGAAGTTCTATCACCAAGTCTTCAAAAATTTTGGTATCATGGAAAGAGATCAACGCACTGCAAAATCGATTTAGCTGTGTGCAAATCTCTAAAGAGCTTGACTTTAGAAGATTACTACATGAAAGATGACTCGTTTCAAAATCAGCTTTCTAGTTTTCCTATCCTTGAGCAACTGAGCTTAAGTAAATGTTGTGCCTTACAGAACATTACTATTTCAAGTCATCTGCTAAAGGTGCTAGCCTTGAGAGACTGCGGACAGCTGAAGGAGGCTGACATAAATACTCCCAATCTTCTCTCTTTCGAGTATAGGGGTCAGAAAATACCTTTTTCTTCTTTGAACCCTTCCCCTTTGAGGGAGGCAAAGCTTTATTTTGAACAGCCCATGTTGAACTACAATGACGACTTTGAGTTTCCTTTTCATGAGTTGCAAAATTTCCTTCGGAAGTTTGACAATTCCAAGGGTTTGAAGTTGGTAGTCCGCTCTAAAAAGGTATCTTCCTTATCCTGTACTTGTCCTGTTCTTTTATTTTATTAATTAAAAAATTCTAAATTGTTGTTGTCATCCTTACAAAATTTAATTTCCTTTTTACCTTGCCTGTCATGGTAAATCAAGAATGCCATTATTCATGAAGACCTGAGAGAAATATTGGTTCCTCGAAACTTTGGTCTTAAGCTTGAAGTTGTCAAATTATCAACTAGCTTGGAAGATATACTAGATAATTTATTGCAGACATGGCATCCAGAGACACTGTCAATAGTATCATCTGGCACGAGTAATTTCCCTGAGGTATGATAGTTTAATTACTTATAATTGAATTACATATATATATTTTAATAGAATTCTATTTGTGGGTGGGAACATATATATTTTGGGAACTCACCATTTTCTCTGTTGTTTTAATTCAACTGCAGCAAGTACACAAGAAAATAGTGGATAGAGGAGAGGAGCCAGACTGCTGCAAGTATAAAGTTTCAAGCAACAAATGTTGGCGGCATTTTTTGATGAATGTCAAAGCTGAGAACCTTGGCGACACTGAATATAAGTCTGATTGGGTTGATTGGTTGAAGTCATCTACAGATATCGTGAACCAATTGAGTTTTTTCAGATTAGATTGGAAACAATGATAGACTTGGTGGATTGGTCCGGTTGCCTGAGAATTTGAAACTAAATGTAAATCTGATGACAGTTTGAAGATACTATAGGAACTTTTTTATTTTCTGGTTAGACCTTTTATTTGTTTTTGAGTTTATGATTTTGAAAACGTGTATACAAATTGTTTGAGCATCAATCTCAATCTGCTTTCAGAAACATCCACCATCCATTTACATATTCTCGAGAACAACCTTTTTCTATTTGGTCAATCTTTGTGAAGTAATGGCAGGCAAATGTCAATACAGCAGAGATTGAGGAATATGATTTCTAGTAGAATAAGGAATTCAGGTTATTCTTCCATTACTTATTAGTTTACCTTACAACAATTCAACAACTGGAAAGCATGACTTGTGTACATGAGAAGCTATTCTTGGGAAAAGCTATAATACAGGTTCAGTGCGGAAAAGTTTTTAAAAGTGCTTTGAATCATGGAATTTGCTTATTTGTAAAGCAGAAACTAAATTTTTCAGTGCTTAGAAGTTAGAATCTGATACTGTGGGACCTTCCACAGGTTCCTCTATATTATATAGTACAGCTTCCGATCATAAATCATCTCACACAGCAAGTGTTAGCTTCTGCAGATTTCTACTAGGCATCTTTATCTTCCATATGGTAAGGTTCTTCGTATTGGCCTCTTATTAATCTAGAATTTATGTCTTGGATTTTGAACTTCAGATCCTAAACAAATTTGAAGAGCTCTGAGGTTAGATATGCATCCTAAAAATCATATCTAACCGAGTTTAATGTTTGAATATAAAAGAAGAATTTTTATGTCTTATTTCACTCAAAACAAAACAAAGTAAGAGACAAACTAGGACATCTCTTGGACATGAAAACCATTTCTGTTGCAATTAAGAACTTGAGCATGCATAACTTTTTCCAGGAAAATAGCAAAGGTGGAAGGGAACAATCTAGTGGAAAAAGGAAGAGCATACTTGTAGGACCATGGGGAGGAAATGGAGGGACAAGCTGGGATGATGGTATATACAATGGAGTAAGAGAAATCACCATCGTTTATGATCGTTGCATCGACTCGATCCAGGTGGTGTTTGACAAGAACGGCAAGCCTGTCATCGGAGAAAAACGCGGAGGAGTGGGAGGCACCAACAGAATTGAGGTTAGTTCCGCAAATCATCAACCACCAATCACGTACTAATCGTCAATATTATTAATGCATTGGATATTGTTTTCAGATTAAGTTGCAATATCCAGAGGAGTTCTTAGTGAGTGCAAGTGGCCATTACTGTCCCGTCGTTTATGGTGGGAGTCCGGTGATTCGATCACTGACACTGAAGAGCAACAGAAGAACATTCGGACCATATGGAGTTGAAGAAGGGACACCATTTACATTGTCCATGGATGGAGGCTCTATTGTAGGATTTATGGGGAGAAGTGGATGGTACCTTGATTCTATTGGGTTTCACTTGTCTCGCTCTCAATCCACCAAGCTTCTTCAGAAGGTTCAACAAAGGTTTCAGAGGCTTACTAGTTCTGTTTCAAGATCACGTTCTATTAATAAGGATAGTGAAAAGGCTTATTATGGAAGAGCAAATACGAAGAGCATATAAAAGCTGTTTATGTAATATGCAACCTCATGTTTTATTGAGACCTTGTATTGTGTAATTTGGTATTATTTTGTTTAATTTGAACATGATTGCTGGACTTACAGATTAAATAAAATACAAAATGAGTTGCAGAGCAATTAAGATCAGCACAAGTTTGTAGTTTCTTATCATGCCAGAAAAAAAGATAATAAGTAAAACCAAAAATGTCAAAAATAACAAAACAAGCTGGTGGTTAAACCATTTTCACGAGATTGAAACCAAAAAAAAAATCCGACAGATAATCTGGTTTCTGCAATAAAATTTCTCCAACAGACTAAATCAGAAAGCTAAAACTACCAAAATTAACTGGTATTCTATACGGTCCATTGGTTCATCATGCAGCAACCACAATCCGTCCAGCCACTTGGTCAAGATCCCGTTGACCGCTAGAAGTGATTCTCCTCCCACTAGCACAACAACAAAAATATGCAAATCAGCACATATTATAAATTAGCAAGAGTGGTCGGGTGGAACAAAGGATTGAGAGGCAACAATATAAAAATGAAAACAGAATTCCGCTAGGGTAGACTGAGGCCAGGGCAACATCCATTCTTAACAAACCCACATAAAAACTTCAGCAAAACAGAACTAAAATTTAAGACGAGGTAGAATGAAGCCTAAAGAGATTCAGAGCTCACCCCTTTGGGTCAACATCGATAATGTTCATTGTCTGCAATTGTTGAAGAATGTGACGAGCAATTGAACCACTGCTCTTGCCGAAATGAGGTGGACGACTTCCATTTCTCTTGCTCCCACCATAGATTCTACGGAAAGCACCCACACCAAGGCCACCCCTCAAGTAAATCTTCCTTGCCATGGAGGCTGCAAACAAAATAAAACATCCAAGAAGTAAGAACATCTCAGAGTTGCTTCTCCAACTTCATATTCAAACACCCAGCGAGAGTTGGGGAAAGAGATGCTCACCGGCTCTAATGTAGTACCAGTCTGGATCATAAGGTGCAAGCTCCTTGAGTGTTCCAGTTTTCACAATATCAGTCCAGGGAGGCAACTCAATCTGTTGCCAACAAAGGTAGACAAATTAAACTTCTTCCCGCAAAATCTAGATAAAGATCACATAGCATACTAGAAGTATCAAAATTTTTGAAAATAGAATTTCAAAAGGCAATTATGACAAATATAGAGATAGAACGAAAACTAGTCACGAATATTTCAAGAAAAAAAAAAAAAACCTACAACTTCCCTAACGTCTCCGAAGCCTTCAACCATGCCTCTCCTAAGTGCTAAAGTAAATAATTTCCTACTACTTCTAGATAGACCCAGTTCATGACTCCAAAATCATCAAATGCATAGTTACAGAACCATAAATAATTTCTGCATCTAAAATGTGAAAAAAATGACAAATCTTTCAATCAATCAACAAAACCTACTAGTAACCAGCAAACAATGAATGCCTAACCTATCAGGGAAAAAGAAGAAGTGAATGTTCAGTGCTTATAACAGAGCAATTCAAATCGGATTTAATATGTAAAACGACCTCGAACTCTATTATAATGAAAGATAAATTTAAAAGCCTTGAATACCTTGCCGGATCTCTTGAGATGGGAAGCATAAGCCTTGACGAACTCGTGGGGAGACACGTCCTTCACAGTTCTAGCAGTCGCCATTTTTTCAGTCGCAGCTAGAGGCCTTCTGATTGCAGAGCTAATTGTGTAAAGATAGGCTGTGTCTCTCAGTAGGGTTTTTGGTTCACAGGGTTTTCGGTATTTATAAATCGGGTCAACTATTCGGACTAACCCAGATTTTGGTTTATCGGTATTGGGTAGGGTGCTCAGGTCGGGTTCCGGTTTTAAACAATTGGGCTCACTTTGTGTGGCCCATATAAGTTTATTTAAATTTACATATAAAATAAATAATTAATTAAAAAAATGAAATATTACTAATGACAGCATAACTATATGTTCAGAAAAAAAATTATCTAAACATTATATTAATTCTAATAAAATCATGTATTAAACATTAAAAGCTAATAATATCTTAGCTTTTTTTTTTTTTTTTTCAATCTAATAAAATCATGTATTAAAACTAAAAGCTAATAATATAGCTTTTTTTTTTTGTTTTTTCATTAATCTTCTATAACAATACAAAATTATGACTTCTAATATTATTGTTACTTTAGGAATAACCCAAATGTCAACATATCCATCAAAAGAAAAATAATTAGAATAGTAAAATTTTAGGTAAATATACCTTAATTATTTTTTTTAAAAAAAAAAAAGTTTTTTTTTTTTTTTTTTCATAATCTTTCTATACATACAAAATTATGACTTCTAATATTATTGTTACTTTTAGAATAACAATTCAACATATCCATCAAAAGAAAAATAATTAGAATAGTAAAATTTAGGTATAATTACCTTAATTTTTTTTTTTAAAAAAAAAAAGAAAAATACAAAGTATATTACCTTGAAGAATAATAATCAAATAAGAGGCAGATAACATAATCTCAAAATTGAAAACGAGTATGATGAATAGATGCTTTAGCAAGTATGTTATCTTAAATATTTTTATATTTTTATATTTTTCAAGCATATATATAATATGAGTTTTCACGTACTTATAAAAGTTTATATTTTTTTAAATTAGTTAAGAGGATAAATACCAAATTAGTTTGAAGTAATCTATGAAGTTAGGTTGAAGTTAATTAGACCTTTTTTTTTAGTTGATAATGTTTATTTAATTAATAATAATTTATTAAGAGTACATAATTGAATAATCTAATTAATTCTAGCTTGAATTGAAAATTTTATTAATAAGGTGATATTTAGAATTTAGAGATCACTATAATATTTGGCTCAAGTTAATTTATTTCCATTTCAATCTAATTTATAATTGATTTTAAAATTATAAATTTATGATAATATTGATGTAAAAAAAGTATAAATTAGATAAATTTTTAAGGTGAAACGATGTAGATTTAGATTTTATATATACTTCCATGAATGATATTTTTTATATTAAACGATATTTGTTAAAATTACAATATGTTTAGTGCTATATATATATATAAATATTTATTTGATTAATAACTATAATAATTTGAAAAAAGATAGCACGAGCACTATATAATTAATTAACGATGTATTTAATAATTTAATAAATTATCCAAAATAATAACCAAATCTTTCTATCTTAGAAATTTCCTAATTTTGTTCTACGCAGGAGTTGGCCATCGACACGGTCACGCACGCGCGAACACGCAGCCAAAGGACAATTCTGTAATTTGCTGATCACGTACCTTTTGCCTTTTCATCTAAACATAGTCTCTAACGAGTCGATCAACGATCGAATTTAATTACGCGAATCCTATCTCGGTTTCTCTGATTCATCGTTGAAGAAAACTAGAAACCCTAGAATTTGAAATTTGTTGATCTCCAGTTTCAACAATGGGCAACACAGAGAAACTGCTGAATCAGATTATGGACCTCAAGTTCACATCAAAATCGCTGCAAAGGCAAGCCCGAAAGTGCGAGAAGGAAGAGAAATCGGAGAAACTTAAGGTAAAGAAAGCGATCGAGAAGGGGAATATGGATGGTGCTCGGATCTACGCCGAGAACGCCATCCGGAAGAGAACCGAGCAGATGAACTACCTCAGGCTCGCGTCTAGACTCGACGCCGTTGTGGCTAGGCTCGATACCCAGGCTAAAATGACAACCATTAACAAGTCCATGGCCTCCATCGTTAAATCTCTCGAGTCTTCTCTCGCTACAGGTAATTGGTTGGTATTGTCTATAATTTGCTGATTTAGGGAATCCATGATTTTGATTTTTTTTTTTTTAAAACGAGGCTTTTTTTTTTTTTAACTAACTGCTGTTAATCTGCTGAGAAATGCATAAGGTCAATTATGAAAAAGGAAAGCTCGAGTACTATCATATAATGTTAGGTATACCGGCATGAGTTTAAGGAAATCTGTAATCTTTACGTTTGTTCATAGATTTTTCTTCTGATTATAATTGACTTATAAAATTTAATGATTTGTAATCATCATGGATGCTTGATAAGGGGTATCTGTCAGAACCGAAAAAGATGTACTTTTTTAGTTGAACTGTTCGGAAATGTCTTCAATGAAAACTAAGAATCAATTATTGGCTTATGTTGTGGATGATCCTGGTGGATACTTTGCTGACTATTATGTCTTTGATCAACTTTAGCTTTGTTTTAAAATGTTTTTAATGATGGTATTGTTAATCATTGTTGGCTACAGGTAATTTGCAGAAAATGTCAGAGACTATGGATCAATTTGAAAAGCAGTTCGTAAATATGGAGGTCCAAGCAGAGTTCATGGAGAATGCAATGGCTGGATCTACCTCACTATCTACACCTGAAGGTGAGGTCAATAGCTTGATGCAGCAAGTTGCTGATGATTATGGTTTGGAGGTCTCTGTTGGGCTTCCTCAGCCTGCTGCACATGCAGTGGCAACCAAGTCACAAGAAAAGGTTGATGAGGATGATTTGTCAAGGAGACTCGCAGATTTAAAGGCCAGGGGATAAAAAATGTAATGGGATCGGGTCTTATGGCAATGTGATACTTCATTATATCTACATATATGGTACTCTGAATTATGTTTCATGCCAGAAACTTATTATGTAAATTTAGATAATTGGGATTAAAGTTATTCTGTACGACTCTTGCTTGTTAAATATGGGTGGAAATGTGTTTGATTGCGCAATCTTTCTGAGGAGAGAATATGCTGTGATGGGGTGAGATCATATGCCTATTTGACCTAGTGCATCTAAGGCCTCTGTGCTGACCTCTGATAACTTGAACTTGCACATTTGATTAGTTTGTGAGTTATTTACGTATGCATCTTGGTTTTCTGTTGGTCTGTAGGAGTTATTCCCTCTGCTGTGGGTTTCTCCCTTGGCTGTGAAGCATAGGATTTATACTAGTAGCCCGGCTTCTTGTTTTCAATCGAGTAGCATCCTACAGTCATTGGATGCTATATTTATAGAATACTATGCTTTGTGCAATTCTTCTGTAACAAGCTAGAGATGGCCATATCACTATGAAGTGAAATGGAGATATATTATATCTCTAACGCCTTGTGCTGATTTATCTATATTCTGTTGGCATTTTTATGGAACCAACTCTATCTGCTTGATCTAATTTGAATGTTATTATACTGCTCAATGATGTCCGCTCGTTGGGGTAATTATTTTGTGAAATTTTCTTACTGAGATACTCATGAAAATGGATATTAATACCTTCTCTCCCTCATTTGCCATTCCTTAAAATTCTGTGCAGTACAGTCAAAGCCAACGTATGGTAACTGTAATATCGTCAAAGCCAATTTAAGTTGAAATCCAGTGGGGTGATTAATATAGTTATTGTTTGTGGTTTCTGGATTTTATTTTATCAAAATGTATTTATTTATTATTGTTTAATTGCTTTAAAAAAATTGCCATAACATGAACCGTTTTTGTTGATATAACTTTTTACTATTCACGAAAACAAAAGGAAAAAATAAAACTCAGCAGTCCTAGGACATTTAATTTGTACTTGTTGATTGATGGGTTTACTATATCGTAGCTGTTTTTGTTTTTTTTTTTCTAATTTTTTCCCCAGTAGCCATTAGGATAATTGATTCTCGGGATAACTACTTTGGCTAGGAAGTTTCCGCTTGGGATGAAAACTCCCAAATGCAATTTGCGTATTCTCGCTCAAGTATTTTCGGGGGAAGTGAACGTTGAGTTTTTGGATAGATGAACGAAAAACGACAGCTTTGCTGGCACGGCGTTTAATTTTTAAATATAAGTTTTAATATTTTGGCGTATAAATACCAAATCTTGTCCGAATTCAACCAAATTTTGATTCTGATATCCCCACTATCTGAATTTGTCAGCAGGCTCTCATTATTTGACATGCAGACGACAGAATTTCACAAGTGGTGAGAATTGTTTATATCACTACCCTGAATGGAAGAACAAGAAGAAGATTGAAGAAAGAATAAATGCAAAATCTACCAAATCAAAGAAAGTAATATTCTTTATTATTTGGCTTGAGTTGCCCACAGAACATAATGCAAGAGAATAATGGCTGCAACATTTCACTATCAGCAGTCTCTATATCCTATTATAATTAGTGGATAGCAATTATAATAATCCTAAATGTGTCCAATTTCTTTTACAAAAACCGAGGATTCAACGGTTCCAATATATACATATGTATATATATAGAGACTGAGGGATGCATAGAAACACTCGCCAAACGGATTCCAATTATATTTCATCCCAAAACGGCAAAACTATGAGCAGAAACCAAACGAACCGCCATTAACTTCTCAATTCCACGTGTCTCCTTCCTATCCATTACAACAAGCTCCTCCTTTATACCCGATTTCTCAAACATCTGTTCTTTCTCTCATTTCTTTGTGTTAATCTTGTCATGTCAAGAGCCCACATTGCCGTTTTGGTGGATATTGATCTCTTTGGCTTTGATTTTACCTGAAGGAAAAAACCCTTTATTCTCTGTTTGAGAAATTTCAAAGAAAAATTCTTATCTTTTTGTTATCTATCAGGTCTGGTTGATTGTGAATATTGAAACCATGTGGTTTTTAGTTAAAAATATGTCCTTTTACTGATTCTAGCCTCATTTAATGGCAAACAGGGAAACCACCATTGTCTTTTTTAGCCCAGAAATGAATTGCCTTTTTGGTTGATTGGAGCTTCTTTTTTAATCCTCTGAACCTTTTACCATCTTTTCTTTCTCTTCCTGGAAGTTTGGGTGCGGGGTTGGAGATGAATGATCATGCAGAAGAACAAGCTGTTTATGAGATGTGTGTTGTGGTTCCCAGGAGAAGTATGAAGGAAGAAGATGAAGATTGCGACTGCGTCGAGGTTCTGGTGAAGGAATTAAAGAATGTGGGATTTATAATTGATAGAGCTCTTGGCCTAACAGATGAGTTTATCAAGGTTGCTCTTAATGATTATATGTTTTCTTCCATGATATTTTATGCGATTTTAATATGTCATCAATAGGAAATCCAAGGTGTTATTTTTTTCTAATTGATATTTTTGTCAACTTTAATTGTTTCTCATTTATTTGCAAATTCTGTCCAATGAGAGGACTAATTGTTGGGGGATTTCTCCTTTTCCTTTGTCCATCTCTAAGTGAGAGCCACCTATTTGCATTTCTCTTGCCTTTGTGGATTGGGTCAATGGACGTTAGTAAATAGCTTGAAGCCACTAAAGGGGGATTCTTGGGAGGTTAGAACGGTTGGATCCCTCCTCCTTCAACTACCACACGGAAGTGGTGCTCAACAATTAAATTTATTCTTTAATCTATTTCCTTCAAATTCATTATACTTGATCAAAATTAATGAAAAATGGACCATGTGGAAAAATGCTTCTCCTGTTACCCAAATATAGTACTAGTCTTTCCCTTCACATGCCTGTTTTGCAGTTATCTCCTAGGGCATATTAAGCAACTTGGATAGAAATGCTTGAAATCAAGCTTTTCAATTTGAATGGTAGCAATCAAAATAATTTATAGTTGAGGTATTCAAGTCCTTGTAGACTCTGGAAAGTGCCTGCATATACTCTGCATTATATGGTACTGAAGTTAGTTTAGAGTTTAACCAATAAGATTTTCTTAATTCGTGATATTTTGGAGTTAGATATTTCCCATTTCTCTTTTTCAGTGTTTTGTGATTTAATTCCCATTTCTCTTTTTCAGTGTTTTGTGATTTAAAGGAAATATGTCATCTAAATATATTAATCTACTTATGTTCCCATTTCTCTTTTTCAGTGTTTTGTGATTTAAAGGAAATATGTCATCTAAATATATTAATCTACTTATGTTCCCATTTCTCTTTTTCAGTGTTTTGTGATTTAAAGGAAATATGTCATCTAAATATATTAATCTACTTATGTTCCCATTTCTCTTTTTCAGTGTTTTGTGATTTAAAGGAAATATGTCATCTAAATATATTAATCTACTTATGTTCCCATTTCTCTTTTTCAGTGTTTTGTGATTTAAAGGAAATATGTCATCTAAATATATTAATCTACTTATGTTCCCATTTCTCTTTTTCAGTGTTTTGTGATTTAAAGGAAATATGTCATCTAAATATATTAATCTACTTATGTTCCCATTTCTCTTTTTCAGTGTTTTGTGATTTAAAGGAAATATGTCATCTAAATATATTAATCTACTTATGTTCCCATTTCTCTTTTTCAGTGTTTTGTGATTTAAAGGAAATATGTCATCTAAATATATTAATCTACTTATGTATTTTGCTCCATAGTACATATAATATTGGGATCATGATCTTACTACTATCTGTTCCTCTATTTTATTTGATCCTAAGTAGTAGTATTTTATCATGCATAAGTTAAGTTGCTAAGTCTATTTTCCTTCAGTTAGCGGCACCTCTAGAGACACTGGGGAAAGCTGCATCTCAGTTGAAAATGAAGAAGCCTACATATATTGGTAACCATTATAGTTCTACTTAATTGGCTTTCTATATATGTTTCTCATCCTTAGCTGACTTAAGATGCTTCTATATTGGTAATCTTTATGGCAAAGTATACACGGACGAGGGAATCACAGTCATCTGCTTAACCTTGTTTTTAGGATTGGATCTACAGTTTGAATGGGAGGAGGTCAAAGCATTTGTGAGGCAACCAGATGGCTCATTGTTTAGTTGGTGTGAACGTTTTGACTGCTACCATCATTTATTATATGGGATTGTAAGATCTTTTCTACATCAATTAACTAAAGCATATTTGGCACACAGTCTTTCTCTCTCTCACACACAAACAGGGTTTAGTTTATTTACTGCAATCAATAAATTTAAAGTTCAAATTTTGTTTCCTTAATAGGACGCCCCATTTGACACTTAGGAACAGATCCTTGGTCCAAAATCCATGGGGTTGGGGTGGGAGTGCCCCAAAAGATTAAAAAAAAAAGAATAGCATATGTCTTTTATGGGGGATTTAATGCTCAACATCACAACCAGGAAACCCCCCCCCCCCCCTTTCTCCTGATGGGATAAGCTGTTCATGTGTATTTAACATGCTGAGTTGTCTAATATTGCCACACATTTTATTCTATTAAATATATGATATTTCAACCTGTCTTTCTAGAATAATTTGGTTAACTAATACATTTGTTTTTCTTTTTTTTATACTTTATTTTTATCTTATAATACAAAATCTAAGTTCTGATGTCTGAATGAGGCTGTTTGCATTGTCTACAAGAATGCATATGTGTGTAATTTGAACTAAGCATCTTTATATAATTAGTATTCAAATTGAAATTTACAGGTAAACAAGGCCAAGGTAGATACAACTTTGAAATTGGATGGCAAGGAGTATCTTTGGGAAGTTGGGGAATCTTTGCTGCGGAAATTGGAATCTGAGGGCATTGTTAAACAAATTTTTCCTCTGCATGGTATGCTAAATTTCATATAATTACCATTAGTTTTGACATGAAGATTGAAATTTAATGAGCATTGATTCATAGATGAAATCAAGAGGAAGGAGCTTCTAAAACATTGGGTGCTGAATTGGCGGCACTTCACAAACCAGCAAATTGATGAAATGTATTCATATTTTGGGTTGAAGGTAAAAATGATACTATCTGCATATATGCATTATATTGATTAAGTTCTTGATTGTAATTCAGGAATTTGTGCTTGGTAGATTGCCATCTATTTTACTTTCCTTAGCATGTATACACGTTGGTTGCTCTTTCCAGCTGTTTTTGGGCTTCTTGTCCAGTTGGTTGACTTTGGGTAAGCCATCATCTTTTGATAGTTGGTATGCTTCTTGGTTAATATCCTTTATTTTTTGTGCTGGGGCATCCACTGTGACATTGCATGTGAATTACTTATGTGCTTGCTTAATTTCTTTTTCCTCTTTCAGATCATTGCAGTTCCTAGCTCTCCCTGCATTCTTTGTGAACATAACATTATGGGCAGTGTTATTTTTCCAGTTCTGGAAACGTAAAAACTCTGCTGTTGTCACCAGGTAACTTCATTTAATGTGAAATTTTTTCTTCTTGTTCTACATTTTTCTTTAATGGTTTTGTTTTCATTTTTTTTTTTTGTCCCCTTTTATATGGTTGAAGTGCCATTTGCCAGATAGTTGCGTTTTCTTTGCTTTTGCCAATCTCTTTTTGGTTTATATCCTTTACTCTCTTTGGATTTTTGGCGTAGATGGCAGATACAATATTCATCTCTTGCTGGCCAAGGATGCAAGATTTTGAGCACGGAAATGAGTTGCTTACAGTCACATCTAGAACGTGTAAAAAATTTGGGGATTGATAAAATGAAAGAGAAAGAAGCATATCAAAGATATGAATGGTTTGGACATCTCATGCAGTTTAGAAATAATGCTATCATTATTTTGAGTATTATATGCCTACAGTTGCCGTTTGAGTTGGCCTATGCTCATCTTTATGAAGTTATGGATTCAGATATGATGAAGTAAGAATCTTAATTTTTGTTATTTCTGAAATTCATCTCATTCTTCCTTAATTATGCTGTTTGAGTTTGACATTGCTATCATTTTCTTATGTTGATTATAAATTCATTACTAAAACACCACATTACTTGATATTTTCCAAGCATGAATTTATGGCATGGTACTGCTTGATATGTTGACATTCTTCTAATTTCTGCTTTTCAGGTTTGGGCTGACAGCTGCTTATCTCGTTCTCATTCAGTATTTCACTAGGCTTGGGGGCAAGATATCAGTGAAGCTCATACAATATGAAAATAATGAAACCACAGAATATCAGGCTGCTAGTTTGGTCTACAAAGTAATGGATCCAAATTAGCATATCCCTTTAGTTTTTTTTTTTCTCCCTTCAGTGGAGGTTTGACTAAAGGCTTCTCTTTATGTTGCAGGTGTTTGGCCTTTATTTTATGCAGTCATATATAGGAGTTTTCTATCATGCCCTTTTACATCGCAACTTTAAGACTCTTCGCCAGGTTTTAATTCAGCGTCTGATTGTGTGCCAGGTATAAAGTTGTGATTGATTCTTTTTAATGTATTACGCATTGTTGATCATCGATATGCTCTTGAAGTGAGAAAATGTTATCCAGTTGCTGGACAATCTGTTGGAGAATTCACTACCATATCTCAAATACAGCTATAAAAAATATTGGGCTGTCAGGTAAGCTTCTTTCATGACTTTTTTATCGCATTCCTTAAGTATACCCTTTGATCTAAATTTGAACAAGTGTTAACAATTTTCTGTTTCAAGAAACAAGAAAAAACGAGACAATGAACCATCAAATGAGAAGATCCAGTTCAATTCCAAGGTGGAGAAAGAGTACCTAAAACCTACATATTCAGCGTGTATTGGTGAAGAGCTAGAAGATGGCCTATTTGATGGTAATGTGCTAAAATTTTTTTATTGCCAGACTATATTGCCAGAGAAGTTTTATAAATTCCATTTACTGTAGTTTGAAGTGCGGCCTTGAAGTTTCAAACCATTTCTTCAGCTGATCAGGAAATATATATATAAAAAAAAAATTGTGTGCAGACTTTCTGCAGTTAACATTGCAATTTGGAATGATCATGATGTTCGCTTGTGCATTCCCCCTTGCATTTGCCTTTGCGGCCGTGGTATGGTTTGAAGTACTTTCACTTAATTGTCAATTCTGTTTGGATCTTGCTTCTATAAATTGAATTTGAGCTTTCCCGAGCAGAATACCTTCGCGCAGGTTAGAACAGATGCAATGAAGCTGCTCAGCATGCTGAAAAGACCAGTTCCACGAGCTGCTGCCACTATTGGAGCTTGGCTCAACATATTTCAGGTACTCCAGTCTTAGATTTCAATGTCAGCTGTATCATTTGATGTTGCATTAACAATATATGATTTTGAAAGTGCAGCTAACTTGTGAGCTTTTCCCAGCCATTTGTAAGAACACTGCAGAGTTTGAACATTTGCACTTTTTTGCATTTTCATCTTCTCATGCCCACGTATGTTCTAATAGGTTCGGATTCAAATCTTCACACTTGGTATTCTCATCACCTTTTCTTTTCCCTTAGGCAACAAGGGAAGCTGTCATTTCATCAGAATTTATGTGTCTTATTTGTTTGGAGTTCGGACAGAGTCATTAGCTATCTATAGAGTTAAATTGAATGCTTATTTATCTGAAAGTGCTTCCTTCTCCACAAAAGTAAAGAACTAATGCTATTCTTAACCATCAGTACAGCTTGATATCAATTTCTGACTTCATAAGTTGAAATCTGATGCATTCTTTACTAGCTACAAATTTGTTTAATTTTTCAATTGTTCACTTTAGTAATACTGTTACTGATACAAGGTATATGTATGTATTCCTTTAAACTGTAGTTTCTAATAGTGATGTCAATCTGCACCAACTCTGCACTTCTAGTATGCTTATATGACCAAGAAGGGAAATGGAAAATAGAGCCTGGGCTTGCTGCAATTCTCATATTGGAGCATGTGCTTTTGCTAATTAAATTTGGGGTCTCTCGCTTCCTCCCTGAGGTGATCACCTCTTATACAAATCTTCCATTCCATACTTTACAATCGAAGCTCATGTTTACAATCGAAGCTCATGCAGCAAAAATTTGTTTTGCAAAGGAATTCTAAAGAATTATGTAATCTCATTCTTCAACAGGAACCTCACTGGGTAAGAGCCAACCGAGCAAAAAATGCAACACAGGCACAGGGCTTCTGCTCTAGACAGCTTTTGAGAAGCATTTCTGGAGGAGAAAAGACATTTGCTCTTAAGAAGGCCGAATGAGGATACAGAAAGCCAAGCACTTTCTGAATCTTGTGTTTAGAGATTAGTAAACCAAGAACCGGAAACCAGCATTGCAGTTGTTTGAGAGAAGCAAGGGCAGTGATGAGTTTAAAGCAATTTTGATAGTACCTTTGTATTTATTAGATGAATTTTGTGTCATTGTCTTGTGTAAGATTCAGTCTAAGGCTACTGGATTTACCTTGCTTTTTCATTAAAGAGAAATAAAAAATTTTTTTGTTACAATTTGGGGTTCTTTTTCATTTCCTGATGTTTTTTTATCTTTAATACCTCTTGTTTGTACTTGTTTAACAAAGGGGCTTAACCGAAAATGCGAAAAATATATTTTGAATAAGACTAAAACAAAATATGGATTCACTTTGGGTTGTGTTGGACATGCACATGGTAGATTGTGGGACATGCACCCTACATCGGTAGGGATGAAATCGAAATGTTGGAGTAAAGAAATCTATTATCTACATTCATCAGGCCTAAAAATAGCAAAACTACAATAAAAACAAACCCAAAAATGAAGGAAAAATCTTTTTTTCGCCCTTTTCTTTTGAGAAAAAGGAAAGAAAAATCTTAAAATGTTTACATACAAAACCAATTTATTCATGAACTTCATCAAATATTCAACTAGAGCCCCGTGATAAATCACTAGAACTTACAATAATTCGATCACTGCTCGTTCTTGAGCTTCCAAATCGGCTACTAACCTGACGTGCATATGCAACGACAGCCTTTGCCCATCTTTTGATCTCTGCTTTTAACTTGAAAGAATCCATTTCTTTAAGGGACTTTCCTGGCTCTACAGGTATCTCCATGGATGAAAAACATCGGTTGAATCTTCTGCTTTTCGAAGAAACACTACGATTAGCCTTAACAACAGCATTCTTATTCTTGCTGTTGTTCAAAGAAAGTGTTTTCTTGACAGACATGTTCTAAATGATCTTTGCTACGTTTTCTGAAATCTTTTTAGTACGTAGCAATGGTGGTTTTATTGCAAGAAAACGATAAAACAGATATTTCTATATACATGAATATAGATCACTAAGGCAAGTAACATATTATATTTCAAAAAGAAACTATTTTTATTCCAATACGTGTATCAACTAGTAATATCATTGACTCGACTTTTCAACCTTTGCATATTCTCTATTGGTCTTATTATCCCATACTTCTAATTTCTGAAATTGTCCCTCTAATAAATTTCTTGAAAAGACATTTTAAACCCAATTGGAGAAATAATATTAAAATTTTTATTAATAAAAAACGTATTGCAAAATAATGATTTTTCTTTAATTAAACTAAAAATGTGAAAATGTTCGATATGATACGTAAAAGTTAATATACGAAGTGATTTATTGAAAATATATTGTTGCTTTGCAAGTTTTTGACTATACAATTTAAAATTTTATTCCCTTTAATCTGAATTATGTGGTAATCAACCACGTGGATTTACCAAAACTATGGACAGTAAATACCTTTTAAGTTTTAATTTTGCTTTTAATTAACAAAACTAATTGTAGTGTTGCGCACGCTTGTGTAATAAAGAGGTTTCTTGGTAAAGAGATTCAAATACATAATCCCCAAGTCAATTGCCTCAGCCTATACCGCTTTGACATGGTCTAAGCTAAACAAACATCCTTAAACATGGATATTTTTTGCTGATCTCTTATTGACGTTTCAATGGATTTTCAGCCTGCAGGGAATGCGTTTTAATTAAACGACAAATGTTTGAACTTGAAATTGTCGTCCGCAAAAAGTATGACTCACAGAAAATGTTGGAAATTGGGATGCGTTGTAATGGGCTTTTGGGCTCCTAGTTACACCTGAAGTTGTCCAAGAAGTGCGTTGGATCGACATTATTATAATTTATAAAGCAAGAATAAAATTGAAAAATGAAAAATAGCAAAGGACCAATTAAGCACACTTCAACTCATTATGCTTGTGATTGTGAAGAAACATTCAATATCACGAAAGTCTAGTTATAGTTTGGCTCTGCTTCTTTAACTATTTATACCAAGAAAGCCTTCTCTGCCCCTTCTTTCTCACTTTCTCTCTCTTTCTCAAAGCAAATCTTTGTTGATCAAGAACAACAAAGAGTTTTCTCAGCAGTTCCCTCCTAGGATCAAACATGATGCCCGAATAGTATGATCCTATTCTTTACATCTTTACAATATATAAAATAACATACCCACATTCTACTTGAATTGAAATTTGTATACGTACATACATATATTTAGAATATGCGTGTTTGATAAATGGTTTTGATGTTCTGTTGATTTTTAATCCAGCAATTGTTGCTCACTTGTTTGTTTGACATCTTCTTGGATTGATGATGGATAGATATCTAAACAGAAAACTCATTATTAATGGGTTATCATGAATGGAAATTTTGGATAGTTTCTTTCCATATGCATGCATATCATGTCTTGTTTCTGCAATTGCCAATTCTAAATAGATCTAATTCTGATTTTGTTTGGTTTGACATGTAATTGAACGTAAAACTGAACGAATTTCTAGTTCATACATTAAATTTTTATTTGATTATACTCCATTGCATTCGACTACTGCAAAACCTAAACCAACCCTTAAATGTAGAAAGAAGAGAATGTTCTCTTGGTTAAAAACCACATTTAGCAGTACAAAAGAAGATAGATAATCATGTGAGACCAAAGCTTCTAATAGATCTCAATTTGTGATATTTTTAATGGGTTAATAATTTTGCAGTGACTACCTGTTCAAGCTACTGCTAATTGGGGATTCTGGCGTTGGCAAGTCATGCCTTCTGCTGAGATTTGCGGTAACTGTTTCTGAGTGTTTTTTTATTTTTAGTTTAAGTACTTGTATGTGATTGATCTACATGACCCCTTTTGCTCATGATCTTACAAGACCAAGTCTTTTCTTTGCTTACAAAAAGGAAAGCTGATTTGTAATATCCCATAAAATGATTTGGCTAACATGCTTCTTATGTTGTTTAGGATGATGCTTACATTGAAAGCTACATTAGTACCATTGGTGTTGATTTTGTAAGTATGGTGAAAATTATTATATACCTTATAAGAATCAAGACTGTAACATTCACACATCTTTATTTTTCTATTTAGAAAATCCGAACAGTCGAGCAAGATGGAAAGACCGTTAAACTTCAAATTGTAAGCACTTCAAATCATTCTGACCTTTTGTTCTTGAAATTACTTCAAATAATCCTTTGCTGATGGAATCTCCATGTTTTCTGCTTAGTGGGATACTGCTGGTCAAGAACGATTTCGTACAATCACAAGCAGCTATTACCGTGGGGCACATGGAATTATTGTATGTATATATATATATATATCTTTTCATTGGACAAAATCTCTCACGCTTTATCTTTTTTAAGTAGCTTTTAGATGATATGTTGTGTTCTTCTTTGCTAGATTGTCTTTGACGTAACAGATGAAGAAAGCTTCGAGAATGTCAAGACATGGCTAACAGAAATTGATAAGTTTGCAACTGACAGTGTTAATAAGCTCTTGGTTGGTAACAAATGTGATTTAACAAACAAGAGGGTAGTGTCCAATGAAACTGCAAAGGTATCATAAATTCGTTCAACGTTACATTTTCTTAGAATCAGTATTAAGCATCAAATACAGATGAGAACTATAAAAGATACTGTTTTCCCCCTTACTGTAGGCATTTGCAGATGAGATTGGTATTCCATTCCTTGAAACGAGTGCCAAGAATTCTACAAACGTAGAAGATGCCTTCATGACTATGGCTGCAGAAATAAAGAAAAGGTGAGCTTTTGGGTCCTCATTCTTATTTCTGGAATTTATAATAGTTCTATGATTCACAGCTTTCTGAGAATCTAAGCCGTCACCTGGATAGTGCTTAGTTTAGGTTGTGTGTGTGTGTTTGTTATAAGATAATTGTTTTAATGTTCACTGAATTTTATTTATTTTTTCCAGAATGGCTAACCAACCATATGCGAACGCTGTTAGACCTCCTACTACAGTGCCCCTTCGTGGAAAACCTGTCACCGACCAAAGGAGTAGCATTGCTTGTTGTTCATCTTGATTTGTCGAGGGATATGTCTGGATATAATAGAACGCAGTAAAGATGACTAAGGCCTGCAGATGCAAGGGGTTTGTTACTTGCAAATCTTCTCATTTGTAACCCCCCACCCTACCCAAAGAACAATTTTTATGCACTGCATAAGCAGGAACTCAAAAGATTTGTCGGATTGGAAATTTTTACATTCATCACTTGATTTCTACACGTACGTTTATGACCTAAATTTTCCTAACTCCCTTGAGTTACTACGAGGCCCTTTCACGATTTATTATTACTTTGAATAGTCAGACCAACGAGTGAATAAATCCATGCAACCTCATAAATTAAACTATGCTTGACAATAGGATTCAGCAATCCACGAGACAGCTCGCCAAGGCTATATGCACATACTACCAGCCTACCACAGCTTCCGCTGATAGACAAAACACTGAATACGAGTCCTTAATTGTTTCTGCTTTACTGTTCAGTGCTTCAAGCTCATAAATTAAACTATGCTTTAATATCTTGGTTCCAAATATATTTCAGCAGATCACAAAACAGAATATAACAAAAAAGAATGCATTAGGCAGAGCCAATGCTCAAAACTTAATGTAACATATTGCAAACCATATAATCCAGGAAAACAACAATCTATAGGGTTCAATTCCTAGCCATAAAACGATATCCAAATAAACTAGAAACTGGGTTCAGAAATTTTGGGGGTCTCACAAAATAGAGAAAGGGGGGAGGGGCGCATATCTTTCCCTTTCACCTCACTATTCACTTCCTACTCTTCTGAACTTGTCTATTCCTCTTCTTGACACCAGATTTGGCGACCTTCAGGCTCCTGTGGACAACACTCAACCTTGCAAGAGCTGCTTTCTTCAAGTCAGGCCTGTAATAGTTATCTCCAACCTGGGCAAAGTCACACATGAATCAAATGTGTAACTAAACACTATCTATGCTACTGAAGAATAGTATACCACTACACAGCAAAGCCACACAGCACTAAGTCACAGGAAACTTCAATTATTATTATTATAAGAATACAAAAACAAAAAAGGACAAGAAAAAGAAAAAAAAGAAAGAAGGAAAATAAGCTTTCACCATGCCAAAACAAGACATCACGAGCAAATAAAAGCATTTTAAGAGCAAAAAGTTTTAGTTGAACAATAAAATGTGATTCATTGCATCATCACCAGATGCAACTATAAGAGATGTGTAATAAACATCAAAGACACTATTTTGAAGATGCTCAGAAGCCAAGCGTAACAACTATATTTCATCGAGGAAACCCAGTGTTAGGAGTCCTCTTACATGTTAACAGCTCATCACCGCAAGGTAAATTCATGATTTGTCCACATGGACTCATAAGAGATGTGTAATAAACATCAATGACACTATTTAGACGATGCTCAGAAGCCAAGCGTAACAATTATATTTCAACGAGGAAACCCAATGTTAGGAGTCCTCTTACATGTTAACAGCTCATCACCGCAAGGTAAATTCATGATTTGTCCACATGGACTCATAAGAGATGTGTAATAAACATCAATGACACTATTTAGACGATGCTCAGAAGCCAAGCGTAACAATTATATTTCAACGAGGAAACCCAATGTTAGGAGTCCTCTTACATGTTAACAGCTCATCACCGCAAGGTAAATTCATGATTTGTCCACATGGACTCATAAGAGATGTGTAATAAACATCAATGACACTATTTAGACGATGCTCAGAAGCCAAGCGTAACAATTATATTTCAACGAGGAAACCCAATGTTAGGAGTCCTCTTACATGTTAACAGCTCATCACCGCAAGTAACAATTATATTTCAACGAGGAAACCCAATGTTAGGAGTCCTCTTACATGTTAACAGCTCATCACCGCAAAGTAAATTCATGATTTGTTGATGGACACGATGAAATGTATTACATGTAACTTATTCAAAACCTAATTCTTGATAATTAGGTACCTATAATATCAACACTACATAAAAACAATTGTAAACTAGTTATCACATTGATTGCATGTAAGCATTGGAAAAAATCTTAGAAATGAGTGAAGAATTTCTAGTGACACCAGCTAATGACAGAACAATATGCAGACATAGCTCAGAAGCCAAGCGTAACAAGCGTATTTCACAGAAGCGACCCCATATCAGAGTCCTTCTTACATGTTAACAGCTCATCATGGCAAAGGATCCCAATAAAACTAGAAGCAGACATAAGAAATCCATTTTATTTGACATCAACAATAGAACATTTTATATAAAGTTCCTTAAATTAGATAAACATATCAGAAAGCAAGTAAACAAACAATTAGAAAAAATATAAGCATTCCTTTTCAGGAATGTTAATGAAATAAGAATTCAGTAGATCAATCCATAAAAATTGTAACTTACCACTTACAATTCAAAAATCGACATAGAATAGCAAATGAGATTGGCAAACAAAATTACCTGGTTTTCCACAGCCTTCGCCATCCGACGGAACTCTTTCTTCATGACAGACTTGTGAAGCAAAGCTGAAGGCTTATTCTGTTTCTTAGTCTTAGTAGTAGCAAGAACAACAGATTGATCTTTCCCAGGCTGAATGGTGACTGTTTTCTTATTGGCCAACCCTAAAAAGCATCATAGAAGCTAAAATTCGGTTTCTGACTTTATATAATCAAATCAAAATGACAGAAGAAAAGAAAGAAAGAGAGCGTACCAGAGTGCTTGTAGGAGTTGAGATTGTAGAGATTGTTAGGCTCTTTGCTGAACTGGAGGCTAGCTGTTCCTCTTCCAAACTGTTTCACCAAAAATGAGTTGTTCTTCTTCACAATCTCCCATATCAATTGCCCTGGAACTGTCGCCATATCTTAAGACTCCTTCCCTGCAACACCAATCACACCAGATCTATTAAGCCTTATTATTCAAACGAATATCTACCTTTACCTAGCTACGATATACAGTAAATAAACCTACTAGGGCTTTTGCTTGGTTGCTGCAAGTGTTAGGAATGGCGAGCAATGACGAGAGAGGGAGTTTATGATTATTTATAGTGAAACCCTAATTTCGCTTTTATTAGTGCTAGATGACCAAAATATCCCTGTCAAAAGCACCCTTTTTAGAAGCGCTTTTGGGTCGGATCAAATTCGGGTTAATTCCAGGCCGGAGCTACTTTTGGCCCGGTGGAGATCCGAAAAACTTATGAAAAAATTAATCTGAATTAGTGTTTTTTGGTGAATGGAATAAACATACCATTTTAATAAAATTTTATATTTTAGCTACAAATATGTTCTTTGTTTGCTTGAGATAAATAGGAAAATAAACTACCTACCATCGATCCATAAAATTGACACCTCACATGTTTTCTAACCAAATGATGAAATTCAAAATAAATTTGACATTCCGTCAGTCCAAACAACTATGGAATTTATAATTTAATCTTTAAAATGTTATTTGATAACATACTTTATCGAAAATTGAAGTTAAAAATTAGTTATATAAATTTATTTTGGTTCATCAAAGAGGAGTCAAAGAAAAGAAACCAATTGGACTCCAACAGTATGATTATTATTATTTCGCCAACCCAACAGAATTACCCATAAAAATTGTGAATACAAAAAGACTAGTCAAAGGCTTGCAGTATCATATATTACCATCAGCATTATATTAGAACTTTCAAGCAATGAAACAATGAAAAAACGGCCTGGAATCAGTCACTGAAAACTTTTTTAAGTTATTAGCGCCCCCCATGACATGAGCCAACCTCAATTCATAAAATTCAACCTAATATCAGGCCACAAGTACCTAATACCAGATCATCTTTACACCTCAACTATTGTTACATTATATACAGAGCCAAAGCAGCCACCATCCAATCTTACTCCTACAGTTCCTTCTCTACAACAAGTCAACATCGAAATGGCCACGGAATGGTACATAGGGATTCTACCTTCAGGACTGAATACAAATTGCCACTCGCCCAGCATGGTTCGGAGAGCTTGATATACCCAAGCAAATAAAAATTCCCAGAACACCAATATAAGCAAAATTCGTAGGTAAATTCATGAGTTGCTTGACGTTAGGGCACGGTTTGTTTGTCTTGCTGAACCGTTCACTGCCTCATTTATCCTACTGAACACTAATTTGAGAGGGATACAAGCTATAACAGGACCCTTAAGTTTCTCCACCACTGGTTTCCTATATTCTTCTTTATTACCGGTCAATGTAGATAGTTTCCTAATCTTTTTGGGCAAAAGCACACATTTCCTTTTTGGCGATTTACTCGGTGAGAAACGTGCCTGCATTGTCATATGCTTGGCAGGAATTCTTCCAGCATCTGAATTTCGCATTGCTGCATGCCCCAGTTCAGCAGCGTCCAGGGCAGATGCACGAGTTGGATCACATTCATTACTGCGGATAATAAGATCGCAAAAGCCATCATCTACACATTCAACTGTTAGAGGTCGACCAATAATTGCTTTTCCATTCAATTTGCTCATGAGGGAAACCAATGGGACATTCTGTGGCTGGTAGTTTGCTTTTACCTCAAGCTTAACATCATAAAGTTTACTATCAGTAATAGTTCTGCCTGGAAAATCTGAGGTCTGATATCTGGAGTTAACAGTAAAACGTGACTGGCGATAGGGAAGCGATCTTTGAGGGGGTAAAGACACGTCCCCAATTGCTCCTCTCATATCCCTGTGAGAAAAAGATTTGCTCCAATCCCGAACCCCGTCTACCTTGCAGTTAAATGACGCAAGGGACCTTCTACTGCCATCACAATCTACTCTCTGATCAGAAACAGGAAAGAATCCATCTGAGTGCTCTATACCAGCCAAATATGGAGCAGGTTCATTATCCATGTCCATGACCATATATTTTCTCCTGTCCTGTTTTCTGTTTTTACTGATATGTCTTGAATTCCTTTTTCCTTTTAACTGCCACTTTGAAGTGTCTTTCTCCATCCTTTGGCTGATATTATTAACATGAACGGCTCCTGAACTGGTAGAACCAGATTCATTGAGTCCTCCATTTTTCAGAGATACAGCTTCTGCATGACAACTTTGACTAGGTTGCCTACCTAATCCACCACCTTGATGCCTTCCTGAGGAGGACACAAGCACGGGAGATAAACCTGCGAATCAAAATAAAAGTTCAGCTCTATCTGCCAGGCCCCACATCTAGCCAAAAAAGAGGTGCAGAACAAGCTAACAAAATCAAATCTGCAACTTGAAAGAAGAGAGCTAGGATTTGTTCCACAGATATTTAAAAACTAAAAAGCACAGTTACAGTAACAAAAGCAAGTGAAATTTTAAGTTCTAGCCCCAATATTAAACTATCAATTATTTGACAATACATATCCAGCCAAAAAAAAAAAAAAAAAAAAAAAGAAGAAGAGCTAAGGATTTGTTCGCACAGATATTTAAAAACTAAAATAGCACAGTTACAGTAACAAAAAGCAAGGAAATTTTAAGCTTCTAGCCCATTATTATACTATCAATAATTATGACATACAGTATCGCAGCCAAAAAAAAAAAAAAAAAATACAGAACAAAAAAAAAAAAAAAAAAAAAATACAGAACACAATAAGTGAAATACTCATCATGAAAGATACATTATAAAATAATTCCACAATAGTTCCAAACAAGAAGCAAGATGGGCTTCATCATCTACTTCCAATCAAAAGAGACCTTTCATCTACCATATCAAAAGGAAGTACTACAAAACTCCATTGGCAGCTATGCACTATGGTCCCTATATTGCACCTAATCCTTTCAGATTTTAACTCAGAAAAAGACTGTATATATGTATTGAAAGGTAGAAAACTTGTAGGATATTTAGCTAAATGAACTGTGGTGACAGAACCAAGAAAATCTACCAATGCAAACAGATGAAGAAAAAAGAGGGCACAAGTATGATTGGCTCTTGGATAAAAAGAACTTTCTTTAGGCATTTCCCATATTAATACATGCATGGGATTGCAGGGACAGAAAGCAAACACTTAAACAAAGGCACTTGAAGTGGCTGCCCAACTCTCTTTTCTTCAGTCTGCGGGCATCTACTGACTAATCTTTGTCTTCACTCATATTAGCTGTTTTAAGTTGGCTCATATCACACCAATATTAAAGTTGTTCACATTTGGCTTATATCGCACCTCTTCAATCACATTCTCTTCTTGCTCTTTTCCCACAAAAAAACCCAACAACCACCACCACAGCCAAAAAAAAAGGAAAGAAAGAAAGAAATCTTCTTGCAAAGAATAATCCATTACCCAGAGAGAGCCTCAAGCAGCACACTTTGGCTGTTACTGTGTAGCTCATGCAGATAGCCAATTCAAACTTTTACATTGAATTATTCTATTAGAGTTTAAATAAGTTTTCCAGAAAGGACTGTTCTCAATTTCTATACCAAGTGTGATCTAGCTAATCCTTGAGTAGCTTGAATTTGGCTCCATAAACAACACCTAGGAAACCTAATTAAGCTAAAGCTTGGATGGCTCATGAATATCTACGTTGACCTATAAAGCGTAACACAGAGAACAGACCACATCTAAGTTTCAATATGGAAATATCATATATCGGAACAACAAAAGTCAATATCGGAACGACGAAAGTCAACACCGAAACAAATGAGTATAATAGATTTCACCATTGACATATAATGAAAACCACAAAAATCAAGCTCTAACCCATCCAACTTGGTTGATGAACTTGCTACAGCAAGCATCTTAATCAGCAGATCCAGAGCTGTTACTTAAAGTTTGGTTTACTTGAGATCCATATATCTACACAGATATTGGCTAACTATGCAATCTTAAAGAACTTGGGTAGTAAAGGACACACTGATACCTCAGAGAGAGAGAGAGAGGGGGGGGGGGGGGAGAGGGGGGAGGTGCGGGGGGCGCCAGAGGGACAATTTTAAACCCCCCAAAAAAAATTATTTCCTCCTCTAAGCAAATCCTTTAACAATGTGGTTAGAGTTGCTCGTTATAGAAACCATTACCAGCACAGAAAATAAAGAACACTGACCTAAAAGCAAGGAAACGGAATATTTGTATGTTCTCTATAACGGTGAGGTCCATTACCTGTAGATTGCTTTTCCGTCGCCCAAATGAATGCCACATCAAATAATCTGAGCTGAAGAACCATTCTCAGCAAACGCCTGAATACCCCCAGAAAACACCATTCTCTCTTTGAGCATGTTAATTGACTTTTGGAAGCCATCAACAAAGCATTGTTCAGTACATGATTTAAAAAGATGACCATTTCACTTGAAATGCCAGTTAACTATCAGAGTTTATTACGAACTGGCACACAACAAGTTTTTTCTAGTAGGATCTCATTAGAATCTATTCCAGAAAACCCTGCTGTCAAGATTTAATAAATCCCAGAAGACGGTGAGCCATTTTTGAATTGGGGGAATTTGATCACAAATAACTGGGAACAGAGACCATTGCTGTACCAACTCCAGTACTGGGTCAACGGTCCGTACGGCGATTTTTTCCCTTTTCAAGAAACTCATTTGAACATTTGCTACTTGTGATCTCGTTCTCTTCATAGACGAGTTATTAACCTCTCTTGCTGCCATTCTAATAGGACTGCCATTTCTATTGACCGACGCATTCCCACGCATTTTTGAATCTCCCTACAAACCTTCAAGCCGTCCTCAATCCTCTCATTCGCTTTAATTCCCTCTGCTGCCCTTCATCCTCGCGGAATCATTTTTGTGTGTCCTTCCCTTCTCTTTTCCCTGTGTAGATGCCACCTGTAGAAGCACCAAAATTGTTTGTTTCTTCAACATTGATTTATACCCAGAACTGGGATTAAGTTCTGGAGTAGCGTGTGACACTGCTGAACCTGCATCTGGAACGCTGGAACCCCTGAAACTTGAACCAAGAAGTTTGATTCATCTTTGAATCACCAGAATCACTCTCTTCGTCGGTTCATGTCTCCACACCTTCTTTGCCAGAACCCAGAACAAGGTAGGGTTGGATCCTTTGGCCTCGAGCCAAACTACATTCTCACCACCCTAAATTATTCGGTTTTCTAGAAAAAGAAGAAGTCGTCCATCCCGACGCCATTCCTTTCCAGAACGACGCATTTCTCAAATCAGGGGCACGACCCATGGAAAAATGGCATCTTCCCTACTAGGCATATTTTTCCACTGCTTTTTTCATTACCCGTTATTTAGCTGCCCATTTTTTTGCCTTTTGCACTTTCTCAATGCACGATTCAATCATACCCAATCGAAATGCCTTGGACCCTCTAAGATTTTTTTCAATAATTATAAACATAGTCCTTAAAGCCAAACAAATAAATAACGAACGCTATTTTGTCAATAAAGCAAGAATATGCTATGGACAAAGAAGATGATTAATACTTCCAGAAAACATTTTAAGGCAAAATCCAAATTTTTAATTCTCTTATACAGAACCATATTTCCTTGAACCACAAATAACATTGCATGAAAATACGATAATACTTAGGAAAAACATAAATATCCTCGCCATTGGGCACAGAAAAGAAGAAATACTAATACAAAGCAATTCTGTTACCCTGTGAATATTTCTTTCTAAACATCTTAGCAATGTCTTTTGGCCCAGATTCCCATAAATGGAAGACCGCATGATACGAGAAAACTGAAATCAGGAAAAATAAACAGCATGAGTTCTTGCATACAATACATTTGCATGTAAAAATCTGGAAGAAAACCACCAATCGCTGATAATGATTATCCACAGGGGAAGAAAATCTCTATGGACACTTACTCAACATTCACCGAAAAAAAAACATCCAAAAGTTTAACAAGAAAAAACTCTTGAGCCTAATTTTTTCATAGGAAACATAAGTGGAAGTTACACATCTGATTACACTTACAGCCTTGAGTATGTGTTGAAAAAAAGGCGGTTACACCATTAAACAGACTTAAAAAATCTGCCATTTATTAACCATGAAAATACGGTTTAGCCCAACTAAGGCAACCAACTATATGCCGCTGCCTGCCCTTATTACAAAAATTCCATAAATTCATACGAGATTGCGGTTAAAAGCAACTGATAAAAACCAAGAAAATGGGCTGTATTTAGCCAATACGGATTCCGACTAGGGTTGACTTATTAATTGAAGTTTCTTTTCAGACAGTTATTTGTTATGGATATCTGACATCACATAAAGCTCCCTCGCTTCTACCAAAAATAATACGCCAAATATTAGGAGAAACTAAGACATTATTCCATTAAAAAAATGCCTCAATTTTTTTTTCCACATTATATTAGGACTAAATATTGGATACATGAAGTGGACCTTTCCAAAAAACTAAACCTCATGAAATGTATGCAGCATAATTTTTGCTGTATGGTATCAAATTGAGTTAAAAAGAATTACCATATATGCAGCTATACGGTAGGTAAACAGAACCAAAGGTGAGCCAGCAATGCTAGTGGAAAACATATATTAAAGAAGATGACAGGGGTTGGGCAGCTGGGAAAGCCAAGTAAACACAAGGATTGGAATCAAGACCATTCCATGTTAACTGCATCCAGAACTCGATACTGGATGTGTACAGAGATCAAAAACAACAGAAGAAATTCCAAGGGCTAATTCAAACAGACGAATTCTGAATAGCAGTTGCCTAGTTGATGATTATTTGAACAAAAAAACAACTTGGCCATTCGATAAAAATAGTAAAAGAAGAAAAGCTCAATATTTACACAGCCATTAAAAAAAAGAAACCACACCCTCCCAGCATACACACAAACCAAAACAAAAAAAAATTCTTGCCCACAACCAGCGGTCTACAATAAATTAGTGGCCACCCTCTGAAACAATTATTTAAATTGAAGGAGAAAAAGCAGGCAGAAACGAGATGAGTGCGAAAAGAAAAAAAAAAGTGTTCCAGCAGAAACAATATTCCAAAAATTTATCCCCAATCGGATCACGATTAGGAAACAATTATTCCAAAATTATTATGGTATTGCTTGCGCCATCTCAAAAGGGAAAGGCCAATGGACATAAAAAATTAAAAAAAAACTAAAAAAAAAAAGAAAGGAAAAAAAAAAACTGAGGAAAATAACAATGAAACAACACACAAACAACAGGACAACGCAGACATATATATAGGAAAATTCACTCACTCAGGACACCGCCAGGTTATGGACGCCAGACATTATCACGACTCCAATACAGCCATCACCCCACAAAAATCTCCAATTCTTTTCTTTTCAGAAGTAAAAAATTCTGAATAATAATCCAGAAAACCAAATACATGAAATCCAGAAAAATTGTAATGGTTCCAATAAGAACAACTCTTTTTACGCATTTCTTTAGGGGCAGTTATTGAAAAAGCACTGTCTGAACTCTAATGGGCAAAATCCAGATAGTAACATACCCACACAATTTACCAATAATTTCCTATCTAAACCCGGGATGAGTAATAAGGGAGCCATGGACTTTATCTAATTAAACCAATTTACAACAAATAATAAAAGAACACGGGCATATAAAAAGGTATCCAACTCAATATCTCTCCTAAGAACAATTTTAGAAATAAGACCACGAAAAAGTGAAATATTTATGTGCATCATTATACGTTATATGTGGAAAGGGGTTATGCCTTGAGATATGTGAGGATTGCAAGGATAAACAACTATAATAAAATGAACAGGAGGATTATTTTTGAAAGAAACAAATTGAATTCTTTAGTTTCCATATTGATATATAAAATTTTCTTCCTTAAGTTGGATGAACCACATGAATAGATGATTTGTATATGCCTTCTTTAAGGTTCAAAGTTCAATTTTTTTTTTTTTTCTTTTTTTCTAGGTGGTTCTCTTCTTCTTTTAACTCTCTCTTGACACTTACAGACTCCCAAAATCCCTGTTTGCTATAAAGTTGTTTGAGAGTTGACAATATCTCGTTCGTTAGCGTCTTGAAAAAGCCTGTTTGCGACAATTGTAAGAAGTGAACAGTGCGGAACATTATGGAGTGGCCTGGCGATTCTATCCTCATCCCTCGCTGGCGCTTGGAAGACCAACACAACTTATCCTTCCGAAAAATCTCGTGAAGACACCTCATGCGATCTTCTCTCATGGTTGTCTCCCTTAAGGCACACCGGGATCCTTCGGCGTAACACCGTGCGTTACGTTCTCTATCGATCTCCAAACTAATCCTTCAAGACCATAACTGTATATTGCTTCATAATTGGGCAATTGAAGTGGTATTATGTATCAAGAGAGCTTAAAAGTCTTGGAGATCTGAAATATGGTCCTGCTACTCTGCTCATGTGTGGTAAGCCTAGATTTTAGATGCGTCTTTGGATGCGAAGATGAATGACACATAGTGCTACCGCCTAATTAGCTACTTGCTCACTTGTTTCGATATTTGTTTTATTCTGTTTGTTCTGTTCCCCCTACCTATTCTCCCCATATAATGTCTTACTCAATGACTCTATGTACATACTAACAACATAATCGATAAATCAACTAAAAATAAGAATATTATGAATGCAATATGGATATCCAAAAAGGATTAAATGAAAGCTAACTTTTGCATATTCCATACTTCACTCTAGCATTGGTAAAATTAGGTACCACAGAATATTGTCTAAATCTTTACTCTATTATCAGTTTTCATATAGATACACTCTCATGTCATGAATAGTCTTCAAACTTCTATGGCACATATGAGTATCTTCGCTCTTATAATATATATTTTGCTGTATATATTAAATAAAGGCTACTTGAGATGGACGCGGTGACTCATGGAGAAAATGTCCGATTCAACTCTAGTGATGTTGTTTCAGGCTACTGGGGAAACACTATTTAAAGAGCGCGCCTAGATCGTGTAGATGAGATTATTCTACTGTGGCAATAATTACTCTCACATTCCTAGAACCAGAGCGCCATAAAACCGAGAAGGCAAAAAATTACATAATTAGAAATCTCTGAGGGCATCACATATATCTCAGAAAATGGACCTACTTTGCCGAGATCAGTTAGAAAATATCCGGCTTAAGATCTCTGTCGAAGTATTGGCTAGCATATAAGACCAAAAACGACTGTGTCAGACTTTGAAATAACTAAACCTCTTTATGGGGTACAATAATATATACTCCCAAAAGGCTTCTGTATGATTGCTATATTAAGAAGAGAACAATAAAATGCGAACAGGAACAGAAACC